AACTCAATTTTGCCATTACCTGTCAATTCATATGGTACTATCCTATACTAAGATATTCTCAAATGATATCACTATGCAGTTATTTGAAAACGTGTAGAAGTATACATTCTTGTCTGCGCATAGCTGCAATGCAATAATAATATATTGTGATGCTCACAAAGCACATATAACACAATTTACCAAAATTGTAATGTTTAAATATTTCATGTGATTTTGGAAACTGTTATATTTTTTATTTCCTGCCAATTGTTTAATTTGTAATGTTGTTCTTTGTTCTTTTTCAATAAAGTAATCAACCGAATGTTGAAATTCCTCTTAATGACTACATCAGCATCTTGTACTCGGCAGCTTGTACGACCCTGCGACAATTTTATCATTACAGACGCAATTAGAGGGAGAGGAGGACGAAAAAGAGAAATATCCAATTTAAGTGTCTATATTCGTAATATCGTTACATCTTCACATCGCCGATTTTCTTTGCATATTTTGAAAATGTGTATAATCTCGTGTCTACTCGGAATCTGAGTCTTTCCGACCGTACTGTTGCTTCGGTAGTTCGCCTTGCAATTCGAGAACGTGTTCTATCGGTTTTGGTTTTCCATCTTCTCCAATGCGGCAAGGGCGTACGACTCCCTCCCTAAGCGACAATATCATTTGAGAATACATCCATTAATTGTATATATAATTTATTCATTTCTTTCAATATATGCGCGCGCGCTATAATTACATACAGCTACGTAAGGAAACGATGGCTCTTACTCAAAATTAACAAATCCTTGACCCGTGTTAATGAAATTAAATCGATATATACGCAGCTCACCTCGTCAATTTATCAACAAGATCTACCAGCTGTAAGGCTTCAAATTCCTTTTGCTCCTCCGTCATGCCTTCGAGCGGATTTGGCTTGGGATGCTCGAAACACCCGGTTACCGGATTTATTCTATGAATGAAAAATATATACGATTTAATTGTCAGGTTATATTTCTAATTAAGGCTCCGTAATAGTTGCCGTGACTGTTCTTGTTTAATGACGTCAGAAGCGAAGAAATGAAAATGTCAAAATTTTTGCGTTATATTTTCAAGTAAAAAGATGTATCCACAAAATGACATTTGTGATTTAATTCGGCAAACTTGTAAAATTGGAAACACTTTTATTCGAAAGATCAATAAATGTCATAAATGTCATAAAATTGACAATCATGAGAAAATAAGTTGGAAGAGAAAGTTCCGTGTCAAATTAATTTTGCGACTGTTTATTAATTATTCGAGTAAGTGTTCATTCAACTTTACAAATGTGCTGACTCGATCATAAATGTCATTTTGTGGATATATCTTTTTAATTGAAAGTACAGCGTAAACAATCTTGGAATGCGCTTTCTCGCTTCTGATGTTACTAAACAAGGGCAATCATAGTGATTATTCCAGAGCCTTAATGCAAATGTGCCAGAGAACTTTACGAAATAACGTAAAAAATAACGTGAGACAAGATTCTTTTGTTACGGAATAGAGTAACTCCGGTATATACATTGTGCCTAACTTAATTTATCAAATATTATTTATTACGTTTAAGGCAAATGAACTATACGAGTAAAAACTGTATATTGTCTACTATTATAGAAAGAATTGGAAATACGAAATATTTATTTTTTATATTTAACAGAGAAATGGTTAGAAACTTTGTATTTTTGCCATGTATCCCACAGGTATGGGATATACGACCATTCGTGAGTGGGATATATGCCTTATAAAAAAATCTACAAATAATACTTATAAGTAAGACGATATAGTAATTTATAAAATGTGTATAAAAAGTTGATCAGGACATAAGAATGAGAAATAAATATACGAAAGTAATAGTAAAAGTAAATTATAAGTATTCAACATAAATAAAAATTCTGTTTTACAGACGTTAATGCAATATTTACTGTATAAGCCAAATCTAAAATGCTTCTTTACAGAATGTCTGTATCGCGACATAAATCCCGTATGCTAAAAATGCTTTATATCGCAAATAGGTGGAATATACAAGATGTATCAAGCTAAACGAAGAGTTGAACATTCTAAGTTAAGTATGTATTTTGCTATATCCTTTAATATCCCTCTACACTTATGTATCGCAAAACAATCATTAAGCTTTTTACATTCCCTACAATAATCATTTTGAGCAGGTCGTAGTATACGATTGCGCTAATTACATTGAAAAATTGATTCAATTCACGAGAGTTTTGTCAGTATTATCAATTAAAAAACTGAAATCATAACACAATACTAATATAACATAAAGACATATAACAGAGTTGTTGCAAATAAAATACTCCCATCCCTTCTATTTTTTCTAATTTCTGCGGCGTAAATGCCGGAGTTATCCTACATTTTTTTCTTCGACTACTCACTGTTCTTTATACTTGAGGTATTCTTCCGTCTCGCTGTCTTCCGATTGGGAAGAATACGCCGTTTCCGCCTGGTTGTGCCCCAACAATCCTTTCTTAGCGAACATTCCCGCCGCATTTCCGTACCCCGTATATTTGACCATGCGATTAACTGTAACAACAATGATATCATAACGGTGCTATCACCAACTGTTATATCAGCTCCAAACAAATCATGCTATATTACGAACGTTAAAATATTTCAATAGATAGATACAAATGTTATTTTTGTAACGTACGTTACAAAAAGGACGCTCAGAAGTAAATAGATAAATTACCATTCTCTTTACAAAGGATAAATAATAGTTCTGCAACCAGGTCGCGTAATTCGATAAGAGGCGATGTCAGTAACTTGCATAATTTAGCTCTCAACGTTGTTCCTTCTTCAGGCCGATTCATCACGTCCTTCAACGGAGGTAGAATCTGAATTTTGTATATTTATATGTACACAATTGAAAATTTACATGTGACAATTTAACAACTTGCGAGATTAAAATTCTTGCCTTACCTGCAATCTTACGTATTTGCGAATAACTCTCTCCGACTTGATGAGTCTGATCAGAGCGGTAACCACCGGGGAGATGTTCTCGATCAAGTGCGTTTTACAATTCAATTTTTGATCTAAGAATCTAAGTAAAACGCACATGGCACTCATGTCCATACCTTGGTACACACTCTTGCGATCGTTATATTTAACGGGTTGTACAATCGGTGCATAACAATTGTACGATATTACAGTTAACAAATTGATGACATTGCTGAAATATGATGATAAACTTAACACTGCTTCTAATGATTTGTTACACGCTTCTACGTATGCTTTACCTTTCAAGATCATCTTGTTGTGTTGAGTATTTAAGAATTAATAGTTTATACAAAATCAACACCAAGTTTCTATGTTTCTCTTGATCCTCAATCTCAGTGTCATCTGACTGTATGTACAAATTAAATAGAACTTTTAAAACTTCGCAAATTACCATGATTTCTTCAGTCTGGAAATAGTGAAAAAGCTTATGAACCACATTGTGGACTTTAGAGTAAATATAAATGATTAATCATTCATTAGGAAATAATTATATAAAACAAACAACTATTATAAATGTGACTTTACCTTAATAACGGTTGTCTCGTCATTATCTTGATTTCGTGTCACAAAATCCTCTATTATTTTAATAAGATATACGTCACCGTACAAGTCACATTTGACTATATCTCTTGTGGAAGTATTTAATGCAGTGATCAGAAACAGTATTCTCATGTCAAACAGTTTGACATCATAAGGAGTGTCATTTGTATAATTTCTAATACGGTCCATCAGATAAGGCAAAGAGGATATTAGTACTTTCGATCGTTGCATTCTTACGCTATTAAATAATAAGTTGCACAGCAACTTCAATGATTCTATCATGACTGCAATCAAAACGAAATTGGTGAGAGAAAGAAGGAAATGAGATAGGTAAAAGAATATTTATATCATAAAATTATTAAATTTTATATATCTTTAAAATTAGATCGTCATTTAAATTAACTTGACATATACCTATTGACTTATATCGCAATTATTCTCATCACTTACCCACTGTATATGAAATTTGTTCTTCATCACATATTTTTGTCAATCCTGCATTTAGCAATATAATTTTTACTGCATTGTCAGTAATTAATTCATCTAAATTAGTTTTGTCTCGACTGAAATATAGAAATATAACAATATAAAATATATGATATTTTCTTATATGACTATAGTAAATAGCTATAATAAATTCTACCTATATATAATTAAATTACCTGAGTATCCTTAAAGCAGCCAAGCAATGATGTCGGTGGTCTAAATATGTTTGATTTGTTAAATGATGAAATAATATCTTCCATAGTTTCTCCCGTAAACAATTATTATTCAGTTCATCAAAACTGGTCTTCTTATTGTACTAAAATATTAATAATTCATTAATTTATATCCGAAAAAGAAAAAAATATGTAATGTATGAAAGTACACAAGATATATAAATACAGCAAGCTATGATAATTTTCAAGGTTTATACTTACATTGTCTAAAAATACAACAACATTTTCACAAAATTCTTCGTACGTGCCGGAAATTAATTTCGGAATCAACTCGTCCGCTGTAATCTTCTCCATGTCTGCTTCTTATTAACAACATGCACCATCGAGTCGCATTATAATATAGAATATATTATGTGTTATACTATTAAACACACGTGCCAGTAGTGTAACACATTCGACCGGCTTAAACGGATTAAATCAAGTTTGACAGTTGAATTCTTTCCAGTCTTTTCACTTATGCTGTCAGCACTGCTGGACATGCACGAAAGGAACGTGTTGGCAAGAAACGACCATGCAGAGTATATTGCCATCTATAGTATCTTTACGATAACATTTTTACATATATTTATATCTTTAATTATTTAATACAACGGAAAGATATTTCGCGATTATATTGGCGTAATATATTATATATGTTTTTATTTAAAGTTTATCACAAATAAAAATGATTGAATAACCGTTAACTGTTAAATGATAAAATAATATTAATAAGTGAATTAATGTAATTAAATAAACTAATTTTACTGCTGTCTTCGGTAATATTTGAAAATTAAAATCCGTCTGACTTAAGGTGCGTTCGATGAGAAGATATTTAGCATTACCGCGTCATTCTATCCTTGTTGTACATGTAAAGAGTAATAAAGATAGAATGACGTGGTAGCGCTAAATAGTATCTCGAACGCACCCTTGGAGTGCGTTCCGATTCCCCATCCGGGTACACCCTGACATTCAGAGAGCGTTCAGATTCTTCTTGAGTGCTCCTGTCATAGAGATATAAGAATAGAGGGAACAAGCCTGTAAGTGGAAGTGATAGAGGCAAAAAGAGAGATGGATGCCGAGTGTCCTATCTGTCTCTTTCTAGTTGAGCGCTGTGATTGGTTGTTACAATGAGCCGCCAAGACGACCACGCGACGTCAGGAGGGGAGAAAGCAGACTAAAATTTCGTTTTGTAAATATGCGTGCACATGTGTGTAGAATTAAAATTCGTTAAATATTCGAACGTTAACAAAATAATAATTGGACACGATTTGTTTAAAAATGAGGCATTGTTTGAAATGCAAGGCGGAGTCTTATCCTGGATGTAACCGCAGTTTTCACTCGTAAGAAAGTACAAATACGTAACCTCAAATAATTATATGTTATTTTTTCCTACATTTAAAAAAATATCTAAATGTTGTAGGCTACCGAAGGATGTAGATATAAGGCGTAAATGGTTGAATATACTTCAACTACCTTTGTATTTTGAAGTGAAAACAGCATATATTTGCAGTGATCATTTTTGCAATGACAGTTTCTTTGAATTGGATGGAGAAAAATGTATAGCTATATCGTCGTTGGCGCGGCAGCCAATCCCAGCGCGTGACTAGAAAGAGACAGATAGGACACTCGGCATCCATCTCTCTGCCTCTATCACTTCCACTTACAGGTAGCATATATCCCTTGTTCCCTCTATTCTTATATCTCTATGGTTTTTAGAGTGATATAGGGAAAACTGGAGTTATAATGAATCATTGGCATGTTCATTGATTCTAACCCAGTGTCCAGAGCGTTGGATTTATTGTAACTACGTTTCTAAAAAATGGAGACGTTGCAGATCTACGTGGCGCTAATAGCGAGCTCCTCGAACGCACCTAGTGCTACGTAGCGCTGATGGCGAACTCCTTGAACGCACTTTTAAAGTATATGACAGGTGTCAATATATAGACATCATTTACGTTTATAATAAATGTATCTTTCTTAATCCATGATCGTATCATGAAGTGTGAGTGACATGTGTGTGTGTTAATTGCTGTAAACGCCTAAACAAAATAGATAGGTGCTCGATATAAACGCGTTTACTCCAAAGCTACAAAAATGGAGCAGATAAAGGTTCCTAAGGTATCAAACAATTTTCAATTTAATATTTATATGCAATATAAGAGCTTTTGTACGAAATAATATGTTTGTAGGTAGAAAATGTGAGAATGTTGGATAAATACAGCATCAATCATTCCATTGGCACGCTTTATTTAACAGTGACACATCTTATATTTGTTGAGAGAAATGGGAAGAAAAAAATATGGGTAAGTTATATTGTAGTCGTTTTTACCAAAGTTGTGGAGATGGCTTTTTGCAAAATGCTATTTAGCAATAACATATCCTTATAATTACAGGTGTTACATACGCATATATCTAATATAGAAAAACAACCATTGACTACAATAGGATCGCCACTATACATTAAGTGCAAACACTTCTTTATTACCACATTTGTTATCCCAAAAGAACGTGATTGCCATGAGATTTATCTCACTTTATTGAAATTATCTTGTCCAGGTAAAAAAATGAATTATATTTCATATTATGTATATATATATAATATACCTATATCTTAAATTTATATTTCTGATGGAGAAATAGAAGATGTAATAATTTTTTCTAAAGAAATTATATTACATAGATATAGTTATATAACATAGAATCACACATATATAATTTTATTAGTCAATTATTTAGTAATATACAGTTCTTTTAGATATATATTATTAATATACACATGTTTTATGATTGGTTCAATATTCACGATGTTCTGTTTTCTTGATTCTCAGCTAGTCTAGAAGATTTATACTGCTTCAATTATCAAGGGAGCGAAGATACACTACCCCGACATGCAGGATGGAATTTTTTCAATGTACAGAGTGAATTTCAGCGGCAAGGTGTCCCAAACGAAGAATGGTCACTTTCATATTTAAATTCTAATTATGAGGTAAATATGTATACATATATCTTCTCCTTTGTATTTCTTTTCTTTCATATATATTATTAAGTCATCCTGATTTTTCAGCTTTGTGATACTTATCCGAGGTACTTATACGTACCTAGTAAATGTACTAACAATGTTTTATTGGGTAGTGCAAAGTTTAGAAGCAGAGGAAGGCTACCAGTCTTAACATACTTGCATTCTAACAAGGTTGGTGAGGAATGATAAACTGAATAGTACAGCACATGTTCATTGAAATGAAACTAATCAATTTTTAGGCTGCTATTTGTCGTTGCAGTCAACCGCTCTCAGGATTTAGCGCGAGGTGTCCTGAGGATGAAGAAATGATGTATAATATATTATGTACAAATCCTAATTCAAGATATATGTATGTTGTGGATACCAGACCACGGGTGAGTATTTAGATTAAAATATAATTTCTCCTGCTGCTACACAATCTGCAAAATATATAGTTTTCAAAGTGTGATTCTATTCGTAAAATATATGAGATATTATAAAAGATGAAACTTTGCTTTGTTCGGACCAGATTAATGCTTTTGCTAATCGAGCGGCGGGAAAAGGATACGAGAATGAGAATTTCTACGACAATATTAAATTTCATTTTTTCGGGATAGAAAACATTCACGTGATGAGAACGAGTCTGAATAAACTTATGGACCGTGAGTATGATGCCTTTGAAATCGAAATCTAATAAATATTATCGGACAGTCCAGACATCTTAACGTTTGTTTGAATCTAGTACAAAGATCGACTTCCATGAGCGTGTTTCTAAGTGGCCTAGAAAGCAGCGGTTGGTTAAAGCATATTCGCTCCATCTTGGAGACTGCTTGGTTCATCACACGGGCTGTTTCGAACGGCGTAAGCGTGGTTGTACATTGCAGCGACGGATGGGATCGCACCGCGCAAGTGTGTTCTCTGGCCGCACTACTGCTGGATCCATTTTACAGAACCATTCAAGGTTTTCAAGTGAGTAATCGCGAATTGTATTTTTTAAGAAATCAATAGTTACATAAGATAATAAGTAACGATATCATTCTTTTTTACACTCAACACAAGTTTTTCCACTCATGTTTTTCATAAATCACGTTTTACTAATTTACATTATCTATTAAATTATTAGGTCATCCGAAAAGTTCTGAGAATTTTTGAGGCACTGAAACAAAAATTTATCGACATTGTTCCAACAATTAATCTATGATATATTGTCCATTTTAATCTATCATTTTTTGCCATCTCTCGGGCAAAAAGAATATTTTGCATTTGTAGAACGCGAAGGGCTTTCCCTCGAAGAATGTAGTCAGGTGGCTTTTGATCTCTTTCAACGAATTAAGCTTCTCAAAAAGTGCTGCAATGCCCGGAACAAGTGTTAGAAGGAATAATATCTGGTGAATATGGAATGTGACATGTCCCATATTCAGAGAATCTTCTATGAGCTATGAATGAAACATATGGTCTTGCATTATCATGTTGAAAGATGATGTCTTATTCATTATTTCCGGATGCTTCGTGGCAAAAACTTCCTTCAGGTCAGCTAGTTGGGCGCAATATTTGTCAAAATCGATCGTGTGATTTTTTATTTATCGACACTCGTACTTGAAAGAGCAAAAAAAGCAAAGTGCCCTCACTCACTCATTCAAAAACTAACCCTTACCCATCAGCTCCCACACTGCCGAACAAACTAATTACAAGTGCGACAGATGGCAGGAATTCTCAGAACTTTTCGGATTACCTAATATATACATTTTACTTTTCAAATTAAGGAGACTATGAATGAGATTAAGAATTAAGGAGACTGAGCTATTAGAATGTACTGTGTTCTACGCTTTACACTAATGTTGCCTATATGTATAATTTTATTAAGAAAACTTCTCTTATAAGGCTTTAATAGAAAAAGACTGGCTATCGTTCGGTCACAAATTCAGCGACCGATGTGGCTACGTTAGTAGTGACGGTAAAGAACTCGCGCCAGTATTTACACAGTTCATAGACGCAACGTACCAGCTGTTGCGACAGTATCCGTATAAATTTCAATTTAACGAATATTTCCTGTTGACCTTACACGACCATGTACATAGTTGTCAACACGGCACGTTTATCGGCAATTCGGAGAAGGAAAGGCAAATGCTAAGGTACCACTTCGCTCGTCAACACCTTTTTTCCCGCAACGGATTTTGTACATGTTGAAGGTGCAAACCAATTATTGTTCTTAGATTGTCCGAGCGTACATATTCGTTATGGGGTTACTTGGCGAACAACACGAATGAGTACATAAACCCGATTTACAGATGTAATCGTTACAACAGCGAGGACTCTGCTGATGTTCTTCAACCTAAATTAGCACCTCAATCTATCGTGTAATAAATATGTAACTTTTGTACGAAAACTCGTTAACCGGTACAATCGTAGCTCGCAATTTACTCAGAATTATTTTCTAGTCTTTGGAGAGGCTTGTATTTTAGATTCGAAAACGGTGTACACCCGAGAGAGTCGTGCGAAGACTTGCTCTTGACAATCTACGATCACACGAGCTCCTTAGAGGATCACGTCAAACTTCTGCTGAAGGTACGTATCACAATTTTGATCGAAGAGCGCGCACAAGTATACGATTTCATTCAAGTGATATGCGGACGAGATACAGTTTGTTAGATCCGTATGATGTGCAGACAATCACGGTCTTTTTGTCCTCGACAGCGAGTCAATTCCTTGGGGCAGCTTCTAAATATAAGCAACACGCAGAAAAAAGGGAAGCACAAGTTCGACAATAAATTTATGGAGACTCTGCCGAAGACCATAATAGAGAACACCGCGAACCACGATGAAAAGGCGAAGACGAAATTAAGAAGGAGTCAGTTGGAGAATGAAGTGAAGACAGTCGCTTTGGAGTGGAAGTCGTCGCGAAATATGGAAGAATGCGGATGCTCCACCACGTTTGACGCTTTCAACAAAAAGGTACATTTGCTGATGAAATGTCATTCGTGACTCTTGTTCGTTCTAGGAAGGTGTGTGTCGTTGTAGGAAGGAATTTGGGTCGTGTCACATTGTATATCGCCTGTGTCTCTCGTTGGAAGGTACCCACTTGGGTCTTTCTTTTGTTTTCTTTACTGGATACACTAGCTTGCATTGGTTCTCTTTTCCTCCTTTTCCCACCAGATCTCAAGAAAGAGAAGAAAAGAGAATCAATGCAAGCTAATGCAGCAAATGCAGTAATAGAAAACAAACCTTATAAAAATATAAGTTGAAGTGAGACAAGTATATACTTGTCTCACTTCAGCTTACTGCACTAGTTCAGCAGTGCAACTATAAAGAACAGACAGAATATCTAGGTACACTTGTATCCAGACATTTTACAATATCTGTATCGAGTTATTCACCTCAAAAAAGATACATCTCTGTATCTAAAGATGTATCTGTTATACAACACTGTTATTGAGTTGATGCTTAATCGATTGATGTCCCATGCTTCAGAAAGGGGGGTCCCGCACGGTGCGTAGAGTATTTCCGCTGGACCAACAATTAGAAAATTTTGTGTTAAATTAGCCAATTACCTAATGTGGGCTATCGGACCTCGCCTCTTCGAAATTCAAACTTTACAACCGAGCGTATCTGCTTGATAGAACGAACGACTAAGTGCTTACTATACTATTTGATATTGTTTCAGCATCATTGTTGGTCCTGCGGCTGTGTGTTGTGCACAAGATGTATGGCGGTGCACGCTAAATTACCGGGACACCTGTCGCAACGTGCCGTACCTACGTGCAAATCGTGCTACCAGAGTTCAACGATAAGCTCCGATAGTTAGTGGCTGCGTTCAACGGAATGAAACACTTTTGCGGTCGATCTCAACGACACTTTCCATTACACCATTCGAATATATTCTGCTGTTCATGAATTGGCCGCTTTGTCGGATGTAGTAAGTTGGCTGGGAAAAAAAAATGTGGCATCCAAAGAATAGGCATCGTTGCCACGAAGCAGTTACGTCCCACCAAATGAAATGCATATTTTAACGCCATATTTACAATCTGTGCGCGCGCACACAGTATATTTTATGTGGAACGATAAGGAGACATGCGAAGCAATACCCCAACTTATCCCAACTTGGACTACTTAGCTTCTTCTTATCTTTGTCTCTTTGGATTTTATTTCGTTCACGATCAATCGAATACAAATAACGTAGTACCTGATTACATTAATGTGTACCGTATGTGTGGACATGCTTCTTAACTGAAATAACTTGATAACACATTGAAATTGACGAATATTACATGATATAATTAATAATAACGACGAAATTATTATATATCAACTATTATGGTGGCCGATCGATGCCTACAAGTATAAATGCCCTCTTGCATCTCAGATCAGTGATTCCTAAATTCATTTCCTCTGTGTATTTTCAGTCATCTCCATTTTTATGATATTTAGGAAAAGCGATTATGCGTTGAGTCGTCGAGGTGTTGGAGAAACAAAAACAGATTTGCAAATTTATACAACACACCGTCGGACAAAGCTGCTTGATTTACAGTTACATTCGACTCCACAGTAATAGCGCACACAGTACCTATTGAATGATGCATCTCTCTCCTATTCGTATGTTTCACTCGGCCGATTTCTCTACGACCTTATCTGCTAATTTGTCCGACTGGCGTTATTAAATTTATAAACCGAATAAAATGGGCCTATTCTCTTAACGCTAAAACATTTCACAAGATCATAACCAGAAATACACAAATATATAAATATTATGTGCTATTAAGGCATCTTTTGTTCTCTAACGGGTCAGCATTCTTGCAATTTTCTTTTCTTTTTCGAATACAGATGCATCATACATTACTCAATATACGAAAACGTATGTAATGAATAATTTTCTTCAATATATCGGTGATAATTTATATATACGAAGTCAAGTGTCAGTATCCTTAGACATGGAATTAAATACTATTGATCACGTCGCAGTGACTGGATTTGCTAGTGATTTGGTAACCCTACTATCCACAGTGGCAAGTGTAATGTGGAATGTGATAGTATTACATAAATATCAGCGCGATAATTTCTTTTTAGAATCTTTTGTCTTATTATTCTTTATTTGGTTTTCTTCGACGTGGTCCTTCGCCACTAGCCAACGGTGTATCCTGCAATTAAAAGAGAAGTTCACATTATCGTATTAACAAGAACTCGAAAGATTTAACATTGCGATTTTCACTATAATGCGCTTTACGTTTTGGTTGCTGACCTTATCGCTCTCCATCACTTCTTCCGTTCCAATTTCTTTATCTTCTATTTCCTCAATAATGGGCTCCTGATCCGAAAGGTCGAGATTGGAAGATTGCAATTCATCTTTCTCAATTTCCGCGAGATCGTCGTTTATGCTCAAGGGTTGTTTATCTTCGTCTTCTTTTAATTCCGACTTATCCTGGTATATTCGAAATGATATAGATTATATCTTTAACTATTGCTCGCTATACTTCTATTTAGTATTAACAATAAAAATAATAAGCAAGTAGTGTTATGCACAATGACAAGAATCTAGTGCACTTTACGAAATAACCAATGGGAAAATATGGCAACGATAACGACGTAAAATATAATTTTCACGATTTCAAGATATTTATGGAGATAAACTAGGTGGTACTCTCTCAACAGGAATGGAATGTGTAAGTGCGCATTTTAATTCCGTTATGCATAGATATTTATGTTGCAGTAATTTTTTACCTCATAGAAGCAGCAATAGTATATTAGCAGCACTACTGGGATCGCAACTACCAAAATATATACTGCCCATATCCACGGATGATCCGCGGTAAACGTCGCGATCCGATTCCATACGGTCCACTGTATCAGATAAATGCAAAATGTGTATATACAAGTCCTCTAGCATACGAATCATGATAAATATTTGGAACCACTTGTGATGTCGTAAATATGTGTACCTTTTTTCTTTCTTTTTACTCTGCGGATAGATACGTGGGGATTTTTGTATAAATAAAAACTAATATTACCCTACAATTATAGCCCAAGATTTGATCTACTGTAAAATAAGTATTATACGACCGATTTAAATATATGTAACATATATGTTATTAGTTCTTGTATATGCGATAATATATTTTAATCCAGGAACACTGGAGTAGGTAAACTTAGTTTTTAATACCTTGGGCCATCGATGGCCCACATTGAAATTTCTGTTTATGCCGTTTCATATTTTGGCTCTAAAACCAAATAAGATGGAATATTTTGGTAATTATTATGAGGCACATTTTATTTGACAAACAAAACTTGGCTTACGCGGTATGGAGACAAGACACGTAAAACTATTTCAGCATGATACGTGTTAATTTTATACGAGATAAATGAATAATAAAATTAAATTAAGGAAGAGGAACAAGAAAAAAACGTCAATTCTTTCGCAGGGAAGCTAGAAATGTGTAAATTTTTCGCATCTTTTAACAAATTGCTCCAGTATCTCAGGATTAATATATTACTAAGTGGATTAAAATATACTACTAAGTGAGTGCTTCTTCAATATCTTTTATATTTTACATTAGACCACTACGTGAGTGTTGTACCTCGCGACATCGCTTGTACAGATACCAGATGTAAGCTACAACTGGTATCGCACAATATACGAAATACAGTGCCCACCAGCCTGGCTTATAATTCATTGCTCTCATCATTCGACCCCATAAAGAATCCTGCGTATCACAATTCGCACGAAGATGAAGAGTTTGTTGCGAATTTTGATCTTGATAAGATGCTTGATAAGCCGCCTTGCGCTTGTTTTCAGCATTTGTGACAAAGAGATACAGTCTAAATGGCAATTGAAAAGACACTTACGCTCTCTTCGGCGATTTTAACACGTCGAATCTCGAAGGTATCGTCCGACCATTTCCTGGCGACTCCCTCATCATCCGTTATGATAAGATTATCGAAATATATGTCGAGTGACATCGACCATAACTCAAAACCGACAGCATTCTGAAACAGTTTCGTGTTGAGCATCGCAGAAATTGTACCCCTCAAGATCTTCTATTCTCACGTGTTAAAGAAAAAGAGGAACGAAAGAGCAGAGAGGTGAAAGATGCAACAATTCATTATCGGCTACATACAATCGGCAACATCTTGAACGGATGTTCGTCGTTGAAGTAATCGGGGTTGTGTACGAGTCTCGGCTTCCACTTTCCTTTGTAATTGGGATTGTTGATGAGCGGTGCCAACCATTTTCCCTTATATCGCGGATTCTTCTTCATTTTCTGCTTGTACGGTCCGCAACCAGGGACGTCAGCGCACTTCGGGTTCGGTATTTCCGGTACCTCCCACTCGCCGTCCATTACGTCGTCCCAGTCGTCGGGTTTGATCGAATCCGGATTCGGTATCGTCGGCGGCTCGTCCTCGAGCCATCCCTCTGGCATAACATCCGTCTCATCGACAATTTGCACCGGTGCATCCTCATCCCAGTCCTCCGGCTTGATCGCCAACGGATCAGGAATCTTTTCCCTGTCGTCCCAGTCTTCGGGTTGCTTGTCATCGGGATCCTCTATCTCTAGAGGCGGATTTACCGGTGGAACGAAATCATCCAGCAACGAGCCTGAATTTAATACTTTATTGTCCACTCTTATCTCATAACTGTTATCAGGCCGTATGATCAGGGTGTACAGATGCGGATTTTTATCTTTGAAGTAGTCTTCTAACCGATCTTTCGATTTCTTACAGTGTTTCTCCGTGATTGTACCATTCAGTGGATTCTTGTGTCGGAATATAAAATGCAGCTAAACGTGAAAAAAAGAAGCACGAGCTCTGTATATACGTGTGAGGTGGGAATAAACATGCAAATATTTTCCTAACATTAAAACTTAATTAACCAAGCTTCGAATCCAACTTGCTTTTTATCTCTCATTAATATGATACAATAAAACAGAAGAAAAAGCAAAACATATTTTATATCAATAGTTTTGTATCTAAGAACTTGAAAAAAAAAAAAATAATACCTTATGATCGTTGCCACATTTATCAGGCCCAAACATTATGGTATATGGTGTTTTATCATGAAACTGCTTCAAGCTGCTATGTTTATCATCTAAAGTGAGCAACTTAAGATAGGCACCACCACATTCCTGTCCTTCTTGAAAATTAACTTCATATTGTACAATGAAAGGCTTGTCTTTAAAATAAAACGGCTTAGTTAATAAAGTAGAAACGGCAGCGTGTCTAGCTTTGCTTTTAAGCACTAGTCCGAAATCTCCATTTTCAGCATGTCTTTTCAGTTCTTCGATGGACCAAATTCCTAATTAATAGCGGGAAAGAAAATAAAATTAGATAATGAATATTTATTTGATACTTTAATCAACTCAATCTGTATAAACTAGTATGCAACAAATAAAAGAGTAAATTAAAACATTTTACCATCGTATTTTGAGATATCCTCGTCGATATCATCCTTCTTTGCTTCTGATAATACCCATGTGTCCTTAAACCTTTCTTCATTGTCAAAATGCTCTGCTAAGTAAGCAAAGCCGGAAGGTTCTGGACTTTTATAAGGTGGCTTCTGTGTTGCATCACTGACATTGTTGTCGTGATTTTCATCTGCATTTAGTATATTACAACATATACTTAAATAAACTAATACAATACACGCTACGAATCTTGCCATTTCATATTCCTGAAATAAGAACGAAGATATTAGCCTAATATCTTAGTCCTCCCAAAAGAAGGATCAAGTTTTCCACGATAAGATGAAAGTAACGTTCATGTTTGACACATTAGTGTTAACATTCCCAAAATGGACAATGTGGAAAATGTTGCAAAATTGAAAAATTTAACCTCGATATGCGTCATATATATATATACATATATACATATATATATATATATATACGTATACACATTCGCGGTAGTACCGTAACATGAACAGAATTGACACGTTAATATTAACTTTTTACATGTCCAATTAAGTCAGCATTAAATTATTGTGAGATGATATACCGTCTAGAAAAATATATTAATAAATGAGATGATATACCGTCTAGAAAAATATATATAATAATACTTGCTTACCGGTGACGTCGAATCACTCCCGAATTGCGGGTCTTGTGAATAAATCGGTACGTATAAAAGCCACACCGCGAAAAACTGAAGCACGCGTGTATTATTTAATTATTTAATAACGGTAATCTAATCTATTTACACACGTATGTAAGTGATACATCGAGCGAGGCGTTCTGAGGAGGAAGCATCAAGTCTGAAAGTTGCCTAGACTGTGCTACTTACGAAACAAAAAGTGTCGCCCGGCCCGCCGTCGAGTAGTAAAACTGGGAAATAAAAAAGGAGTTTATTCAGTCGTTGAGTCGTGCTACTCAATATTGGCTTTTCGCACGATTTCCCACTAAACAGCGCCACTGCCCGTATTCTATAAAGCCCGTATCAGACTACGGCTTGGGGATTAAGGTTGAACTGAATTTGACCAATCAGTGCAAATTGAATTCAAATTTAGTGAAATTTTATAAACTTTACACCGATTTCAAATTTCAATTCAATCTCAGTCTCTAATCCGTAGTCTGATATGGGTTTAACTGTTAACGTAACGTTATCGATAGTATCGTTATATCGTCGTTGCGCAAGTATAACGTATGGCAAAAAAGCTGTGTAATGACACCATAGGTAATAATAAGTAGTAATAATATCGTTAAGAAGTTACAAAAAAATCGCATTGTTTGTAATACCAAAAGTAACTAAAAACTCCTAGAATCTTCCACTGTAGCGTAGGGTTTTGTAGAATCCCATCGCGCGGTACGTTCGAACCATGTTTCCACTACGAGATCTGGCTATTAAATAACGAGACTGCGAGCGCAGAAGTCGTCCTAGAGGGAAAGGGGGGGGGGAACGAATGCAGCGTTGGATAGGTGGAAGTGTCTACTATTCCAGTACGAAAACTCGTTTTTGTCGCTGTAGTAGTATTTTTTCTATAGAGGTTAGAAACGAACGTGTTTTTTTCTCGTGCCGATAACAATGTGTGACGAAAAACACGAGCAACGGATCAATGTGAAATTTCTCGTTAAATTAAAGAAAACTCCGACTGAGTGCTATAACTTGTTGAAAGAGGCCTATGGTGAGAATTCTCTATCTCGTGCGCGTGTTTTCGAATGGTATAAACGGTTTTCTGAAGGCCGAGAGAGCACCGAAGATGACCAACGTCCAGGTCGACCTGTCTCTGTTTCAACTCCGCAAACAGTGACCAAAATCAATGAAATTGTGCGCGGAGATCGTCGTATGAGCATTAGGATGATTGCTGAGACTGTAAACGCCGATAAAGAGACTGTCAGAAAAATTTTACATGACGAATTGAACATGAAGAAAGTCTGTGCGAAGTTGGTCCCAAAAAATTTGACCCCTGACCAAAAGTTCGTCCGTCAACAGGTCTGTTCAGATTTTCTTGAGAGGTTAGATGAAGAGCCTGAATTGATGGAAAACATCATCATTTGCGATGAAACCTGGATATTCCAATATGATGTTGAAACTAAGCGGCAATCCATGCACTGGAAAACTCCTGCATCCCCAAAATGAAAAAAGCGAGGATGTCGAAATAAAAATTTAAAGCCATGCTAATCGTTTTTTTCGACATCAACGGCATCGTGATGACTGAATGGGTTCCAGAGGGTCAAACTGTAAACCAAACTTACTATTTGAAAGTTTTGGCAACACTGCGAGAGCGAGTTCGTAAGAAACGGCCGGAGTTGTGGAAAAACAAATCGTGGATCTTGCACCAGGACGATGCACCTGCCCATAACGCGCTGTCTTTGAAGCGTTATTTAGCCGCTAGAGGCACTCCAGTGCTCGAACACGCGCCTTACTCGCCTGATTTAGCACCCTGTGACTTTTTCCTGTTTCCAAAGATAAAGTCTGTCTTAAAAGGAACCCGGTTCGAGTCGATGGAAGAGGTGAAGCGAAAATCGGCGGAGCTCCTAAATACACTTACAAAAGAAGACTTCCAGCATTGCTTTGACCAATGGAAAAAACGAATGGAACGGTGTGCGGCGAGGGGAGGGGAGTACATTGAAGGGGAGCATTCGATTGTAGAATAATTTTTAAAATAAAACTCTTTTTCATAAGCAGTCTCGTTATTTAGTAGCCAGACCTCGTATACTGCACGCTTTTTGAACACCTTTATACGTACGATTATTTTTTAAATACTGATAAATTCAAGTCCCGTTGGCATTGACGAAATATAATGTTACTAGTGACAATATCATTTCTCCGTTATGATGTCTATGTATTATCAGTTATTGGTAGACAGCACTTATTCAAACCCATCTATGTTCAAACCACGCGTGGACTCCATAATTGCACCTGAATGAATTGTTGGTGCATTATCTAAGCTCTTGATTAGGTAGATTTTAGGTTTTAGAAAAGGGCTTAGACAATGCGCCAACAATTTATTCAGATGCAATTTTAGAATCAACGCTTGCCTTCAATAAGTACTGTCTACAAATAATTGATAATATATAAAAGTCATAACGGAGAAATGATATTATCACTAGTAACATTAAATTTCGTCGATGTCAACGAGATTTGAATTTATCAGTATTGAAAAAGTATTTGTACATGTAAAAGTGTTCAGAAAGCTTACAGGACAGTGGAAATATGCCTCTTACATACCGGCCCCAGGAAACGTACCGATCCTAGGAAGAATATCGACTCTGATAACTTACCGCTCTCCGGAAACTTATCGACTCTGGTAATTTACGCTCTTCGGAAACTTATCGACTCTGGTAACTTATCGATTCTCGAAAACTTATCGACCTCAAGAAATTTAACTTACCCACTATTGATCAGTTATCATTGTGTTATCCACTCTTACCGACACAAATTGACGCAATGAAGTTCTAACATTGAACGGCAGTGTCGCTCTCTCATATTGACATTTGGGGAACTTCGTAATTTGTTGTGGACGCTATGTCTGAGACTGTAACTGCTTCGCGAAAGTCGTGAAAAATATAAAATTGTCTACAAACTAGTCGTCCGAGTCGAAGGTGAGGGTACAGCATGTTTTCTCACTTCGACTTTTTGCACCAGTTCAGCAATGCAGCCAAAAAGAACAGGCTAAACGTCGAACTTTGTGCGTACCTTCGCTGTAGAGTTGCTTTGGTGAAAATCAGCGGAGTAGGGGTAATACGCTGGCTTTTCTTCGCTGCATGAAATTGTACCTTTAGATCCATGAGCAAATCGAAAACGCGAATAGTTGAGTGGTTGTTTTGTGATCTGTCGAATTTGCGCTTCGAGTATTGGAACATGTCATCCCTCAATTCGGCCGTAAAAGTTCCTACGAATGTAGAATCTGTGAATAGAATGCAATTTCCTGAAATAATTGATGGTAAAATAAATACTGGAGAGTTTCTGCAAGCCGCACGTGATGTCGTTGAGACAATTCGTACGTATTCATCTCCGATTTTAACCTCAAATTATTCAGTAGCTCAAGGATAAACGTCGCTTAAAGTTGAACATTTTCTCTTAATACATTGCGGACCAGACATTTTATTGCTAACCGTACCCAGTAGCCGGGTATGTTTTCGCCTCTAACGACGCAATATGAAATACGAGATATCTCGTCATCCGGTCCCTAACGACGAAATAAGAAAGACGAGATATCTCGTCATCCGTCCGCAATGTGTCAATAAATATATTATGATTCGCAAGTGTGGAGAACCAATGTATGTTTCAGATAAATTAGGTAAATTGTTTGCTCCTGTACGATACGATATGCAAGGCAATATCGATGTAAGTAAACATTGTACAGTTAATATTAATGGATATTTAATTTTTTCTAGAATTAATTGTATGTACATTCCTGTCTTAATTACAGAAACTCACAACCAAATATTCTATGGATAAAGAAAGCAATTCAAATTTACAAGACATGATTTTGCGTGAAAAATCTACTGAGAAAGATCTTGTTGCACTTGATGCTTTAATGTGGTTAAGAAGGTATTAATTAAAGCATATATATATTGTCTTTTACATGTGTATATGTTTAATGGTTCTTTTAAAATTTATCAATATTCTTCAGAGCCTTACATATGATTTTGTTGTTTTTTGAAAAAATTGTGGAAGACCATAAAGCAGGAAAAGCAACAGAAGATTTAGTTGCTTTTCTAAAAGAGGCGTATCATGAAACCTTAGAACCTTATCACGGTTGGATGGCGCAACAATTATTTAGTGTAAGTATAAATTTCATTTAATGTTCAAACTCTTGACTATTTATTATAATTGTCCTTATTTAGTCAGAAGTCAAAAAACGCAAGATTTCTGGCATTATATTTTCAAATAAAAAGACTATCTACAAAATAACACTTGCAATCAATTTAGCATATTTATAAAATTTTTCAAACACTTGAACAATAATCATTAAATTAATATTGACAAAATCATAAAAAAATAAGTTACGATCAAACTGATTTTTCGACTATTGATTATCTATATAAAAGGAAAATGTTCAACCAATTTTACAAACGAAACGAATGTCATTTTATGGATATATCTTTTTATACATGAATGTGTAATGCAAGAATTCTTGTGACACGTGTTTGCTTGCTTCTAACGTCACTAAACAAGAACAGTCAAGCATTTAGGAGCCTTAATAGGTAATTCGCGATCAAATTATAACACATATGACAGAGATGTCATGATATTTACATTATGTCTAAATGTTAACATTATTACAGTTCTTATCACGTATGGCACCAACTCGGTCGCAAGTCTTATTAGCATTAGCAGATGGAGAGACAGGAAAAGAGGAAATTACTTTACAGAATGTAGAAATTTCCATAATAAATCTAAAGAAAAACATAATAACATTAAAGGCATTTTATGATGACAATAATCTTGAAATTGCTACTGTGGTGTAACAAAGTATATTAGAGTGCGACAAAATGCTCTCATTATAAAAGGTATGTCTCCGCTATAAAAAAGAAAAATTAACAGAAAACATACATTAATAAATTACATCGGAGGACACTCCGGATAAGTTTGCTCAAAGATACGTCGGAAGTCTAGAAGATATATAAATTATATGAACTCTACAATCAAGATCACGATCAGATGATGATTGGAGAGATGCGACGAAGTAAAAAAGGAAAAACTCAAAAGTGGCTGGACGTGCTTCTGCGAATATGGTCGGTGGAAAAGAATGAATAGAGCCAATGTTTTCCTATTTGTTAAGTCTACTGCTGTCGACTACTACTCTAGTAGTAATATCAAACAATATTCCGATGTTATAACTATGGAAATATATTAGTGTTCTTAATACGTGAGATGCGAACTTTTGCTTTCTCTTGATGTGAAAACTTTGTGGTGTATAATAGCTGGTATCGAAAGCGCAGGCAGATGAGGTAATTATAAAACAACTCGTTTCTTCGCGGAATTGACGAAGTTTTATCGTGCACAAAAGAGAAGGATGTCATCTGGGATAATATCGTGTAAGCCACCGATCTACTATCGCTGTCCAGCCGACGTTCTTCTGCCATCTTTTGTACATTCTTAACGCCCCTTTGTAATATCGCAGAAGATATAACGAGCAATAAAACCAGCACTGTAAAACGCCAACGTCGGTCTCGATCAGCCGTGGTTGTACAAAATGATCGGTGAATCAAGCAGGAACTTTTCTGTCCAAAATAACTTCTAATTTAAAAACTAATCGATCGACCCGGTCGCTTTTTTTCAGTATTTTCAATATCGGGAATATGTTCGTTATTATTAGGATATTACGTCTAAAGATATGTCCAGAATATTTCTTTATACTAAATAATATTGTATGCTTATAAGATATCCATGCGCAAACAAATTTTATGCAGAGCCTGCCACAAGTTTTTGATGCCAGAAAAATAACCAGATAAATAATTCAACACAGAATCCGTTTTATATCGCTGATTATATTGCCAAACCGGCGTCAGCAATGCGACAGAAGATGTTGAGAGGTAATAGATTGGCGGAAGAAACCTTGTTGCACGCAGTTTGGCGGCAGGATTTGGCCGGTTTCTATCCGGTTGTGTGTGCAGACTCTGTCGGCAGAATACAAGCTGAATGCAGACGCAGTTAATGCCAGTCTGCTGACATCAAACCTGTTGCCAATCTGCCGACACACCGCTAACATTTTGCTTGCGCGAATTCTACCGCATTCATAAAATATCCGATTTGACTATACCGGAATTAAGAACATTCATATTTCACAAGAACATTAATCGAACATCTTGTATTATCTTGCTATTGTGATTTTCCGTTGCAAGATATAAGAAAGGAGATAGTATAGAAATCATTCCGCTATAATAAAGAGAGAGATTCGATTAGACAAGTTTTATTGATGAGATAAGGGAGGGATTGAAGCATGACGTGCGTGTAATAACACGCGTGCTTTGTTGTTATCAAATTGCATACGTGCGAAACGCACGTCAGCCCGCACGTGAGAATGGTTGCGCAACGATTAATTTATTATTTGTGTTTATGTCCGTTAATCGTATTTGCGCGGTGGCGTCTGGCTGGTTAGAAGAGACTGCGTAATCCCGCCGTCGCCAAACGCCAAACAAAAGCTGTCGAGCCGATAAATAAACTCGATGGGAGATTATTGCGCGCGATAAGGCAATTCACGGATCTCATTTCAGGATATGCGAGAATCGTCCGTTAAGTACCGATCGTAATAATTAGTGTCCGATTTCGCAATAAGCCCGCCGAATCGTTTGCACACCTTCGGAACCAAACCAACTTCCGACACGCCGTGCCGGATTTATTTAGGTATAAAATAATAATGCCGTGAAGTAAAGCGCACAAACCGGTTTTACAAATCTCGTTCGAGTGAGTAGAAAAGCAAACGCAGAGGGAATCTGACGTGTTTACCTCGAATCTAACGGTTACGATCGTTAAAAATAGAAGCGAAATTTGAAGTCGGCTTTTGATAAGTTCAGGATCGGCCGGAAAATTGTGATTTAATTGACTTTGAATTTCTATCTTTGTGTTGGATCACCGCGCGATATCGTACCGCCGTTACGATAAAACAGCAGCTTGACAATATTTGATTACGTTGACATCTGTGCTTTTATTGTTATCGGCAATTTTTTCGTCAGGAAACCGTACAGAATGATTGCAATTTATCTCCCGGCAGGGAACAAACAGGTGCCGGATCATAATAAGGATGTCGGGAAATAGTCTTACTCGGAAATTTCCTCCGACAGCATTTTATTGCACTCTTTCGCGTGTAATTAATAATATATGTACATATAATATATGGGTGCTCAGCATGATTATAACTTAATTTTTACGTTACTTCATCTTGACTAGTCATGAGATTTCCTGCCATCATTCGAAGTGAGCATCCTGCAAGGAAAAAAAAGTCGGGAAATCACTGCGTCGCTCTATTTTCGACAATTTCATAAACGTTCGTTTTAAATAATATAACGAATGAAAATAAACTTACATATTTCATGTACGACAGAAAAATATCGTAGACCATGGTCATAGCGTTTGTGTAAAGTACTCGATAATGCAACGGCACGAAGAGGAAATTAATGCACTGCGTGGGAGGCCAGAAACAACAATCGACCTTATCGAAACAAATTTCAAAACAAATTATTCTTACACATGGTACTGCAGGAGAAACATTTTGGCAAAACTTTTCGTCATCTCTCCGGATTTAAAAGTACGCTTTTTTCATCATTTACTTAAATATGTGTATCAATACATGGAACTTCCACATACTTTCCATGTAGCACAAAACTTCGTCTTCAACTCCTGGCAGATCTCCTCGATCCTGCGACGTTCCAGGACCCCGAGACCGACGAAGAATATCGTCAGACATGTGGGACTCGCGATCGTCTGGTCGAGAAGCGTTTTCTTGATAACTGACCTCGCGCCCTTACCCGGGAAGACTCTGTCCAAGAACATATAGAACCAATGGTGAAACGGGCCCTGCAGCAACCCTACAACTGCCATGTTCCTCGTCCTCATATAATCGTGCCCGTACACGGGATCGCCAGAAACTGCTGTTGTTTTCTCTCCTTCCTCCAACGACGCTGCTATGACACTACTCAAGAAGTATTTTTGAGAACAGTGTTTCCTCCAATGTTCATTACGCTGCTGGATCGCATCGCCCGCTGCCATCATCAAGCCACAGCTCACAGTGTTGGTGATAAACAGGTATTTACCTGGATATATACATATATATAAATATATAAGATCATAAGAGACACACGAAAAGAATACTGCATGATAAAAACGCTTATAGCTGTAACTTTGAAGTGAGACACACTTACCAAATAACAACTTGCGCAGAAAGCTCATTTTTAAAGAACTATGTTACAAAATAAGAATTCGGTCGAATAACAATAATCGCGTAACAATATCGCAATAAATAACAGATTGCCCGAAGTGAAAATGTTTCTCTCTTTATTTAATCTCGAATGATTCTTGATCCTTCGGTGCTTGTGAAGTCGATACGTTAGTTGGATGTTGTTACGTGACATAACTTTCAAACTGAAAGCAAATGGGACGTTCCTCGAGCGCGGTGTCTCGTCGGACACCTAAACATTGCACGATGCAACCACACCGATCGTGAGAGTTGTCATCGTGCATCGAGAGTCGCAAGTTACTGTTTAACGAACTCGGAAGCCCGCTAAATATACGGGACGCCGCGGGACAATCAAATGTTCCGCCGTTGCGCAGTGCGAACAATGCATCTTATCTTTCCTATCGCGGATTTTTTTCGAATTTCCTTCACAGATCGGATAATAATGCAATAAGGAATAATACATGTTTTATCGAGAGCTAATCTTACATGTTTATAACGCATAACAGGATCTTCATGGAATACTAGGAAATCATATACATGTAGATTATCTTTACTCCAATATATTGTTACCTTAATAAGAATTAATCGCAATTCCACTTTTGTAAATCTGCCTAGTGCTGAGATTAAAATGATCAAATAATGATAACTTTAACCCCTTAACTTGTACGCTCGAGTTAATTCGAGCGCGCTAAACAGGCCAAACTGTGCACACTCGAGATAATTCGAGCGGCGTTGTATTTTATGCTGCTATAATTTTTCACACTCGAATATAATCGAGAATTGAAAATAACAATGTGAAAGCGAAGAAAACAATTTTTTTACATTAAAAAAAATTGATTTTTTTTGGCCGGTTTTTTTTTCAAAAAAACTGTGCGTTAAGGGGTTAATAAGAATCCAACAGCGGTAAAATTCAATATGCTAGTGTAAATATTGATTTCTAATTTTACAAAAAAATGTACGTAATGAACATTAACAATCGTTCTACAGAGCTGCAATAAATTCTCATTAAGTTGGCAATAATGTGGTATTTGGACCTTTGATTTTTATTAGTAGTCAAAATTGTATAACTTAATTACACAATGTTGTTTTACTTTGCCGCAACAGCTTTAGGTTTTGGCACGCCTTCTCTGAATCCATTCCTGTAAATATATATATATGTAGTCGTCAATATATACACATAATATCTATGAGTCGTGATAAAGATCAAATAATTAAAATAATTCAACGTGTGTGTGTGTGTAAATTCTTATTAAGCCAAAGATATAAAATTACTACTACTAAGACCTATTTCTTATTGTTTTACTACTCGTTAATTATTCTACAATTTATGCATTTAAAAAATAGTTTTGAATATTTACTTGAACTTGCGGCGAACAATCTTGAGGCAACGCATGCGGCCAGTACCAGTGGTCTTCCTCCTCTTGGCCTTAACCGACCAGTTATCTGTAAGATCATAAAATATGGATTAAATTAGAACTGAGAAAAATTTGCCTTTGTATAATATTCGAGTAGACATAAAACAGATAGTTCTTGATATGTGCTCGTTTTTATAGCAGTACAAAAGAGTAACTTACACGAACGCATCTTCTTTTTTGGGTAGCCACATTGAGCACATTGTGACTTCTGGATATGGTATGAGCTGTTACCACATCTCCTGCACAACGTGTGTGTCTTATTGCGCCGTTTACCAAAGCTGGATGTACCTTTCGTCTATGAACATTGAGAAACATTACAGTGAGCAAAACCTATCATGTGGATAGGTGACGATTTTAAAACAAAGAAAATCGTGACGCCAACCGATGCTAAGTGAAGCATTAATTTAGATTATAGTAATGAGCAATCGTACAAAAGGTAATCTACAAAGTGACTTCAACGTGTTAACACAAACAGTTATCATAACCTGCACACGTGTTTTACGAAGACATTATGCGAATCGATGTATCTTTCCTTCTCTACTATTCGGTCATAACGACTCCACGAAAGTTTAAGATATCATTTTTTAGTCAATAAATTGGTCAAAAGTTAAGATCGCTACGAAATAAAACGATTCGAATCAATCAAATCATACTTACCATTTTGCAGGACGAGCACTCCGAAGAAAGAGAAGAGCGGCGTTTCAGCACGTTCCCATGTTCAGTTAAAACTGGCCAATAGCATTGGAAACATCAACGACCTCTGCACTAAATGATGAGAAGCAACATCGCAACCAATTCAATATTATCTTTACTCGGATGATAACTAAATAAATTTGTAAAAAAAAAAAAAACTTGAAAATTGGGATTATTTTATACCACCATGGAGGAAATTGTATATTCATATAAATTTTATATCAATTTTTGATTGATTATGAATGCTTGATTCGTCGAGAATGGTTAATAAACAGATAGATGGGAATCGTTTTCTTTAAGAAAAATCAATCGCACGATCATATTTATCTTCTTTCCGTACATATGTTTTAGTGAGTTGTATAACAAAATCAAATCATAAGAATATGATTAAATTTCTATGAGTTTGTCGGCATCCGTGAGTACTTCGCGAGAATGCTGGCTACCAGACACCACAACGTGTTGAGCTCCGACCAAGCAATCCTTTAATTCAGTGCCTTCCTCGATAACACAACCATTACATAGTATGCAGTTGTGTACAACGCACCTGCAATTATAAATGTATATTCAATGAATGTAGAATTTCAGTAGGAAATGTAACATACTTATTCCAGACTCACCTTTGTTTAATAGTTACATTTCCCATTATCACGCTCTGAGATATCCTGGTCTTTGATTCCACCGTGCTATTAGGCCCAATATAACTATGTTTCAACGACGTTTTTTCTTGGATGTGCGAATTATTGTCTATACGACACTCCTGCACCTGTGTGCTATGTACAGTTGCTGTACTCGAAATATTTGGAATGGGTAATAACTGATCGTTATTCTTATTATCCCACCATTCTGATATCTGTATAAAATGATTTTTTTCACTTTTGATATATGTTTACATATAATAGATAATAATTGATATAATATATAATAGATAACATAAAATATAATAGTTGTGTGTGTGTGTGTGTGTGTGTGTAATACACATATGTATTCCTTTCTTTGTGTTACATAAAAAAATGTGCGATAAATCATATACCCAACCTTAGCGTTAGCAAGATGATACATTTGCACAGTATTTGCTCTAAGGCCAATATTTTTATTTGACACATAAGCATAACACCTTATTATATCCTCACAAAATGCTTCTTCCAAGTCGTTATTATGATCATTGAAAGCTGACCTTCTTTTTATTGAATTATCTAGGAATTCTTTATTTACAAAACGGAAAATATCTTGCTTCAAGTCCACTTGTACCATAGAAGTATTTTTTTCATCTATAGCCTCCTTATATTTAAATGATTGTTTACTAATTATATAAGGTAACAGTTCACCTTTCAATGTGCTAAAAGTCCTATAATACATTTTTACATGTGATTAAGAATTTGAAGAATTTTTTTTTATTTCAATAATAAGATTACTCACTTATTAAATACTGAGAAATCCAATACCCATTTACTAATGATATATAAATGGGCATCCAATAGTTTAGGATGAACAGTAAAGTTAGTGTCCTTCCTAAGAGTCCTCTGCGAAAAATTTATAATTTCCTCAAAATCAGAAGCAGACGCCAACAAAATCAATCGTTTTGTATCATTGTTAATACAAATTAAATCTGTTTCTGGTTTTTGCTTATTTTTTGGTCCTGGAGTTACAAAGTCATCTGGTATTTTTGGAATAGGTAACATCAGAGCAGTTACACTAGCCTTGTATGTTCTATACAAGTTTATAATATCTGATAGATCAATATCTGTGATCAGATCACAAGATATTACCACAACATCTGTAAATATCTTTTCATGGATGTGTCTGATGGAATCAGCTGTGCCAAAGTCCTCAGCTCCTGGAATTCCTATAATATCTAATTTAATCTTTAGACCTAATTTGTCTAATGACAATGATATATCAGACTTTGTTGTTTCGGAGACAACAACAATTGCTTCCTTAAATCCAAAACGTTCCAGAATTCGCAAGGGATACCAAATCATAGGAACATTTCCAATTGGAAGCAGACATTTGGGCTGAGCCGCCGTAAGTTCGGTCATACGAGAACCTTTTCCACCAGCAAGCACAATAGCTTGCAGTTCAACGTTGTGAGCCATTTGTATAATCTGTAATAAATAAAGCAAAACATAGTGTTCATCAAACCCCAAAACTTGTTGCAAATTTCAAAGAAACTATACCATATGACAAATCCTTTAACCTCAAAATAAGATTATTTTTAATTACTTTTCATTACACTTTTAGTTGCATTATTGAGAAAATATTTTGATTTTTTAAATTTTATTCTCTACATACTAAGAGGCATAAAATAGATAATATAAAATAAGAAATACTTCAAGATATAACTTGGTTCAGGGCATAAACAAACCTAACAAATGAAATCTCGCAAATAAATTTAAAATCACTATCGTAAAATTACTATCGTATACAAAGAACAATATAATCAGCAAGATAGAAGTAGGAAGCACATAAATAATATTACAGAGTTAAATAAAGTTTCTAAAATAATGATGTAAATTTCAAATATTCTTATCTATAACTTTGTTCTTTGTAGCTAAACTGGCCGCACTAACTCAGAAACCATACACTGAAGCGTTCTTTATAGCTAATGTGCACGCTGCAGTTTTCCACAGCAGCGCAGCGGAACCCAATGAACGAGTTCACTGAACTAGCTACCCCAGACTTGGGGTCAATGCAAGGACAGTTGAAACGATATTTTCGAATAAAAGTGCAATAAGTAACCTGTATTGTTAAGCCCGTATCCAGATTGAATCGAATTTGGCCAATCAGTACAAAATTAACTATGTAAACTCAAGTTTAGTGAAATTTAGTGAACTTTGATTGATCAAATTTCAATTCAATCCGTAGTCTGATACGGGCTTTATTGTATTTTCTTTCCAAAGCCCGTATCAGATTACGGATTGGGGATTGAGACTGTATTTAGCCAATCGGTACAAAGTTAACTGAATTCAAGTTTAGTAAAATTTAACGAACCTTGCACTGATTGGTCAAATTTCAATTCAAACTCTAATCCGTAGTCTGACATGACGGTCTTATCAGACTACGGATCTAATGGTTCTGCCCACAGTAGAGTTGAACAGTATTGATACAGAGGGAAATAGGGATTTCTTTCCCAGAAAAATAGAATTTTCCCCCGCAATTTCTGGAGAAAAACCTTATTTTTTCTAGGGGGAAACTCTATCTCCCTATGTATCATACTGTTTCGTTCAACTCTAGACCACAGGACGCGGCAACGCTTGTGGAAGTTCGCGTGGTAACCAATCAACATGCCGTTTTTCGATAAAAACTATAAGTTTATTGGCTACCGCACGAACTTCCGCCGCGCGGCAAGCGTTTCCGCGTCCTGTGGACGGAAACCATATTGCTGATCAGCCCATTGTGTATCTCACTATAGTTAGCAGCACTGAGTATCCTCGTTCCTTTTCACGTCGGTTGATTCAAGCGTACTTGGTGCTGTTGTAAATAAATTACAGATCGCAGGTAATTTTCCTTCATAAGAGCCATCGGATTTTAATTAACAGTATAAGCAACCTTTTAAATCCTTTTGCATTTTCGAGCAGTGGTATTTTGTAATTAGGACTAAGTTCTCGTGAGATATTTACATCTGAAGTGACCGAATATCACATCGCTTGTAATTACAGTTGTTTTCGTTTCAATAAAATAAGGGATGCTTTGCGTGGACAAAAAAATTCAACATTTATACTGGCATAATTGTTACACTTTCATATCATGTAAAATAATCGAGTAATCGTGATCACGTATTTACTGATCTTGTCAAAAAATTAGGTTAGGTTCTACTATAAGAAACTTGATTCAAAAATATATATGCACAGATATGTAATGATAAGTTCATAAGTATTTACAAAAATTCCCGGAAGAGTTTAGAGTTTTCTAAGATAATTATATTGATAATATGTTCCCGTTATGGATGTATGAACATAGCTGATATTCATTAAGTTACTTTTCAGCAATGGTGCGTATGAATGTTTTAAGCGATGCTCTGAAATCCATTAATAATGCCGAGAAACGCGGCAAACGGCAGGTGTTGTTGAGACCCTGCTCTAAAGTAATTGTTAAATTCCTCACCGTCATGATGAAACATGGTAAGTATATTTAACTTATATTTTCATATATGCAAAATGTTTCAGGTCATTTATTTTATGTATCTCATATTGAATTTTGTCAAGATATTATCTCTGTTTTACAATCTTAAAAATTTGTAATACCACACATTCTGATATAATCAAACATTAATAAAAATATTCTCAAGATACTCTGCTTAAACTTGAAGAATGAACTTTTGTTCCAGTTGAATTTGTAATTTTAAGTAAATATTTTTACTATATTCAGGTTACATTGGAGAATTTGAGATTGTCGATGATCATCGTAGTGGGAAAGTAGTAGTTAATCTTACCGGAAGGTTAAACAAATGTGGTGTTATCTCGCCTAGATTTGATGTACCCATCAATGACATTGAGAAATGGACCAACAATCTTCTCCCTTCTCGACAATTTGGGTAAGCGTTTATTATATAATAAGCAGAAAATGGCATAAAGAACTTTATGAAAAATTGCATGGTTCGAGGGAAGAAAAGAATGGGTTCACTCAAGTCTGTTGCTACTGTAGTTTTTACTGTAATCCCCTATATTTCAATATATAAATTCCTCCGAAATAGCAATACATATATTTGACTTTCAGTTTTGTCGTGCTGACCACCAGTGGAGGAATCATGGATCATGAAGAAGCAAGGAGGAAGCATCTGGGAGGGAAAATACTTGGATTTTTCTTCTAAATTTTTTAATTAAATGAATATATAACAAAATAGTATTTGTCTGTTTTCTTCGCGCTAACCTATATTCGAATATATAAGATAATATTTTAGGCTTCCGCAGTGTGAATGAATACTTGATTTAGCTTCTGAGTTAGTGTGGCGTCTCATGGATTTGCTTCCGATATTTTGTGAACATTCACGAAACTTCGGACAAATATAGATTTTCATAAAGTTCTTTGTTCCATTTTAAAAATTAAATTGTTTACTCTTACAGGAATTGACAACAAATATATAAAAAATTAGATATTTGTCACACAAGTACTCCGGAAAAGTACAATGGGTATACTTTCCATTTAACGACGAAAGTATCATCCTATCTTTGCTGGGTCCCGCGCACAATAAAACATATATTAAAGTCCGGTTTCACCAACACGAGTTAATCAAATCAGTCAATTAAATTCAATTTATCCATTGGAACATTTCTTCTTTTTATTCAACAATTAATATAATTAAACAAAGCGCGTAACTCTCTATTATCAAGTGAGTCATGTGCGAAGTGTGTCCTATTAGAGTACAGTACAAGTTTATCCAGTTGATGGCGCTGAGTGCGCATCGAACAAGCCAAATAATGGTTTTCTATTATGTCCAACTGTGATTTGTCATATCTTTTATCTTTGAAACGAAACGAGTTATAACTAATCTTTGTATTGTTGAAATACGGTTATTCCTGACATGGCTAAGACCAAAACGATCAGCAAAGGTTGTCCCAAGTGTGAGCAGCAGGTATTTAGTTACGTTTCGTCATATTTTACATATACCTATTTTATATACATTTTTGAATGATTCATACTCAAATTATATGCTATTTATGTGTAATTTATATGTCATATGCTCAGACTTTTACGAATAAATGTCCTTTATTTTACAAAAATATTAACGTTTAAATGTATTTCGTATTTAGAATACGATTAATTATAAAAAGGAAAGACAATAAAAATTGAGTTATTCAGAAAGAAGTGTTACGAAAAATGTGTATGTAGGTCATGAAGCTCATACATATGTGCATATAAAAGAGAAGTACATCTTGAAATTTGAGTTTGAAGAATAAACATTCAATGTCACCGTAGTTTTAAATCGTGTTTGTATTTAAGTTTTTAATGTATATGAGACATATCATGAGATATATATGTGAGACATATTGTTTCATTGTATAATATATGCTAGTTTATAATATTCCTAAATTTAGTAATTTTGTTTATAAGGTACCCGTTGCCTGTAAAGCTTGCCCTTGTGGACACTCCTTCTTTAATGCAAGACGTAATTCCATAAAGAGTCCACCTAGTCCTGACAGTGGTGTAATGAAGACAAGACGAACAAATCGAATTAAACGCGAAAAGCCAAATTATTATGATGCTTTGGAATATGATAAGCAGACTAAGAAAAGTGCCAAAGTAATATATATCGAAAATTTTATGAACAAAATATCTTTAGAAAACAAAATGTAATATTTAACATTAACTTTGTTTAATATATAGTTCTAATGGAAGCTATAATACTGTTTATTTTTCTTCTAAGACAGTATATTTCAATAGCACTTGTACAAAATAATAATATAATGTATGATAAAGCATCTTATATACCATGAATGCTTAAAAGTTTGCTGCTTTGTTATCTTAGATCAGAAGGACTACCGATGTTGCAAATGATATTGATTGTCGACAGTTGAATAAGAAGAAGAAACGGAAAGGAAAGGGAAAAGGCAAGAATGGCAGCAGCAGTGGTATGGGCGACGACGACGACGAGATGGAAGGCATTAATGGGCTATCACCGGAGAAACAGCTCACATGTTCACTCATATTGCAAGAGCTGAACAATAAAATGAAAGTGGTAGCTTGGAAACCTACGTAAAGCATAGATATGTCCCTTGGACAATTTATACTTTGTACATATTAATTTTATTAGTATTTTTTTAAGAGTCATGAACTCACATATATATATATATATATATTAAAGATTACATTTTAGTAGCCAAAACTTGTACATACGATGTAAATAGCATGCAACGCGAGAGAGAGAGATATATATATATATATATATATATATATATATATATATATATATAGTCTATGTTACAAGGATAGTATGTAAGAAAATAAATGCAAAGTCAATTTTTAAATTTTATAGATGTTCAATGTGTTTCAGGAAGAGTCGTATATAAGAAAATAAACGAGGAATCAGTTTCTAGAGTTGACTTTACACATGTTTAAGCAATTCTCGAATATTGTAATAATTTCTGTAATAGAGACAATAACTATGTGTGGCTAAGAAGACTGTGTTTTAAAAGAAATGCATTTAAAATTGCTACTTTTGCACATAGTCCATCGTATAAATTTATTTTATCATTTTAGAAGTTCATTGACTATAAATCAAAGTTTTAGATGCATTTTTTTTCTATCAATCGCCGTTTAGAATGTCGAATTTATGTGATAGAAAATCTCGCTGATTATAAAGCGAACAAGCCATTTCGAATATTGTAAAGGGAAGTTTTTTAACTCGAGTTAGCGATTTTTTTAAAACATTCCTCAATTACACTATCTTTTTTTATAAATTACGTAATCTCTTTCGATTTAAAAACTTTTTTACAAGCTAATAAATAATCTTAAAGGGAAAAGGTTTTTCTGGAATGTTTCTTTTTTCCTCCTGCAATTTTTATTATGTCAAATAGTTGAATAGTTTAATCGTGTAATTTTTATAACCTATATATATATATATATATATATGTATGTATATATGTATGTATAATATTATAAATATTTGATAGCGAAGAAATTGTATAGCGGTTCAAGAGGTAACAGTCGATCTTGGGAAAATTCAGTAAGCATATCATGGCGTTTTGTGACAACTGTTGTGATTTATTTATCTCCCTATTACACATTAGATTATATCACTCTTCGTTAACGATCACATTTTCAAAATAATTTACTCTTTCACGGTAGTGTCCCTCTGACGATTGTTATTCTCGGCGCTTACGGGCAGCTTTGTTGTCGAATTTGACGCCTCGTTGAAGACCAACAGCAGAGGCAGACCTCCTATGACCATACACGTGCCCATACATAGAAAACACACGGTGTAACTTCCGGTTACGTCGCGCAGGTAACCTGGAACAAACATATCACCGCACTATTGCACAATTGGTATAGGATAGGTAGATTCTATATAGAATATTATCGATTAGTATTGATTACGAGATACACGTGATAATAACGAGAAATGACTTGAAAAGTTTTGAGGAACTTGTTTATCGTATGCGAATACAATTCTTGATAGGAAATTATATAACCTTGTAGGAACACATTCTCCCTTTTGAGGCGCAAAATATATTGAAAATTCAGAATTCATATTTGCTGTGCTCGAGGAAAGGCGTGGCTTCAGAGCGTTGTAAAATACAATTTATAAATAACAAAGCTGCAACGCGTACCCTCATTTCCCCGTGCGCCCGATGAAGCGTCAGCCTTTCCCAGTTATGTACAGCACAGGCGTATATAATGTGCACGAGTCGCCCTTTACGGAAAGCGCTTTTCTATTATCTATCAGAGTTAAGGCTCCTGACCCGAAGCGTATCGTGACGTCAGAAGCGAGAAATCGTATCTTTCTTTCTTATGTTAAAAGCCATACGCGCTACTGCGCGCTCACTTTATATTTAAGTCGGGATTTTGAATAAAAGAACAATCAAGAAGATGCATCTTAAGCGCGCTATATCGTACATTAGCGAAGCAACTTCTTTCGTAACAACATTATGGAAACATTTGTACGTGTGATTTTGATAAGAATATATTATTACAAATTTTACAAGTGATTGTGTGGAAATATTGTTTACGACAAAGAAAAGATGGCGGCACCACCAGATATATATAATCGTAAACTATGTTCGGCCACCTGAAATCAAAAGCGTACCTGCGAGAGGTGGAATAGAGATCGCGCCGACGCTTTGGAACATCCTCACAAGACCATAGCTGGACGATATCTTGTCGGTTCCGTACTGGTCAGCGAGCAGGACGGGAACTAGGAGGAACCAACAACCCAGGCATAGTCCGTACATGCCAACGGAACACGCCAGCACATAAAAGGAATGAGCCATCGGGATCGCCAGGACCGCCACGCCGGCACCAACTACGCTGCTCGTAGGAAAGTGAAACCGTATAAAAATCAATTAAGGACCAATAAGTACAATCGATTGGTCTTGGTCGATCAATCTGAGAACATTGACAGGAGTGATCCAGTTTTAAACGTTCGGATACATTGCTCGTATTATTCTTCAATATTAATTAATTAATTAATATTCTGAGGGAAAAAAATATTTAAGAAATATTTATTTAATGGGTTTAACTAATGACACATTTCCTTGTATCGGTATGCATATTTTTACACTGAGGAAGAAAATTAGATTTTTTTTTTTTAATCTGTAGTTTTATGTGAAAATTGTTATTTACTTGGATGAAAGAATTTAGATTTAAGTAAACATGTTATTAGCCGCTGTTGAAAATTTTCAGATGATTCCAACAGAAATCCGACGGAACTTATGTGAATCTGTATATTAAAAGTTCATATATAGGAATTCACGCGGAAAATTCATATAGGAATGCGAATTGTTACCTACACAGAAAAAAAATATTAGTCTTAAATCAAGAATAAATGTTCTCATATATATAAGCAAGAATATTATAATCTTAGAAGATTTTTAATCTTGAATTGAACTTAAATTGATGCAAGTATTACTTGCACTTCATTAAACACTAAAAATCCTCTAAGAATAATATTCTCACTTATATGAGAATGTCTATCGTTGATTTAAGACTATTTATTTCCGCGCCAAACCTGGATTTTTGGCACAAATCTCCCATGAGCAACCGTGGAATTTCGTGTGAATTCTGGTTTTTTTGAACCCCTATCGAAGAAATATCTTTATTTTTCGATATTTTTTCTCTCGTATATAATTGATTAATCTTTTCAACGATTATATTTGATTCGCTTATAATAGGGATAAGCTGTGCAGAATCGCGATGCTTACCTGCCGATGTATCCTTTCCGTCGGTCGAACAACTTAAGATCGGACAGCCAACCAAGACCAAGTCTGCCGCAGAGATCGAGGGCGGCGGAGATGGCCACCAGGTAGCCTGCCTCCGACTTGGTGTAGCCGGCAGCGTGCACATACGCTGGCAGATAATACAGCATATACGGGCTGCCGGTGGACATGAGACTGACGGAGAAGCACATCATGATGAACTGCGGGTTCTTCAATAGCGACAGATCGATGTAACGCGTCAGCCGTTGCATCAGGGTGACCTTGGACGAGTCAATGGACGATGCTGTTCGCGTCAATGACGACGACGACATCGGTGGGGGCGGCGATGGAGGTGGCGGCGGTGCCGGCTGTTGTTCCGGAGGGCCTACCGCCGTTGCAGATGATCTCAACGATCTCAGCGACGACCGGGCGGCTTTGTAGACGCACGTGGAATCCGTTGACAGGTCCTCGACGCTGTGCAGGATGCTGGAGCTGCGGATCTTGGAGATAGGTTTCATTCGCAGGCCCTCGCCCATCACGTCCTTTTCCTCGTCGCTGTCGGTCAGCTCGACCGCCACCACACCGCCGCCGTTTTGATGGAAAAGCTCGTTCAACATGTTGTGCCTGGTGGTCGGGTCATTGGCGAACAACAGATCCAGCTTCTGCTGCTTCGACTTCGTCGCGAAAAAACGTGAAAACGAAGGCGATCGATTAATTCTCAAGTTCACCGGGGTCCGTCCGGGCGACATTTAACCGAAATCGACGGAACCAGCATGCGTGTAACCTTTCGCACTCTTCATTTTATTTTTACAGCTTATCATATTATTTCAGATATTTTACTTTCTTTTTCAACCATGAGCGATCGCAATGTATCTCGCACGGATACACTAATTTTCTTATTACTTTTCTCCACTTCTTGAAACAATTTGCCTCAGCACTTGGCTAATAGACTATGCGCTGAAGTACATAAAAAAAAAAAGGTAAAAAAAACCGAAGGACAAATTGACAAGTATTAAGAGATGTCGTCTCTCGGTAAACGCCAATAAACTGTAACATCAATATTGTAGTTTCCCACTCAACAAGGTAAGTGCAATTATAACTCGTGTGTTGTGTAACAGTTGAAAATGTTGAAAATTATGTTACGTTATTGATGATTACTATTGCGACTAACTTAAAGACGAGCTCTACCTGCTCCTCCTTCTCCTCCCTCTGCTGGATCTTCTCCTCGTCGGGCGCGTAATTGTCGTCCAATGGCCGGTAGAGGGTCGCGCTCACGCACACGTGTAACATACAGCCGCCTAACAGCAAAATCGTACCGTGAAAGCCGAAGTCCTTCACCAGCAGCTCGATGAGGAGCGGAAACACGAAGCTACCGGCGGCGGTGCCGGACACGCAGATCCCGTTTGCCAAGGCGCGATGTTTGTCGAAGTACTGCGAAACCAGGATTATGCCCGGCGTCGTGGACAGACCGCCGCCGATACCTGCCGGGAGAGTATTCCTTTTAGTATCTTTCAAAAAGAGAATTTGGAATTAATCGGTGCAATATGAGGTATGTCATGGACGTAGCCAAGGAGGGCACTTGTCTCCTCCTTTTAAACGTTGGCAAGAAGAAACAATGTGAAAGTAACTTCGTGAAAGGAAATATCCCAGGTAGGACAGACAATGATGTCCAAGTAATGAGAAAATGATTTTGTAGCCATTTTCTCGTAATTTTGACGTTACTTTTCGCATTATTCATCTTCCGTTCAATCTGCAATCTATATTCTATTGAAAGCTACATGTTCTGTAATTAAAAACTAATGATAAAGCAATGCTTCATGAAAATAATGAAAATTTTTCAACTTCACCACCGGACGGCCCAACAAAGAGCACCGCTGAAAGATCTTTTAATAAATTGCGAAAACCTGGTTGCGGTCAACAAATCACCGCGCATGCTAAGTGTACGTAGAAAAATGGTGCTCGCGAAAAGAAACCTTACTGACCGGCTTTAATACAAGTATGCTGATTAGTTTTGTGTAAAAATGATTGAAATCGTGTTAATGAGATAAGATGAACGACCGACAGGAGAAGCCGTTGAGAACGGTCCGCCGTCAACCAACCTGTCAGCACTCCAAATGTAAAAAAGAGGTGTATCAATCGCGTGGCGAAGTAACTAGTTGTGAGTCCGAGGGCGCAGAAAAGTCCCCCCACGAAAACTACCGTCCGACAGCTGTACTTCTGGCAGAGCATACTCGTCACCGGAGCTGCGAACGGAACATCGATCGTTAGCGCGTCCCGATAAAGAGATTAACGATTAAATTAGCTCTCCTTTTCCCTCCAGCAATAAATAATCGGTCACCGCGCTTTTGTTGCGTCCAAAGTATCTTTCCAACTGAGACTCACAGATAGTGATGTTAAAGTAAAAAGATGTCGCATCGAACGAGAGAGGAGTGTAACAAAATCATTCGTATCTCTTGGAGCCCACTTCCCACAGCGAAGCTGTTCGTTTAGCAAATCTATTTTCTATCTTACTTGGGAGAGGAGGAAACGCGACGATTTCCCTTAATCCGACGTACATTCGCGCACCAATTAATAAAGCAGATCGTCGTGGCGACAACACTTTCGATCGATTCGAGACGACTGTTAACGACTCACCGAGCGCCAGACAGAGGCACGTCAGGATCGCCGGTATCCACGACGCCACCGAGGCGGACGAGTCTTTGAAGGTCTCCATGACCTCGACGTAGAGCACGCCGTAGGACTTGACCAGACCGGCGACCCAGAACTGCACGAAGAAGGCGCCGCACACGACCACCCAGCCGTAACCGCCGTCCAATGGCACGTACGTAGTGTTCCGCGGTTTCCTGATGTCGCTCCTCTGGGATTTTTTTCTCTTCGGGGCGGTGCATCTAGCGGACCTGTGGTGGAGGTCTTTATTCGAGTATGCGATCACAATCGCGAGTTGCAAATAGAAAACTAATCACGCTGATCGATAAACGAAGGCTATAATAGGGAACTTGAGGGAATAAACCACGGCTCGCTATCAAGCAAGGTGACTCGTTAATTATTTGCGTGTGTTCTGCCTAACGACGTTCTTCACGACAACATGAACCAGAGGAGCGGACGGTCCTCGCGAAGAAACATCCGTCACGTCACCGACCTGAGCTCTCGCGATTTCGCGATGAGCGGACGAGCGGTGAGGCTGGATATCGTCAGCAGGTTGTCGTTGTCGTCGTCGTCGTTGACGGTGCCCTCCGGGCTCTGCAGATGCGGCGGCACGATCGGCGTCGACGTCGCCGTCGCCTGCACCGCCAGCGAGGCCGGTCGCTTCGGCGACGGCGCCCCGGCGATGGCGCCGCCGCTCAGGTCGAACACCGGCGCCGAGTGGATGGAGAAGAGCGAACCCAGCTGGTTAGCCGGCTGATTCATGTTCTCGTCGATGATGGCGACGACGCCGCCGCCGACGACCATCTCCTGCGATGACGACACTGCAGTGATGGTGGTGGTGGTCGTGCGATCCAGGCCGAGGTCGACGTCGCGCACCTCGGCCAACGACGAACCGCCCTGACCCGGCCGGCATTGTGCCGTATCCTGGAAGCTCCATTCCCGCGGTAACGACATGTCTTTCTCTCGGCGGCGACTTCCTCGGTGGCACCGGGGGGACCGTAATACATTGGATTATGTTATTTACTTGAGTTTCGTTCGAGGTTTCACTTCTTCTTCTGCGGCTCTCTCTCTCTCTCTCTCTCTCTGGTTCAACGGGCGCCAGCTATCTCACTCAACTTGGTACCACCTGGTGCCCACCCGCTTCGCTTACTCCGTCCCTTCCCCGTTCGATGGATCCACCTTTGATAGAACGACAATAACGTCTACCCGTCGCGTTCCGAATCATACAACCCTCGTCCTACCTCCACGTCCTTCGTTCTCGTGTCTTCGGTGGGAGAAATCGCGGTGCCTTCTTGTACAAATTCCAAGATACCTCGCTGGCACTCGAGAGAGCGACGGTCGCGCAAGCTCTTCTCTCGGTAAAGGTCGCGAGAAAGGGTGCGCACGCAGTCGTCGAGGGCTGCCACTACGTGGAAATTCGCGGAGGGATCGATACGCCGTCGCTGGCAGCGCTGACGGCCATCTTCGCGGAAATCACCCGCGCCACGTAAAGACCACACACGCGAACGCCCCGCGGGAGGATATAGGGAGAGGGTGAAACTTCTCAACGAAGCGAGAATTCGCACGCTTAATGATATTGAAGACGGACGTATTCTTGAGAAATGAAAAAAGTCGTTAAGATAATCCTGACGAGATAAGTCACTATATTCGAGGTATCTCGCAATAGAATGTTGGCAGCGTTGGTTGCACTCAACGAACAAATTGCTCAGATAAACAAATTGGCGCTACAACTTTGCGTGAAAACGTTCCGTGATAAAATGAGAAAGTCACCTTAACTACGAAGATATGAAGAATATAAAGGACATCCGGCCGAATCTCGAGTGCACTGAAAAAATGACAGATTCACGCTATCTCAATATACAGGGTTTATACACCCGAATATCTTGAAGGCCTAAATATGGGGACCTTAAAAAAATCGAAAAGAATGACCGTGAAAACATTTTCCTTCCTCCTTCGAAACCATTAAAATTGTGCTCCTTGTATCATTAAAAATAAATATTTAAATGTTTTCCTTTATATCGGGACACCCTGTACAGCCACGTACACGTGGAGGCGCAAAGCTTCCCGATGAGGGAAAAAGCGATGAGTCACTATCCTTGAAACACCTCTTGCGCATATATCGGCAATTGGGCAAACTTTGATGGGTTTAGGAGAAAACTCGCTCACGACGGTCAAGACTCTCTCTCTCTCGGACGAATATTCGTTTGAGCAGATCACCCAAGAGAGTCATGCTTCATTGATTAACGCAACTATATTGATTATTACAAAACTCGCTGTCATTTGTTCCGCGAACTTGATCCTTCAAGCGTGCAAAAACGACCGCTTGTTTTGAAAAAGGTAATTTTTGCACGGGAAAAGATTGAGCGGACGAACAAATCTTTCGTTTGCGGAATTTCGCAATGCGGCTCGATTGTCTCTCCGCCGATGACCTTCGCGTCGATCGTTACGTCAACTAGCGTGTTCCGCGCGCGGCCCCAATTGCCGTAATTACCTGGTAACGGTAATCATAGAAAAAGTGCAGGGATGACTGTTTCGCGAGAGTTGCTGCAACCGGATATAGTACAATAAATTCGATGAACCGAAACGGTTCTGACGTAAAATTCTCAGCGAATAAAAGAAGGCAAATCGAAGGCCTAATAGACAGTTAGAAATGCAGGAATATGCATAAAGCTGAACCGAGACGATTATTCCTCGTCGAATTCCTCCACGAGGAATGGACGAACAATATGAAAGAAATGAATCAATTGAGAAAGAACAGCATTTACTCAGCGGTAACGTTAGACCGTTTGAATTTGGCGATTGTTCGATCAGAGGAGCTTTTGGCGGGGGTGGCTTCTGCGCGCAGCATCCGACTGGATCAATGACGAATTTGCGAGCACGTCCCACCGTTCGCTCCATCTCGAGCGCGCTCATTAGCACTTGGGCTGTTCCAAGATGCGCTTTCCTCGAATCAGTCTCGATGCGTGATATACGGTCGAGCTTGTTCATCCGTCTGAGAATATCTGGCTAGTGGAGAGAGGAGCAGGCGAGAGGACTCAGGCTGTTGATGTAACACGAAGGTGTATCGCAATTGACATATACGTGAGTGAAAACTGTTCAAACGCCTTAAATTGCACGCGAATTACACAATCGATTGCAATTATAAGGAAATTAATTGTTCAAGATTACTCCCTAGCACTTTTGATTTTTCAAGAGTTAATCACAGCTAAATGCGGTGTTAGGTCGTGTGTTGAATTTTTAGATTTTATTCGGATTATGAAGAAGGGCGGAGGCCCTTGACATACGATGATTCTTTTCAATTTCCAATAAACGAGATAAACTAACACGTTGACTGCCAGGCGCATTTTCCATGGTTTGCCCAAGGCGCCAACATGAATTTTTCATTATGCGATGCGATGCATATTATGTCGAAATATTATTTGCAGCAAATAAAGTGAGTTATAAAATCATGCTTGAAGCATTTTTCGTGCTGGAGGTCACCGGTGACCGCCACGACGCTGTAGACAATTTTTGCGATTGTCCCTCATTCAAACAGTCGTGCTTCGGTTGCTAAGCGGCTACTCTCATTATTTAGTCTTATTCAGTGCGTCCTACAAACAAGTAAGTGCGTTTGTTATATTTTTTCACTCTACATACGTTTTTGCATTTCATATTTTTCATTCAATTTTTTAATTAGCCCTTAAAAATATGGCTTCAAATGAAGATTATTCATCAAGTACATCATCTGACGGTGCAGTTTTACAAAGATCTTCAAAAATATTTCGACTGCTATCAGACAGCGAGGAAAGTTCATCGAGTAGTTCATCCGATATGATAAGAGCTTCCACGGTACGTCGGCGCCGAATTGAGTCTGACAATGAAACTAAAGCTGAAGAGAACGATAACAATGAAGATGATATACCAGCAGAGTTTGATGTGAATTGGCGTATTCCGTTAAGTAATAAAACGAACATCACATTTTCGGATTCGTCAGGTATCAACGCATATCAATCAGAAATTTTTACTTATACGGAACCACATGATTTTTATTTCCGTTTTGTCACTGATGAAATATTCGAAATGATTGCAAAGCAAACGAACATCTATGCTACGCAAAGAAAATCAGAACTGCAATCGCATCGTTTAGATCAATGGTATGAAACAAATGCTAATGAAATAAAACGTTTCTTTGGTCTTATTATATGGATGGGATTAGTGCGATTACCAAAAATTGAGTTGTATTGGAGTAAATATGAAGGATATAACCTGACACTTCCACGTACAATTATGCCAAGAAATCGATTCGAATTGTTATTGCGGTTTGTTCATTTCAGCAATAATGAAGAAAATGATCCTAAAAATAGATTATCTAAAGTTGCTCATATTATCAATCATTTGAACAGTAATTTTAAGAAATATTATAAACCAGATGAGATACTATGCGTGGATGAATCCTTAGTGCCATTTCGAGGCCGCATAGTATTTCGTCAATATATAAAACAAAAACGTCACAGATATGGCATTAAAGTTTTTAAATTATGTAATGGCCCAGGGTACACTTATTCATTTCGAATCTACACGGGCAAAGGCGAAAATACAAATGAAATATCTGGAAATAAGTCGACTGAGATTGTAATGGCTCTTTGTCAAGATATTTTAGGCAAAGGCCACACTATCTGCACAGATAATTGGTATACAAGCGTTGACCTGGCGGAAAAATTAATTGATATGCATACACATTTATTGGGTACCCTACGAAAAAATCGGCATGGCAATCCAAAAGAAGTAGTGGCCCAAAAATTAAAACGTGGAGATGTTATCGCGCGAGAAAATAAAATTGGAGTAACAGTTTTAAAATGGAAAGATAAAAGAGATGTGTTGATGCTATCTACAAAACATTCAGCAGAAATGACAACTATACAGAAAAGAAACTGTTCAAAAGAAAAGCCAAAAATGGTAGTTGAATATAATTTAGGGAAATCTTCAGTCGACTTATCTGATCAAATGATTGCTTATAGCTCACCACTGCATAAAACTATAAAATGGTACAAGAAACTGGCAATAGAGCTTTTACTAAATACTTGTATTGTAAATTCAATAGTGTTATTCAAACAAGTAACACGGAAAAATATTGCAATTCCTGATTTTAGGATGAAATTAGCAATGTATCTAATGAAATGCTCCGATAAAGATTGTATTTCTCCAATAAATTGCGTACGGAGCAGACTTCGTCATGAATTTAAAAAAATGCCGGGAAATGCACGAAATGTAAGGCGATTTTGTAAGGCGTGCTATAAAAAAAATTCGAAGCAGCTAGGAAGAGCTGGAGCAAAGAGTTCTACTAAAAAAGTGGTGACATATTGTTCCGATTGCGTTGATTCACCTTTTCTTTGCCTTGAGTGTTTCAATCTGACTCATCGTAATATGCACTGATAATATGTATATTTTTCATGTAGTAATAAAATTATTTTTGTATGTTCTATATTGCATTAATTTCTTCAAACCATTATAGTAACAATGGTATTATTGAAAAATTTATCAGTATCCATATTTACTCTAATTATGTACTTTTATTATTTGCTGCGTCGCCGGTCATCGGTGACCCCCATGGCAGTCAACGTGCTAATAAACGAGATAATCCGGCGTGAAAATACCACTTATAATTAAACGTCGACATATTTTGCAGGGAAAAAATTCGAATTGCAAATAATATCATATATATTAAAAATAATTATAATTTTCATATATAATTCTCAAAAATCACACTTCCACATATTGTGGATATCTTAGGAATTTCATTTAATCTGCGAATGGATTTCCAACGAAGTGTCAATAACTCGTTTCTTCTCACAGAGTGACCGCACAATGGCACGATTACACGTGAGAACCGTGTTCCTCTTCATCGTCCTGCATAATGTTCCGCGTTCGGGACTCGTGGCGGGACTACCCAGCAACTACGACAACCCCAAGTTCTACAAAATCGGGGGCGTTCTCTCTAACGACGAGAGCAAGTCGCATTTCGAGAAAACGATTGACGTAAGAGAAAAATCAATCAATCATAGCGCAAAAAAAAGTGCTAGATTAAATATACAGCACCGGCCATTGCACTGCAAGAAATTACAACCTTAGATAGTTTAACGAGAATGTTATTAGTATGTACCATTAACCTTACAATATAATCTTACATTACAATATTGTTGGAAGATTAATGAAGAAGAAAGACAATTTATTTCAATGAAGAAGAAAGAAAATTGGTATTTATTGGGGTATTACTTGATCCAAGTAAAAATTGATTAAGGAGTATTGAAATAATTATTTATTTGAACCTTTTCTTTCTGTATAGGAAATAACTTATCGTAGCGCACCGGCGGAAAAGTTCAAAAGATGCGGGACACTCAGTGTGTGATATCGTATGTGTGTGTATATTTCAGCATCTCAATTTCGATGCCCAATATGTCAATAAGGGGGTGACGTACAAGCACACCGTGATCGAAATGGACTCCAATCCGATCAGGACCGCGTTGAGCGTCTGCAAGTCCCTCATCGCCGAGCAGGTGTACGCGGTGGTGGTGTCGCACCCGCTCATCGGCGATCTCTCGCCGGCCGCAGTTTCCTACACCAGCGGTTTTTATCACATACCGGTGATCGGCATCTCATCCAGAGATTCCGCCTTCTCAGACAAGGTAACATTAGATTGGTGCAAAAGTTTATTATATGACCGGTTATTCGTTCGGAGATCCAAAATTCCTACGGACGCGGAATCATGCGGTTATCGAAGAGATGTAGGCAGATCATCAAACAAAATATTTCGTTGATTAATTGTATTTTAAAAGAGACAAATGTTATATTTTGAAAACAGAACGAATTTTTGCATCAATCTAATAATAATGATGATAATTTATGGGACGCCAAAATAGTACAAAGAAAAACAGATGTTCCCCTAGTAACACATTTCATTGGCATTACATTGTTGAGCCAAGGTAACGCCAATGAAATGTATTACTAGGATTGGTAACGCGGAAGGGCCAAAAAGCGGAACAACAACTACGTAGCTGATATTAATGCCTCATCTAAAAGCAGGCGAGATGATTATTGCTCGATCATTCGAGAACGTCCGATCGACGACGTCGTTCGACCGTTGCTAAACTCGTGTCTTTGCAGAACATACACGTCTCCTTCTTACGCACTGTACCGCCGTATTCGCATCAAGCGGACGTCTGGGTGGAATTGTTGAAACACTTCAATTACATGAAGATCATCTTCATTCATAGCTCCGATACGGACGGTCGTGCGCTTCTTGGCCGTTTTCAGACAACGTCGCAGAACTTGGAGCAAGACGTAGAGATCAAAGTTCACGTATGTTTTACACGCACTCGACAATATGGATTTCTATTCTGAAGTCTTACCTGCGGATCATCTAAAGTGATCTTCCCCCGAATCGCAATTTTAACGTTACTTTGACGATAGTCTTAAAGATAGTCTATTTAGATGGTCTATATATATACTGATGTAAACCTACTTTGACGATATTTGTTAACTTCTCTTTTAATTCTACAGATTTAATGTTACCTCGAACAAGCTATTTGGACGCTAAAATAGCGGAAATTTAAGACATCATCGAAGTAAATTATATTATTAGAATTGAAATTGAACCTATCTTGTTGTTTTATCTTCTACTGTGTTGTAGAATTTAACATAAGACTAAAATTTCAACTTGGGACAATAGCTCTTTACAGTTCACTCGTTGTTCGTTATCAGGTCGAGTCAGTTATCGAGTTCGAGCCGGGATTGGACAACTTTGTGGAACAATTGACGGAGATGAAGAGTGCGCAGGCGAGAGTTTGCCTTATGTACGCTTCGTAAGTATCCATCGTCGAGTCGACTATTTGAGAGTAACTACTGAAATTTTTATTTGTATATACGAAAGTAATTCTCGAAATTATTTAAATAAACGTAATATTTTTAAACGCGAAATAGGAAAACGGACGCGAGGGTGATCTTCAGGGATGCAGCCGCTCTGAACATGACCGGCGCCGGTTATGTGTGGATCGTTACCGAGCAAGCACTGGAGGCACCAAATGCTCCAGAGGGCTTGTTGGGCTTGAAATTAATCAACGCTACCCAAGAAAAATCGCATATCACCGACAGCTTGTGAGTAGTGACCCAAGATTTATTTACACAAGCTGATTGTAATTACTTTTTAAGAATTTTGCAAATTATCAAGCTACAAAATGAAATCATGAAATAAGGGCTTAAAATTCTGGAGATTAATTAATAACAATCGCTTGTTTTTCACAGATTTGTACTCGTATCCGCGTTACGTGCGATGAATAACTCGGAGAAAATCACCGAGGCACCGAAGGACTGCGGCGATTCCGGCTCTATATGGGAAACCGGAAAGAAACTGTTCACGTACGGAACCTTCCTCGACTTTTGCGTCTAATTTCTTAAAGAGATCTTAGAATTTAAGTTTCAACTAACAAGAGTCCTACTATAATCATTTACTGTATATATATATATTTTTTTTTTATATATGTAATACGAAGCTGGCAATCGTTTTTTGGATGTCCAATCAGATACATCCTTCAGCAAGTGCTCCCGAACGGCTCTACAGGCAGAGTAGCGTTTGACGATAATGGCGACCGCATATACGCCGAATATAACATAGTCAACATCCAATACGTGGGTCCCCATAACAAGACGCAAGTGTCTGTCGGCCAGTACTTCTACCCTGCCGTAAGTAGATCACCGGCAAAATCAAGTCCTCTCACTGTCTCCTCGGTCCGGAGATTCCAAATGTTCGGTTCTTCACCTCCGGTTCGTCGCAGTAAATATCCGAATTCGACCGGTAATTCTCTCTGGTAATCTCACGATAGATCTCTTGACATGCTCCTAAACATCGTAGAATGGCACGAAGATGAAGCTGCGAGTGAACGAGTCCAGCATCATATGGCCAGGCCGGCTGAAGACGAAGCCTGAGGGCTTCATGATACCGACGCACTTGAAAGTCCTGACGATCGAGGAGAAACCGTTCGTTTATGTTCGCGAGCTAACCGAAGGCGAGATCAAGTGCTTGCCCGAGGAGATCCCGTGTCCTCACTTTAACACGACAGATCGCGAAAGTACGTCTCTGAATTTCGATATTTCTTGTTTTCTCCCGGAAGACTACTCTGTCGGAGGAAAAAGGTGGGAATCCACGTAGGAAATCCATACGGAGTCCCACGGTTCCCTTGCAAAAATGTGATAAATTATTGTAGTTTATCACTGGCCAATTTATCAGTAATACTTTTTGTAAGAGATGGGGGGGGGGGGGGAACCCCTGAGGATTTGTTTCAAAAACTCAATAGGGACGGATTCCTATATATGAGTTTTCACAAATCGCATGAATTCCTATATGGATTTCCACACACCATGTAAATTCCTATACATGGTTTCTATATGGATTCACACGATCGCGTTTCCGTGAGAGTCCAGCTGGAAATTCTCAACAGCAAACAAACACAGTTTTCTATCCTCAGACACACGAATATTCTGCTGCAAAGGATATTGCATGGACCTGCTGAAGGAACTGTCGAGGACCATCAATTTCACATACAGCTTAGCTCTGTCGCCAGACGGTCAGTTCGGCAGCTATGTGATAAAAAATAGTTCGGGTGAGCTAAAATTGTCATTTACGGATCCATAAGTGAAGAATGAATCATTTGAATCCTCTCTCCCTTGTGTTTCACGCTGCTCTTTCTTCGTCGTCTCGACGACGTGCCGTAGTCGGAGGAAAGAAGGAATGGACCGGTCTCATCGGCGAGATAGTGAATGAGCAGGCCGACATGATCGTCGCACCGCTGACGATCAATCCTGAGCGCGCCGAATTTATCGAGTTTAGCAAACCGTTTAAATACCAAGGTATCACTATTCTCGAGAAGAAGGTACGTTTCAAATCTCGCTTACCCGATGTTGAACGTGCATTAAGCTCATTTTCGCGTGCGCAGCCCTCGAGATCGTCCACGTTGGTCTCCTTCTTACAACCGTTCAGCAATACCCTCTGGATCCTGGTGATGGGATCGGTGCACGTAGTAGCGCTCGCTTTGTATCTGCTCGATAGATTTTCACCTTTCGGCAGATTCAAGTTAGCTAATACTGACGGCACTGAAGAGGATGCACTCAACCTGTCCAGCGCTATCTGGTTCGCCTGGGGCGTCCTCTTAAACAGCGGTATAGGAGAAGGTAAGTAGATTATTATTATTCGTTGATTTGGGCCCCTTGATTTTTAACTTTTAGTAACTTTAGTTGAACTGTATTATATACGAATCTTTGTAATAAATTATAATTTTGTAAATTATATATATATAGGATATATATATATATTTTTTTTACATGCCTTTATATTATTTGATATTTTTTACACAAATTATGAGTAGGGCAACTAATATTTGAAAAAATGTATAAAAATTAATTTTTAACGAAAAATATTTGTATCGCACGATTGTGTATTAACGAAATTTATAGGCACTCCGCGGAGTTTCTCCGCACGCGTACTGGGAATGGTGTGGGCGGGATTCGCTATGATCATCGTAGCATCTTACACTGCCAATTTAGCCGCTTTCCTCGTATTAGAGCGGCCCAAAACCAAACTGACCGGCATCAATGACGCTCGAGTAAGGATCATTGTCGCGACAGGTCTTGTGCACGAAAAACTTATCATGTTGTACCGATTGCTCCTTCCGTAATTTCATTAACTTTAAATTTCAAGAGATTTATTATAAATACTTGCAATCCGTAAAGCTGAGGAACACGATGGAGAACTTGACGTGCGCGACGGTGAAGGGTTCCGCCGTGGACATGTACTTCAGACGCCAAGTAGAATTGTCCAATATGTATCGTACCATGGAAGCGAATAATTACGATACAGCCGAAGATGCTATACGTGACATTAAAATCGGGTGAGTGCAACGAGTAGAAATGCATCTAGCTGAGTCAAAAGTTGGCTAGTACAGGCCAGGTTAAGTTTTCCAGCTAGTTCCTTACTGGTTGATTATTCACTAAAATGTAGAATCGGTCTTGTGATCTGGCCATTGCACATTGTCAAATATGATAAAGTGGGTTTTAAAATATGTAATCTAGCTACTATATACCTAGCATTTAGAAATGAAATCGAAAGTACGTTATTCCACAAAAATTTTAAAGAGACAGCGTTGTCTGACAACTACCCAATAAACATCAAGTAACGTAACATCATTATTATAATTCCCCACTCAATAATGTAACTCAATTATACGCGTTTATATTCCCAACAAACACTAAGTAACAATAACATAACATCAATGGTACAATTTCCTACTCAGCAATGTAAATACAATATAATATTGCATTTCTACCGCTGAGTGGAAACATTGATGTTACGTTACTGTTACTATTAGTTGATATTTACCGGGTAGTTATGATTTGTATTTCATAACTGCTCAGCAAACATGATGACGCAATAATGACATCTGTAACGTCGTTAGTACGTCTTCAATACGTCACTTGACGTTTTTTAACACGTCATCGTGTTTGCTGAATGTAGTTTGCTCATCTAACTTATTTATCTAACCATCGTGTAGCCATTAGGAAAAGTGTGCTCCACAGTATCGACTAGTAGCGACGTTAGACACAAATTTATTGTGGAAATTTAATTTTTATTATTTTGCAGAAATTAAACAGAGTTCTCTAAATTTTTAACAGGCGAAATCAATCATACTGTCATCATTCATTGCAGGAAATTGATGGCGTTCATCTGGGACAGCTCGCGATTGGAATTCGAAGCGGCTCAAGATTGCGAGTTGGTGACGGCCGGCGAATTGTTCGGCCGTTCGGGTTACGGAATAGGTTTGCAGAAAGGCTCGCCCTGGGCGGACGCCGTGACACTGGCAATTCTGGATTTTCATGAGAGTGAGTATACAAGAAGTCGACAATCCATCTTCGTTCTTATTTTCCCCCTCTTGTACAGAGAAATGCGGAGTGTACTCTCAAATGTGTATTTCCGATAATTTTCCAATACTAATCTTCTGCACTTCTTCATTAATCTTTATCGAATTCCTTTAATTTATAATCATCAGCACTGTATTTTCATAACGTTGACAGGTGGTTTCATGGAGCGCCTCGACAACCAGTGGATCTTGCAGGGTAACGTGCAACAATGCGAACAGTTCGAGAAGATGCCGAACACCCTCGGTCTGGAGAACATGGCAGGGGTGTTCATAGTAGTTGGTGTCGGCATCGGCGGCGGGATCGGTCTAATCATCATCGAGATGGCGTATAAGAAGCATCAGATACGTAAGCAGAGGAAAATGGAGCTGGCGAGACACGCAGCCGACAAGTGGCGAGGAATGATCGAGGTAAATCGTTTAAGATAATTCATTCCTTACTGTTTTTCAATTATTTAATAGCGTAGTAGGTGTCAACCCATACGGTTTAATGAAAAATATTTTGCTAATATAACAAAAGTTGGCAGTTACTTATCTTTTTAGATATCTTTGAGACGTCCCGATTTTTGTCCGGATAGAGACAAAAAGATTTGTTGCGCGGAAATAATCATTTTGCTGTTTTGCTAGCGAGACGTCGCTGTAACAGCGATAAAATTTCGTTGACATAACCAAATTATTTTGCTGTCTAGTAAATAACAATACTCAATAACAAATCTTTTTTCCACACAGTAACTGACAAATTTGCTATGCCGGCAAAAAATTTGTCCATGTCGCTATGAAGGGCATCACTAGTTAGTAAGACGTGTATACATTGTTGATACGATCGCGTTTTGTCGCGCAGAAACGGAAAACTCTGCGAGCGTCGATAGTAACGCAGCGTCGAATACAAAGTAACGGCCTGAACGATCCCGCGACGGTCAGTCTGGCGGTGGACACGGTCGCTAGGTCGAACGTGGGTTCACGAAGTCCAGGTCGCGCTTGGCCCGGCGATAGTGACCTGAGACAACGGCCGATCTCGCGCGGCGAGGATATCCGACTGTCGCCCGCTGCCTACACCGCAGATGTATCGCATCTTATAGTCTAATTGTAACCCTCCGCGCTAATTTGTATTCGTAGTTTTTTACCAAATGGCGTAGTGACCGGTTAATTTGACTGCACAAACGCAAGAGAGAAGGAGAAATCCTCTAGATTTTCATATTATTATCTTATACTCTATTCTTTTTGCTTTTATTTAAACTTGTGACGAGAGATATATCTTAGGGGAATACTTTTACACGGTAGAATATTCTTTTTATGTCTATTTAACACTTCATCAATTTCATCGATTGAGTAGAAATAGCTCACGTGTTTTGCGAGCTAAATGAAATATCAAAAATATATTACATTAAGACGAACTTTTGTCTACTGATTATATATCATTTAATAATGCTCAATTATCCCGCTTGGTTAGTGAGTTACAATCCAATGTTTTAATGTGACAATCTAATAGTGCTGATAAAAATATCCTATTTCGCTACCATCCAATCCTGTTGAACTGATTCGTTGCTTATTTTAGAAACAGATTCCGTACAAAAGTCTAAGATAACTTCGAGAACCTGTTAAATATAAAAGTAAATTGGATGGGATCATCCAATTCATTCTTGGAAGAATTCAAATGAAACGAAACTATCCAGGCGAGGGAGACGTAGACGAACCCGACGGATAACCCGGTGTAAGTGAAGGATAATCTGGCGGAGGATAACCTGAGGAAGGATATCCTGGTGTAGATGAGGGACTATAACCCGGTGTAATCGAAACAGATGTGGGACTGTGCACCCCACTGGCCGAGGCGGTAGCAACACCGCTGGCCGGTCCGCTTAATTTCATTATACCTGACGTTGGAAAACTCGCAGTGATTGCAGGAGTTCCAGCAGGAAACGAGGATACTCCACCGGCGTTTGATGTTCCGACGGAGCCGCGTTGTCCATATGGTGGTAAGTATGTAGGAGCTGGTGTCGATACCGGTGATCTCTGACTGCCACGAGGAGGTAAATAAGTAGCAGGCGGCCGTGTAGGTGGAGGTGATGGCGGAGGCGGCGGTGGCAACGGCGGTGGTGACGGAGGCAGTGGCGGCGGTGATGGGGGTGGTATATAAACAGCAGGTGGTAGCGGCGGTGGAGGTGGTGATGGAGGTGGTATATAAGCAGGAGATGGTAGCGGCGACGGCGGTGGTGACGGAGGCAGTGGCGGCGGTGATGGGGGTGGTATATAAACAGCAGATGGTAGCGGCGATGGAGGTGCTGGCGGTGGTATATAAACAGGTGGTGGCGGCGGCGGCGGCGGCGGCGGTGGTGGTGGTGACGGAGGAGCAGGATAAGAATAATTAGGTCCTGGATATCCTTGTTGAATATTTTGTTGATAACTTGTTTCTGTTGGTAACGTAAATTGAACGTTGGGCCGCTGATAGGAATATCCTGCTTGACGGCCAACGCGCAGGCCACGTCCGTAGACCCAATTGATCATCAAAAAGATATATATTACCTGAAGATTATTACAAAGCGTTGTATATTAAACAGAAACAATAAAGCGTTATAAAGCATTGACAACAACAACTTACCCATTTTGATAGCCGCATAAACATTGCGCGTATGATAACGGCGCTACATGACAGTCGCTTTTATACAGATGTTTTGCATTGCCGGATTTGTTTTTCTTCGCCCTCCCCAAAAACCGCTGGTCTAATAGCATTTTACTGGCTTGAATACTACTTACAGTTTATTAAATCCGCCATTTATTATACTTACCGCGAGATTGCAGGTCTCAAGTAGGCCGAATTTCTTATTCTTCTTACAAGAGGTGGCCGTGTTGAAATAAAACTGCTGTTCAGTTAGAGAGATAACATCGAAAGTGTAAGATGCAAGTGTCGACAGTTCTTGTCTTCCCGTTTTTAACTCATTTACACATTTTTGTCATCATAGAATATCATTTTTGTACTCAACACAAACGTGTAACATCACGATGAAATGTGTGCGTGTGTGTGTTGTCAAATATAAATTCAGATCTCTATCATATATCCGTTAGTATATATCTCTATCTCTGTTCCAGATTCTGTTTGAGATGTATTTAAATTAACACATATACACAAATGTGATGTTTTTATCTTCAAAATTTACATATCGACGATTAAAATATTATACTCTCAACTCACTTTTATCGATAAAAATATTTTAAATGTAGTTTCTTTGTTAATCAGATGGTTTCTAAGCCATTTTTAGGAACACTTTTATCAGTAAAAGTGAATTGAAAATATGGACCTTAGTTTTAGAAAATGTTTATTGACCACGCACGCTTTAATTAAGAAGGCAAAAAAAAGAGGCAAGTGTGTAGAAACGTTTAATGAGTGAAAGGAACTATCTTACGACGATAATTATTTTGAACGTGAAAGAAACGAAATTGCAAAACCGCAATGTTGCAACAATGTGCGCTATTTGATTATACCAAATTGCACAATTTAGAACCCGGGAAAAAATGATTATATATGATTATATAAAATCATATTTGAATTTTGACTATATATATGGTTACATATATAATCATATATGTCTATACGAAACAAAAAAATAATGATACGTTATTTAATTAAATATCATGTGCTGTCAGGAACATAAGTAGCCAGAAGCATTTATTTCGATTGTATTTGTATATAATTTGTAAATAACAGTATTTTTTCTATTTGTGGGCATAAATGATTATATATAGTCATATGTGGGCAAGTTTCATATATAATCCTTTTTTTCCCGGGAAAATATCCCCAGAAAGCTATTATTAGAAATAAAACTCTCTGAGAGAAAGAGAGAGAGTTTATATGTTTTCTTATTAATCATTAAACTATTCCTTCCTTTTTTAAATTGTGTATGCTTTAAATACATTAATATTTCTATAAAGAGAAAGGTAAGTGTCAAAAACTGGAAAAAAAAGAACAGAAAGCTAGCGGTTCGAGGATCAGAAGGGGTAAAAATAAATGTCAGCTTCTTAATTTGTTTCCTTTTATTTTCGAGAAATTTTACCGCAGGTGAAGGCTAACATATGAGCCAGCTGTTTCTTCAAGATTACAAGATTTCAGTCGGATTGAGTGAATATCCGAGAAAACATGATTATATATGATCATATATAATTATATAAAATCATATATGAATTTTGCCCATATATATAATTACATATATATGATCATATGTCTATACGAAAAAAAAATTATACTTTATCATTAAATTAAATGTCGATATCATATGCTATCAGAAGTACAAATATTTATTTCGATTGTATTTGCGTATAATTTGTAAACAACAGCATTTTTTCGTTGTGGACATATATGATTACATATAGTCATATATGGGCAAATTTCACATATGATCTTTTTTTTCCGGTTATATTTCGTTTTCAAGCTTTCCAATTTTTAGCCGAACCTCAATATTGTTTAAAAGCAGCATTTTGTCGGTGAATTCTTCTTGAGACATGTCAGAGTTGAAAATGTTGCTTTCGAAAGAAGACGGGACACGTCCCATCAGATCCAGACCCACAGAGGAACGACGTTGCCGAACTTGAAAACATCTGGCTGGCCGACATGCGAAACGTTGGGGAAAGCTTTCGACCAGCGAAAAGGCTTCCTAGCACCACCCAGGGTGCTCGGGCCAGAAGCTGCCTCGAAGCTTTTCACGCCGTTGACATCCGCTAGCACGATCTTAGCGTCGATCACGCCGAACGGCGAAGCGCTGCCGTTATCTTCCAAATCTCCTCTGTAGGCGAGAATCCGTCCTGCCCGATCTTCGTCTTCGTTGATGGTGGCAGTGGTGGTAATAATTGCAGCGGTTTCGGTAGCTGTGGCGGTATCCTCGTGGCTGTATCCTCGCATCAGTCTCCTGAAGCTTTCTACCGTCGTGATGTTCTTCTGCAGCCTGGCGACTAGCTCGCCCCTCGTAATGTCATCGTTACTCTCACCGTTACCCTCTTCATCGTTGTCGTCAATTGCAACCTTGACATCGCGCAAACGAGCATTCCCAGTGCGACAAAGAGCTCCGGTCGCAGCGAACTGCTCACTGATGTCCGCGACGCGAGCAATTCCCGATAATTGCTCGACCAGCATGACGACTCGGTTATGCGGCTCCAGAGTGATCCATTGGCGCGCGCCCTCACTGCCGTTCTGCAGCAACAAAATACGCGACCAGACGCGGCCGTTCGTTGCCAAGCGATTCGCCGCCATCGTCTTCGCAGATGACATCACCTGCTTGCGAGAGGAAGAAAGTTAGCGTGACGCTCCTCGTGTACGATGCGCGCAGGGTTGGGTAACCTTTTTGAAGTTAAGTTAGAAGTTAGAATTAAGTCCAAAATAAACGAATTAAAAGATAGAATTAAGTCCAAAATAAACGAATTAAGATTAACTTATTAAAGTTAAAATTTAATTATGCAAAACTACATGTGTGTGTTAGAAGAAAAAAGGCTAGGTTTATGTATATTTTGCATAGCTAACTTAAGTTACCCAACCCTGGATGCACGCAAATATCCCTAAGATACTTTCTAACCTGCTGCCTATGATCGATTTAACTCTTCATCGCACTCGTTTAAAAAGCAACGAAATTTATTCGATCACTCGGGGAAAACGATCATATATGATTATATGTAATCATATATGTCGACGACAAAAAAATATTGTTATTTATAAATTATATGCAAATACAATCGAAGTAAATGCTTCTGGCTACTTGTGCTTCTGACAGCATATGACAATGAAATTTAATTAAATGACATAACGTCATTTTCTTTTCATGTGGACATATGTTACCAATCATATGGGAAAAATTCATACATAATCTTACATAACTATATATAATCATAATTTTTTCCCGAGCAGACTTCTTTATTATCAGCTTCGAAGATTGACGCGAAGGTCTGTAAGTTCAACGAAAGAATCTGCCTCGCGTACCTGATCTTTCATTTTCGTGAGATTCCAGTGATGATTGATAACCGCTAACGGTATTTTGGCGACGATTAGTTCACGGTTATGCCCTTGGATTAGGTAGAATTCATCGTGGGACGATAGAGCGCCGGGATAAGATGACATCATGACGGATCTGCCCGGCGCGGCACTCTTCAACATCGGCAACACGTGGTAACCGAACGTGTACTTTTTCAAGAGTCTCAGCATCTTGGCGTATCTTTAAGGAACAGAATGCGACACGATTGGTTTCAAGCGCGAACAAATTTCCTGATATATTGCAATAGCATAAATATACCCACGTCTGATATCGCGTTCATCCTTGCAGCGGAAATTATTCCCAGGTTTTGTTTAGTTTTTTTTTTTAATTCATGAATAAATGCAACTTATGAAATTTCGCTCTTATTAGTAACTATTGGGTTGATGAGGAAATTTGTATATTTTTAGTAAATTTTTCGCTTAAAAAGACATCAGAATTTCTACGAGCGCGAAATCATGCAGCTACCGGAAAGATGGTATCGGACAAAACGGCATACATTTAAAACTGAGATTGTATTTTAAAGTAAATCAATGTTGTACTTACATTTTGGTTAAAAAGGGGAACGAATTTTTCAGCATCAACCTTATAGTAATTTCAATACATTCGCAAGAGCGACTTACGGTGCGGCGGTAGTGTGTCCGATAGCAATCAAGGGTTCCAGCCCGTTGCGGGGAAGATTCTTCAAACAGATCATACCTTTGGTGTGATCGGTAACGTTTGGCGCCAGCTCGAGATCCGGCAGATCAGCGGCCATCGCCAGCCAGAGGAAATGCCCCGAATCCATCTCCACTGTCTGCCGACTGCGGCGAACCGCGAATCTCCAGCCAGCCTCCAAACCGTCTAGTTGGATGTAGAACAGCCGTACCTGTGAAAGTTTCGCTTTATTAATGACATTGCGAAAAGTGAAATAAGAGCACGAAGATGGCGAAATAAATCAAAGGTTACCCTATGAGAACATTCTGACGGAATTGACACGAAATCGACTTCCTTACGTGGATTCTACGTCGATTGCATGTTCTCATCAGGTAGCCCATTTAATATTGCGATATATATTTGCAAATGTGGTTGAAGTTTGGAGCGACCTTTGAGCAAAAGTTAGGAAAATTTTTTTTTTCAAGTTTAATCTCAGTAAAAAACAAAGACACGCAAAAAAAACAATAAAATTGTGCAAAATGTATTAACAAGAAAAACGGAGAAGAACATAAAATTCCTGCCCAGAGTGGCTTGTGCAAACAATGACACGCCACTTTTAATTTGTTTAATTTGCCACTTTTAATTTTCGCGCGCGCGTAATCTTTTCCGTTTTTCTTCTTTATTTATGTTAATACATTTTGCACAATTTCATTGTTTCTTGCAATATCCGTTTTTTTTACTGAGGTTAAACTGGAAAAACTAATTTTTAATTTTCCCTCGAAAATCGCTCAACCACAAATTTTTCCATATAGTTTTAAAAGTTCGGAGATAATCGGATTTTCTCCATTTTCTCGGTTTCTTTCTGGGAAAATCGTGAAAAAGTTGTTTTCTTTTCATATTATTCTTATATATTACAGAGGTTTATTGTAATACTGTTTACTCACCATGTGCCAAAATGGATCCGTGGCTCCTAGAAGCTCGGCGCGTTCTCGAACGATCGCGGTGTTCCCGCGGAGGAATCGCATTAATTTCTGACACTTGTCGGCTTGTTTCTCGCAGATGACGTTGACGGTGTTGTACCAGTGATGATGGATCAGTTGCCATGTCAGACTGCCCTCCAGCAGCCCGGCCGCGTAAGCCTGCACCGTGTCCGGATACTTGGATGACGTTTCTATCTCGATGATGGACCACCTGGATTACGTCGAAATTCTATTTCAGTTGGACCGCGCAGCTCTCGGGAGCGGGATATCTGTAGAATATCCCAATTTGACGTGCCACGGTCTTTACTACGATCCCGATACGCACATCAAAGGGTATTTACAAGACTATTCGCGGAATTATAAATATGAGATTCTCAGGAGAAGAGGTAATGATAATCTACCCAGACTCGAGGATGCTGGTCTTATAGTAGGCGCGTGCAACGTTCAGCTTCACGCTGGCGAGATCGTTGCCCTGGCCCCAGAAGTCGATGCGGTATCCTCCCTTGTGATTCCACGACACGGTAGCCGAGTAAGTTCCATCATTTTCAACGCTGCGAACATCGGCGGGAAGTATTACGAGGAAATTTCACAAAGAGTCGTATTAATTTTATTTAAAATTATTCTTTATATATATTCAGAACAGAGGGGAACGTAGTTGATTAATAATATAAATTCGCATATCCAGTCAGTACTTCACGTGTATTATATCGCAAACAGGGGATCGACTCACTGTCCGTATTCGCCGAGGATGATGGCGCCGATGCCGAGGAGAGCGACGGCTACGAGGATGTACGTAGAGATGCGCGTCTGCAGCCACGAGGCTCCTACCACCTTCAACATGGCTCATCGGTAAGCTGCGCACCTTGGTAAATTAACAAGAGAACAGGAGAAATGGTGGTGGATGGTGAAGCGCCACAAATCTCGCGTTCTCAACCCATCGATTACCGACGTCTGATCCGCCGCAGGCTTCCTATGGCGTTTCGAGAAGTCGTCCGGTCGCGTTTCTTCGTACGCTGCAATGAAGAAGTTTTTTTACCCACACGATGTCCCGAGTGTGTAGATAAGAGTGGATTAAGTCCGCAAGTGGCATGTTGTACGTAAAGACAGACAGATTTCTTATTATGGCAAGTAGGAAAAAAGGTAAACGAGACTATAGATATGTTTAGCGAATAACTTAATGGTACAAAAATCTGATGTTTTGGAACGGTTATGTGTGATTTTCCTTCAAGAAGAGCCTAGAAATCAACCATACGAGTCTTATATATTTCATGCGCAATGACATGCTAATATCTCGATGTTCACACATTGCATCATGACTGATAGTTATCTAATACCCCACATATAATAAGTAATTTATCGCAGGCGTCGAATTAGTCGTTCGTTAATCGGGGATGAAGGTTGACTCCCTCTTACGTACGTTATCGTTCAGACACTTCAGAAATAGAGCGTCAATTATGTGTGTCCAACGACACATTGCATAATAGTTTATCTCTCGGCGATAAAATTAATAACAAAGACGTAAGATGAATCGCTATGAATAAGATCTCTCTCGAGATCGTCTCGCGCGAGTGGAACACACTACGGGAAATGGCGCGGAAAAATTGCGCGAAAGAGGATCTAAAAATAACAATTGTACGCTCATATTCCGTCACAAACGGGAGAATCTCGAAATGTCGCGCGATTCACTTGCGAAACGCTCCGCAAATAGTGAAGCAGCGCGACGAAATGAGCGAGCGCGTTTTGTCAAACCGCCGTTTCGTCACGATGCGCTAGTAATGCTTTGACGTAAGACGGAAGGAGTATTTATAAGACCGCACGCAAAAATCAATTAACATGTTTGTCAACGCAGGCGGCCGGGAAGAAAAATTAAGTATCAATTCGAGACTGATATTTTCTAATCATTGTTTCATATATGAACAATAATATCTTCTTACAAAAATTTAGTAAAAATCTTGAATTTCAACAATATCATAATGTCATTGCAAGATAGTCCACTGCAGATCACAATATGATTACTCTGAAAATAATAATAAATCTTGTTGTAACATTTAAAATAATTATATGAAAAAGATGAATGTGTTATTTTGAATAATTCTATATTTGAATGAAATGTAATCTTCTTCCAACAATATGCACCTTTTTCCACTTCAAAATACAAATCAGGTCTTACATATTTAAGACCTGATCTTAGGTCATCTTCAGACACTTCGTAGCCAATGGAGCCGTATAGCATCTGAAGATACTCTTAAGATGATTTTGGCTCTCTTGTAAGAGTCGAAGAAAATCCGGAGTTGCTGGAAAGATTCGGGGGGACCTTACGGGTGCCTGCTCTTACCACTGAGCTATCTGCTTCGATATACTCTTTTTCGTCCTCTTATTGCCTCGATTTTGAAATAAGACGAAGAAATTGTTATTATAAAAACTTGCAATAATTCAATTTAATACTGCCTTCTCCAAGAATAAGATGTATTCAAATAAAGTAATTTCAAGTTAGAGAAATTGTAATTCCCGATTTGAAGATTCTTCATTCTTTTTTACTCAATATTCTTCAATTCAAGAAAATTATTCTTGAATAACGAGAATATGATATTTTTAGTGGAACCACAGGGAATTCCTTCGTGTAAGCAAATTTTATCTATCCAACGCTGTATAATCTTATTTCAACACGTTGAGAATACAAATCTTCTCAAAATATTCTTTTTTTCCGTGTAGATCACACCGCTATCGTTTCTGTTCTTTTCGAAACATGTCATTCCTTCCTTCTGGATCATACACATTCGTTTGTTTATCTTTCGATAATTATCCGAATAATAATTAGTAATTAGTTTTTAATTTAGGTCACGACACATAGTTAGTAATTGCGCCGCTGAAAAGTCGAAGGAACTCTAGAATCGACGACGGTGAACAACGCTGAGTGTCAATTGACTTATCGCGAAGTATTGTATAAACAGACGAGCAAATATTTTCCATCGGCAAATGTTTGCCCCGGCTCGATTAATCGCTACGAGGAAAATTTTGCTGACAAACATCTTATCTTCTTTCTCATCCTTGGAGAAAATGTTGAGAGGGAAGAGTTTATTGAGACGAAAAGTAAGAGGGGGAGAGGAAAGCACGCGCAAAGTGTGTAATAACACGACGATGTTTCGAGCAGTTTCGCGAAGTGAAATTTTGAATCGCTCGCGTTTCACGATTTCACCCGGCGTTTGATAAGAACGGCGTTCCTCAAAGCAGGGAAAGCAGCAAAGTCTTCGTCATCGTCGTAAAGGCGTACGGTCGTTATCGCTTTTTTTATCCAACTGATATCGCGGACTAATATGAGTTATCCGCAAGTTTCTTCACGATTATGAGTCACACCTGAAGCCTTCTCGATATATACCTCGACTATTAGAACCAGCTCGTGCACCACGTGCAGCGGGAGGATCACATGAGAGACAGCTGTGCGTTATGTGCGCGTTCTGGCATGAATTAATATAGAGAATCTACGTGGGTATCACCGGGAAGAAAACGAACGCGGCCGAGCGTTGTCAAACCGTGAATCACAGGAATGGCGTTTCCGCTCTCCAAGTTTCAGGAATAATGTGAATAATGATTCACGCTGAATAATCTGACGAACGATTCGATCGGTCGGGATTCGCACCATGTCTATCGCGTGGGAACTGTGCTCGCGGAGAGTTCGGCTCATCAGCGCTCCGAAAGCTCATTCTCGCGCGCCTTTTGCCTCGGGAATCTGACCCTTACGGGCCAGCCGCGGAACACGTGGTTCGCAGAGGACTCTCGCTCGCTCGCTCTCTCACTCACCCTGGATGAAGATCGGTAGTCCGAATTGCAGCGCGTCGTACACGGGTAACGGATGGGTCATCGGGTCTCGCGGATTACATTCCTCGCGTTACGTATGTGCGCGCGGACCGGTCGCTCCGATACGCAATCCAAGCGCGGACGCTCGTCTCTCCCGACTGCCGGCGGAACCGTCGTCAGCTGGCCGTCAGCATTTCTGTGCTTCCCTTCCTCTCTCCTCCGCCGTACAATCGTCATTGGCCGTCGTTGTATCGCGCTCCGACGTCTCGGCTTCCAAGCAGCTCGTCGACTTCAGTCTCTCAGTGTCTTATTTTCAGCCTGTCCAGTCGATTAATTCATCATGACGTAATGAAGCTGTATTAATAAAGTATTAAACTAATTTGCGTGCATTACCGTTGACAATTACCCCGGAGCAAAGGAACAGCTGCGCGATGATGAAGGATCTCCTCTCAATTAGAGTCAATCGCAGCTCGTAAAGCTCTTCAAGCTCGCGGCCAAGTAAGACAGACAACCGTCGTCAGAAGGCGCTAAACTGAACGCTTCTGCGAGATCACACGTCCAACTTCCGAAGAATGAATTTCCGTCTTCTTTAAGTTTCCTTTTCCGCTCTCGAGCTGTCTAAAAGTTCACATTTGAGGTTCATTCGAGCGTGGGGAAGGCGAGAAAAACAGTTGGCGAAATGGGCGCGAAATCGGCATTCGAGAAATGTTCCGGCGAGAGCGCACGAATTGTTTCCCGCATTAATAACGCGCAGTAAAGCCCGCAATAAGTCCCGCGGAATTTCTTGATTGGTCACGCGCCACGGATGGAATGCAATATGCACCCTTCTTCGGGCAGTGCCAGAGGATTATTAAGACGTTCTCTTCACCCGAGACGTCCCGAAAGAGAGATCCTCGACGTTGATTCTAATCACGAATTCTTCGATCGATCGCGCGCGACATTTAATTCTCTTCTTTAATCAGCTTCATTTATCCGTCGATTATCGTCTCCCTCTTCTTGGTCAGCCTGAAGTGAGATTACGTTGACCCAGTTAAATCGTTCCGGAATCTATTCTAAATTATTTGCATTCTCAACACACCTTGAAACATTTTATATTGCAGCTGCTCGTCTGATTTAGTGAATAACAGAACGACGGGCAAAATCCATTATGCATTTGTACTTGATTATTCACTAAGATGTTCGTGGCGCGTTCTCTGTATAAAATTCAGCGAATGAGTGAAAATATTTATCTACACTCGGAAAAGCATATGATTCTCTTTTGCTGCATGACATGATGTTTTAGCAACATCATGAGATCTTCATGTATGAAAAATAAACATATATTACAAATTATAATGACCACCCACATCAATGACAACTAACCACAATCTCATAATTTCTCACTCAACAATATAAGTACACAATGTGTGTTACATTTACATTGTTGAGTGAAAAATTATAATATAGATGCAATTGATGCTTTATTGTGTGTTATCCCGGTAAGCAAGAAATCACAACATTATTACAGTGACATTTTATAACGTTCATAACATTTTCAAATATATATTTATACAATATAATTATACAACGTCATTGCTAACAACACTTGACTCAAATATTAAAAATAATACTTCTACATTGTGATTTTTTAATATTTAGGAATATTATGAAGCCACAATTCAAAAACATTTGTAAAATATTATGTCAAAATATTTCTGAAATTCACATAAAGTCAATGTTTTAAAAGGTTGATTTCATGTTTCTTGCTTGTACCGGCATATTGGTTGATTGGTGTTCATCTTAATTGTTCATGCATACTGAGGAGGGTCCATAAATGTTTACACATATTTATAAACTCGATCTCGAGCGAACATTTGGCTCTTGTTTACCCTCTTTCCCTCGTCTTGAATTTACAGAGAGTCTGGAGTTATTATTTCTTTGCAAAGGATCATCGATTCACGATCCGCTTTCCCCGAGCTTGCGCATCTCGCTCTCGTCGGTTCGCGGAGACCAACGAGAATGTTCGCATCCCTCGAGAGGATCCTCAGTGCTGATCCATCCTTCGTATCCTGTGCCGGACTCTGCGATATGCAATTCTTGTAAATCCCGTAGCTTCGGACGATTTAAGATCAAACTCCGGCCGGAATCAACTGGAAATCAAATAGGAGCTCAAATTAACGATAAAATCCGAAAGGAGTGGAAATTAAAAGTTATCAGAAACGTTCGACCGCGAGATCATTATAACGAGGAGAGTTTCTAACGAGAAGTGGCGTTGATTATGTTGCTTCCGTTGTTATTAATTGCTCTCGTGAGCATCCGTTCGACTTACTCTCGTTCCTACTTCACGAGAAATGCACCTGTAGACACAACGCATGTGCTACCTCTCAGCTCGACGATGAATTTCAAATGGAGGTTCGATTTCGTGAGATTATTTACCATTATTTACACGTGTTTTATCTCGTTGAAATCTTACAACATTAAAAACTATACATATTTGGTCATAAAATTGTAATAACATTGTATGAATGATTTCTTGCTTACCGGGCTGCCTTGAAGATGTCTGAGGAACATCCCGATTCTTTAGAAATCTTTCGTACACATCTTGAAAAATCTCGTGAACTTTTCGATACTCATAATTGCCTTAAATTGGAGATTCAATCGGGGTGACACTTTCAGGGTGGATAGAATAAATATGCGGATAATAGCGGGGGTCCAGTTTTTCGGTGACAACAGCAGCTGGCTTGCGATCGGATTTTCCGACTACGGAAAATTGAACCCGGCCGATTATTGCATTATGTGGCACGACTGGCATCGAGAGGCGCATTTCCAGGTGAAGTATCCGTTGAAGTATAAAATACTTCATCGTGTGAATCTATAAATTATTTTTGATCCTTGAGTAGGATACATGGGCGGACAACGACGGCAAGATACACGTGGACTCACAGCAAGACTGCGAAAACTTCACGTGGAAGAGACACAATAATGTCACGTACTTCACATTCTCGCGCAAATTAGACACCTGCGACGAGCACGATTACATCATCGAGGTGAGTTAAGTTTCAATTCTTTTAGGTCGAGGAATTCTCGCGAACAATCTTTCGCTCTGAAAAATTTCAAACTGATAAATATCCCCGGAGCGGAAGGGGAATATTTATATAAAATTATATATGAAATTTGTTTATATTTATGGTCTTGTGAGCACGAACGCGGCATAGTAGATAGCGCACTGGTCCGCTATACTACAAGTCCCGGATTCGCCTCCCGGTAGAAAACCGTTTTCATACGCTCTTCTTTCCGATGATATACAATTTGTATATTTGTTTTCGTTACGCGTACATAATTATTCATGGTCATATATAGTCAAATAGAGACAAATTTCATGCATCTTCTTTCCCGTTGTTACCCTGATAAAGTTTCAAACATACTGAATCATCACTAATAAATCTTCCAGAGGGGTACCACGCATATTATATGGCTCCAAGGTCGCGGACCGCTCGTTTCCTTGGCCGGTCTCAAAGTCTCGAATGCAGAAGCCTCGGGAATGTCTCGCGCAGAATTGTACAGAATGCCTCATAGGAAGCCCATATTCCCAGCGGACGCCTGGGAGCTCGAATTGCTCAATCATCAGGTTCAAGTGCCGAATAAAGAGACCACCTACTGGTGTCGAGTGCAAAAATTGCCGGAAGTATTGAGGCGAAAGTGCGTACACGCGCTAATTGGATGCGCGCGCGGTCAAGCGACGAATTTACAGGACACGCGTGTGTTCTCAACGACGAAAATGATCTACCTCTTAAATAACGAAACTTAAGAGCTTCGAATGTTCCAAACCGTCGAAAAACACCGCAAAAGTCTTTCGATCATTTCTTTTTAAGTCATTGATCCTATGAAAAAACAACGGTTCAAAAAATGAATGAGCCATTTTTGAGCCACTTAATTTTTTTTTTTTGTAATTCTCCACGGTCACTTTTGCCCTGATTCACTTTTCTTGCAATTATCTGTAGATTTTTTAAATTATATTGTTTGATTGTTTTATGATAAGAAGGGCTTATCTAGTGATGAAAATTCAAAGAAATAGAAAAAAAGAATGAGTCGAAGTGTTTGTAGAGCATATGTAAATAGTCTTTGTCAATAGGCATCACATCCTGCAATTCGGCCCGGTCATCCAAGCTGGTAACGATCATCTCGTGCATCACATGGAGATCTTCCACTGTGCCGGACCCGCGAATTCGAATGTGCCCATGTATGATGGGCCTTGCGATGGGGCTGACAGGCCGGCAAAGACGCAGGTGATCGTCTTCTCCTGAAATTGACAAGTCGATTAGAACCTAAATCATTCTCTTGATCTCTTAAAATTTAACATTCTATTTCTACGCCGAATTATTTAATTCGTTGACGTAACTTTAAATCAATAAATGTCTCTGTATTAAAAAAAAAAATGAACGTCTTCACGCGCTTGGATGATATCCCTTTTTTTCTTCTGGCGTAGATTTGCAAGAAAGTATTAGCCGCATGGGCGATGGGCGCCGACGCGTTCGTGTATCCTGAAGAAGCCGGCCTGGCGATCGGCGGCGCCGACTTCAATCAGCACGTTATGCTGGAGGTGCACTACAACAATCCCGAGCTGCACCAAGGTGTTGTCGATTCCTCCGGCATCCGATTCATTATTACCGAGACCCTGCGAAAGTATGACGCGGGCGTGATTGAGTTGGGTCTCGAGTACACCGACAAGATGGCCATACCGCCACGACAGGTGAGAAGAAGGTCGTCATAATTCCCGTGGCATCAGTTGATTAAGCAAAATTAAGTATGATTGTGCTCCGAAGAATGATGGAATACATGAGAAGCTAAAACACAGTGCTATCATAATGCCATTTAAACGTTAATATTGTCAGTATGTGTGTGAGAGTATAAAAATGTTCATCGTATATTACTACGCATATACCGAAGAATTTTTTAATTTTTTAATCCCAGTAATATCATTTTATAATAAGGCTCCCTCCGCTAGCCATATCGGCTTTGTGATGTCATAGGTGAGAAATGAGAATAAAAAATGGGATCAAGAAGTAAGTGATCATTTAATTAAGGGAGGTTTTAGGAACATTTAATATGTAAAATTACATTACTGGGACTCGATTCATGCGCGGAAGGATAATTTGTTGCCGCGCATGATATTTGTCCGAAGAATTCTTCGATACGTGTGTGATTTCCATCCACCCACAAATATATCGACAGCATTAATATTTAAATATCCGTATAGTTTTGGCTCTCCTATATATTCTGTGCTTAATTAATTCCGCTCTCTCCTGGAAGAATAAGTTCTCCACTCCAAACACAGAGTCGGACGGTTCTTCATTGTCCGCTTCTTTCTTCAGGAAGCCTTCGCGCTGTCTGGTCACTGCATCACGGAATGCACGGGGATCGGGTTGCCGCAGGAAGGGATTCACATCTTCGGCTCGCAGCTGCATACGCATCTGACGGGCATCAAGGTCGTCACCCGGCATGTGCGAGACGGCAAGGAATTGCCGCTATTGAACTATGACAATCATTACTCCACTCATTTCCAGGAGATCAGACTGCTGCCGAAGCCGGTCACCGTTCTACCCGTAAGAGAATATTCGCGACACAGCGTTGCGCTACGTTCTCGAGACGACTCAGATTTTACGAGCGAACGTCTTAATTGGGATGTATCTCGCAGGGGGATTCCTTAATAACCACCTGCACTTACAACACCACGGACAGAGATAACGTGACTCTCGGCGGCTTCGCAATATCCGACGAGATGTGCGTCAATTACATCCACTACTACCCCAACACGCGACTCGAGGTAGAGCAGCTTCATTATCAAATAAGTGAAAGATAATGAAGAAGCGGACTCACGAGAGTTCGAGAATTGACGAATAATAGGAGCAAAGATAACTCGTATAATTGATATTTTAGGACCTTTCATGGTGTGAAGAAATACTTAATTTGGTTACCGTCGTGTCCTGCATGGATTTCTCCTCAAGGTCATTCCTCATTCTGAAGAAGTGAAATGTTCACGAAACGTCAGGGATAAATCCATGATGAACGCGGCGCTAACTCGGAAACCAGATTATGTATTCGAGTATGTAAGAATTGGCAGAATGGCAGACTTAACGGTTTAAGACAACGTTTCATGCCTTGAGTCTTTATTAGTGCACAATGACTGTCTTGAACTGTACGGAGAAAATATTGTAATAAAAATGACCACAAAATTTGGTAATATCGGAATTATGACTGAAATTATTGTGCAATCTTTACTGATGTGAAATACTTCACTAACAACACACATCGCAACTTCAGTTATAATTCCAACATGGTCCAGCATTACCAAATTTTGTGGCAATTTTTATTACAATATTTTCTCCGTATAAAAAGCCGTTCCGTTTGTGACTGATGACAAACTGTTGTAAAACGAACTAAACAAATGATAATTTAAATAGAGATTTCAAACATTGTCAACCATTCTGATATACTTTGAATCACTTAGGTTTGCAAGAGCGCCATAAGCGACGACGCGTTGAAGACGTATTTCCGCTACGTGCGAGAATGGGAGGGTCAAAAGACCAACGGCAAGAAGGGTATCTCGTCAAACTACCAAAGCATCGAATGGACCAAAGTCCGCGTACAGACTCTTCACGATCTCTACGAAGCTGCGCCTTTAGGTTCGATATTCAATTGCGTGTCTTCCCTCGCAGTCGAATTTTATTTCTCTCGTCCCAATTTTCCTTCATCGAAATTGTAAAGCCTATTCCTGAAAAATATGGACTCATAATTTTGGGAAGAATTAATTTTTTCTGCAAGGAGAAAAATAATTTGCTGACATAGCAAATTTTATGCCGTCGCAGCCAAATCTGTCGATTACTATACAGCCAGTAGAACGATTTGTCAAAAATACTGATTGCCATTCACTGGATTATTTTACTTAATCTACAAATTATTTCGCTGTGAGAACAAATTAGTAAATGTGGGAAAACACTATTTTGTTCTAACAGCAAATTAACATGAATCGATAATAAATTAATATAATAAAATTAACATAAATTGTTCGAAGGACAAATTCGCTCAACAGAATACTCTTTATCCTGATAACAAGAACATTTCTGTCCTAATTACAAGTAATTCGCTAATTTGGTTATGCCAACTAAATTTTATTGCTGTCACAACGAATACGCAGTAGCAACGATGGTCTCGTTTCGACGGCAAAATTATTTTTCCCCGTGTAATTATTCGTAACACACACACGCGCGCGCGCGCGCACACACACACACACACACACACACACACACACACACACACACACACACACACACACACACACACACATATTGAAAATATTCTTTACTAAAATTTTCGCAATTAATGCTCGTTTGGTTCATCAGGGATGCAGTGCAACAGTTCGGATGGCTCTCGGTTACCAGGTTTATGGGACAATATCGCGGCGACACCCATAAAACTGCCTATGCCACCGCCGGTCAGAGACTGTTTGGAACGTCCGAATGAGCTCAATATCCTGGAACAGATATAAACGCAGTTTAAACGCCGATCTGAAAATCTCGCTATTTATCGAATTACTCGATTCTTCGATATATCGATTGTGCAAGTATTTTTCGTGCATTAGTAGTTTTTAGTCTGAAGCATATCGAATTTAGCACTCAGAGTTCTCTGACATTTGTGTCTAACGTTAATTTAAAAATTAACAATATACCCTACAATGTATGTACACACACATTTTCAGAATATTTCTGAAAATTATATATTATCTGTAATTGAGATTACAGAAGTAGATATTATATTGTCGGCAATACACATACGCATATATATATATATATATATATATATATATATATATATATATATATATATTGTAAAAATTGGAAAATATGTTACCTTTCAATCGTGATTTACGAATCTCGTTTACACGAGATTGAGATCCCGCAATCTTGCGGTTGGCTACGAAATTTGGATTGGAAAACATTGATCAATGTGAAATACCTACTAACGATAGAGGATCCAATAAAAGAGCGGCCGATGTAAAAGTTTATAAACTTTCGGTATATATTTATGCACTTTAAGTGTTTTTGTGGTTTTTTTTTTTCTTTTGGCAGTACATCGTCTCGCTGCGGACAAGCTAGCTCGATCGAATCTCGTAACAAATAGTTTACTACGTGACGATAATTGTGTGTCTCGTGTATAGAATAGCATAATAGTGGTAATAATAATATTAATAATAACACAAATAATAATCAAAGAAAAACTCGAGTCTTTACACGTGTGAATGTACAAAAAGGGGACGACGCTCCTTAAAATGACGATATCAAAATTAAACGTATATATGCGATATTTTTTTACGGTATAATACATACACGGGGGAGGGAGAGTTTATGCACGCACACACAAAAACAAGCACACGCACGCACGCACGGTTGCCTTCACACGCACGAGATATACATATAGTTGCCTTCGCTCGAGCATAGAACAGTTTAATACTTATTCGGTTTCGTTTGCATCGAACATTCTCTCTCGTCAGACTTGATCCGTTTTCTTTTTCTTCCTCTTGCTCTCAGTGACGTAACTACAGTTGAGCGTGAGTAAGCGATCCTTTTCTTTGTAGAGAAAATTATAAGAAGAGATGATAGTTTAACACGTAGAATGGGACACGTAGGACACGTAAACCATTTCTTTCTTAATCGAATAAATGTTAGACGAGTTAAAAGATACGAATTTTAATTTTTCTTCAGTTTCACAATCTACATGATTTTTGTCGATTTGTTTAAGGCCCGAAAACTTGTAGTTGAATCACTGATTTCTGTATCTCTTTTCTTTAGCGTGCAATTATTGCAATCTCAGAGACGACTGGCATAATGCGCGGGACTTTATATATATCGAGTGTTGGATTTGTACTGCCAAACTCGCGCGTTTGTGTTCTCTCTCTCTCTCTCTCTCTCTCTCTCTCTCTCTCTCTCTCTCACACTCTCTTTCTCGTTATCAATTACATTATTCTCTAGCGTATGGGGTGTCCCAGAAATCATAGTACGGTCGAAATCCCGATTTAAAGCTCAAAATTAAGAAAAAGAGAGGAAAATATTTCGTTCATTCAAAACTCGAATTTTTCAATATTTATCTCACATTTTCGCAGAGAATCACGTTTTTTTATTGGTTAAATCGATTTTTTGGAACACCTTGCACGCACGAGAAAGGACCTTTCTCTTTGGCTCTTGTCCCATTAAGCTGCATTTAGACAATAATGAAAACAATTGCACGACAAACTTGCATCTTCGTCAGGATCTCTGTGCAGAAAAATGTAGACGCTGACAACAGAATGAAAAAAAGATTCATAAAAACGTATTGAAGAAAATTCTCTTAAGTGTCTAAAAAGGATTTCACAAATTCAGAATACCTAACACAGAGGATGTCTGGACAAATTTAAGACGTTCGCTACACGCCTTCAGATATACGTGTGTCTGAAATATGTGAACTTGCAATAGACGGCTCATGAATGCCCGAGCAACTCGGGACTATCAGACATCCTTCTGATATTCATGATGCTATCTGGAAGGTAGTCGCGTTCTCCACGCGATCAGTCTAATCACAGCTTAATTATCAAGCAGTCTGCTTGGCAATCTTTATCTCTCCCTTTCTTTCTTTCTCGCAATCGTATGTCTTTTTGGGCCAAAATTCTGAGGTCACTTGTTTCAGTGCCGAGACGGTCTCATTCTTTTCTCTTCTGCCCTTGCGAAGATTCGAGCTCTCCTTGTCTCGGAGCTTCGATTCTTCGCGATGAATTTCGCGAGTTGGTAAATTGGAATGGACGATATAATTACGTTGCGTATGCGTATAACGTAGGTTCTCCATTTTGCACGACGCGGAACGCAGTTCCCACGAATCCTCGGAAACGACGCGAACCTCTTTCTCTCTCTCTCTCTCTCTTTCACTCTCATTCTCTCTCTCTCTCATTCTATCTTTCGTTTCTCTGGATGCTTTGGCGCTTGCGAGATGAACGCTGTTGGTGAGTACACGATCCATACGATTACTCAGGGCGGCGATAGGTTAACGCGCGTTGCAATCTGCAACGCGAATATACAAAAGGGATTGCGTATAAAAAGATTTAGATTCTTTGCTAGGAACACGCCATGTGAAAAAGTACTTACTTCCTAGAGCACAGATCGCGACCGGACTTGGTTCTCGAACGACACGGAAATCCAAGAGACGCTTGAAAGACGAGTTTAGAAGATGTCTCAAACATTCATAATGGACGTTGATTTAGAGAATGTCTCAGATATTTGTAACATGGATGATTAGTTCATTCAATGTTTCGAAAAACTAACGATTCTGAAGATGCCTTAAAACAGCTAAATGTTACATCTTAAAAATGTAGTGCGTCTAACAGAGGTTCAGAAAGTTCCTCGACGGTTTAAGACGATCATTCAGACAGACATTCGAAGTATTTCGTAAGAACTTGAAACATCAGTATTTAAAGATAGATATCTCTAAGGAGAAAGAAAAAATCAGCGGAGAAAGACGTCTCCTCTTAGATCCTCGTATCATTCGGGCTGCACGTTTTCACGGTGCATAAATTTTCAGGCTTTCGAAATTTCAATTTTCGATTTTTTTACAAAACTTTTCTCCGTCAAATTGTCGGAGACTTTAATAGGACTTTTCGATATTTTCTGAGAATATTCTCTTAATATACTCAACCGAATATTACTGCAATAGTTAGGAATATTTATATCGATTTGCTTCCTCGTACACCGATACTCTTTGGCCAATGTTCCGCCTTTCGCACCACCTGGACTGCTGAAAAGTTTCTCGGTGAAAGGTCGTCGAAAAATTGGATCGCACGCGAACGAGAGACCGTCCCTCGCCGATAATATATGCGGAGTAGAAAATATATTATGGACCTCGAAAGTAAAAAGATATATGTATGCTATATATTATTATGTACGTTCTCTAAGAGCAGCTCTGCTACGTTACTTTGCGCGAATACAGTTCCGTCGAAGCTAGCAGCAGCCTATCGCTTTAATACATTTCGGCTCTCCGTACTTCTACTTCTGGAAGTCGCGCGAAGGAGGATACGCCGCGCGAAACTAACGTTTCTACGAGGGAGACCGGTGATGCGATCGTCAGTGAGGGAAAGGCTGTCCGAAGGATATTGATTTCACACGGTTGTGTTGCTATACATCTCTAGCAAGCTGGTTGCGCATTGGAAAACGCGTTAAATTCGCATTATCGCGTCATTCAAAGATAAGCAACACGCTGGATCTGCAATACAAACGTTCGTGAAAGACAACGTCCTTCGGACAACCGCGCGTGATCTCGGGGAGAAGATCGCCGCGTTTCTCGAACGGAGCGAGATCAAGGAGGAGGGGACTCTGTCGACTAGAGCGATTGATTGTTCTGTTGCATGTGCAGCTGCAGGAAGCAGTAGAGAATGCCGGCTTGCGCCATCACGTCGACGGTACCGGCAGCGAGGGGGTCGCGGCTCTTGGCGTCGCTGCGCGAATTGGTGCCGGGTCGCAGCAACGTTGGCCCGAACACCGTCGCCAGATTGTGCAAGGACATCTTGTTCTGCGCCTCGTGTTTGTTGACACGCGCCAGATGCGCCAGAAGAAAGTCTATTACCGCCTTGTTGACGGCCGGCAGGCCCTCGTAGACGCGACGTAGTGCGGCGCCCCGCGACAGATCGCCCGTCTGAAAGGCTTCCAAGAACGCCGGGTAGAGCGCGTCGGTGAACAATGCCTCCGGCATCTCGCGCAGGTATAGCTTCAGCACGCCCGTCACCGAGTGCACGTCCACCTGTTCGCACGTGGAAGAATATCACGAACTGATTCTCAGTATACGTAATCGATCAATCTATATTTCTTCAAGTTTATGTATTCCAAAAGACGATAGAAGCAAGTGGGATTTCAAATAAGGCTCCTCGCTTGTTTGATGAAAACGCAAGTTAAGAATTCTTGCGTTGAAAAAAGTAAAAAGATCACAAAATGTGATCGATTCACTTGTAATTACGAAATAAACAATCAGAAAGTGTAAACAAATCAAGCACACCTCTTTGAGTAGTTGCTCCGCTTCGTACGAGTTGCTCTCGAACGACTTGCGTAGCCTCGCCAAATCGGAAGCCGAACCGGAAACACGATACAAGCCCACTTCACCGACGCCCCGTCTCTCCACTTCTCGCACGCATGCCGTTATTATAAAAGGCACGTCGCGTTTCTCCCGTCTACAAACAAAGAGGTATAACTGTCGGTCCTGATAATTAAAAGAATGGAAAACATATACGATGAAATTACTATGGTATAATTAAGTAGGATGAAGTAAAAAGTTACATACTTGCAAACTTGCTGAATCTTGGCGCCAAACAAGCCCTGCGGCTTAGCTGACGGCACTCGCCTCAAGGTGACTTCACTGGGAACGAAACGCAGCGCCACGTCTAATGTCGCAGGCCCCAGGTTAAGTGACCTCTCCACTTGGTCGGACTGCAACCAGGATCTACTCAGTCGCTGAATGCATTTCCCTCGCAGCACCGAACGCGCCCCGCATTCCTCGTACAACAGAATTCTGACGTTCTGACTTCCCTCTAATTCCACCACGAAGGTCTCGCCTGCGATTAAGAGTTATTTTGACAGTCATTAAATTATGTATGAAGACATTTTATTTCTCAAGATATATCAATTATTAAAAGGGAATATTATTTATTATCAAAGGAACGTTAAAAGGTCTAAAAAAAAAAAATAATGGTTTAATCACCCCAAATCGGAGCTTGACCTCTCGCGACACGACTCCGCGCCCTCTTGAAGTAGTGTCCGTAGCTGTCAACCTCCACGATAATGTAGAGATCGCCCACTCTGTCTAAACCCGGTGGAGTTAAACCAAGTAACGTGAGGTGGAGGTCACCCAGCAGCAAGCTCTCATCGCGTCCTGACCTCAACAAGTAACTGCCCATATCCGTCTGCAAGTATGTTCGACAAGCAGTGACCCAAGCTTGCAGCTCGTACATTGACAGCGGCAATTGTCCCGGAGGTTGTCCACCCTGTAAAAGTAGAACATTATTTGTCACGCTCCCTTCAATACTCCCTAATCAAATAATTATGTTACAAAATATCTTAAAATTGCACAAACACTCTGAGCTGACCTGTTGCAACGCCTCCACCGCCTCTACCCATTGAGAACGCTCAAACTCACTGGACAGGAAGAAGGTGTACGAGTTTTGCACTCGGTTCTGTTGATTCTTGTGCGCGACACGCAGAACCAAATTCGGTGAGGCCAACACCAGCTGGGCCTCGAGTTCGGCAAGCTTCTTGCGATTTTTCTCTGAGCCCCTGCCGCCCAGTCTGATCCGTTTCTCATCGTTCCGCTCCTCCCACAATATCTGGTCACGCACCGTGCATGCTTGTGACCTGAGAACGCAATATCGTTTAAGTAAACAGGCATATGAGAACGACTTAACTATCACAAATAATGAGGAAAGTGAGCTTCATTCTTGAAACAGTAAGTAAACACTAAATCAGCTTCAAAAGAAACGGGTAAAAAGTCTTTTCCAAATAATTTGTACGTTGAAAATTGATTATCTATTATATCATTTCTCCGAGAGATTAAAAACACTGATCTTGTAGTGAAAGTCAATGAAGAGTAAAGTTGGAATTTTGGGGAACTAAAGAGTTACACAGAACCTAACAGAACCTAAGTCTTAAACGCATGTTCAAATACAATAAAACTCTTCGCAAAAAATTAAATTCTTGTTGTTTCTTTTTTTTTTTCAAATTCACATTTAATGAAGTAAAACAGTACTGGAGTTATTGCTCATTCCAATGTATTTCCAGGACATGCCAGATCTTTTCATCGAAGAAAAGCAAATTTTAAAAAAACGAAAAACATTTAATATTACGGTGTTTTTTTTTTTATTATTAAAAGCAGACTAGTTAGTCAACTTCTTAGAAAGAATAAAAAATAATATCCAATTGAAAGAAAACACAGTTAAATGTTCCTGACGGTCCATTTTCTTGGTTACATTTGCAAATAATTCTTTTTGGCTTAATAGACAAACAAGAATTGTAGATGGACAAACGATTCCATTACGTAATTTAAAACAAACACAGGTGTGCTCGTCTGATTTTCTGATAAACCCGATAAAAATGATTTAAAAGTAACATCACAGTTTTTCATTCTATGAACCTTATGAACATCGGAATCATTTCTATTTTCATTGAACCTTTTGTTTTCAAAGAAGTCAGTTATCGAACATAATTTCATAATGATTCTAGTTTCTCTTTTAAAGCTCTCTTTTTAAGCTGTTTTAAAGCAAGTCGAGGAAGCAAAAAGGGAGAAAAGTGTTTTCTTAAAAGAAAGAAGAAGTAAGACGTTTGAAATGAGCGAGTCACTCCTATACCTGCTGCAAGTTCTTCTAATCAATGAAAATTCGACTTACTCCCGATCATAGGTTATTTCTGAAGTAGTTTTGTAATGTCTAAAAAATGCATGTAGTAATAAAGATAAAGCGGGCAGGACGGTTCCTATTGTCACCTAGATCTGGCAATTAGGCATTCTGGCAATAAAGTAACAACTTTCGCGCAATTTTGCAAGCTCACCTTAAAGCTACCACGTTAGCGGGACTGGCCTCGCGCGGCTCTATGCCGTCTTCCGTGACGGTGGCCTCGGCCACCGGCACGTACCACTTCAGCTCAAACGTGAACTTGTCCCTGCCGGACGCTTTGTACTTGGCGCATGCGATCACGTCGTTAAACAGGAAGAGGTGTCGTAGCTTTCTGTGACCGTCGGACAGCTCCACCACGAACGAGTTCTTCACTAATCTTCGTTGAGCTCTGTCGTGACTCTACACACACAGAAGCGTTTCGTTGAATATGCACATTAAATCCACACACGTTGAATCGGTTGCGCACACACGTCCATTACATACAAATTAGAGCGCAATAAAGGATTATCGTGTGATCGCTAATAATATCACATCTTACCGGAAACATGGACTTCGTTTGAATGATATTGAATTCATCGAGGAAGTTCCTGGTCATAGCCAGAGCTTCTGACAGAGGCGCGTGATCCGCATGGTTGACTGGCGTATGCTTAAGAAGATCCTGTCGCGGAAAAGAACGAATCATCGATACAAAATTACAGATAAGATAAATGAGAGATAGTGGCCGATCTAACATCATAAAGTTCTCATAGTAGGTTATCATCGCGCTTTTATCAATTTTATTAATGTGAAGAATCTCGGAGGCGTTCTTGCGTGATATGTATTGCATGAATGAAAAAAAATCGATATACAAGGTGTCTCAGAGCGTCATTACACACACACACACACACACACACAGAGTTATATAATAAGAATATCTCATATTTCGCGTAAGATTGTTTTCTTTTTTCTCAAAGCATCAATCAACAGTAATTGAATTTTAACTTTTAATTTTTTTTTATCTCAGGGTATCTAATTCTGTATCGGTTCTATGATACCAGCAGATATTAAAGAACCAACTCTAAAAATTCCAAGCTACTTTAAAGGCTACGCATTATAAATTAATACAATATACTTACGTGTAAGACTAATGCATTCTTCTGCACTCGTGCGACTGGCTTGTGTAACAAGTCTTCCAAGGACAAACCCGGGCCCTTCGGGAAACCCCTGAGCCTTATGTCTCTGGTAATTTCTCCGAACTGAGTGGAATGGGCGGAACACCGTCGCACGGTATCAGTCGCACGAGCGTAATTATGCAAAAACGCACCGTATAATCCTATATTACTGGCCATAATCTGAAACCAACATGACACGTTACGTTTATTATACACGTCGTTTGACTAAGAAGCAAGACACACACTTTTGTTTCTATAGGAAATATAATTATCGCGCTAATAACTCAAATCGCTTCTGCAGGCAACCCAACCTTAAATTGTTCTCCTATAGTAGTCTTGCTCTCCCATTTCTCCGTCTTCTTCCGAAGACCGTCCAGAAATGTCTGATGCAGACCATGCAGTTCCGGAATCTTGTAGAACATTGTCCCGAACTCATCCTCCGAGATGACCGGTTGAGATGTCGTCAGAGTTGCCCTAATAGCTTTCATATACTACGAAAAAAAAGGCAATAGCCTACGCTTAGCAAACGCTGTAATAAACTCCCACCTTCCATAACCGCAATTTCCCTAAAGGGTTTTCTATAATAAGCCATTAGTCATCGCTTATATCATACTGCTGATAAGTCAGGATGATAAATCTCAGGAAACTTGCATCAGGAATAGATCGTAGTAGATCGTTGAGTCACGATATTTCAGCCAATCAGAGGAATGTCAATCGGTCGATCAAGGCACACATTGCTTTTCAGCCATAACGTAATCTAAGCCGTAAGAGATGAAATCTGGCCATTTCCACGCAGTCACTGATCACTGACTTGTTATCGCTCTACTGACAACTCGTTCCTGATCTATCGCTGACTGACTTATTGTAGACAGCCCTTAAATTGCGCCAAACTCCGATTAAACTAAGCGACGATTAACCCTAATTGTGCACACTAGGGTATAACTATGGACCCCAGTCGGCTTATATTTTCATCGCGCTTCTCTTTATATGCTTTCAATAAAATACTCAGGTGAACATTCGCGATCATTCCTTCACATAATACTACTCTACAGGTATCAAAATATATTGATGATTTTCTATAAATTTTTATCACTTAAAATAAGCTAGGACAAAACTGACTCCGCAAAAAGATGTGTGCACTTACAAAGGTTACCAATTGAAATTTCTGTCGCGGAAAAAGTCAGGGAAAGTAGTTGACAATTGCAGCTCTGTGAGTGGCCTGAACGACCAAGCCTAAATAATCAATCACTTATTGGGATCTTTCAAGGAAGAACGTACTTGTAACATCACAGTCAAACATTCCACGTATACAGCCTCGCTCTCCACCACCGAGTTCACAATGCACTTGACCATCGACGTCCTGTCGTCCTCGCGATCCTTGCTCTTCTCCTGCCTGCGTGGCGTCGTAGGGGTCGGCGATTCCAGACTGCCTTCGCTCAGACTCAGAGGCTCGGCGTCGCTGCTGCCGGTCTCGTTGTCAGTGCTCAGAGCTCGCAGCAAGATCGGGGGCGCCGGACTGGCGCCCTCCTCATCCTCGCTGTCCATCGCCGCTCTGTGCCTGACGAGAACGAGACGCGATATTAATCACGCTCCGGTCGCGTGCTACGGTTGAAAGATAAAGTGCGAAAGACGACGACGACGACTTACTGTATGAAATAATCGATGTTGACATAATTACTCTGATTGCCCGGCGAGTCCGGCAGCGAAGGCGGCCTTCGAGGAGCCGCCGCTTTGCCGCCGCCGTCGTTGTTGACTGCCGGCACGCGCGCGTCGATGTATACGTACTCGCCGGTCTGGTCCAGGGCTACTGAATCGTAATAAGGCTCCTCCTCCGACGCTTCCGCGTCACCGTCCTCACCATCCTCGTTGGCCGCTTTTTCCAATTCTACGCAATGCCACAGAATAGTATCTCTCGATACATAAACTTATCTTTTAAACGAAAGATTAACGTCGCGATTACCTTTCTCATCTTCCTCCTTCAGCGATTCCTCGGTCTTTTCCTTCTTCGAGCTGCCAGTGACCTCGATCACAGTGACATAATTGCTCGGCACATCCGGATCGCTGTTTCTTCTAAGTTCAGGCACTTTCTCGGGACTTCTCGGTATCTCGCTCTTCGGTCTCCTGTTGGCCGTGCCGAGAGTGGAGCTCAATTCGGAGACACATTTGTCTTGGAACTTGCTGATGTCCTCCCGTTCTGTAAGAGTGGGAGGGGCGGACGGTTCGACGTTCTGCGAGCTCGGCGGATCCGCCGAGACATTCCTCTCCGACGCTTGACAGTCCTGCTGGGACTCCGCCGCTTGCTTGTTCTCGGATATGCTTGTCGCATTAGTGCTGTTGGCCAGCTGTTTGTGTCGCTCGACATCAGCCAGCAGTCTCTCCAAATATTCCACATAAAACTCTTCCTTCTCGAGTTCTTCTCTCAATGCCGTGACCTGCAGGGGGAATTATTTAATATCACGTTTGAGATCGATAGACAAATTGGCTTTAGGAAATATTGGAGAACAACTCGGATTATTTCGCAAAAATCTTAACTATGTTCTTCGCAAGATCACACGAATCATCATATAATTAAGGTCACTTAATAATAAATGATAAGCACACTCTGATAAGCAGTATCTATTTATCTTTTTGCGACAAATTTGTCAAGGAATTTCTCGCAAAATTATATATGCAACGATCAGTTAACTGCATGAACCTTTCATGTGACCTAATCAGCTCCATTCGCACGGTGTGATAATACAACGGAGATAACTCCCCTATGATTCACGAGCAGTAGTTTAAAAACAGGAAGCCAGTATTTATCCGTTCATTGTTTATTTATTTGCCAAAATTATCGCGAACAACAATAGCAGTTCGCTCCAAACGGACGCTCTGTCACTAACAGGCTATTAATTTGATGATGAGTCATCAAGCTACTCCGTGGTGTTAATTGAATTACACATGAGCGAGTTTTCATTACAAGCGGTGAAATTCAATTGTCCTCACTCCACATCAACATTCTGCTTCCTCGTAAAACTCTATTATCCTCAAACACATATACATTCAAAACTCACACCACTCGAACGTGACTAATAAATACCTGGTAAACATTGCGACACTTTGTACACACACACACGCGTGCACACAACTAGTTGGTTATGCAAGACGCATCCTTATCTCACGCATCCTAGATTGTACAATCTGCAGTAATCATGGATCGTGTTACACCCAAAAGTTTACCTCTTCGTAAAAACTCGATGTCGAAAGACTCCATGGAAATGAAGTTTGCCGACCTGATGACTCATCAAGCCAATCTATCATATTAATCATAGAGCTAATTGAATTAAATAAAACCGCACGCAACGTGCGCGTGCGCACAGCATACAAATTATTGAATATTAATATATCCACCTAATAAATATATTCCATCATGGCACTTCCTACGCAATCACAACCTAGATGTTATGCAAGTAGTATCGTACTTTGTAATCACCCACAAAAACTTATTCCCGGTTCTCTCAACCCGATTGAATCACTTCAGCTAGCCCAATCGTCGGGTCCAGCCAACTCTTGTCCTTCCTCTGCAGAACGACGAACGACGAAGTCGCACTCACCTTCTGCTTGTGTTTCACCAGATTGGCTCGGACGTCCTCCTCCCAGGCAGCCGGCAAGGCGCTGTCCGGGAAGCGCTGCACCCAGACACGCTGGAAGTCCCCGAAGACGCTCATGCCGCTGACCAGCACTTCTCCTCCTCGTCGGCGGCGACACTTCGGGACTCCAGCGGTGCACGAGCAAGTTCAGGATGCCGTCGTGTGCATCGCACGACGACGATGAGGACTGAGACGAGAGAGTCTATCTATCTCGGTCCGCCCTACTCGCTCGGATGCACACACCCCGTGCACAAACGTTCCTCTGACGTTTTCCGGTGTCTGCTGTCGAGCCGGTGTCGAGGCGTTCGCCAGCCCAGCGTCGTCATACGGCCGCTGTCATCTTGTGGTCGACATCTCCTGCGTAGGTCACGTTCGGATCGCGCCACCGCCACTGACCGACACCGCGGTGACCCTCCCCTGGCGCGCTGCCGTCGCTATGCTACCTTCGACGTAACTGCTCGCCCTATGCTCCGATATGAAAAGCGAGATAAACACCGAGAGTGTCCGGATTTCTCTCGATACGCCTCTCGCGACACCATCAGGGCTCTTTGCTCAGAATGGCGAATGGCATATGAAAGAGTTAAAAGATATTCATCGGTAAATATTCCAAGAGTTCTAGTATGTAGGACACAAGAGGGCAGCACAAATTTTCCAGAGTGTTGTGAAAAGATTAATTCGAATTAAACCAACTTGACGGATACAAACGAGAGTCATGCGATTGTTCTCATACTTATTTCAAAACATATAGAAATGTATTGCAACTATGCGATTTATTAAACTTCCACATGTACAAAAATTAAAAGACTAACTCTCTTTGGGTTAGAAGCAAAATTTAATGGATTGTAACTACTATAAAAATAACGATAATGAGGTCATTCGAGGATCATCTTAAAGCGTGAATCTTCATGCACATTTCCGAATATAATAATAATAAATAACAAAGTTAGTAATATAATAAAGTTTATCTATTTTTTGCAACGTTACTCGAGTTAAATATTTAATGAAGTTTCTTAAGTTGTAGACGAAAAGTCGAACTGTCCTTTACATTATTTGTAAACCTCGCTCCTTAATTTGCGTTTATACAGATTTCGATGCGATCATTTTCACAGAATTTTATTTAATATCAAAGCAAAAATGTTTAGCTTTGATCACTCATAGAAGACGAACGAATTAATATATGATAAAATATGAAAATGAAAGACTGAGTTTTAAAATGTTTCTCGAACTATTTTATTCTATCGTCATTTCTATCAAAGCCTGTTGAATTTCGCTTGTATTTCATATAATGGAAAGTGCGACTAACAATATTTTGAATTAGGGTAAATTCATGACGGAAAAACAGAGGAACGATCAAAATTCGCGCTAATAGTAGATAAAGCAGAATGGCACGATTCTTCTGATTGGCTGCTGCTTTTCTCTCAAGGTGTGAATTCTCTCTTAAGCTTGATTTACAATATGCGTTTCCTCATTTCTGCCTTTTGTTTCTCGTTTCTTGTCGCTTAAAGGGTCAAAAAACGTTGTCACGTACAATCTGTTGTTTTCCATTACTTCGCATGGACCAATCACAGAATAAAACAGTTGTGTTTTTATAGGCTGACTAATACAAACTCTTGTGTTTCTTGTCGCTCGAGATAACGATAAGCGGGATCTCAATGAGAATTTATGATTTGAGAAATCGGCCAATCACAATCGACTCTTCTTCTATAATTCGACTGTGATTGGTCAATTTCTTGCAATTTTATCATATATTAATTCGTTCGTCTTAAATAGGAAGCCCTCGAAACAAGCAACATAACACACAATTGTCGGTAAAGCAGAAGAAGTAAAAAAGACAAGAAATAAATAGCAAAATACTACTGTGATGAAAAAGTAAGCGCAGTCTTTGCTCATTATATGTCAAAGGAAGATAAAATGTGAGTATAATTCGGACCGCGGCCAAAAAGAGATCAAATGACAATTTACATCGTTGTAAGAGTGAATCAAACCTATCTTTAGTGTCAGTCCACAATAGGTATTTTAAGAAATTGGCCAATCAGAGTCGAATATGAAGAAAATAATTAACTGTGATTGGTTGTCAATTTCTTAAAATACCTATTGGGGACCGGCACATATATGCCGAAGAAAGACAGTGCTGTAAGTGTGAATCAAACTGCAGCCTTATTCTTCGTGAAAAAGGTCATTCTTTCATTTTTGCAGATAAATATATTCGTGACAATTTAATCTCGCGGCAACTCAATTCAACTCAACTCAAAATTTCAAATAATTATTTTTAAGTAACAGGACTCAGTGACAGTTCAGACGTCCAGGTCGACGGGGCGAGACGAAACTTGCCGCTGCTGATGTGGGGTCGCTGGCCGAAAGCATTCACCTGGTTCACACAAGCCGGTCTTCTCGCTCCGAAGCCTCATCAAAAGTTTAGAATCCGGAAAATTGCCTGACATTTTTAAGTTTCGAATTTTAGAGCTTGTGGGTGTTTAGATTTTTGAAACTGTCTATAGTTTGAGCTCTTAAACAAGGATAGCTGTACAGGTTGGTGCATGTTAGTGTATGTTTTGTATAAAAATGTGCAGATAGTACCAATTAAGTTACAAAGTAAAAAATGTTTCTGCACATATTTTGATGATGTTATGCAGAAAGTGCAATGTGATGGAATACAAAACTGGTCTAGAACCAAACGCGTTATCATCAAAGGCATGTGATACAATTTTAAAGCAAACTTTATTAACGAGTGAGTTTGCATCAATACTTGTGCAACATATCCAAGAATTTTATAAACATTTACTTCGTGTTTAAAGTCAACAATTGTGCACAGTTCCAGAATATGTGTGTGGAAATACAAGTGACAAACGACAAACTACAATTACAGAATCTTGTTCTGGAAATAATAATGCATCATGAATTAGGTATGATCATATTAAATGATAGAGTAGTTACTTAAATAAGCAGCAGGGATTTATAATTATGAGAGACCTGTGTTTAACATTTCATGATTATTATAGTCTCTTTAAATTTATATATACAAATAAGATGCAAAAGAAAATGACAAATCTATTACGTGACAAAATGATTATTCGCAACACCTTATGAATTATCCCCTTCTGTATATCGTATTTCAATACTACATAGATATATCAATTCTATAAGATATTATTCGTTTCTATCGTGAAATTCCCATAAATAACATAGAACTCTTTCTTTATCTATGATGCTAAAGGAAACGTTATAATACGTATAGAAATAATGGGGAAAGTAATTATCGAAATAAACATTGAAGAGAAACTAAAGTATCATTATCAATATAAGTCAATTTCTGCACAATATCAAATATGTTAAATTTGGGAACAACTATATATACATTGAAATGTTTGAAAGTTTTACAAACTCATGTAAAATATATTGGTGAAATTTTCCATGGTTGAAAAAATGTTTAACTCAAAATTATTAGCGATTATTGTCACAACGACTAATAAACTAAAACATTATATACAATAATGTGTTTGATGTAACTTTCAAGAAAAAAGTCCTATTAATTATGTATGTTAAATATATACATATATTTTTTTTTTTGGCATTGAAATAAATATTATTTAATGTCATTATTGTTACATGTTTTTTTTTTTTTAGATGCTGCATAATGTGTTTTAATTTTACTGAATCTCTTGCTTCAAGTTAATTGTATATTTATATATATATATATGTATATATGTACAACTGACTATAAAGAATAAGTTTCAATATATAATAAAGTAATAAGTACACACTTATAGCACACATACACACGGCACATACTACACATACAAGTGAACACGCTATAGTTCCTCGTGTTGTCCTAGATGGCAGAACTGTCCCACGGCTAAGTCTGTGAGATTGTTCCCCCTGGTGCAAGTACAGCAACGACGACGACGACGACCACCACGACGACGACGACGGGCGACAACGTCGTCCTCTTCGAAGAGAGAGGCAAGGCACGCTCATCAGCATGGCCTCGAGCTCCAGCCCTTCGGCCGAGGTACTCATGTACAAGGGCAAGCGCGGCGCGGCCTCTTACATCCACGGCGAATGCAGCAACCCAGGCCTGGACGGCGGCGGCACGCAGCTCCTCAACGAGCTGCTGGACATCCTGCTGAACCCCAGTAAACCTATCGACGAGTGGGAGACCATAGACTGGTGCAAGTGGTTGATGGCCGGTGGTAGCACGCCCGACGAATTCGCCAGCACAGGTGGATAACACACAGGATATTTTATGGTCTGATGGAATGTGTGGTTAGAGAGATGAAATTAGAGCTTTGTCCGGGGAATCTTAATCGAGATATCATCAAATGACGGGTTGTTGTTACAATTGATACGACCGGTTATGATGATTCATCAAGGTGGGACAGCGCATGCCTTTGGAACAAGGCGCTTTGTTGAGCAGCTGCCGTTTAATTATCAAATGATAAGAATTACCATCATTGTTGATAAAGTTTCTTTTATAGAGTAACGGGTTTCTACGGATGATGATGATGGAGCAAAATTGTATTAAATGAGTTATTGTTATATAGTAAATTTCTGTATAATAAACGATAACCTACAGCTGGCAACGAATGATTAAGATTCCTTATCGACATTCTTTGTTGCAACAGACATTTGATGCCTCTCTATATCGCAGAGTTTATAAACGGTATCTGGATATAAATATGACGCAATTTGCGTTTTTGGCAACAGTGAATTTTGCAGACGAACATATAGCCACCAGAACAAGTATAGAATCGTATCTATAGCTGATGAAAATAGACAGATTGGTCTGACTGGTGTTACAAGATTTACATTTGCAGCTTATGCTCCGTATGTTATGTAAGAACACAGTTTGAAGAAACACCGATTATTTAACAAATCCGTCGCTTGTTTCAGTACGCATTTACGATAATGCCACTACGTGCGGTCTGGTTTGGACGCCGAACTTCGTCGCGTACCGCTGCCGTACATGCGGCATATCGCCATGCATGTCACTGTGTACCGAATGCTTCAAGAAAGGCAATCACTATCGCCATGATTTCAACATGTTCCTCAGTCAAGCGGGAGGCGCATGCGATTGCGGTGATACATCTGTGATGAAGGAGACTGGGTAAGGCGAACCAACGCGCGCTTGTTTGCCAACCGATCTCTAATTGATGCATATCTTGCAGATTTTGTGATAAGCACGGGCCAAAGGCTGCTGTAAATAAATCAGCCGCACCGTCGGATCTCATGTGCGTGGCCGAAGCGATGATGCCTAGAATTATCCTTCGACTTATACAGCATTTACGCGAGAATTGGTACGTTAAGTATTACGAGAGGTAAGTTACAGCCGGTCGGCCTCTTTTCGCTGTACTTTGCTCGTCGTATCGCTTGCTCGTAGCTGCGCTAAGCTGTCTACAACCTTGCTTTTATCATTAGCCTTAATATATGATCAAATAATCCACGATACCTACTTGAGAAAACTCAAAGTCGATTATTCTCCCCGGTCGAGGAATTATGAACTGCGATTGATCAGTTTCCTTGTGATGAGAATTTCTTTCATGACTTACGAATTAAATTCAGATATGACGTCACCTTGTATCCATTTGAAGCTGGGACTTATATTACTGTATTTCAAGCTACAATAAAGCCGCGATGTGGTGATAAACCATAATTAATAAATAGCGATAACAGATAAGTAGTTAAACTGCATATTTCAGTAAAATGGGTGTGCCGGACTATAGAGGTGCTATACATGAGGCGGACTCATACTTGGGCATGTTGCTGGACTTGAACAACATGGGCGCACTCATGAGGCATGTTATGACGTCAGCCCTCACGAATCCGCAGAAATATCGCGGTCTCATGGATCCGTCTGTTTTAACGGGGCAATCGGAGTACGATAGCTATTGCCAAGATAGCAATAGAATATACCAGCATGCCGTGAAGTCGCTACCGAATCCGGAACCTCCTGACGAATACAAAGGTAAAAGCTGCCGTTGATACAAACTTTCGAAAACAGATTAGGATCTCAAGCGCACCGGCATTGATAATTACTTCTGCGTTGCAGAATGTGTGTCACTTCAAGAGCACTTGGAACACACCACGTTCTTGGAGGAACTGATGTTCTGGACTGTTGCCTACGAGTTCCCGCAGAAATTGGTCTGTCTGTTGCTGAACATGCTACCGGATCCCGATTACAAGGAGGCTTTAACTCGCGCGTTCGTCTTACACTACAGTAGAATATCAATGATGCTCGAACGTTCTACGGATCCCGATACGCTGAGCAATAGAGTAGTGCACGTTAGCGTACAGGTAATCGTTTAAACGGCTATGTTTTACCTGAAATTCTTCGTATGGCCTCCACTTGAAGCGACGGTTGTAAACCGCATGAACACATGTAGAATGATTCTAAGATGAAATTAAATGTGTTTCTCTAAAGAACATCAAAATCAATTTTAAATAGTGAATGTAAGTAAAATCTCTTGTTTTGGGTAATGTCTTTGGGAATTAAATGTTGAGAAAGAGTAATAAAAAGTATCAAGGGGAGATTATTTATTGAGACCGTTTCGGAATTGAATTTTTGTCCCAAAAAATTTGATTTTTATATCTTTCTATGACGTATTAATTTCTGATTTTTAACTTTTCAGCTGTTTAGTAATGAAAGCCTAGCTTTAAGGATGGTTGATCAGTTGAAACTGTTACACGTTATGGTTATCAGTTTAAAGTACATGATGAGCAAGATACTCATTCAAAACACCTTGCACGGTACGTATGCCCTGCTGATGAGATGTAAAAAGAAATGTAGCCGAATAACAAGAATGAAAGCGTTTACGCGTGCTAAATTACAAGATTCTCCATTTTTACACTTCAGATCAAGACAAAAACTTCCATTACGTCGTGGATTGTGGACGTCAAGTGATGAAAGAGCATTGTTATTGGCCCTTGGTTTCTGATTTGAACAATGTGCTCTCACATAAACCGGTCGCCGTCAGATTTATGAGTGATAATACTCTTCTGGAAATGTGGTTCGATTTCCTATCAATGTTTCAAGGTATTTGCGACCCGTATCCGATAAAGTAATTCACGAAATTAGAAAGAATAGCAATGTGTCAGCACATTCAAATAGACAAATTGACTATTTCGCTATTTTCTTATTGAACGTCATTTTTTTCTAAATTATGCGACAGATTAGAAAAAATATTTTATATATTTTATAATCTATATACAATTTTTTATCCTATATATATATATATATATACACACACACACACACACACCTTATATTTTATGTTTTTGGTGCACACGAGAATACGATGATAGGTTGACCGTTACATTAATCGTTATATTTCAATCGTCGTATCACAGGTATGAACGTGAATCAACGGGAGTTAAGCCAACATGTCGAGTTCGAACCTAACACGTACTATGCAGCATTCAGCGCCGAACTGGAAGCCAGTGCGTATCCGATGTGGGCCTTGGTTTCGCATCTTCGTGGTCCCGAGAGCTCTACCCTTAGTCGAAGAGTGCTCTCGTTCTGCCTGACAGCTTTGCAAGATTGGCTAGACGCCGTCAACTACACACAGCCAAACGTGGTGAGTGTAACTCTCGTTAAAATCTAACATAAATTTAATATATCTATAAAATTATTAGAAATCTGTAAAAATAAATAATTAGAGAAGCAAAGTACGATTAAGTGAAAATACTTTATAATGGAGTAGAAAACATAAAAATTGATTAGTATTATTTGACGACTATATCGGAAAGGAGGGATCTCGTCGATTCATTTCTCGGAATAATATTATTTATATGTCCCTTTTCTTCCAGAGCGATAGTCTGCAAGTATCGTTTCATCTGCCACTTCATCGGTACTTTGCGGTATTCATGTGTCAAGCGATCAGGCAACAAGGAGCATCTCTTCATGATCTGTTACCGCCCAAGGACGTGCTGCATCTCCTTATGATGCATCCATTGCGAGTGCAGGTGAGTGCGCTTTTCCTTCCGTCCCAATAATAATTAACCCTTTGCGGCCCGATGATACGCGATAAACATCGTCTAAAGGATATTCAAGCCTTTTGTAAACAAGTTATTCAATTATGTCGATGTGAATTTGACAGATCGGGTTGAAAAATTTTTTTTTTGTTTTTAAATTATGAACATTTATACGAGTAATTTTTTCATGACTCGGTATGGACTGTTTTGGATAAGAAGCAATTAAAATATATATTTTTAATCCGCGAGGAGTTAATGTGAATTGTATAAGGGACATTCTCTTCTCGATTAACTATAAATGCCTCAACGATGAATGATTACATTGGGAAGTGTGTACGCAGATATGAATTTTATCATATATATCGAGACAATTTATTTTATGAAATTTATATATATTTGTATAGTTATATATGGCGGAAGTTAGAAAGAAAAATCCATATATTACGTACAATATAAAAATATTATAATATTGACTATAAAGTTACACACGCTCTACAGTACACAATTGACGAAATTGTTTCACGTTCACAATACTAAAAAAAAAAATGAACACCGTACAATGTTCCAACTTCAACTAATCTTGAATTTACATAAAGCAAAATATCTTAACGGTAACGAAACCTAGCTATCCAAGTGGTAGTAATAATTTTTTGCCGTATATAATTACTCTTATTTGTCTCTCGAAATCGAGTGATTCTGTCAATGAATTATATTTTACGTTTATATATACGTCATTTATAAATTTGCAAACTTAAAAATGAAATGTATATATAAAATAGAACTGCTGGTCTTATGGAGAAAAGACTCGATATTTGGTAAATTAGATTTACAAAAACCTAAGACTCGCAACTCAAACGCCTCGCTCTAAATCAGTCGTACTGAATCACAACTCTTCTACAATCCCATTGAGTTCTGTTATTCTCGAGAAGGGATTTTTCAAACTCACGGGGTGTCATTACACTATCGATTTGGCACACGATACACCGGTGAACGACGGCGAGTTTAATACGCGCGTTAGAGCGAAACTTACGGTTGCTTGTCCTATTCATCTACTTACACGCAATTACATATTTAACATATATAGAACATAAATGTACGTATCCACCTCGACATTGAGGTCCTCGGTAGATCACAGGTTCTTTCATAATCTAAGTGATTTAGAAGATCCCACCTTGCGAGAAGGGGAGGAGTAATTGATAATGTGCTATTTTCTCTGGGCTCTGATTTCGTTCGGGGTTTCGAGGAGAGGCGGTGCTGGCGGCAGGTCGACCTGCAAGTGCGGCGTGAAGTCGTAGGTGATGAGTCGCAAGGCGACGAAACCGCCTGAGCCCTTGCGTCCCTTGTGAAAGATACCGGCGCCCGCAATCAGTATCGGCGGACTCGGCGTGATCGGTTGCACGTCTAGGAACGGTACGGTGCTCTGCGCAGCGTCCTTACGTCGGTCGCTGGGTGCGAAATTCAGGTATTGGTTCGTCCCGGAGTCCGGCAGATTTTCGGAATCGCGAATCGGCACATCCGGCTCGCTTAGTTTCAGCTCAGTTCTGCAAAGTGGAAGAGTAATTAAGAGTTATTGATAGAGGGAAATGTTGGATTTATAACAACATCGGCCCTCCCACCTGTCGGTCATGTCGTTACTGTGCCAGAAACTCTTCTTCTCGGGCTCGTCTAACAATCCGGTCGAAAAGTTGAATGGCGTCGCCATGATTTCCAAATTCAAACGGCTACCGATCATGCGGAACCGAATGCCTGAATAATACAGAGGGAGGATATAGTTTTATCACAATTTACACGTATCGCTTGCTTCAGCTTCTATCTCTTTTTTGAATTCGAGTTATACCAGTCAAGAGATGACCCTCCGGTGGCAGTAAGTCATCGAGATCCAAGGCTCGTTTCTCCCACACGAGTTTGTGATAGTCCACGCCGTTTTGGACGTTAGAGTTCATGGTCGAGAACTTGTCGATTGGTATCCACTTGATGCTGGACATATTGAGCCCTCCACGTGGAAGTAATTGGCCTTCCTGGATTTGTATGTGAATAATCTGGTCTACCTTCTTCAGCCTCGCCCCAGTTATGACTCTGTAAACAAAAGGGACGGTTATCTGAAACGAATCTCATCTCAATTAAACTCTGACACGAGACATAAATTCTGGCAATTTTTCCATTAACATTTTAATAATATTGTTTCAGTATTTTGTCATTCGAATTGTTATTTGAGTTTGACGATATATGACTGCTGTATACTTACTTATTATTCGATATATCGGACTTTACAGTTCTGAGACTGAAGTATCGGTGGGAGCTGGTGTTTTGATCATCACAATAGCAAAAGCAATAGCTGCAATGCCAGAATAGCCACCGCCACCAGCTATCGACTTTTGTCGTGCCTCTAGAACAAGTGTTTTTGTTACCGTACATCATGCCGTTCTCGTACTGGATGTACTCATATCTTCTACTGCTGTTCCTGTTCTGAAAGAATAGAAAGTCAGAATTGGCATCACATACACGCGATCGGCACGGAGAAAAACAATTCCGTTTCTAGGGATCAGACAAGCATTCGGTTGTGTAGAAAGAAATTCCCGTAGGAAGTTTTCTACCCAGTCGTCTCAACCGAGTTGTTTTAACCACAGCTGAATGTTCACACACGAGTGTTGCGTAATTTCTTCTCGCCTAGTTTTCGTCCGGTTCCTATTGCGGAAATTGTTTTTTTCTTCCCATGCACTTAATATATCTTCTCTCTGTTTCTTTGCGAATTAGCGTTGCGAGGCATCTCCCGAAGTCAAAAGACACTTACCGACAGGCAGATCCACATGTCGGAATCGATGTACTCGCAATTCAATATCTTGCCGTTGCACCGGCGTTGTTGCGAGCAAAATTGATTCTGATAGCAACCGTACACCTTGGTATATCCGTAGTAGGCGCAGTTCTCCTTACACGTGCCGTCGCCGTTCAAGTCCACCTCGTTTACGATGTACCCTTGGAACAACTGCTTCAGCTCGGTGTAGGTTTCGTCTAAACAAATCGATAATACGTTCCGGCCGCTTATATTTTCGAAGTGAACGACTACTTCGTGTTAAGTGATGACGTCTATCTTCGAGGATAGCCTCACCTAATTTGTGCACGGAAGGATCGCACTTCCAGACACTTCTCGGGGCAAAGGCCATCGCCGTCTTAACGGCTCTCAATGTCTCGGACGTCCTAATCTCGTATTGCTGCTTCAGCGTCTCGATCTCCTCGTTGAAATTTTTGCCTGCGTTAAACTCGAAGTTAGATATACCACGGTGAGAGATGGTGTCTAAGAGCAATCGGCCGGAATACCTTCGTTGTATAAACGTAGTATCATGTAAGAAAACTGCATCATTGTGTAGCCCTTGATCTCCGTTAACGCCACCGTGTTGTACAAATTGTACAATATCTGCTGCGGCGATTGCACATCGGTGCACATCTGGTTCGACATTTGCTGCAAATGTGAGAAAAAGTCAATTTTAAGAACGGACACGCGCTGGTGTGACACGATCGTTCAAATATTTTCTTACTCGTTTAAATTACAAACGAAGCATATAAAATATATTAACGATGATTATTTTCTCAAAAACTCCCAAGTAAAAGGTAACTACAGTTTTCAAGAAGGAGACCCGCTTTTTTTCAATGTTTCTTCGATTTCTGTCTCGAGGATAGAAAAATCCGTTTAGGAAAATTCACGCGTGTTAAATCACATTTACTTTTTCTTTTTTTCCTGTGAAGAAGATAAGAAACCGAAAAAATCTGCGAAGAAAAGTTTTTCTGAAACTATATTCGAGAGACGATCTGAAAATCAGAGGAAAATAGATCGACCGAGACACACCTGTACTGAAAAGTACTTCAATATATTTCAATTATTCTTCGGCTGAATTATTTCTATATATTTCTATATTTTAGCAAAAAAATTTCTCCATCTTAGCATTTCAATGTTAACTGCTGCTTCTTTTGTGGACCAATTCCCCTCTCCTTTAATCTACTTTCTGACGATTCGCTCAGGAAGTGAGTTTTTGGAGCTTCGGAATTCCTGTATTTGAATTGCCCAGTCTTCTGAGAAAGGATATATGAGGAAATTTGCACCGGTCATAATCTCTTTCGGAGAGATAAAAGACCGATTGAACTACCTTGTAAGCCGCGATGAAAAGGTTCTCGTGGACGATGAGACTCGCGATACGATCGAGCGAGCGCGGTATCGAGGCGTTCGGATCCCGCAGGATCGTCTCCGCAAAGTTCGCCAGCTGTTTCGGGATCATCGGCATGCTCAGATCGACGATCTCGCGCTGCATCTGCCGGAACACCTGGTAGAGGCCGTTTACGCCCTTGGACTCGGCCTGGGCGCGCGCCCAGAGCCACAGGGAGTCCAAGGCTTGCAGGTAATTCGGCCGGTTCAATGGATAGAGCTCGTCCACGTGATTGCCGAACTTCTTGTACGCTCTGATGATGTACAGATACTTCTGTTGCTCGTCGACGTTCGTCCACTTGGAGTCGGCCAGGTTTCTCGCGAGCTGCTGCTCCAGGCGCAGCAGCTCCTGCCGCAGCCTGTCGACCGTCGACGCGTCATTCTTGATCGCGGCGAAAGCCACCACGGCCAACGCCGTCAGCGTCCAAGCGGCGAGGAATTTCATCCTCGGATCTTTGACGAGGGTGACTCACTCGCTCGCTCGCTCACCCACGGCCCGGCTCAAACGGGCTCCTTTCTTGTTTATCCTCTCGATGTGACACTACTCCGCGAACATACGCACCATGGAGCGAGATCGTGTCGCGTTGGAACGCGCAGCTCCGGAAAACGTGATCGCTTATGATGGGTCCTGAAAGCAATCCTGAACGAAAGACTTGGCTGGACTCGTCCGCGTGCGCGTAAATTTCGGATCGCAAATTCTGAATCGCGTTATCTCCGAGGTCGATTATTCGCACGATAAATCCGACCTTTCTTCTGCACCAGCGAGCTCGTAATCGCGGGGAAAATGCTCGTGACCCCTCCTTCTTATAATGACGCGTTACTACATAATCTAGAAACTACTGGGTGACACTGTTTTTCTTAGATGTATTCAACAGCGCAGTTAAGTAACCGCTTCCTCTTTCTAATCCCAACGGAATATTTTTGCAAATAGGGAAGTCTTCGCACCTTCCGCTCTCTCCTGATTGAGATAAACCGCGAGATCCGCCGTTGCGAACAAAGAGTATTGCGCATTAATTTAATGCGAATATCAGGAAAAACTGAGAGAATAAGTCGAATATAATCTGATATGCGAAAATTTGCAAGTCAGTTTCGCGCTGGGAAAATTGAATCAGTCTCGATAAATCAAAACAACCGGATTGAGAATTGTACTCTTTAAAATATCTTTCAAGTTTCTCGGATCCTGAAAGAGATGGTGTTACGTCACTATTGTGTTGTTCCGAGTTCTCTCTCTCTCTCTCTCTCTCGAACGTCACGTTACAAAATGAGACGGTAAACAAAGGATCTCAGGTGATAACTCGTCAGTGTAAATTCGCTCGTCGTTACTTCGTAAACGTTTTCTTTTAGGAGGTTGAGGAGGGGAATTACGCTAACGTAACGGGCTTTTAAATACGCCGATAAAAAGAACGAAACACCTTTGACCCTGCTTGCACTTCGACACGATTGAATCTCAAAACAAAGTAGAAAACTCCACAGATAAATTCGAAGAGAGCACGAAAGTGTGGCCGAACCGGAAGCAAGACAAGTTACGAAGACCCGCATTCTCCCAAATTTAGTAGGACGGTCAATCACCTCGTTTCAAGCGTAGCTTCGTAATCCTTCGATGCAGCTTCGCGCACTTTTCGATGCAGCGCAAACAACGACCATGGTGTTTCGCAATGCCAACAAAAGAAACGGAACTCGCCTGTCGTTGTCGATGAATGCACGGCGAATGTAGCGAAAAATAAATGATGCGTACATGAGAGCAGGCGCGAAGGAGAAGAAAGGTGCGCGAAACAAACCCTTGAAAGGCAGATCAGAGGATGTGTAGAAATGTCTCCTTCCCTTCGAATGATTTTCTAAGGAAAGCAAAATAAATTAAAAAAAAAATCGAAAAGTACCCCGACACGGTTTCCAGATGCCACCGGCGGCGGTGTTATTTATTCGCCGTGTTTAATCGCATTAAGTATCTTATGTATTGACCTGGCTCGAAGAATTGACCGGACGCGTTAACACCTCGAATTATGTAAAGAGATCGTAACGAGCAGGTCCCCGACCAAAGCTCACACACGCGACATTCACCGAGATGAAACGTTACGTACTTTTGGAGGCACTTTTGCTCAACTTGAAATCACTCGGTTGTCAACAAACGACACGTTCGCCAGCACGTCGTGAGAACTGCGGGATAACAAACCCCGCTCGTTGTTTCGGAGTGACCGCCAACAACACCGAACCACGTGGTGCTCGTTCAACGGATCGCGCACGACTGAAGTGTTTCGCGCTCACGTTCCGCCAACGTCGGCGACATGTACGATTCCCCTCCGATCCCCAAGGTCCCGTAGGTCGTTACGTATCTTTGCGCGCATGTCTCGCGCCCACCTCTTGTCCCATCCGGTGCATTCGCTCGAAGATGCAACGGGAGCGCACCGATCTCGATATGAGAGCCTCGTGTAGAATTGAAGCGAGTTGACAACGATGTTACAGCTGCGACATCGGGTCGAAATGCAGAAAAAAGAAAGACGCTGAGAGAGAGAGAGAGAGAGAGCGAAATATAATTTCAGATATGACAAATCGACAAATTATTATTACGTGCGGACGAAATCACGATGAGGAAATCACAAATTTATATACATTGCATTTAAAAGTAACGTCAGAATTTTGATACTAATTTAGGACCTAGATCAAAAAAATTATTTCATCTTAAAGGAGGTTTTAAGGTGAAGTGAGTTCGATAAAAATTCGATACAACTTGCGTACACATTGAAATATTATCTAACTTATCTAATCTAAATAAATGTATGAGAACGTAATTATGTTTGATAAATATTAAATTTATGAATAACCCCCTTGATACGCCACTGATGGATACGACATTAATGGATGATATATGCTTGAGGAAAAAAAGCACGGCGAAATTTCGCTGATCTTTTGAAAAATGCGCTAAAGTAAGGATAAATTCCTTTGTGCGTATTCTGATCGTCGAATCCGCGCTCCATAGAATCGCCGGTTAAAAGTTTCGTAGAAGCAGTAAACCACCTCCTTCCTAACGACGAATTCTTTGAACAATTTCAAGTCCGTGGTTTTTTTTTTTAGCAAAAAGAAAACAACGTTTACTGAAATATTACTTGCTTCTCAGCACCACGTGTCTTCGTAAACGAGTGTCGAGTTGAGAAACTCAAAGAGCGGTGTACGATCTCTCTACTTGTTTACCTTACCGATGCTCGTCCTGAGAGTCTCTAATTATTGTCGTCGCCTCGGTGCTCTTACTCACAGAAAATACTGATTAAGAAACACGAGGACACCCGACGATTTTCGGCCGCTCCGTATGTTCTTACGTCGATCAGCGACAGCTTCAATTAATCGAGCGACTTCCGCGCATTTGCAAATTCGTGTTATTCAACGTGACCACTGGAATATCCGCAATCGTAGTATCCGCAATCCGTATCGAAAAAATTGCGGATTTCCGTCGCACGGCACGTTCTGTTTTTTCTTTCTTTCTTTTTCACCATCAAGGATGAGAGATCGCGAGTAAAATCCGACCGGACCGACCGGTGTCACTTGATCCCAAGTGTGATACCATTTCTCCAGTACCTAATGCCTGTTCGTGCTTAATAGACACAATGGGGTTCCTGTTACGATGTTATCAGACCGTACTCGTAACACTGGATCCCCGGCTTGCTTGTCAATTCAGCGAATAAATCGCGTTCTCGCGCCCGTTCTGTCGTCTGAAAAATCAGGCTTCATAACGAGACATCTCCGTTTTTTCATTACACTCTTTACTGTTACTCGTCTATTATATTTTGTTATTTCTCTATTATATCGGAAAATTAATCATTGACATGTGCAGCAGAACGTTTATTTATTTTGGACTGTTTATAACTGTTGGAAGTTCTCCAAGGTGAGATCGGATTATTCTTTTAGAGGAATAATACAATCTCTCGGCACAGAAAACTTCTAACAGTTGTAAAATAAACGTTCTACTGAGCGCGGCCAGTGAGTTTTTAAGCAATTAGAGATGTTATCATCATTATAACCGTAGAAAGATATATTTATAAATAATATATATATATATTAAATTTCGGTCGCGTTATTCATTTTCTTCGTTAATGAAAAAAAGCAACTCTTTTTGTTTGTATTCACTTCATTCGTAGAACATTCTTTACGAGCGATTCTTGATCTCACGCTCGCAGATTCATGCCTAATTATCGTACGTCATTACCGAAGTTGAGTCACACAGAAGATAAATCATAAAATAAACCGCAAACAAAAGTATATCACGCATCGAGATAACTGCTAATAAATGTAACGTGAATTTCACGTAACGTGAAACAAAATGATATAACCAAGTAATGAAAACCGAAACGAACTATACAAGCAAAACAGAGTAAAATAATTGATAAATGTTGTGCAAGGAGTATCATATAAGTATACCAAGCGTCATTATGAAATAAGAAGAGATAAATGTGAATACAGAGATAATTAGAAAATAGCAACACAGAAAGAGAGAGAGAGTGAGTGTGTGTCACTCTGTGTGTGCATAAATACGCCAAGGATTGAGTATTTCGCAAGCTGGAACAACGATTCGCTCGCGATATTATAACCCACGATAAGAGAACGGCGTGCGGAATTTATTTATATATTACCGAGCACGCGTTTCTTACTGCTGAAGGAATATCTGTCTGCAAAATATGCAGGAGCGAAGCAAAGGTTTAGATGTGACACAAAGGATGTCTGTTAATCTGGCACGAACATGTGACTCATATGTGCGTCAGCGATACTTAAATCCGTTTCCGCCATATGTGTGTGTTTAACAGGCAAAATATATAACGATATCAAATATCCACGAAAGTCGGTAAAATATCAATCGAGTGCCAATTAGTCAACTTCGACTATCTGAGTCTTTCAGTAACTGAATATACGGCTAATTTCAGACGTTACAAATGATTGATTTTTCTAACGATACAGATAACAATGACATTTGAATGACATTTGAAATTAGCCATATACTCAATTACTGAAAAATTCGGGTACGTTGAAAAAAAAAAAGTTTGGTAACAAATGCAACAAACATTGAGCGAAATAGTTACAACAAAACAATTTGAGTTATATATACCGTACAATAACTTGGTTACTGTAAAAAAACCATTTAATTGGAACCATTTCACTAAATGTTTGTTGTATTTGTTACCAAACTCTTTTTTCCAGTGTACCCGAAATTGACAGCACCAGTACCAATAGAAAGCAGATTTCAGTTAATCTCACTGGTACCACAACGACGATCTCTTTGCAATAAGTTATTAATATAAAAAATCCTATTAGACTTCCTGCAAGACAACGTGCAAATGATTCGAAGCTTCTTCCTCCTCCCCCCGAGGGAAGAAACCTGCTTTTCAGGCCATGTTTACTCTTTTCGAGAGAACTCGTCGTTTTGTTCACTTTCTACCAAGCCGCCTGTCATCTTTCAAGCGAAGTCGCAGCTTGGAAACCGCATCGCCACACGACGTACCTGCATCTGATTCGCCAAGAGCACGAGGACGCTGCTGTTGTACACCTGGTATTCGGATGGCACCATGAGATTGTGAATGGATTTCAGAACATCCGGGAGTTCGCCCAGTTGGGGTGACACGCATGACTTGGCAAACCGCACGATCGTGTAGGTCTCGAAGTTATTCGAGCGGTTGGCGTACGACTCAAACGTATCGTACAAGCCGCGCACCTGTCCGATGTAGTGCTCCAGCGATCTCAGACTGTCGTCGAGCCTGCGCTGCATCGGTAGCTGCAGCAGCAGCTGCGAAAGCACCCTATTGATCTTGCTCTCCATGCGCTCCTGATAGTCGTCGATCTTCTTCGATACACGATCGATGCGCTGACGCAGCTCCTTCTCCATTCTCTTAACGAACATGTAATCCTGCCCGCCCTCGACTGCGGCGGCTGGAGCACGCGAGCGGATCATGTCCCACGACTCCATCAATTCCATCACAGTCTCGCGACCCAGCCTGATCAGGTCGATGGCATCGAACAGGTTGACGTCGAAGGTGCGCCCGGATTGCGCCCAACACGTGAGGACGACCAGCAGGATCACGTGTGCGCGTAGCTTGGCCATCTGGAACGAGCGAACGATGCGAACTTCAGGCCCAAAATATTGAGGATCGCGCAGCCGACGCGTCGCGAACGCGCCAAGCCGAGACTAACGGTTCTCCTTTGTCCGCTCGTCGCTTCGAATGGAACGGCCAGTTACCGCCGGCGAGTAACTGATGGACCCACGGCCTGGAAGGGGAAACGCTGTATCGCGGATGTGAATGGAATCGACGCTGGTGGATTGCCTTCGAGACCGGGCGAAGTTCTGGTGAAGTGCGAGGGGCGCCCTCGGTAGTGGGAGGGAAAACATGCAGAAAGAGTTGAGCTGTAACTGGCCAAAAGTTCAAAAGTTTCAAGGAACTTTTAACTTAACCCACTTAATTTTAAATTAATTAACTTTTAACTGAAACTTGTTAGTTTTGAAACGCATTGACATATTATTAACTTTTTTTATACAAATAACTTATTAATATCCTCAAATATCTCCGAATGACATCAGAAAACGGAATATTGACGGCATAGGTGTCATTATTGTCATCAACATGCAGTCCTTTTGCGTCATTTAGCTATCTGTGTTATTGCCTCGGGCTGCTTGTAATATAAACTGAAAAAAATCAAAAATAATGCCAGTAGAATTCTTTTTGTCTCTTTGAGCGCTACTGTTGTTGTTCTTTACTGTATGGAATCCTGAGCACAAAACAGCCGATATTTTCTTACGATAGATCTTTTTTTTTATTTAGCGTTTTATTTAATCTACGACTAAAAAGTTTACATACATTACATAAGTTTACATAAAATTACATAAAGAAGTATATATATATACATACAGAGTGTCCTAAACTAATCTTGGTTTCATAAATTTTATTATGAAAATAATAAATATTCCAAGTAAAAAAACGGTCAATTAATGTAACCTCTTAATATATATTATATATATATATATATCGAAAAATTTTTACAGTAAAGTAACTTCTTATATTTTATGTAGTCTATCCTGTAGACTCATAAATTCGAAGTTTTATATATCTTTCGTGTTTTTTTTTTGTTTTACTGGTATAATTAATTATAAAATAATATAATATATATTAATAATAGAAAATAATGTAAATTATAGAAAATTTTACGACAATACAGTTCATACAGTTAGAAATCTTGCCATGGATAAGACTTTCTGTCTATTCTTATGCTCCGGAGTCTTCTTGTTTCCGATTATCATGTTATTTTATTATAATAAAATAATAGAATTTTGTAATTTTTGTTCTCAGGTGGCTTTTTACGAGATTCTGAACGGATTATGGGTTCGTAACGGATTGCAAATAAAAGGCCAGGCTATGACTTATATCCAGTGCAACTTTTGCAATTCCATGGTGGACGCGGATCTGTATCTGCTGCAAATTTGCGCCACGAAATTACTGGCGGACGTCTTTCTGAAAACCATCATCGAAAAGTAAGTAGTCCTGTGGAATTTCAATCCCAAGATAATTTGATTCCTTTTGTTTACCAAACGTTCAGCTTTGAATAATCGTCGAAATCGAATATTTCGTTAACGCGGCGATCTAATACGTTAAAATCAATTTTACAGATTCCATGTGAGAGAATGGATGAGTCTCTGCCTGTATCATGCGCCACAGAACGAGTATCTGGAAGGTGAACATGACACCCCCATGTTGGAAAGCTGTCTGACGTTTTTAGCTACGCTGATCAACGTGAGAACGAATCTTGGTGAGTTTCTACTATTATATCCCTCCTTGTGAATCAGTGAGATTTGTACTCTTCTCGCTCCAGGTTTATCGGATGCCGAAATGTCTTGCCTGGAGATGGTAACTTTGTTGTGTATGGGCGACAAGACTCACAGCCAGTTAATGGAGTTGATGCCAGAACGTTGTGGAACTACTCAGAACAGAGACTTCGAATCTGTCTTAGCTGATGTATGTTCATCAATAGATTTTATTCATGCAAAAATCCTTCATTTCGTTTTAATTTTTGTATACTAAAATCAGTTTTGCATATCGAATTTTAGTAATATACTAATAACGATAGCGTAATAATATGAATTGTCATGCGTACTAAGTTATTTATCTAGTTTAAATAGAGATTATTATTCTTACGTGCTTCTTAACATATTTGATAGGTGGCACAGTACAGGGCTCCGAATCTTGAGGCGAGCGGCAATATGCAGCAAGGGATGTACGGGCCGAAACCTCATGTGTGGGATGAATTATTCGATCCTTTGCACGTTTTGCTACGAGCGGTACATAGGAGAGATTTCCAGATATCGATGGATCGTTTCACAGAATAGTACGTTTCGATTTTATCGTCAAATCTCTCGCGAAAAGGAAAAAATATATTCTCATTTCTGTTCTTAATATAATTATCTCGTGTTTTCGTCCATGAATATATAAAACTGGCAAAGGCTTTGCATGTGAAGTTTTATTGAATTTTATATCTGATATAAATTTTCTGCGTATTTCAGCGTGAAACAATCGGGTAAACTAAAGAGCGGTGCAACTCCGTGGCCGCCATTCAGACATCCCGCTCCAGTATCGCCGGATTATGACGATCCTCGGATAGTCTTACGTACTCGAGTCTTTCACGCTATGGCCCTGATAATACTCTACAAGGCTGTGAACGGGCACAACATATCGGAACACGTTATGGCATTAGCAGTTTATCTGCTGGAGATGGCGGTGATCACCGCAGAGGCGCCGGATAAATCTGTGAGTGAAACGTTGAATCGTTTACATTCTACGGAAATAAATGTCGTGCGAACAATTCACATAACGATATAATGATGCCTTAGGTGAATCCCTTATGTCAGTATACCGGCGGCAGTTCTCGCGTAATAAAGGACATGGACCTGGCTGGTTGGTACGAGAGCGATAGCTTGTCCGAGAATCTAAGGATGATAATACCCCGTGTGAATCTAGTCCAAGAGTCAGAGCCGAACAGTTCGGACAGTGAGTACTAAAAAACTTACCATTATCGTGTGAGAGACTCACCATATATAAACGACGTGTAATTTAGTTTGCCAGGAACGATCTTGACAAGTCGATGCCGCCGTTGATGAGTGTTACATTTTCCTAATTAAAATCTTGTGTGGACACAATTTCCAGTGATGCGATTTTTTTTTCGGCTCCGCTACGGAGACTAGTTGTGTCCAAGACGTCTCTGTGTACATAGTGGAGGGAGAAACTATTAACTCATATTAAACGATTACCAGGTGAATTCGAGTGGGAGATTCAGGGGGAGATGAGCGAGGTAGCGACATCTCTGATGCTGAACGACACTGTGGAGGATGGCGCGGAGGAAGGTTCATTGGAGCTGCTGGGACTTCCGTCCGTGGGTTCTATGAGAGACGACAACGGCTTGTCCAGCGTAAGCGCTACGTCTTTGCCAGCCTTACCCGCAACGTCCGCTACATCTTTGCCGGCTTTGCCGTCAACCGCGAGCGCCGCCTCCCTGCCAGCTCTACCGTCGACCGCGACGTCCCTGCCGGCGCTACCGTCAACTAATGGTTAGAAAACATTTTTCAAGTTCTCACAAATGTATAAGTAACATTGATCCTTATATTAAATAGTCATCAATAGCTCTCATATAGTGTGTCCAATTTTAAGCGGAATACCTTAAAAACTAGGTGTCATTCAGTAAATAAAAATTATATAATATGATGGCGATATTAGTAAGACCGAGAAATTGATTCTTTATGGTCATTTGAACTTTTCTTTTAATGGAATCATACAGTTTGTTTAACACAAAGAATCTTCTGTTTTGGATTATTTCAGTTATTCAGAATTAATTTCAGATTTTTATTTAGAATTACATAAGAATTTCGAATGCCGGATGTTTACTACACATATTATCAACGTCGCGATAATATTTTTCGTTACGATAGAATATGGCGTGGCTATTGTACCTGAAGACGCAATCGTCGCTATTCCGCCTGGCGAAGACGAGTTGCTACCTTTGCAAAGAGCTCTGCCACCGTCCGGGGAGAACTCCATGGTTCTTGCCATCGAATCGCCTCCCTCACCAAACAGTACAGTTCTTAATAGTTCTCGCTTATTTATCGATCCTCATTGCCAATACAATGTATAATTATTTCGACTTTTTGACAATTTGGAATTTTTTCCGACAATCCATTAGATCCAGTCGGCGGCCAGCCTGCGCTACCACCCGCTCCTCAACGCCCGGCGGTTATGGCCGGAAATGAGATAGTCGCGCAGTCGGCGTACTCGCCTCGTCCCAGTTACAGAACCATAGAGATCGTTCCATCCACGTCGAGTTCTCACAAACATTTCAAGAGGAGAGAACCGCAGGTAACACGACGTATATATCCGCGCTTTATTTCGCACCACTATGTTCACCATTTTAAAATGTATACTTCGCATTTCTCATCTTTATACATTTCATAATTTATGTTTACTCTCACATTCAATCTTACTACAATTCTGAATACTTATATATCTCTGTGTGCATTATATATACATATATATTTACTTCATTTTATATGCCAAAAATAAGCTTACAATTTTTACCTTAACCACCATATTCATTCATCCACACTCTCTAACCATTTGACTAGCTAAATCTAATACCGAAATGTTACACAAACAATGCTTCTCTCTATTCTATCCACCACAGCTTTTTATATCTAATCCTCGCTTTATTTATTTTCTATCTAAGACTCCTATGCCTGTATTCTGTTAACGACGGTGTCTTAATTATTTCTTCTAACGTATTAGTTCCCTTCTCCTCTTTCTTCCACCAAATCTTAACTGTCCCTCAAGTTCTATAATGAAATCTCATAGCTAGACATACAAAAATCTAACCCAGAGATCCATCTTGTATGATCTATCATGATATTTTTTTTTAATGCATCTTTTAATTATGATTTTAATTAATAATAATATATTTTCTAAATATATTATAGTGTTTATAATTAATATTCCAGAAGTTTTGCACATTAAACTCATATGTCTTCCAGATTGGGCCGGTACAACCGCAGACTGTGAAGGTAGGGGAGAGCATAATCTCCCTGCTGTTGAAACTACACTCTCAGCTATCAGGTGTACCGGATAGCTACAATCCCGAACTGAGCGCAACGTCGGACGGCAACGAGGCGGGCAGCAGTTCCGCTGCTGCGTCGTCGACGAGCAGCGAGTCGAGAATCGGCGACGGGCCGTTCTTCATATCGCAACTGCTTGGGAAAATATCGTGTCTGGATCCCATGTGCAAACAATCGATCCTTGAGACCAGAGACAGACTGTGGCCACGCATGCAGGAATGTGAAGGGGACGAGCAGCGCGAGAGGGAACATCGAGAGCGGGAGGAACGACGACGGAGAGCGAAGGAAAGGCAACAAAAGCTCATGGCAGAATTCGCCAACAAGCAGAAGCAGTTCATGGAAAAAGCGATGAAGTCCGGTAAATGATTATTTTACAATTGTCAATCAATATTCATAAATGTATGAGCGATATTTCAAGAAAGGTAGGCTGGCTATATGTAGGATACATCGATGCAAACAAGATTGTTCGTGGTGGTCGAAAAAATTGTCTTCGACTGAAATGGTGTCCACTACCATATACGTGCTCCTAAAAATCGAGCGGTACATTGTCAAATAACATTAAAAGCAGTGCTTGTTATGATAACACCAAAATTTTTTCCTATCTTCTTTACCTTATCTGAGCGTTTAACAGCCAGTTCCACCATCATGGGTTAAATCCAATCGACGAATTAGCTGAATGCGAGTTAATCGTCGGTTAGATTGAAACTGTGATGATAGAATTATGTTTATACGAACTTTTCGCGTTCTATACACAGCTACATATAGCTAGTTCGCATATAGCTTTCTCGAGCAACACCCTGAGTATATTAACTGAGTATAGTATTGTTGATCATTCCTTGCGTAAACCTGAACTCTCTCTCTCTCTCTCTCTCTCTCTTTCTCTCTCTCTCTTCAGACAAAGGCGCGTTTAATCTATTACATCGGTAGAAACGAGCATTAGAAGATTGACGGCCGTTTGCTTATTTTAACAGATGAAGCGGGCGCATCGGCGATGGATTGGGAACAGGAGGAGAACACGACGAAATTAACGAGTAAAAAGGAGTACGACTGTGTGATATGTAATCAAACCACTCCCAGCAGTGAGGACAAGCCGATGGGACTTGTTGTATTAGTTCAGGTAATTTCCATTAATTCTCGAGATAGATTACTCCGTCGGCGCTTTGAACAAAATCGTGCGTCGTATTTTCGCGTCATAAATGTCCGTGCTTTCTTGAAACAGGCAACTAGCATTATCGGCCACCAGCGACAAGAGTCAGACAGGCTAGTCCTTCCCACGTCCGACGAGGATCCACCTATACCAAAAGGAGAGTCCCGCGGCGCTTACTTCGACCGTCGAATGGGCGAAATGAGTCGTCACTTCGACACAGTAAGTGAATATGTACGTCAACGTTTCAGGTGGTTCGCTTGACGTTGGCAAGCGAACTACCTTTTATATTCTGCCGTACAGGACAATTTACTTCGCTTTCTCGCTGACGTCATGTGCTCTTATCTTGCAGTATTCGTGGCTGGTGTCGGTGAATCTCGGTTACGAGGGCGGTGTCCACGTGCAAACGTGCGGCCACCACTTGCACCTGGACTGTCTCAAGTCCTATCTGCAATCCCTACGTAGCCAACAGAGACAGCAGAGTTTGGCGGTAGATCGGGGCGAGTACTTTTGCCCATTGTGCCGGCAACTGGCCAACTCGGTACTGCCACTTTCACCGCAGCTGGGCGAATGTGCAGCGGTAGTGCGGTCTCGTCATGCCTCCACGATCACTATACTTGCGGAGCTGAACAATTTCCTGAAGGAGATACCACGGAACCCGGTATGCAGTGTACGTTTTTCATGCCTTTTTCGTTGGCTCGTTCTTCCTACATATTTCTTTATAATCTGTCTTAAGAAACAACGTTCTCGTTACGAGATATCATTTTTACCGTTATGATTTTGCAAAGATTTCCAAGAGATTTTTTTTCACTACTACGTGTTTTATTCACAGATCTCTTCGAATTTGGCTGTCGCAATGGGGAAAGCCATGGAGGATATGACGAGTTGCACATATTTAAAGTATAAGCAAAAGAACTGTACTCCTAGTCACCAAAGCTTGTTCCTCTTCGTAACTTCCATAGCACGAACCAACTTCGAAATCGAACTCGTACAACGTGGCGGTTCGTTGTGCGCTCCACCGCCCTCCACGATACCTCTGACGCCTAAACGTGACTGCATAGGTAAAATTCGATTCTCCTATTTTCCGTTACGCAATTTCAGAGCCTAAAGGAATATATTCCTTGTGTCATTTCTCTGTGCCTTATCACGAAGGTCACCATTTTGATCGTTGTTTCTCTCGCAGTCGCGCTTCTTCACGTCCTAGCGATGCACGCCCGAGTGCTGACGACATGGCCGGTGCATCATACGTGGCAGCAGTTGTCGGGCATGCCGCCGGAACCGGTGCCTTCGCTTGCTTTGACACCGCACGAGAAGGAGGTTCCAATCCTTATGAGGGATCCTACCGCTCTTCTCATACAATTCATACTGCTGCTGCCGCTGCATCTAGATCAAAGTATGTATCTCCTTTTCACAAAGATATATTATCTCTGCATATATTTATTTATTAACATTAACGCACTTCTCGTTCGCAGCGTATTTCTCCGCCGTGGTAAAAGTCATTTACAACTTGCTGTACTATCAAGTAATACTGCAGATAAGCTGTAAGTTCACGCAAGCCGAACGAAACACGATCGTGAAGAGGAGCCGTTGCGGCTCAGCTACGTCTTCTGAGGCGATATTGGCCAAGATTATCGAGTGTTTTGAAGATAGCGATCTTTATACCGACGAAGATAGTGAGCTTTATTCCGATGACAGCGAAATCTCCTCCGACGACGCTTGCAAACCATCCACGTCGTCCACCGTCTCCTACGCGAGAGTGAAGACGCATTGCGTGGAGCAACAGGTAAACAACATGCGAAATTGTTAGAATAACATATCTGTATTTTGTTCATTTTTCTAAACATACACAGGATGTTACATACTTAAGGAGCATGTTTCGGAAAATATCCGGAAACGTGGTTCAAAACGCTTACTGTTTTTATAAATGGCACCATTTTTTCCAACATTTTTTTGTTAGAAGTGAAAAATAAAGAAAACATAATAAAGATTATATAAATTGTTCAATTAAACGTACTATGGCATTAATACACACTTACTGTGCGATCTGAAGTGGTCGCACGAAAAATATGATTGTTCCTTCACACGCGTCATTAACACGCTGTATTGATTCAACTATTAATTTCTGTTTCTTTTTTTTTCGATTTTGAACAGAAAAATGTAAGAACAAAAATTGCGCCACTATTTATAACCGTTTCGACATACTTACAGGATTTATATCCGAAACTTGCTCCTTATTTAACGATTTCAGATCCAATCATTGTGCCTGCCATTCCTGCGAGTGGCCTCGCTGTTGCGTTATCACTTGTACGAACAGCCGCTGCCGCTCATCAGGACACCGCAGAGCGAGTTCGTACGGTTGGTGTACTACCTGGAGTTGGTAACGGAGGGCATGGACTGGGACAGCTTCAACTCCACGGTAGCACTCAATTGGCAGGACAATGAGGCGAGCGTCTCGGTGCCGCAATTATGGTGCGATCAGCTGCTGGCGTACCTCAGAAAATTTGGGAAGCTAGACCCGGCAGTGAGGAACCTGGTCGCGGAACAGCATGTGTCGTGGAAGATGCCTAAACTGCTCAATCTACCGAGGGAATATGAGAAAATCTTCACTGTAAGGAAGAGATTTTCAGTAATTAAAACAGCTTTGAAATGTATTTCGAACAATTTCTTTCCGACACATGTCGTTTCTATTTCGTACGCATTAACTTCTGTTTTGTTCTTCTAGTATTATCACGAGCGACATTGTGGTAAGTGCCATTCGATCCCCCAGGAGATCAGTATCTGTTTATTGTGCGGCACTATAGTCTGCCTCAAGCAGAACTGCTGCAAACAGATGAACGTGTACGAGGCCATCCAGGTAAGCAGGTTTTGTCATAACTTGCGAGAATAAAGGAATTATTTTCGTGAGAGGAACTTTTACGTGGATTTTTTTTTTTTTTTATACTCTTTCAGCACTCGATCGATTGTGGGGGTGGAACTGGCATATACCTTGTAGTGACCTCAACCTATATCATCGTGATACGAGGTAGACGGGCATGTTTGTGGGGATCTTTATACCTCGATGATTTCGAAGAGGAAGACAGAGATCTGAAGTGAGTTTTACAAGCTTTTTTTTAGAATATTAATACATAGATGTATCAAGGAGGTTTTAAGACTCAGTGTCGTTATTTTCAATGGCACACCAAGAGATCCATTCCATAAATTTAATATTACTTGTGCAATTAGAAAAAAATTGACCATCCGAGAGCGGAAATATTTGCAACTAAAGTTGACAACACTTTTTATACGCGTGCTAATCTAATCTAAAAGTATAAGAATCTTACAGGAATCAAAAGTTGAATTCCTCCTTGGTATTATAGTCTTAGATGTGAAGTAGAATATTAAATATTGAAAATATGCCCTATTTATAAAATATTTCTCCCCAAATACAGATTAATTGTTTGGTGTATGTATCATTATAAATAATTCTCCCTCACGCGCATTGCAGACGTGGTAAGCCGCTGTATCTCAGTCAAGACAGATACCAGCTGTTGGAGCAACAATGGTTGGCGCATCGATTCGACCACACGAAGAAGACATGGGTATGGCATCGTGACGCTCTGTGACCCCTCACGACGTCATCGCTTGCAGGTCGCTCATAACAATTTTCTACGCGAAGACTCGATTCTCGCTCGCTCGCCCGCCCGCCCGTTCGAAAATTCCCGACTCTTATCCTTCACATAAGCAAAAGGAATGCCTCGCCCGCAGTAACACAGCGCTTTTAGATCTATCGAAGAGAGACGACCGCGCCACTCTATCTCCCGCCTCCTTATAATGCCCTTCAGATATTATATATTTATTATACGATGCGCAATCTCACAAGTAGGCATTGTTAACGACGAATGAAAGTATTAAGAACACTTGTCCGGCGCTCTCCTAAGCGGAGGAGGAGGAGTAGGATGAAGAAGAAGATGATGATCTGATGATGATGATGATAATGATAATGATGGTAATGATGATGATGACGACGACGATGATGATGATGCGATGATCACGATGATGATTATGATGATAATGGAGGATTGTGCATATATATAGTCACGCGTTAAACAATTAGAACGATAATTACGTTCTATGGAGACTGTATTGTTATAGTCTCGAATTAAAGATCTGTATATTTTATTTAAGTATATATACATATACATATATATATACATACATATATACATATATATATATATATATGTATGTATACGTATATATATATATATATAGATTACGTGTCCTAACGATTAAAAAGGTGAAGAAAAAGAGTACTTATTTAGTACGTAGCGTTTGTACTTTCTAGGGAAAAAATGATACTTGAGTGATAAAACGATCGGATTAGTGAATGGAAGATGAACAAGAGGAACCCGCATTGTTTCGTTATGTTATCTAAGCAACGTAACTTTAACCTTACACAATGTTAGGTAGCATTGTTGTTCAAATTAATATTTTAGTGAATGAGGAACAAGATTCACGACTAAGGTCGAAGAGTTTACATAAAATACTTATAAATTCTAAAGTTTCTAAAAGAGTATAAAAGTGGGCTTTGGCCCCTCCACTTCCGACGTGCGTGTACAGATGCGTACCTTGGTCTTGATTTTTATTCAAACGTTAGTAGCGCCATGTATAAGTACACATTCAGTTGGAAGCGCGAGAACAGCGAGAGATAAATATGACGAAGACTGATGTCTTGAAATGCTTTCTATAAGAATATTCTATATTTATCTGTCGGATGAAACAAAGATATTATAGAAACTACATTATCAGAGACTATTTTTATTATTTTTAGTATCCGATACGTTATTTAATCTGTGAAATGAGACAAAGCGTGTATGAGATAAACGATGAGGGAGAACTTATTAGGAGAATTGCATCATTATGTGAGCTCAGTCGGGAATTTTTGCCGCCTCTACGGGGGAAAAACGACGAGAATTCAGAACGAGGATCTGTCCATTCTTGTTTACCGAGATATATGTCGATTCATGATCTACCGGTCGAGATTCACATATCATCTGCCGTGTTGACCTTTCACAAAGATCGGATCGCAGGCGGCCTCGAATTTCTCCTGTTTGTGTCCGTAATCCTGCTTGAAAGCTAATTGACGATTGGTGTCGAGTTATTTGATGTCATTACACCCATCTCGTATGTAAGCGCTGATCTTCGTGTGCTTTTCTCGTCCGAAGTAGTAGAATTCGAGGCTGTTCTTCGAGCGATCGCTTCCTGCTTCTCGTCCTCGCGTATTTCTCTGCCTCACATAACACTCGCTGATTTTGTTTTTTATAAATTTGTTTTCCAAACATTAACAACGCAATTGGTAGCGTTAGTTTATTCTTTCTGAATCGTGGCGTTTCTTTTGAACGTGAGCATTACACTATCATTATGAGACGATGAACCCGAATCGACAGCTTCTCGTTTCAAGACGCAACGCGAGTGAAGAACCACGGTCCGACCTGATGACAAAAGGTATGCATGAAGAGAGTTATTAAGTATACGTGAAGACAGAGAGAGAGAGGTTATACATCACCCGTTAGATACCTTCGGGGAAATAATTTGTATAACATTGATTGTCTCAAGTATTTTCGAAGAGCATCGGTATACGTGCACGCTAGTTTGCATTAATGATTTCCACACGTTTCTCCCCTATCTTAAGATAAAGTTAAGAACAAATTAATAGCAAAAAAACAATTGCGAGTCGTTATTCACACGGGCTTGCTTGGTAACGAGACAAAAGTTGAATGATAGCACATGATGTAAATAATAGCCTTTTATTATACTCTTACTTTTGATATAGGTAAAAGTATAATAAAAATACGTTTTCCAGTTGCGTGACGTCGAATATCTCGTATACTATCATTTTGGTTCTTGTCATGACCGATGCAAGCCAATTAGTAGTGACTCGCAATCGTGACCAATTGCTCTTAACTTTATAAGAAGAAAACGTGTGGAAATGGTTGTACAAACGAGTGTACACGGAGTGTTCCACGACGACTCGCGAATTCACTTCCAGCGACGGACTTCGACCAATTCCTGCAGCTGTCTCTAATTTTTCACAAATAGAAAAAGAAGAATAGTTTTATCCTTTCTTCATCTTATACTTGTTTATTCACAGCAATCTGTGATGATAATAAAATAGTGATATCGTCTGAGTCCACAGTCTAAGAAGTAATACATCATCTCGCCTCCGATAAGGATTTCGATATATTGACTCCGTGATAACACGTCGGATGAATTGTCAACTAACATGTCTCTCCGTGACTAAATTTCACCTTGATATTATGGCTGTTATGGTTTCACCAGAGATCATTCGAAGGACATGATTTTATTACGAAATTGGTTTCCCCATATTGAACATGATCCAGGCAATATCTCATCTTCGGGGACTCTTAATTCTCCGGTTAGTTATGGAGATATGTTAAAAAAATGGAAATTCGGTCGCTAATCGATCACAGAATCCGTTGTTGAAATTAAGTTCGCGCGTCACCCTGCATATACACACGGACTTCTTGATACGGACTTTCACGGACTCCTTGTACTGTAGTAGATACCTTCGAAATAAAACTGCTTCTTCTAGGATACATTTTCGTATTGTAAATATGTAATAATGATATAGCTCATCACATATTGCATTATATTAGTCAATGCTTGAAAAAGAAAGAGAGAGAGGTGATTTGTATATAGCTATATAATTATTTTTAGGAGTATCTTTGCTTATAATATAAGAGTCTATGCGATGGAATATATGCGATTAAAGAGAAGGAGCTGATAATTAATGAATTATTATATAATTATCGATTATGTTCAATGTATAAATAAAAACGATTCAATCGAAGACCCATCTCGTCATTTTTTCCGCTTCGTCGATATGATTCCTTAACAATTGCTGAAAAATAATACTACTTTAATTGACCTCTCTATTTATAATAATAAAATTCTTAATAAAGAATAGCTTCATTTCGCTTAAATCATTTGTCTAAAAAATTAAGGATGGATTATAATTGGAATTATTCCCCTGAACTTATAATTTATATAAATTCATGAGAATAAATCATTGCTTGTTACGTTACTTGTGTATATATGAAATAGTTTATTAATAAATTACTTAAAGTATTTGTAACGGATCATTCAATGGTGTATTCTTGTAAATTTATATAATCATAAATATAGGAAAAAAAGATAAAAATTATGTTATTAAATATATATTTGTAGGATGCAGATGATTACGTGTAGGTCAAAGAATTGTTTATATTTCTTAAATCACTAATACAGAGATTTCATATCAGCGACGGATGTAAAACATGCTTGTAAAAAAACATTCGGGCTCGCTAATGTATGTATACTGGTCTTTTACTCCTAAAGTGTCACTTTAACGTACGATTTTTCTTCTTGCATATAACTTTATCACTTCGATCCATCATTACTAAATTATAAGTTTTCATCTGGACAATGCAGAAGCCCAAAGAACGTTATCCAAATATTTCAAGTGGTGCTTGAAAAATTTCTCGAACATCCTTTGAGTGCATTTCAAATGTTGTTTAAACTTTGATGTTATTAACAGATGTGAAACTTTTACATAGTGTTCAGGTAATTTTTACAGAATAGTATGTTGTTACATAAATTCCATATAGAATTCTATCATAATAAATATATATATAACGTGTCGATAAATTCCGCACGTATTGCAGAGATGTGAATTAATTACATTAATAGTACACGTATCGAATTTCATAATGTATAAAAAGTAAGAGGATATTGAGAAAGTAAGAAACGTTGATTCCCCAGAAGAACAAAATGCCGAATGTGAATACTCACGAGTTCTACCTCGCGAGATACTTATCATTGCGACTGTTCGAAAGAAGCAACACAGAAAAACTTAAAATTAGCATTACTTTTATTACAGGTATACCTCACGTAACAATTTTGTTATATTACGTTCGTATCATTCTATATCTAGAATTAGACGGAGAAAAAAGTAAAAGACAAAAGATATTAGAGATCATTAAAAACTAGCAAGAAACTTGCTTTGAATTGCCTGAACACATTTTTTTATGATTTATCTTCTGAATAATAGTAATAATAGTAAGAAACAAAAATAGGCAAAATACATAATCATATCCCAATACAATTGTGTCAGTATAAAATGTTTCACAACTGAATCAATGTGTCATATCGCATGAGGTTTTGGTAGAGGAATGTATGACAGCACATTTTACAACATCATGTGAAATCAAAGAGTTTACAATATTGTGTGTGTTCGTGTATGTATGTGTATGTATCTATATATGCATACTTATAAACTTGTCCATTTCTTTTTGTTATGAATGTCACTTTCACTTCAAAAAATATCAGAACGAAATGAAGATTCCCACCTTACTACTCAATAATGACCACCTGTCTGTTCTTGATATACTTCGATCACATCATCATTTTCCATTTCGAGCTGAAACATCAATCGTAGAATTAACATTAATCTCTGGTACAATGTTAGTAGAACTCTGAACAAGTACATATGAATGTACGTAAATCAAAAATTTTATCAAGAAATATAAAATTTAATATATTAAAAGAAAGCTATTATAATTACGAAAATTGGTTCACCTGCTTTGGTGTTTCATCATCGTTAATTCTTTTACCATCAAAGAGAAACCTAAGCGATGTCATGGGTACACCCTAAATAAAAATAAATTTGTTATTATATGGATATTATCATCACTGTTGAATTAATAAAAAAATATATATATATATCATTCTCATATATATTAATATATTTCTTAAGATATACTCCATTCAATTAAAAAAAAAAAAAAAAAAGAGGGAACTATCTTGCAATTAGTATCTACCAAGCTATTTTGATAAAGTTTCTATAGAACTCAGAAGAAAACACGCACCACACGATCGCTGTAGGACTTCTTCAACTTGCCCATCTGAGTGGTCATCTTTACCCTAAAGTGAATTTCATTGCTGTCCTGGAAAAAAAGAAGAAACCTGATATATGTACGATAAAGATTAATCGTACGAGCGATCGCGAGAATATAAAAATAGCATAAGCATGCATCGCTTACGTTTCCGACAACTTTAAGCTTGATATACTCTGAATTCGCATCGCCTGGGCCGGCTTCGGGTTTTTGTTCCTAGTAAACGGCAAGGTTATAGCGCAAGGTTTAAAGTCGGCAAATCGAAGAAATATCCGATGATGGATTTTAATCGATGCCAGCCGTTCGACATAATTATTAACAGCGAACGGCAGGCAATGCGAGGAACACAAAAAGATTCTTACCTGATTATCCGACATGGTTATCAATTAAATATAAGAAATTCTTCACCACGCGCCAGAAACGGTAACCAAACACAAGCTGCAATATGGCGCCCTGCTTTTGTCAGTTTCACAACCTACCAAATTCTGCCTCGACTGGTTAGAAAAATCTCAACGGTCACCATGTTCGTAAACTCATCCGTTTGCGGTGCGAAAATTAAATGATGGACAAATAGTTTAGAGCTAGTATTCAAGGTTAGATCTTACATTTAAGGTTGTTTTCAAATTATCTTTAAATGCTATGCGGATCGTTTCATTGGCTAGTGAGCATCTGAAGGTGAACTTAAGATAATCTTACATACAAGATCAGATGTTGGCTGCGTTCGGGAAATACAACATTTAAGCACTGAACTATATAACTATATATGTAATATTACTATATGGCCATCGTGAGAGAGAAGTCCTGTCTCAGAACAACTGTGCGGGAATACGTATTTTCCTCTCGGTCTGTATTTTGAATGTAATGCGCATGCGTCGGACGACGTCTCCGCCAATAAAAAATTAAATGCATTTTAGCACATGTATACATCATCTGATCGCCGCGTCTGCGCACTACACATCATTTGTCTGAAACGGCTGCCTCTTATAGAACGATTGGCTATATAGTAGTATTACATGTATGGATCTGCAGTACCTTTGCAGGTTATATTTGCATTAATGCGAGATGTGGTTGTGTCTTGTCACAAAATTAATTTTTCTTTTAGATATTTAAAAATCGAGAACTATGTATCCGAATGATGATACAAGTGTTATAATTAAAGATCATAAGGAAAAAAACGATAGAAAAAGTATACGCAAGCAAAAACGCGCTCATCATAGACTTCTTAGAGATATGAATATTAAATGCTCCGACGAGCCCACGCAAGTAAGTATTTGTTGTAATCTATTTTATTATACTTAATCTATTTGTTTGAACAAAAATTACATATGAAAATTTGAATACATTGTTACTTTTTACTCAACTTTCTTTCAAGTTATTCCAGTCCTCTAATTTAGCGTATTTCAGATGTAATATAAAAATTATAATTTTCTCAAACTGATTTAGATTCGATCATAAATAATGTTGTATGTAAACGTGTTCCATCTTCTGTAGTATCTAATGATATGCAACGGCGGCTTAGTTACTGGTATTAAAAGAGAAACACTGCAGTGTGTGTTGGATGCATTGATCTCCAAGTATATCTTGATAATGCCATCAGGCAAATCATATTGCTTCATAACATGTAACATGAAAGAGGATGCGACATGTGTATACAATTATATTCATGGGCGTATCAAACTCCCAGGCCAAAATGGTCCACTATATGTCTGTTATACAGAAACAGGTGAAATGTTAAAATATTTTATATATATATACTATCTCATAATATAATTCAGATAGTATAGGCACACCATGTATATATGTATAAAAAAAAAGTGATATATGATTAATAAATAATTAGATATAAATGAAATTCCATAAAATATACATAACATAATGCTTTTTATTTAGTTCCTAACATAGACTACGATATGAAAGATTCTGCATTTCCACCTGGTCTTACGTTAATAGAAAATTTTATAACAAAGGAGCAAGAAGAGAGTTTGCTGAGAACGCTCGATTGGGACGGACGCGGTAAAATACTCTGTAATATGCCATGACAACGTATCACGCGACAATGTTCTTAACGTAACATGAAATGTATTGCAGAATCTACCTCGTCGCGACTGAAGCACAGACAAGCGATACACTTCGGGTACAAATTCGAGTATGGCACAAACATTATCAATCCCTACAGGCCCATCACACCGATTCCGCAAGATTATAAGTTTCTACAGACCTTATTCGACAAACATGGTCACAAGTACACGTACGACCAGCTGACTATTAACAAGTATTCGCCTGGGCAAGGTAGCGCTTCAACATTTCTATCAGTTCGCAAGTTTACGCCCTAATTCTAATATACGAATAATGAAAAATCCTTGATATTACAACTCCTCCGGTTGACGCAATTGCCAAAAGTTTATATTACCTTGAGTGTATTTTTTACTTTCTGTAGAGAAGTACATTTGTGTAATAAGCGCGCGTAAACTTGTGGACTGCGACGACGAGCTACGTCGTTAGGACAAAGACTCTGATCGTACAACAATTCAAGGTATACCGCCGCACGTCGACACGCATAGTGTCTTCGAGGACACTATATTGTCCTTGTCGCTGGGCTCGTCATGCGTTATGAACTTTAAACGGACCGATCGGAAGATCGACGTGTTTCTGCCAGCCAGGTCATTATTAATCATGACGGGAGAGGCGAGGTACGCATGGACACACGGCATTTCTCCTCGTCGCAACGACGTGATCGACACGGGGAATGGTAACACAATACAGGAACGCGACACCAGGGTGTCCTTCACTTTCAGAAAGGTGCGACGCGCCGGTGATTGCTGCTGCGATTTTGAAGAACACTGCGATACCAAGCGACACGACACTCCTGCCATCATTGACGCCAAAGCAGCACTGTGCCTGGAAAACTCATATGTGCATAAGGTACATGAATCATCTCCTTGATTCTTTTTTTACAAGCTTGTAATAAATTAATATTATTTAAATATATTTAATAGTACCAATTTATTTCATTGTATCGTTATTACACTTTCAGTTTTACGAGGAAATTTCCAATCACTTTAGCGAGACGAGACATAAGCAGTGGCCTAACGTAGCCAAGTTTCTCGAAGATTTAGAAGAAGGCACGTTGTTGTTGGACGTGGGTTGCGGCAACGGCAAATATCTTTGTGGAAATGAAAATATATATAAAGTACCATATTATTTTTTAATCGGAATCAACATTCCAACTGATGCCATCGGTACAATCGTCTCGAGATTAAACCAGAGAATTGTTTCAGTTGGGGTGCGACCATAGTACGGGATTAGCGGAAATCTGTCGGAAGCGTGCTTTCGAAGTGTTGCTGTGCGATTGCCTGTACTTACCGTACCGAGACGAGTCTGCCGACGCGGCGATCAGCATAGCGGTGATCCATCATCTGTCCACGCGAGAGCGACGAAAACGCGCAATCGCCGAGATGATGCGGGTGCTTAGACCAAACGGCAAGTGCCTGATCTATGTGTGGGCGAAAGAGCAGCAGAGGGATTCCGCGGAATCGTTCTATCTCAAGTATAGATCTAAATATAAACCCGTATTCGCATACAGCGAGCCCGACTGTAGGATCGCCGAATGTCAATTAACGCTGCCGATTCAAGAGAATAGGACAAATTTCGCTCACAGTGACATGCTAGTCCCTTGGAAGAAGAAGGGTGGCGACCGTTTCCTCAGATACTATCATGTGTTTCAGGAAGGCGAGCTCGCGGAGTTATGCGCGGAAATATCCGCAACCGTGCTCAAGAGTGTCTACTACGATCAGGGAAATTGGTGCGTGATCTTGGAGAAATGTAAATAGGTCGAAATTTATGGATGTACAGAGATGACGAAATAAAAATTAGATTCGTGATCGATCGACTAACCATGTCGCATCTTGATGATTATTCACGATATCTCTTCGGTTTTGCTTATTCTGACATTTCCGTGGAAATTAAAAGGCGCAACACGGTCAACATATTTCCTTAATCTTTCTTGCGAAAATTAAATCGCACGGATTTACATACATGTGGAGATAAAATCAGAAAGTTACAAAGGTTCACAATGGTTACTGAAAATTGAGAAAATTTCCAGAAACTAATCTTGAAGTTGAGAATGTTAATTTTTTTTTTAATTCTATATCAAGTTTCATTAATGTTTACCAACTTATAAAATTCTGTTTTTTATAACCAAATCATCAGTTTTTTTTTTAAAGCTAATAATATTATCAATTTTCTTTATTAGCAAAATCATGAAATATATGTGGCGAGAAAATTGAAGTCGTACAATCGCTCAGTCGCTGTCTTCCAGCTTAATTTCTTCTGAAATGCAGCAAAAAATGTTTCAAATTTTTGACTACTCACAATGTCTCACAAAAGACAAATTTTCTTTCTCTCTGTGCAATTTAAAAATTCAAAGATGAAATGTATGAGAAATAAATTAATTGCTCAAATTTAATTAAAATGTCATGGATATCACTCCTTACCTATAGTTGTAGATGTACTTTTTGGTGGGGTTGGTAACTTGATACATTCCTGATCGTCCGAAAAATCGGAGTCATCCATTATACTAAAACCACTTTCTGTTTGAGGCGAATTCTGTAAAAAAAAAAAAGAAAAAAAATATGCAACATTTGCAAGTGAGTTATGTAACATATATAAGATATCAGTATATTATAAACATAAGAAAAAACTACCGAAGCACTTATTCAATAAATATAAAATGTTAACAAAAATCATGGCATTAGAAAGATATTAATATAATATAAAAAAAAAAATTAGGAAATTGAAAGTTAAAAAAGCAAAAATTGGTCTCATATTGAACATTCTTCTACTTACTTTGAAAATAGGTATCAATTCAGCAGATCCTTCGTCATGCTTTACAATACGACTGTCTTCATTTTCCGTTCTTATATCTTCATCTGCAAATTGTTCCCATTGTATTAAAATATAATATTCGATATATATAGATATGTACATATACTTTGAATAATTAAAACTTAAAACAGATACTAAAACTCAAAATTCTCCCAATCATTTTAATCCATTATAAATTTTAATATCTGATGATGTATGAATCAATTTTACTTTTTAATTATGCATTGAAGAAAAACAGAGATACCTTCAGTTATAGCTACTGTGTCCCATTTGCTTAGTTTGATACTAATATGATTGCCAATCATTGATGTAAGTTTATCCGTGTGAATGCTTTCTTTAAAACCGCATACGCTGCTGTTGTCCTTTTTGTACCTAAAATACAAGATAATATATGTTATATAATTACTGAAATTTATATATCATAAAGGTAATACGTTTCAAAATTATAGAAATATAAAAATATATATATACACGGTGCATTCAACAAGTTCCGGGACTGATTTCAATGAAAAAAAATCCCTTTCTCGGGTCGTCTTCGAGACTCATTTTTAAAACGTGAATACCATTCGAACACCCTTCCACGACTCAGGGAGTCTTCTCCGTATGCATTTTGCATCATTGCGAACATTTTCGACGAGCTCTTCCCACATTTGTGAGCAGAACTTTATCGCCGCTCTTTGTTCCATGTCGAAAATCGTGACAAATCTTAAAATGTGCACTGTACATGAACTGTTTACTCGATGGTAACGTAAGAAATGTCGGATACTCACAAAACTCTCAAACTCTTTGTACTAACTAGTCCCACCACTGAAATATGGGTGGCCCCATTAGAGCGTCCGAAAAAATTCAGTCCCGGAATTTTTGAATGCATGTATATTTCATCAATCTGAGATTTATTCGCTAAATATAAAGAGCGATATTCTGTTTCAAACATTTTATCCACAAAATTCTACCTTGATTGTATGTCTTCAGTCACTGTCTCCTTTATTTGCTGCACCAGTTTTGCAGCATAAGTCGCTGCATGATTCGAAACAGCGGATATCACATCCTCAACCGTCATAGTTTTCGTCAAGTAATCGAAATGCAAGCTACAGAGTTCTCTATACGAATTTACACCCAGTGTAAGTCGAGCGACGCCAACTCTTTCCTCTGTATATGTGGGATCCATTATGGTATTGCCGCTACAAAAAAATTTATATATTCTTTCATATATATATATATAGATATATACATATATGTACATGAAAAATTAAATAAATCTATTAAAATAGATAAAAAAAAAGTTGCTAAAAATAAATAAATCTATAAAAATAGATAAAAAGTTGCTAATATAAATATTTGACAAACCTTTCAAAAGTTATGAAAGATATGCAGACTGGATAGTGAAACAATGTTAGTGGTAGAAAATCTTTCTCTGAGGCTGGATGTATGATGACTTCTTCGCCAGTAGAGGTAACGTCTGGTCTATGGAAATGCGAAAGAGCAACAAGTGTCGCTATGGAGGCACAATCAATTAGATTCCCATCGTGATTTATAACATTAACATCAACTCTCAGGTTCCACACCTAAATAAAAACAAATAGATCACAATATACACATTATCTAGTGGTGTTGTGCATAAATATTTAATTCCTAACTACTACAGTGAGATTCTACCGTATCAATAGTGATATCTTATATAAGTAAATCTTATAAAGACAGGTTCTATTTAAATTTCTCTATCATAATCAAGTCAATATCACTGTGTAGTATATTGAGACTTAACAATATTACAAATATTCTAATAACCTTCTTATCTGCTACAATACACAAAGATTCTAAGTCTACGCACTTTGAATCTTTAAAGCACTTTTCCAGTTGTCTACTAATCATTATGGACGCCTCAGATGGTCTGCCGCTTTCAAAGTGTTGGGCAGCTAGTTGAGAGAGTTCAACATTTATATGTATCATGCCTTCATTAGGACGAGATGTTTTTGGCTGTTGTATATCACATGATACCTGTGCTATTGCCCTGGGCAAAAAGGATATTATTTCATGCAGAATTACATACTATGTCATTTTTATTTTAGACTCTTTTTCTTTTCTACAGAATAGAAATATTATAGAGACTGGAAATAAGTGAATTTAATAATAAAGTTATACAACTTTCATACAAAATTGTTCAAATGGAATGTGAAAACAAATAGACGGTTAGTTAGAAAAATCATATGTTGACTTGTCATTATCGAATTTGTGTACTTACTTTGTATGGCCGAGAGATACCATACAGCATCCCCAACTAGAGCCAAAGTGAATTTTGACAGAACGTGCCTCCAATAATTTCCGCCCATCTAACCTCTAAAATATAAATTCGTTACGTTATTAATTTTATGAAAACTGGGTATATAAAACATTAGATGTATTAGAGATTGATGTTAAACTTGCTAAGAAATTTACAAAATTAAAAAATGACGCACCGTTTCCTTCTCTATACATTTATTCACAAAATTCCGCTCGCAATTTGTAAGCAAGGTTTCCCTCATATTTTCCAAATGTTTTACTTTTAGCAACACACGATGTTAAAGTCCTCAAAATGTTATACAATAATTTATCTTCTGTGGAAAATTTCTTAGAAATGTAAAAAGTTTTCAATAATATAGTCTGTTCTTTTTAGCCACACTGCGGAACTGGTGCGGAATAAGACCATTGCGCGGGAATCAACATGCCGGTAAGAACTAAAAGTTTATTGGCTAATTTCCGCCACACGGCAAGCGTCGCCGCGTCCTCTGGGCAGAAGCCCATAAAATGCTTCTGGAATCGCTTTATTACCGTCATTTTTTCCAAAGTTCGTTGAATTATTTAAAAAATTAAAGCATTCAATTTTATTGATCATGAGAAATAGGAAATATTCAACGATAATTTAGACAAAAATGACAATAATAACGATATTTAAATGCTTCAAAATGAGGGACTTTAAACTAGAAGGAAAGAGAAATATATAAAATCAGCGTGAAAAGTTTATATTAATTGTCTATCGACAAAAAGTTTTTGCGACATATGATAATAGTGAAATAACATCCAATTACATAAGATACATATAAAAAATTATTAAATAATTTCACATAATTATACGAATAAGTATACATAAGTATATATTGCTCCATAATATTGGGGAGAAAAAGTCTTTTTACAAATTGCCGATAGATAAAGATCTGGTCGATTTTTGACACGGTGCCATTTCATAGAACACTTTAAAATAGATTCATCATAGATTTGAACAATATTGGTGCATTCGATGAAATTTGAAAATGAATGAAAATCCGGAACACTTTCGACACCTTTTTTTTTATTATAAAAGTGAAAATGCTGGCAAAGAAAAAATTTGCCGTGCTTATTGAGAGGATGCTCAGATTCACTCACATTTCTTCGCCAGTGAGAAAGCTTCATTTTGGAACAGAGGCATCATGCAGCTACCCGAGAGATAAGCCAAGGTCATTGAAGAAAGCGGCACACATTTGCTTGAATAAAGTTATTCTTTGAGTAAAATATTACGTTCTAAACTTACATAGAAGATTCGAAACGAACTGTCCGAACAATATACATAGAAAACAAAAAATACTGACATATTTTTTCGTAATGTTGAAATAAATTTTATCGTATTTAAAATGATACTAATGAGAAATCGGATCTTGCTCATTTTTCGGATAAATTTCAGATAAATTGAAAATGTCCCAATATGAATATTAATAAAAACGTGAAAAAAATTCGCTTTTATCATAAATCCTAGGATAAGCATGATTTAAAGTAAAATAAGAAAAATCGATATTTTTCTCACGATAACGCAAGATATCACAGTTTACATCGATATCATAATCCATGTACGGATTCGTCTTATTATAACATAGATATTTCTTGTTAAATTTGATCACATATAAAAGTGCACTTTCAAGACGCCTCGGTCTGCTTCTTCCAAGCTTTCGCAGATGCGAGAAATTTGAGATTTGGCCTCTGCGACTCGTCCTCCGGGAACACAAAGTCGAACACCTCTTCCCAGCCGTCGTCGTTGCCGTCCTCATCGACGACACGTCTCCTCTTCTTCACACGTCGCGGCATCTTCTCCATGATCTTGGCGAGTGTGTCGGCGGTGCCCTTTTCGCTTTCGAAATCTTTCCAAGCCTCCAGCAGCAGTACGCGACTCTCGGTGTCGCCGGTGGATCTCAGGGCGTCGTTGCCGCGCTCGAAGATACGTCTCGCCAGGACGACGTTATCCGGCGCATCGTCGTTACCCGGATTAAGGAGCTCGAACTTGGCATACGCTATCCACACCTTGACGTGCAACGTGCGCTCCAGCAGCCGCTCGAACAACTGCCTGGCATTATCCGTCTCACCCTGGGCGATCTCGAAGTCGATGTAAGACTTCCACAGCAGCTCCGGCATATCGAGTCGCGGCCGTGCGATCGCGAACTCGTATATCGCGCGCGCGCGCTCGGTCTCGCCCAGCCGCGTCTCCAGCTCGGCGAACCTCATCCACGTGGTGCAGTTCTCCGGGCCGAACTCGAGGAATTTCTCGTAGAGCTTGCGGCAACGATCGAACTCGACCAGTTGTATCTCCAGATCGATGTAGCCGCGGTACAGCTTGTCAGTGGGACAAACGCCCAAGGCGAATCCCAGGGTCCTCCTCGCTCTGGTCAGATCCCTCTGCCGTATCTCGAAGTAGGCGTAGAGCAGCCAGATCTTGGAGAAGGTGAAACGCTTGTGCGGTATCAGCTCGAGGCACACCTTGTACACCTGCCGGCACCGTTCGGCATCCCTCGCCTCCAGTTCCTCGAAGAGCGCGTACTTGATCCACAGGTAGATGTACCTCCGCCAGAACTGCTTCTCCTTGGTCGGCGGCACGTTCGCGATCGCACGCTCGTAAGTCTCGCGGATCGCGTCGACGTTACCCTCGGACTCTACCAGCCGCAGATAGTCGAACCACGCGTCATAGTTGGCGGGGCTTTCCTTCACCTCCTGCTCGTACTGATGCTTCCGTTTGCTGACTATCACGTCCTCGATGCCCGACCGGTCGCCGTACTTCTTCTCGTGGATCGTGTACGCCTTGTAGATCTCCTGGGTGTTGCTGCGCGGTATGTGCTCCAGCGCGTACTTGTAGATGATGCGGGCGCGATCGTGCTCCCGCTGGCCCTCCTCGAACTTGGCGAACGCCAGGAACAGCCGTTCGTCCAGGCCCTCGTCCCCGTAGAAATTTACCGCGCGCTCGTAGACCGTACGCGCGCCTCGGATGAAGCCGTACGATTCTTCGAAACGCGCATACTTGATCCAGTGGCGGACGTCCGGATGCACCATGACGAAACGCTCGTAGATCTGCCGGGCGCGCTCGATCTCCTTGTAGCGCAGCTCGAACTTGATGTACGTCTGCCAGGCCTGCTCGTCCGGCTCCCATTCCATCCACCGCTCGAACACCTGACGCGCACCGGCTATATTCTCCAGCGTCTCCTCCATGTACGTGTACTTGTACCAGAATTGATTGGCACGGGGCAACAGGGTGACCGCGCGGTCCCACAGATTACGCGCGTGGTTCACCTGACGATTGCGCATCTCCATCTCTGTGTACTTCAGCCAGAGCGCTATGTTGCGATGATCCACTTCGAGGGCACGCTCGTATATGGATCTCGCCCGCTGTATCTGCTTCTGGCTCTCCTCCCATTGCGCGTACTTCATCCAGTTCGTGATGATCATGCGGTTCTTGCGGATTATGTCCTCGAACGCTTTGCGCTTGCGATGCTGATAATCCGCGAGCTCGTGCGGGTCTGAGATCTTCTGCTTCGGCGGTGGCGGCAGTATTTCCAGGTCGCGCTCCTTCGCCTCGCGCAGCAGCTGCTCCGCGGTGATCTGTATCTCCGCGGGCGCCTTGTTCTTCACCTTAGCCACCTTCGGCATCTTCTGCGACTTTTCCATCATTCCTTGCTCTACAAATATCGCTCTATTTATGTTACTTTGCACTTTCATTGTAGGTAATACGAATCAAACATTAGAAACTTCTAATATATGTGAAAAAATTCTTCTTTCAGATCATTGAAGGACGGTGAATATTTATGTAGGATATTCATTTGTATCGCTGACTCGTATCGAAAACTCGATACTATTGTAGAATTTAGAGAATACAACGCAAAAATGTCGTTGTGAATGATAGGTTAAACATAGTGATACCTAACCTTGGTTATATCGTGCATATGGACTTTTACTTGTCTTCCAATTTGAGTGCTTACGTACAATTTACAAAGCCGGTTATTCAACTCCTTTCATTGTTTATTTTTACAACAATGCTGACGTGTTAGTGTTTCACCTCCGATATGAGAAAAGAGAATATCAATTTTATCGATAAAAATTTCCTGAATAAGAGACATTGATACTTACAAGATAACTTTTTACACGCTTCTTTCACCTTTTACTCCAAAAACAGTGCAAATTACGACAGAGGAAAAGCTGCCACAATGGCGGCACGCGCTATCGGACATGAATCGAAACATCGAGAATCGAGATCCTTCGGAAAGATATCGAAATATCGAGAATTTTTATGAAATTCACCTAAAGCCAGCGGCACACGATGCTTGTTTTCGTGCTGGATTGCTTGCCGGATGGAAATATCGCGTCCTGATTGGTGCATTTCCAAAAATGGACGACAACACACCAATCAAAACGGAGCATTTCAATCCAGCACGAAAACAAGCATCGTGTGTCGCTGGCTTAACAAAAAAAAAAAACACGATTCATTGGCCGGACCTAATTTCGTCATCATGTTCGGCAAGGGAAATATGAGAAAGGTGATGAGGTTGATGTGAATTTCTTGCAGGTGCAAGATGACCCAGAGGAATCGTCGTCGCGAGTCGTGACGCGGTATCGCGTGGAAAATATCAGCCATCGAGAAACGAACAACTCGGACGAATCTCGGTTGGAAGCGCGCGCGAAGGTGGGCGCTTCTTTCGAGGTTAGAAATGACCGCGCGACAGTGCTTTCGCGTAACCTTAATCCTAACCTAGTTCTTACTTTAGTCTCGTGTGACCGCGTTTTCGCAGTAATTGTGGGACAGATCTCGTCGACCACCTTCCAAGAGTGGACTCCCGAGATGGACGAGAAGGTCGAAGATACGTATGTGCTCGAGCCGTACGTGGTGATCTATCACGAAGCGGACGGGCCGGAACGTCCGAAGGCACGTAGTGGTCATCGTATCGCTTGCGACCATCGGAACCTCTATTCGTACGGCGGTTTCAACCCGTGTGTGTCCGACACCGACCCGGATATGCGCGACGACCCTACGTGGATCATCAGCAAGCCGTTGTTCAAGGAACTGTGGCGGTACAACTTGGCGAGCGAACGTTGGCGACGATTGCCCGCGCAGGAGACCATACCGAACGAACTGGCCTCGAACGCTATGATCCTACGTGGCAACAGGCTCATGGTATACGGTGGTACAGGTGTACCGTTTGGTGAGAGTTGTAGCAATCAATTGTACATCTGCAATGTGGACGATGGTGCTATGAAACTGGTGCCAGCCTCTGGCGAACTGCCTGAGCCTCAGTATGGACAGGTGCTTTGACAAAAGAATTCTCTTTCAACATTTACTATGGCCTGTGTGTATTTGCAATTTGATCATCATGTGGAAACTGTCCATTTACTTAAAAGCTCAACTTGATCTCACATTGAGCTTCGCTTCAAGTTTAGAGACAAAATAGCAAACTTAATCTTATTGTTTGTTACTTACTTGTTTATCGTACAAACAGGCACTGATATATTATGGTTCCTACTTGTATACTGTTGGCGGCACCACTGGCTATGAATATACTTGTGACATCCATCGGTTTAACCTCAGAACCGGTGTCTGGGAGACAGTATATATTTGTTTGGGCAGAGATTCATTAGAGCCACCAGGGAGGTATCGTCACGAGTTGGCATTCGACGGTGAGATGATCTACATTTTGGGTGGTGGTACTTCCATGGATGCCTTTGGTTTCTCGGTAAGTGGCTGGTAACTTAATTCTCCGTTCGTCTCCTGAATATGTAACGCTACCGTAATATAAATGTTTATAACAATCGTCTGTGACGATTGATGGAACATTCTTCAGGAAATCCCAGCGTTCAATCTGCGATCCAATAAGTGGAAGATATTGAGCACGCACGGCGACAACGACGACAACACAGTACCGGCACCGAGACGCTGTCATGGTTCTGTTCAATATATGGACGAGAGGACCGGTGCCACCATGGTTGTTATATCGGGTGGCTACGACGGTGATCGCGTCTTCTCGGATGTTTGGCGGCTGGATCTTAGTACGTTACAATGGACGTGTTTGAGAAAGTGTATCCTGCCGTTTCCGGTATACTTTCACTCAGCGGCGCTCACCCCAGAAGGTCGCATGTATATATTCGGCGGTATCATCAAGAAGAACAACACGGTTGGTTGTTATGTCCCATTAAATTATCACATATGCTTTTCATAATTTACCGTCTGATTTTTTTTTTTTTAAGATTTGAGTTTTGTAAGTAAAAATTATTCATTCAAGTATAACTCGTCCATGATTAATTTTGACTGTCTGAAACTCGCGTGTCGTTGCAGATACAGAGGACGAACATGGTTCTATCCGTCTGGCTAACGATTCCGAAGCTATCAGAGATCTGTTGGCAAGCGTTGAATCACTATTGGTTGGACCTGCGAAACAGATCGCCGGACGAATTGCTGCATATGGGAATACCAATGAAATTCGTGCAAAGACTCGATTCCTACGACTCGTGAATAACATTACGCGGCCAACAGTTTTCTTAGTCCTTCCCCGAATCTTCAGCTATAGCTTTTCGAAAGTTCGCAATAAGCTCGAAAGCAGGGATTCTTAATCCCTAATTAAAAATTTAGGATCCCGGATCGGGATTTCTGCAACCTGCATGAATGTATTTGAGGGAATCCATGACATTTAAATGAGAACAAAATTACGATTTTACTTTCTCTTTACTAGCAATTCAGCAAATATTTCTCGTCCTTTAATTTTATTTTTGTTATAGCTCGTCATAATTATTGAGATGTATTTATTTTAAGAAAATTACTTTGTGTGCTTCACTTAGTTTTATACATATATCTTTTATTTGATGTATGTAAAAACATTTTGACAAGATTTTATGAACTGCCAAAGAAGTCAATGGCGCAAAACAAAATTAAGAATCCCTGCACTAAAGCATCCAATCATATTCAGTCGTTATGATATTTATTGGTTTACATTTCTAGTACTTTTTTTTTTTTTTACTATACCGATTATAAAAAAATCAGCAGAGAAAAAAGTAATTTCATCATTATTCCATTTCATCAGTCCAATTTATTATGCATGCAAATTGCAATAATGGGCCATGTGCAAAATAATAGGCTTTTCCGTCTCGAATTTTGCATTAACCCTTTCGCTACGTAAAACATATGTACATAATCGAAAAGTAACTTCTCAGTTATGTACGTCAGTCGAATGTACATGTCATGGGAAACCTGTCGTCACTTACGGATGTCGTATATGTACGGGGTGTTGCATTAATCATTCCTAGTTATAATGATTAATATATGTCTCGCGGAGTTTTTTAACGAATTGTTGCAACGCATACAGACAGGATACACTTTTAACGTGAATGTTACTAGGAACATTAGAACTTCGTTGGAAAGATATATGAATGACTATATCGACAAATCGACAATGACAAGGGATTATCATCTGTGTGCGCCTTTGGCCAGGCAACCCGTCATAATGAATCGTATGTTGATGCAACACCGTGTACAACGGCGTATATATACAATAGCAGCAAAATCAACATGTATATGTAGGAATCCAGTGCCGAAACAAAGGCACGTTATCCGAAACTATTGTGCTTTTCACGTCTTTTGGAGAAACTTGCGTTTTTTTTTAATTTTTCGAAAAAATTACTCTTGCATGCGTCTTTTATATGTCGCATACATTTTGGTTGGAGCGTGCTGTAGCGAAAGGGTTAATTTAACGCAAGGCGTTAAATTAATGTGGAAATTTTCTTAATATTACGAATATGTCGCGCTGGTTCGCGTGACATTATCTTTGTGCAAAAAATGTACAGATAATAATTATGATTATTGTGATAATAATGAGTAAAGAGTTATATTTATAAAGGTATATAGTTCGTTATATTAGCGTTATATTTAACATTGTACAGTGTACTCATTACGCCTTCTCGCTGAAGTTCTGTACATTGATATATCATTATATATCTCTTCACTTATACTCATTTCTCTCTCTCTCTCTCTCTCTCTAAGGATCTTAGAATTATCGAGATTATTGGTAAAGCAGAAAGCGTACGAGATTTGCGTTGAACGTCGAGAAGAAGAGACCGTCGAGTTCGAATTTTACGGATATTTATCCGCAGTGCCTATATAAGGCGAACGACAAATCGCCAAAATCACTCGTTCGGCAAATCGAACCTCAAGGGATACGACCGAGGATTGAAATCGGTATAATTTCGCAGCGAGTTCGATCTCTGACATGTAAGCATGGAAAATTGATATGATTATCCTAATTATCCGGTTTCGTTTATTCGCGAATAAATGTTAGAATTATTATCGTCTCTGATATGCAAATTTGAACTCGGATATTCCATCCTTGGTCTCGACTGCTTCTGTCTTTTCTAAAATATCTTCTGGAAAATAATTTGCGGAAGTGTGCAGAATCAACATCGGGAAAGTCTTTGCTAACTTTTGGAATGCCTCGATCTTAGAACGTTATTGTACGTAAAATCGACGCTTTTTGATATCATTTGATTTATTCTTTCTTTAAGAAAAAGAAAAGAAAAAAATTAGATATTGTCATAGATTGTTTTAATTCAGTATTTATTGTCCTGATAATAATAGATTTATACACTATTTAACACTTTTATAATTCTCTCAATGCACGAACAAATTTATAATTGTAGAAAGAAATATATATGTATTGGGTTGTCGGAAAAGTCATGATGTATTTTTTCTATGTTCTGGGCGAATATGGGATGTGGCAACACATCTAAGCTTCAATAATTTTTGACGGTTGATCAAAATTTGTGGTTTCGCGTTGTGATGGAACACCATTGCGCATCACATTGTTGTAAACAATCCACTTCTCATTACCAGTTATCAGTCGCTTCAAAAAAAGATCGTTTTCCTCACGTTTAACGAGCGTATCGCAGATGTTTATACGCGCCGTCAAATGAACTTCTTTGAGTTCATGAGGAATCCAAATATCGAGCTTGCTTACGTATCCCAGCTTCTTCAGGTAGTCGTGAACGCTTGAATGATGGGATGCTCAATGTATTTCTGCAATCTCTCGTGTCATGTAACGTGGGTTTGATTCGATCAATGCCTTTATTTTGTCGTAATCAATCGATGGGCCTCTCTGACCGAGAAGCGTCGTTGAGATCAAAATCACCAGCACGGAATTTCGTGAACCATCGTTGGCACTGACGTAGAGCATTTTCACCGTAAACTTTTCACAAGCTTGACGCGCATTCTTCCCTTTTGGGGAAATAAAACAGTAATATATGGCGAAAATGCACAGTTTGGTCTTTCATTTTCAATCCGTTATAAAATCTCCGAAACTCAACCGAATCGTTCAATTTTTGTGAATGAAGCTAAAACCGTCAAAATGACACAGCAATAACATAGGTGCGAATGACTCTAGTACTTTCAAAAATAAACTAGCGCCATCTGTTGCAAAAATGTATCATGACTTTTCCGACACCCAATATATACGAGTTGAGGCTCAAAACTTTTCAGACTACCCTCGTTTGCGTGAGAGAAGCTGCGTGTCATTATTATCGGCATTTCCCTTCCGTCTCACAAGTGTGTCTTCGGTCCGTCGGGATACAAATATTAAAGGAAACAACGTCCTAGAAATTATTCGAAGAAAATATCAATAAAATCATATGGAATATTGAACTTGACTTTGCCATTAATTCGGCGTGCAATCGCAAGTGTCGCTTTGTGTGTCAAGAGGTTGTCAAATGATAATCTATGTTAGAAAGATGATGGCTTTAGAAAAACAGAGGAATATAATTCCTTGAGGCTCTGCTCACGTAATAATTATATTATCAAAAGTATTTTACAGCGATGAATATATATTCTAAGGATGCTCTTACAATATGAAAGTGATTCTACTGCGATCTATCCCACAGTCGAAACTATCAAGTCGGCAACATCCGGATCTTGACAGAGAACGGAGAACTTCATCGTAACTTGCGTTCCACTCAACGCCAGTCGCGCGCGTGCCAATACTTCTTTTCCTCCACGGAAGACGCCGCTCAAGAGCAGGTTATGCACGGTTGAGCCGCTTTGTACTTTATTGCTACGCTCCATGGCTTCCAATCCCAAATATGACGTGATACCTTGTATCGCTCCTTCCAAAGAGGTCACCGAAATTCCCAAGTCGTACGTCTCTTCTAACTTGGTGAATCCCTTCGCGGTGTACGTGTCCCAAGCGGTATTGAAGTCCATACCTCTGTTACTAACTCCGCGCATTTGGTCGCGGAGAGTTACCTCCAAATCTTCCAACTGGAAAAGAGAGTTCTTCTAAACTCTAAGGCTTAACGGCTGACTTTAAGACGACGTTTCGTTCCCTAAATCTTTGTCTAAATTATCACGTTTTTTTTTTTATTATTCTCTGATTTGTCATAAACAGAATGGTTTTCTCTCTTTTAGATTCCAGGCAGTTATTGAGACAGACTTAAAGCGTTGTTTTAAACTGACAAGTCAGTCGGTCCGCGCCTTAAAATTTCTTCGATTTAGTAAATGCGCTCTCTCCTGATATTAACACTGTTCTGCCAGCACCTTGTAAAGAAATATTTCGTTCTAATAATAACGCTTTACAATATAAAATTTATACGAAGGTGGATAAATTACGAGAAGAAAGTTCTTTGGATACCGTCCAAGCGAGCTCCCGAAATCGACGATTTTCTCGGAATAAATCGTCGAGACTAATTTTTTTACCATGTATTCATCGTGGTATCCTTGATCCGCGTCCGGTATCCCCGTCGTTGGGTCGCAATCCCTCGCCATGAACCGGAGAGTCGTGGGAATGGTAGCGACACTCGCGTGCACATCTTCCGGGTATTTCAATACCGTGTAAGTGGTGCCCGGCTCGTTGTAAGGTAATCGCGGGCACGATACCACGTATATGACCGAGTATCTGTAAAATAACTCGTTGCAACGTAAATGCAAGACAGACGGAATGACACGCTAAGTGCGCTCTCACCCTTCGGACGGTTCAACGGCCACTACTATGTCTTCGAGAAGCTGATCGGACAAAGTGTTGACGCAATCGAATTGCAAAATGAGATACTCGGGGAATGTATGCTTGATACATTTAACGTTATACTCCGTCTCGGATTCGGTCAGCTCGAAGACCGGCGAGGATTTCAGCAACGACGAGTCGCGGATGATCGCGGCCAGTTGCGGGATCTGCGACAGTTTCTCCATGAAACTCTCCTCCCTGGTCAAACGAGGCTGCTTGATAGTGGTGTGAACCTCCACCTGGGCTGGCTCCTCCACCGTCTGAGCTGGTGGTATCTGGAAAAAGTAACGACATGCGTGTTAAAATGTAATAACATAATGCAAATTCATGCCAGTAAAAAATAAATAAGAAAAGAGAATAGAGCATGGGAAGGTGAGAATTGTGGGCAGAGTTTCAGCTTTTTTTTCTCCCTGACTTTTTTGACACTCCTTTCTTCGATCTTGAGAGAGGATAATACCTGAGAAATATCGAAGGATTCTTCCATAGGTGTCTGCATGTAATTCCGCAAGGCTCTTTCCAAGGACGGCACGGACAATGAAGGTGGTTGTACCAAGGGCAATATGGTCGGGTCGCGTTGCTGCTGCAAGATCGTGCAGTAATAAGCGGCGCGATCGCGAACCTCATCGTCCGAGTCCAGCTGACAACGCGAGAGCAGCACCAACACGTTCGGCAGCAGTTGCGGGCAGGCGGCGGCGAAACGAGCCAAAGCGGTGACGGCCGCGGCGCGCACACTGGCACTCTCGAGAATCACGCGGTTGTAGATGAAGCGGATGTACCGCGATGGAAACTTCGTGGTCGGGCCCTCTTGACCGAGCAGGTGCAAAATACGAACCGCTAGGGAGATGTGTTCGCAGTCCTCGATGAACTCGCAGAGATGCGCGAGACCCGCCTCCTTCGCCTCCGCGTTCCCCTCCATCACGGCGATGATGGTGTCGGCGATCGCCGCTTTATACTCGAGGCCACCTTCGTCCCTCAGCATAGCGGAGAGGAAGTTCATCAGCACGGAATGCTTGCGCGGGAACTTTTGGCACAAGGCCCTGGACATACGTTATCATAAAGCTTATGAACTGAGAGAAAAATTATCGCGTAGTGAAGAGTTGTCACATAGCTTATGAACAATAAAGTTGCCATTTTCAAACGCGTAAGATAGCTCAAAAGCTGGTGAAAAGATGAAAGTTATCATATAGCCTGTGATGAAAAAGTTATATAATTTACGGGCGAGAATCAATATTGAAAATGTCCCACGAAGAAAGAAATACATTCCTCGGTAAGTGCCTCATGAGTAGTACGCCCTCTTCGGCAAATCTCAGCCCAACCTGTCCTTTCAAGCGTGGCTAAGAAGAATGCATTACCTGATGGCCTGCACAACCACCACTTTGAATTCATCCGAGATCTCCGACACGAAGGTGGCGATCTGCTTCATCAGCCGGTCCACCGAGCTTTCCGCCCCGGTCTTCAGAAGAGTGGTGATCGCCAAAGTGGCGATCGATCTGTTCGAGTCTGTGATCAGGTTCTCCAGGTCCAGATTGCAGGCAGTGACGGCTGCTGGGTGCGACATCGCGACCTTGTTGAGAGTTCGCACCGCGGCGAACCGGAGCGCCGGTTTCGGCGAGCCGCAGAACAGCTGCAGCACGCTGATGGCGGGCCCGATCTCCCGGGCGCCGCTTCGCCCGAGGTTGACCAAGGCGTGAGCCGCCTCGTACACCACCATCTCGGACTTGTGGCGCAGGCACGATTCGATGAACCCGATCAGTTCCTCGCCCTCGTCCACCTCGTCCAGCAGTTTGTACGCCATTCTGATCAGCATGCAGGCCGCGTACGGGCTCTTCGGGCTCGTCTTCATGAGCTTGGCGACCAGCTTGATCACCGCATGCTTGTCCGTCTTCCGCGCTTGGTACAGGACACCCAGTGCGTGATACTGGACCATCACGTTATTCGAGTTCAACGCCTCCTGCGCTTCGTTCGCCCATCTCCTCGCGACGTCGCCGGACACGCTGGTCAGATGCAAGGAGGAGACTAGCGCGGCGCTGGACACCGCCGGTGAGCGGTCGACTATGGCCTGCTTCATGTACCGTTCGATAGCCGCTAGCATACTGCCGTCGGTGATGGTGCAAAGCGCTCTGATGGCCGCAGCCCGGTACAGATCCTCCTTGCCGGTCATATCCTTGGTGAGACTGGACGTGACTATGATCACATCCTCGGCCAAGGAACTCAGTTCCTTGATGCCGAGATAAACCAGCCGTCTGAGGATGACATCGCGCGACTGAAACAGCTTGGTCATGGCGAAGAAGGCCTCCGTCGCTTCCGTCGTGCCCAACTGCTCGCCCTGATTCAGCAGGTACAGGATCTTCGTGAGGATGTGCGCGCATTTCCGCGGATTGACAGGCGTGTTGTTGAAGGTGCGCGCCTCCTGCAGAACCGTCGTCTTCTCGAGGTTTTGGAAGGGATTCCCGCCGCCTGAAGGAACACGCGTTAATACTCGGAGCGAATAAGTTGCTACAGATTTTCATCATAGCATATTAATGTACTACGTTGACAGTTGCTCTACAATCTACGTACGATTCTTCATTGTCTAGCCGACACTCAAGCGAAGAATGATAACGACATGAATTTTAATAGTTACCATCTTCCTCCTCTTTCTTGTCGCGTTTAAACGCAATCATAATCGTCTCGAGTGCGATCGGGCAATACTGAAAGATACACGTCACCCGTTCTAAACGGCCATTACAGGTTCCTAACCATCTCTACGGATCGCAGGTCTGTTCTTTTTCATTGAACTACCGTAGCACTTGAGAAAGATACGCAGTTGAGAGTGTGATGGAGTAGAAAAGAGAGAACAAGTTAGTTCAGCGGGAAAGAACAGATCTACGTCACGTTCTGTAAAATCGCCACAGCTCTGTTCGTTAGAAACACGTTAATTACGAAGAACGAACGGCACTGCACGATAGCATTGATATCGGTTGTAAAAATTACTAATCCATTATCGATTAATTTCTGGTTACTTTATAATTATTTCATAAATAATTGTTAATAACTATTGTTGTTCAGCAAAACACATCATTGTTTTCGTTAACTTTTTCTTTACAAAATAACGATATTTGTGTTTGAAGGATATTTAAGAGCGCTTATAAACCGGTATTCATAGTCTTATATATAAGACCGTCGTAAATTTATCTCCAGATGCTGTAGGACTCATTGGCTACACAACATCTCAAGATGAATTTAAGAGAGTCTCAAATATAAGACTATGAATATCAGCCATAGACCTGTGATTTAATAAAGAGGAAGCTGCGCTTCTCGAACAACAAAGGTCCGATTGCGCTGTCGTTCGGTCGTACTACTAACAAATACTTCACGGTCGAATTTCAAGAAGACCGCGTATACCGTGGACTAAGCTCTCAGCAGTCACTACAGAAGATCCAATATGGTGTCCGTTTTTCAGCGGTTTACGTCGGATGCCCGTATTTTGAGGTAAAATCGTTATCCGGCGAACGCGGGGTTAGCGGTAATTATGAAAATTCGATTGAAAGTGTCGGGCCGCACGTAAAAGTTCTCATGCCACTGTGTTTCGCGCACGATCGACAGCCGTGAGAGAGAGAGAGAGAGACCAGTGCCTCGAAGACAGAGTGGCGAAACCCCCTCTGTCTTTTGGTGTGTTGGAATTTTACGAAATAAAAAAATACTGAAAATTCGAAAATGGAAAGTGACAAGGTGGAGGCTGGCGCGGGAGTGAGTGATTCCGAGGCGTCGGCGATAAAAATTAAAGAGACGAAGCAGAACTCGATAGCGGATGTCACGACGTTAGATATAAAGTCACGTCTCAGTTTGGAGACGACGACGGAGGCTCGCAGCTCGGAGCCTCACGTCAACGGGGTAGCTCAAATGAACGGTATCTGCGACTCTCCTCAAAGAACTGCCGATGTCGCTGATCTTTCCCTACAATCTGGAACAATGGAAACTAGTCATTTAAACCAACATGGTATGTAGTGTCTCATTGTATACAACAGACAGGTTCGGTCTGTTTTTGGCTGTACTAGTTTATACCTTTTCCTTTCCTTCTTGAGATTTGGTAGAAAAGACAGAGAAAAGTATTGCAAGGAATAGAAATCAGATCCTAAGTATTATTTACATTGCTACCTTGATACTTGAAAGAAACTTGATAATTATCGAAATATCCTACATTGTTTCTACTCATTGTCTGAAAACTTGCTCGCTAAATTTATACGATACTCTGAATGATTTCTCTCATTAAAGACACTCGGTTAAATGGCATGAGTACAGTTTTATTGAAGATATTGGATAATGATTTGTCACTTGCTGTGTTGCAGAACAAGTTGAAACATTAGCTGCGGAAAGTAAAGACAACGATATCCAATATGTTAGCTATACGAGCGAACTGCAAATGCCTGATATTATGAAATTAATACAGAAGGACCTAAGTGAACCATATTCTATTTACACATATAGATATTTTATTCATAATTGGCCGAAATTGTGCTTCCTGGTATGTATGTTCTTCCTTAATTTCACTCAAGTAATGCTGGTATATTACAAATTGTTCCGTACTAATAATAATAGATTACTGTGGGAAAATATTCATAAGATCTTATTTGAGAAAATGTGAAGGAAAAGGACAAAGAAAGAACATTGTCAGGTTTGGTCTCGGTTCTAGAAAATTCTGATTTTCTGTTCGTCAAGGCGATGCATGGTGACGAGTGTGTCGGTGCCATTGTCTGCAAACTGGATATCCATAGGAAGGTGATAAAGCGTGGTTACATCGCGATGCTAGCCGTCGACGTGAAATATCGGAAACGGAAGATCGGCTCGAATCTCGTGAGGCGAGCTATTCAAGCGATGGTGGAGGACGACGCGGACGAGGTGGTCCTGGAGACAGAGATCACCAACAGACCAGCTCTACGTTTATATGAAAATCTTGGATTCGTACGTGATAAACGGTTATTTCGGTATTACTTAAACGGCGTGGATGCATTACGACTGAAGTTATGGCTCAGGTGAAATTCATCTGCGTGCTTATGTCAATAGGTATTTAAATAATTACAATGTTGAAGAGATATAACACCTATGCTCTACCATGTCAGAAGAAGTATATGACATTAATGTCAAAGAGATTATATTTCCACAAACGTGCTTTCAATACGATTTGCTTTCCAAAAATGTCAAAAACGATGCGTGGAAGATCAATCCTCCAATTTCTTGGATCAGCTCAATCGTTCGTACAACTTTTGCATTGCTAGAGGAGTATTCCTAAATACTTACCTGTGCAAATCATTTTTCACGACGAGTATATTTCTTTTGCCTGTAGATGAAAATCTGCTCTAACAGCCTACATACTGACGGTTCCATCTATTAAAAATCAGAATCTTAATATATGCGTAGATGAAGATATTGTATAATTTGTTAATAGTGCCTAACTGATTGTTACTTATTTTGTTATAAATTCGCTGGAGTTCCTTTGATATTAATGTCAGTGAAAGGGATAGATTTCAAATGCAGCTTGAAGATATAAAATTAAGGGGCGATATGTGACAAAATCGAGACTGTGAAAAGTGTACTGAAAAATAATCAATGTTTGCTGCATCTCACATTGATGAAGTGCACATCTTGAAGCAATGTATATATTCCTTATATTATAATTGACTCGTCTTACTTCGATATTACGTTATTACGAAAAATTGTGATTCGATTGTGTAGAAAATTTTATGGAATATGGTTGTTTATAAGGAACACACGAGAAGAAATTTATGGATTTGTTGCTCTCGCATCTAACACAATTTAATTTATTCGCTTTAATCATCTCATCGAATAAATGATAAAAAGAGGAAACTGCAGACAGCTGTCGCATGATGTTGCATCAAGTGTACAATTTTGTCAGTGTGTGAACGGCAGTTTAATAGAAAATAAAACACAAAGTCCGAGGGAAAGAGAGGAAACCTTTAGATAAAGTATTCCCGATTGAAATTGTAAAGTGATATACGGAAATATCGATATTTATATTAAACGATGGACACACGCAAGGAGAGGGGAGAGAAGAAAAAAGAATTATCGTTTACGAAATTGAAATATTTCGAAGGAAGTACGTCTCTCGCGCGACACGATTGAACGCAAGGAGCCGTGCGCATTACTGTCTACCTATTATATCTATCTTTGTATAAAATAAATGCGAAGCACAGATCATAATGTAACTATTAAAAAAATGTAAAAAATGTTAATAAAAATACATAAATGTTTTTACACGTGTCTCGTTTATGTTGCGATGTTCCACGATCGCAAATCGATTGTTAGAGATTGCCCGAAATGTCGAGAAATCTAACTAGAATGCTCTATATATTGTGGATTTGAAATCGATTGGTCGGCACGAAACGACCAATCACCCGATCGAGCAGATGTCGCCACCGGTATTCGTCGCTCGTCACTCTACGTATTTTGCGTTCCACGTTATAAGCGCGATTACGAAACGGTTCCGGCTAGTTTCCAGAAGACGGGGTTCCGGCTGGCGTGCGTCTCCATTGTTGGCCGAAGAATAATCGGAAATCGCACTTACGGTAAGTGATACACACACGTAATCCGAGTTATATCGTTCACGAGGAGGCAATCCACACGCGGGATGCGTGAAATAATGCTTCGCATTTCGTCGACTTTCAGCCGGCTCTGATCATTTCCCGTTCGCGATCGTACGCGCGTCGCGAAACTAATTTTACGACGCTCCGCATCCTCACCGGCCCCACAGACGAGACGCCACCGAATTATGTATTATATTGCGCGCAAAATCCTCTTGTCGCATCTCGACGACGATAATTCCCGTCTGCGGCGTATTCTTTCGGATAACTCCATTGTGTGTTCCTTCAAACGAGTAACGGCGTTTTCGGCCGACGGCGTAGCATCGTGACGACGGCCATTACATGAATGCTTTTTCGGCAAAATCGTTATTTTCGCGGCTATATATATCGCAGTTCGAGCACCTTTGTGTCTTCGCACAGGTAAGCCCCGCTCGACCTGCCGTAATCGCGGGAAATCAGCGCATTATACTCGCGGATGCGACAAAATTTTGTTTTTAACTTACGATCCTCGAGGCAACATTACGATTGGAGCGTCTTCTTTGCACACTTGAGGATTGTTTCATCAACACAATCGATTATTATTCCTTTTAGTGTTCTTACTGAAGCAACTTTGAATTAAAAATGGCGGATAATGACGATCTTCTGGATTACGAAGATGAGGAGCAGAATGAGCAGCCCGATGGGAGCGGAGATGTTCCCGCAAAGAAGGAAGTGAAGGGCACGTACGTCTCCATCCACAGCAGTGGATTCAGAGATTTCCTCCTGAAGCCGGAGATTTTGCGTGCTATCGTCGATTGTGGCTTTGAACATCCATCCGAAGGTGAATATTTATAATATATTCCATTTGGACACAATATGGGTGTCACTCTATTTAACATCCAGCAAGAAAGAAAGAAAGGAAGATGCTCGTTGCGAGCGGAATATATTTTGTTTTACCTCGCACGGAACGCTATACAATGATGAGTCTAATCTAAGGATTAGATAGGGACAGCTGAATTTTTATGACAGAGATTAACATTGTTATCTGAAGTTACATATTATTTGTAACGATATTTGTGCCTCTTCTCAACTGCAACTTATTTATGATGAATGTCTGCTACTTGCAGTGCAACATGAATGTATTCCTCAAGCGGTACTTGGAATGGATATATTGTGTCAAGCAAAGTCCGGTATGGGAAAAACTGCTGTATTTGTATTAGCTACTCTCCAGCAACTGGAATTGACGGAGAATCAAGTCTATTGCCTGGTGATGTGCCACACTCGAGAATTGGCGTTCCAAATCAGTAAGGAATACGAAAGATTCAGCAAATACATGCCGCATGTGAAGGTAAATAAGCTTCGCTTATTTGTCAGAATCATATATATGGTTATCCATAAAGAATATTTAAATGAAAAACTACATTTAAGGTGGTTTATTGATTATTTTTATTGGTGTATCTCCTCCGTTACAACGAAGCTTACCTTGCAGGTCGGTGTATTTTTCGGCGGCTTACCTATTCAGAAAGATGAAGATTTCTTGAAGACTGTATGTCCCCACATTGTCGTTGGTACCCCCGGTCGTATCCTCGCTCTTGTGCGGAATAAGAAGTTGAACTTGAAGCATCTGAAGCATTTCATATTAGACGAGTGCGATAAAATGCTTGAATTACTAGGTATGTCGCGATATTTTCATCCAAATGGTTCGCACATCATCAGACGGAATCTTCGCGTGATGTTACACAATTGTACACTTAGCAATTTTATGATGACAATCCTTTACCACTCACCTTTACTGATGTGATTCCGCGCGATTTACTTCTCATTCCTGCCACGACGTAGCCACGAATAATAACGACGTTCGCGATGCGCTTTCAGATATGCGCCGAGACGTACAGGAAATATTTCGAAGCACGCCGCATAGCAAGCAAGTTATGATGTTCAGCGCCACGTTGTCCAAGGATATACGTCCTGTCTGCAAAAAGTTCATGCAAGATGTAATTACACAATCTTCCTCTTCACTACGATCTACAATCGCTCCTACTACTACTTCGTTGGCCCCGTATTCATATCCAGGACAAAGCTCAGCCTACACTATAAATATCTTTGTCGGCGCATCCGCGGGTTAGGCGACCTTATGACACTTCGAAGAAACGATAGACGAACGAAAGTTCGTGTCTTTCATAGCGGCCACGGTTCGCCCAATGTCTCGCTGCGAGTATCTAGCTTCTGTTTTCGGACACGTGTGTCGTCACACGGAGGGGAGAAGTAATCGTTTGAAAGACGACGATGCTGTCGATTTATTTTCGATCCGGAAATTCAGTCCTTTCGTTTATCGCTACGCATTCGTGGGTACACACAAGGTATGTTGTACGGGGGTGATACATACGACGATGTGGTGTAGGGTACACGAAAGATCTCTGCTATTCTGTGGGTAATCGGTAATTTGTAGGATAGTTAGGATGCGATTTGCATTCGGGTTGGGGGGCCAAGAAGATCTCAAGACAACCTCAAGACAGAAGAGCGCAAGAAAGAAGATGCAAGAGGATACCTAGGGGGAGATAATTCAGATTAGTTAGGGAAACGAAGGAAAGATACGACGAGACATAAGAGCGTAGCGTAAACGTAACATTGTGTCGCCTTTATCCAGCATATTAAAGCCATTCCGAGCCTTCTTGTTTCGCGTAAAGATTTCCATCTTGCGGCTGTTACACGGCCTAATTTCGCACGAGTGACGATCGCGAGGCGTTATGGATGGGTCGCGCGGTGATTAACGGAAGTGTTAAAAAAAAAAAAAAAAAAAAGAATATACCAACAATAGTTCGCAAGTCGATTCTGGGCATCTTCTCAATGTGCCAGAAATTTGGGAGAAGAGAAGGTTTGGCATCTCGAGTGGCCAGCGGATGTGACCGAACGTTCATGATGAGAGAGAGTGCACCTTCTTAAGTTCTGTTGGGGTGACTGCCGAGAGTTTTCGTTGTTAGCACTACCCAGAGATGGAAGTCGCCGGACCGTATGTAAACTGTATGATGACTAATCCGACCGACAAGTCAAGCTACACGCATCGCAACTGTGGAATTCGTACGGACAGTCTCTCATTACGAAAGACGCGCGCGAAAACAGACAACTAAAGTCTAGTTAATAGATCGAATCTGATTAACGTTGTCTCGGGAAGGAAGGATGCGCATTATTCGGCAATGTGCATTCGACGACGGTCGTAAATTGTTCCTAATTTGTAATTTGAGATTATCAACATTCGTTTTTGCAACTTTCGTTTTTGCAAACATGCGTGTAAAAATTGCAGTCGTATTATATACACGACTGAGACGGAATAGTTCTCTTAACGTTTTTTTTTTTTTTCTTTATTTCTTTTCATCAATTTATAACAGTCCCTTCATCATACATGTAACGTTTCAAGTCCGTGATTTTTAGATGGCGAAATGACGATATATGACGAGGTCTCAGAGAGTCGCAGCCTTTCTTTGAAAATTATATAGGCACTATGAACGACTCGATGGATCTGTTCATCTGATGAAGTAACGTTCTTTGTGCAGCCCATGGAAGTCTACGTCGATGACGAGGCGAAGCTCACCTTAAACGGTCTTCAACAACATTATGTTAAACTGAAGGAGAACGAGAAGAATAAGAAGTTGTTTGAACTCCTGGACGTACTGGAGTTCAATCAGGTTTGTCCGCCTAAAAGAAAGAACATTTTCTTATCTATACTCGATTTTACTAATTATATTCACAAGCTATGAAAAGCATTTATTTTGAAGTATTCTCTAATTTGTTGTGTATATAAATGTTACATACTTAATTTAATCGATAAACTTGCGCTTATCTTACGCTGGTGTTGCTCCGCAGGTCGTTATATTTGTGAAGTCTGTACAAAGATGTATGGCTTTGGCTCAACTCCTGACAGAGCAGAACTTCCCTGCGATTGGAATTCACCGAGGCATGACGCAAGAGGAACGATTATCCAGATATCAGCAATTTAAAGATTTTCAGAAAGTATGTAATTTACTTCTATCGACGTGACACAGAAAACTTTGGCCGGTATTCATAGTGGAATCTTATATTTAAGATCGCCTCAAGGCGCATTATAGCCAATAAAATGAACCGTAGAGCATTTAAAGAGAAATTCAAGACAATCTTAAATTTAACATCCAATTATGAATACCGGCTTTGGAGAATGCGTGGATAATATAAATCAGAGATAACTGAAATATATATATGCTATAAGCGAAGTAATCGTTTATTTTCAGCGCATCTTGGTAGCGACAAACCTGTTCGGACGTGGTATGGATATAGAACGCGTCAATATCGTGTTCAATTACGACATGCCGGAAGATTCTGACACATATTTGCACAGAGTAGCACGTGCTGGTCGTTTCGGTACAAAGGTAACTAGATTTAAGTTGAAGAAGAAAAAATCTATCCGACAAATATTTACCGATTTGGAAACGTCTCTTTGTTTCAGGGTCTTGCTATCACGTTAGTCAGCGACGAGAGTGATGCTAAGATACTGAATGACGTTCAGGAAAGGTTTGATGTTAACATCACAGAATTACCGGACGAAATCGATCTTGCTTCTTACAGTATGTTTGATACTTTCGATAATTGAGTTTCCATTTTATCCTTGACAACGTTTCAGTATGTTGACCGATATTTTTATTTCTTCCAGTTGAAGGACGATGAACTGAACCTGCACCGTTTTATTTTACAATAAGATCGTAAAGCACACATAAAGTATGTTTAATAAACTCATATATAAAATGATATAAAATATGGTTTATATATATATATTTTTTTTTACACACTACGTATAAGTAACTTATATCTTTCTCTACTTCCAGTGTTTCTTCTAAAGCTGTCAATTCCACCTCAAATATAAAAGTTTGATGTGAAATAATATTTACAAATACATGTAAGCCAGAAATATTCTGTAAACACATCCGTTACAAGATGTATTTCTGCGTCAGATAATTTAATTGGCAATTAGACGTTGGTTTATATGGTCATACTATAATCATAGTTACTTAATCTTTAAATCCAACAATAAATAATTATTAATAAGAAAATTGCATTATATATATCTTATTCCATGATTAGAGAATAAGTGCTATGTATAATAGATGTGTCAGTGATTTTACTCTCACGTAAGTGTAACCATGTAAACCATCAAAAATAAAAACTCTTTTATAAGCACTGTGTAATATTTATACGTGATCTGTATCATTTACACAAAGGAGGAAATTGAACCATTAGCTATTATTAATGTTTCATATACAAGATGATTGTGCGGCAACAAACAACATGACAGTGTACAATTTCATGAGATTACTTGTAGGGCAAAAATATTTTTTTACAAAATGATTGAACTACAGCTCAATAAATATTTGATTTTATTTTGGCCTCGGTTTATTTTGTGATTTATTCCCCACTTGTGTCCCTCCCCCACGGCCCAACGGTGCTGGTCCTCTGCCACCTCTGCCAAAAGTACCTACGCACGCATGTCATAAATATCTTCCAGAAACTGTTCTATTTCCAGGTATAAAGGTAACTTCTTATGCTTTGTTTTATATAAAAAGTTGCTAAAAATTATACAAAATTTATACCATTACCTCTTCCACCACCACGTCCTCTCTGACTCTGGCCTCGACCTTTAATTTCACCACGTCCCCTCGATTTCATCTGTACATCCTCCTTTACCATATCTATCACTTCATCGGGAATCCTCAGATACTTTATTGTACTGCCTCTAATATAACACTCTGGCATCCTCCAGAACTTGTCACCATCCTGATAAACAAATATCAAATGGTAAGAATAAGCAAATGTCTGGATATAAATCTGTATGTATATATAGGGTATCCACAGTGGGCAAGTAGAATGGGTTAAACTGAGCAGAAATGTCTACCATTTTGCAAACCATGCAAAATTTCGGGTTATTAATGATTGAAAATAGCCATACACAGAGGCTTCTTTAATTAATAACTAAAAATTTGCGTGTTATTTGCAAAATGGTAAAAGACTTTTCATTCGCATGTATATATCCATCTTAAAATATATACAGTAATGACCTTACCCTTGAAGTACAAATGACTTCTCTGAGATTAACGTTCATCCAGTTGTCGCAACTAACTAAATGTCCATTGTATGTTTCCCCGTTTTTCAGCTCCACCAACTGCGAAACAAAACCTTGATTTTGATAATCCAACGTCAAAGTTATCCAAGCATTTCTTCAAGATTAAGGTTAGATGAGGTTAGATATTTCAAAAGAAATCCGAAACTTACCATAGGGTGGTTTTGCGCAGTCCTTAATAAGGATAAAGGTAGCTAAAGAAATTAAATAATACGTATTAAATGAGCGAAATAATACAAATTGCTTAACTTGAATGAAAATAATAAACTCACCATTGTTTACACGGCTTATACCTAATTAAACCTCGCTCCCATTAATCAACATATCTCGATACTTCACGGCAATCGATATCACGATAAGATAGCTCGTCAGATGCGTCGGTTGGCTAACGAATAGCGAATTTCTAACGTCCCAGAAACTTTTCTCGAGAAAAAGTAAACGAAAAATTACCTAGGCATAGGAAAATTACGCGGGTTGCATCTTCCGCCGGAAGCTTTCTTTTAGAACCCTAGAAATGCCCTGCTCGATAATGCCAACTGTCGGTGAATCCTGCAAGTTGCAACGAACACGGCCTACTCGATTTGTTCTCTATAGCTGCATATTCTATGCTTTCTTTTAAATTTCTTCCGCTTTCGTATTCTGCTAAATATGATAGATGTGATGAATATCGTTGTTCTCATTTTACTTTGAACGCAGAATGTTAACATAGAGCAGTTCAGGAGAGTATCTGCATTTGTTAACTTTCGATCTTCTGCGAAAGAATCGGTGAGTAGATGAGTCATTCACTCGTTCGATTTTCGACATTCTTCCCAGGTAGAATAAATGTCTAAGACATGTCTTAAAGGCGTTCTTCTTTTTTTAGATATCTTTCAAACATCTTTAAGGAACCTTTTAGAAATTTGTTCTACCCGAGTTCGCTCTAACAAGTCATTATAAATACGCGGTTACATCTGTAACAAACCGATTATGGAATCTCTTCGAGTCAAATTAATTATTCTGATTAAATAGTCGAAGGATGACTCGGATAAAGCACAAGTGAACCTAATTTAGGACGAACAGCGATCAACCGATTCACTTTAATCTCATGTATGAAGCGTTATCAATGTGATATCGAATGCATTAGCATGAATTTAAATATCAAATCCGTTCGGTCATCGACATTGACTCTTCCCGTTGCCATCTTCCGTTGACCTACGTGTCCGTCGATAATAAAGCACAGGTAATTTCGACTAACAAATTGCTCAACTTCCTAGATCAATGCACCAGCTGTACAACGCCGGCAGGTTCATTCAATCCGGTGATGGAAGCGGATTCTCGTGAATGAAAGTGTTCCACGATGAAAACGTAGAATCGGAATCCACGTAAGGAAGTCGATTCTATGAATGTTTTTCATGTTCTAGTTGTAGTTTAGATTCAACTCGATGATAATGTAAAAATTATTTTCCTATTTATGGTTAATCTCATTAAACTTTAAAAGTTATCACTATAAAGCCATCAGTTTAACGATGAATATAAAAACACAACTTTATGTGGAAAATCAGGTCAGACCGGAGTCACGATCAGCAGTATGGACTCGTTGCGTCGTGCTCAATATTATATCTTCGACGTGATCGAATCACGCGATTCTGCTTAGATTTACTTCTAGATGACCGGCAATCCGTCTCGGCGGCTTTATCGGTAGAGAGTTTCATCAGCAACTGCAAGACACCTTCGAATTGAAAACGAGCCGAACATAATACTTTCCAAAGCGATCATCGATGTTTTCCAATCGAAGTCACCGCGTCATCTATTGTTCTCGGGCACGATGTTTACATCGACAAATGGAGTGCTATAGCTCAAACGGATGCCAGTCTCCCACCGGCGGAGGACATCACAGACGATCGTCGGATTCCTTCGCAACACACAAGTTCGTAGACAGGTAAGGCACTCGCGACGAAAAAGCACTCGTTGTCACGCGCGGCACGGTACATCGGGCGTCGTTTATTCGCGGGTCATTCAGCCGGCACGGCCGACCAATCGCCGCTGTCTCGGAAGCTAGAAGAAGGGATCCTCACACGCTCCGATGCACCCGACGACTAGTGTAGCTGTGAGTATCAACAAAAAGCGTCAGACGTCTCTTATCATGCGGATTTATACTCGCGTCTGAGTACCAAGCGGAAGCGAAAGTAAAACGGTGATTGTGCATGTTATTTGAACAAACGAGAAAAGTATAGAGCTGTGATAATCGGGCCACATCTGACGATAGGCCGGCGAAACTCATAGAGAAGATCAAGTTTCGGATAGATCGGTGGCTCCGTAATATGCACGAGAGACACGGGTAAGCTTTGTACGGTGAAGAAATGTGAGATTTTGTGGTCTGTATGCTCGGTCACGAAAGAGTTGCAACATTTTTTTTACAAATTTCGGAACTATATTTTTAAAGGCTTAAAGAAATCCAGGTTTTTTCGATTTTTTTTCTTTTTGTATTTTTCCGCGGATAAATGAAAACAAAATTGAAAGAACCGAATTTTCCTACGGATTTATTCAGTTTCTTTTCGAGTGAAAATGGAAAAAACAGTTCTTTTTCTATATTCGGAATATATCTTGTGTCCAATAGCAGAATTTGTTTTTTGTTATTCCCAAGAGATACATTTTCCTTTGGATGCATTGTGAAACTCGTCGAAAAAAATGTTGTCAACCTTTTTGCGACGAACTGTATATGGAACGAACAAATAAGAAACGGATAGCGGATATAAACTTGGGAGGAAAAAATTTCTATATGTCTATATGTAGAAATAAATATATACATATATATATATATATACATATGTCATCATTTCATATATAATTATATGTAATTATATCTAATTATATAAGGAAAATATTGGATCGTTATTTCAATTTAGAAAATGTGTAGAAACAGAATGTTTCGGACCGATTTGCTCATAAGGTGGCAAAAAAAGTTAGTGCGCGTTCATACGCAAATATATTACACGTTCGTTGTTTGTTTGTGATTTATTTGTTTAGATAAACCCACTTTGAAACACTCAAATCTGAATTTAAAATAGAATCTGAGTTTTTCAGTTGAATCATAAGATATATGTTGTATCAATAATTTCAACTCGATTGAGAAACGTCGAAACTCAAATCTGGATAACTCGCTCGAGACAACATTTCAAATAACAACTATTAATACGGACCTTAGAGTTTGGTCTGAGTTTCTCTATTAAAAGATATATGACATTATATTTCGTAATCATGATTCCACTGAAAAATTCATATCCGGCTCTCAATTTCAATTTATCTCATTCGACGAAAGTAATTGTTCTTAATACGGGATTATGTGATTGCCTCACCCAAGGTCATCCTCATGCTTCCGTGAAATAAAAACTTCTCTATGACTACGAATTGTCGATACTTTCATATCTGAGCGAGATTGAACGATGAGAAAGCAGATAGAAAATCGTAAAATCCGTAATTAAACTTCCTCTTGTATAAATGATAACTATTCTCACTAAGTATGAGCATGTATATGGATGTGTTATGTACACGCGTGTCTAGGATAGTTCAAGGTTGCAACGTTTCCTACAAGAGAGATCATCTCGCATTAGCTTGATACAAAAACACCAAGACGGTATGAAAAGTTAACGATGACACGCGGTATTATCAAGAAGCATATCGCTCACTGATATTCCGCAAATTGCGGCGTATCGTAGTAATACAGAATGGAACGAAGGGAAGTCGCTAACGAGATATCGACAATGCACATTCGCTCGAGTCATGCTCTACGGTTATTATCGGTTGTCATGATATTATCGACACCGAAATGAAAGCTTACGCGATAGACAAATGAGAATCTCTCGCGCGAAGACGAAAATCGGCTATTAATATTACGAGAACGGCGAGAGAAAGAAGTGATTTACAACCGATGTCACGTTCCGTGAATTTACACGGAGCGTTATCTCGACTAAACAGTACTATCAGTCTCAATAAAATATTTAATATATGTCATACCGATAAGCATAAATCATTTCTCGCGGCCGTTATGTATCGTAAATCCTATCGCAAATTGTTCGCTAAGCTGGAGAAAGAAAGATTCACCAAGAGAGATTTGTCTCTTCGGAATTTCCTTGGCAGTAATGATTGATTTCTTTTTTCTTCTCTGCTATCGTCACATCGTAGAATTAACTTCGTAACTAAAATAATCTTGCAACTAATATCATTTTTACTAGTAGGATTTCGTAAGAAATTTTCTAACTGAAAGCATCAACGACAGTAATGGCAGTAACGAGAATATCTAAGAACAAATATGACCGTAAGCCCAAATGGAGATTGAAGTGGTAAGATACGTATCGCGTGATGTCGATGAAAGACCGCGATCGTCGATTCGGCGACGATAGCGGACACGTTACGTGATGAAAATAAAAGCGGGCATGTGGAGACAGTATGGCATACCTGTTAAAAATTTCCACGTGGATCCCCCAGGTGTTCTTTGTTATTGAATTAGTGTATACTTTCGGAACTTAAGAGAAAACAGATATGTAGTTGTGACTTCGTGTGGAAAAGAGGAAAATAGAGTTAGTGTAGGTAGTTCAATTATAAGAATAGACCACATACAGGATATTAAAAATCCTTATAGTAATTCACGTGGTGTATGAAAATTCATATAGAAATCTACATAGATTATTATCTAGGTGGATTTTTAGCGCAAATTCCCATACAGTAAAAGCATTTTGTTCAAATCGGTCCTTGTTCAAATTATTGTGTCAAATTTTTAACATACCCTTGTATTAATTTAACATATTATATTTATATTACCTCAATATTTTGTATCGAGTCGATGTTCAATATATGTGTAAGTGCGTTAAAATAACACATTTTGTGCTTCAGTGTCGACTTTAACATGTGGACATTAATTTTATACTTTAATTTTTGACATAATATTTGTATTACTTTTTAACATATTCATCTTGTATTACATTAATATAAAAAACTTGTGTTTGAGATATGTGAAATTGAACTCAAAATGTTTTATGCGAGGAGTAATCCGTATGGATTTCCACTTGTTTTTTTTTTTTTCTTATCAACAGGGATGTGACCTCCGCACGACGATGACCCGTGCGAAACGTACAGTCAGCGCGATTGCAAAAGGCGGCCGCTGAATCGCAGACTTCGCGCGGCGTTCCAGCAAAGACGTCCGAAGCTCGCTCGTTCGGGTCAAAGCTTACATACACCACGTTTGCCGAGGTATCGACTTTTGCTGCCTGGAAACAGACCACGTTCACTATTGTCTTAAAGTCGTGCCGCGAGAAGTCGATAGATAGATTTCCCTCCGCTCTCCAAAGCGCGACACTTGACTCGCGACTCTCATTACCAAGGAAAATGTACACGCCGCTAAATATATATAGTTCCAATTCACATCATATGTGGGAACTAGACTTTCCAAGTGCGACGTTGCTTCCTCGTACGTAAATAATTAACGGGGACTTGCACGCGGCGCGAAATCAATCTCCGCTCATCGTGAGCGGTAATGTCGAATCGGTATTCGCAAATATTGACGGATCATCGTCGAGCCGAATGCCACCGTATGATCGTCTCGCGAGCTACTATAATATAAATTAGAAATCGATCGGCTCCTCGATGGAAAATTGCCGGATACACGCCGTCCCGCGAGACGTCGAGCCTCGACTTCGCGCCTCGTTCGCGACTTCGTTATCGCTTCGAGCGCGATATCACCGCAGCCCGTAATTTAACGTCTTTGCTACGGAAGTGGGACTTAGCCACGAAACTGAGGTCGATCGTACATAAAATATGAACGCCCTGCGAAACACCACATGTCGCAACGTGTAGAGAGAAGCCCGTCCTGCGACAATCCAGTACGCACAATCGTGGAGTATTCGATTCGCGAGGGTCCTTTACCTTAGGTACCTTAGCCGCCTTGGTTCAAGGTCGATTCGTATGTACGCATTCCACGGACATGTATATACACAGAGAAAAAGGTTTTTGCCTCACTAAAGTAAACTATGTTGTTCGATGGAAAAAATAGTATAATTAAAAAAATATATATTCATATATATCAATTCATTTCATTATATATTAAATATCGTTCCATTGGAACAAAAAGAATCCTTAATATTCTTCTAACATAGTGTTATTTCTTTCAAATAATTTATCGTGACAATTATTGTAATGTTTGGATGAAAATACATAAAAAAAAAAATGTTATTTGATATAAAGACATTGTTCGAATAGAAAAACTAAACAATCCTGTTTGTTGAATCAAGCATTCGTTTGTTTGCTCCATTCAAAAAGATAAATTTGTTTCAATTAAAGAAATTTTATTAAATTCAAAGAAATTTTTTTTCTGTGTATATACGTGTAACAAGATATATCCAATACGTTTTCCCGCTAAAACGGATACGAAAGAGAAAATTCGGCGGAAAATTAAAAAGAGGAAAATCTGCTCAATCTTGGATCTATAATCGTAATTTCTAAAATGAGCAATTTCTTTTAACGATTGTTTTCGTTCAAACAAAATGTGAGATTAATCAATACATATGGCCTTATTTACACCGATCCGTTAAGTAGAAACTTTTCATTAACTTAATTTCGAGGCGATGCGTGTGAACGACGATGTATTCAAATGGTACGATATGTCTTGTTGACCCGTATTATATGATGAGTCACAAAAAGATAGCGACACATTTTTTCTTACGAGTATCACAAAGCATCTCGTATCTCATAGAAAAATGTATCTCCTGAAAATGACTAAAAAAAAAATCTTCTATTAGACACGCGATGTGTGTCTCGAAACTTATCAAAATATTGCAACGTTTTAATTATGCCGGCCAATTATATATCGTACCAGTCGTTTACACGCCCCATAAAGCAAGTTAACGTGAAATAGCTTCTTCAGAACGTCATTAAACCCTCATTTGATGTCACTCCGCTGTTTGGGGCATCGTCAATATTAATAATACAATTTAAGGTAATTTAATAGAAAATTCCTATTTAACACGTGTGTATCAAATCGGTGTAAACAAGACTATGAAAATGATCTGAATCGTGAAATTGACTGACAGACATGTGTTCTATCGTTAACGATTTCCAATACCTACGAGACACATTGTCCTTCCGACTACACGAAAGGCTTCATTTAATGACTCCCGCGATATCACTTTAATCTCGTAATTCTCCTAAGTATGTGAAAGCGTGCGCGCAAGGTCAGAGATGGCTTGTTCATGAACCGATGAAATAGGTGGAAAAAGAAGACTCTTAACGAATATTAGCACGGCTTCCCTCAACTTGCCAGTGAGAGAATATCGCTCGGAGTATTAAAGAAAAAAAGAGCATTTTATAGAAAGGAGGACAGTCCCTCAATGATCGGGAAATCGCTACTGCAGGGCTCGCGGAGACCTCGACGCGGTGTCGTGCGACGTCGCGTCGCGCCTTACGCACACAGAGAAAGCACGTGTCGTCAGCACGGCAGCGGCGTCGAGAACGGCGCGCACCCCGAGAGAGCGGCGCGCGTTACCGCGCCGACGAGCGCGATTACCGCATGACGGCGCCACGAGAAACGGCGTCGCGACGCTGTCGTCGGGCGGCGCCGAAACGAGGCGGGGTTACGACGACGACGACGACGACGATGATGAGGAGTGGGCGCGAGTGAGCGAACGAACGAGACGCAGCAGCGCCTCCCTTCCTTGGAATCGGCTTCTCTCAGTCGCGTACGTTCGACCGCCGCTCTCGCGACTCCTTCTCTTTAAAGGCGAGCGCGCGCGTCGGTTTCCCCTCTCTTCTCTGTCATTCATACTTTCTCTCTCTTAACTTTGCGTCCTCCTCGACAGCTTTCCGCTGGGTGTCAGCCGGCCTTTCGCGAAGCGATAAGCCTTACAAGTGAGCGCGCGCGGATGCGAGTGTATGATCTCACGATGTGCGCGCATGTGTGCGTGACACCGTGCCGGTACGAGGCACGGCGCTGTCCGCTGCTGCTCGCCGTTCCGCTTTGACTTCGCACCCCGCCGCCGTCGTCAGTGACACTGACTGAAGTTACGACACCGCATGGCTGCCGCGGAGACACCTCGGAGCCGGCTGCGGAGAGGTGCGACGTCGTGACGCTGCCGCGTCGTCGCGACGCTTTCAATCCTGCCCTGCAGTGAGTGAGCGGTCGGATTTGTGTGTGTGTGTGTGTGTGTGTGCGCGCGCGACTACTGCCACATTACCGCGCTCTTTAACAGTGGATCGTCGTTACAGGTACGTCTCTCTTCGAATACGCTCGTCACTCACGTGCGAGAGACGCGAATTCGTGCTTGCTTGGGCGCGCGTGGGTAGGTGAATAGGTGGTACGGGCGAGCGTGCGTGGTGAAGGCTTTTAAAAAGTTCCGTAGGAAGAAATAGAATTACGCGTTGGGGGAATGAAATTAAGCTCCCGCTTTTAGCGCCCGCGGCATTAAACGGGACGCGCTCGAGAAAGCTCCGTGCGCTTCCAGAGTTCCCGAACTAGGTTGCACCTTTTACCGTTGGAGACACGTATGTAACTTTGCGTGTTCAAGAAAAAGGAACGTAGTTGCCGCCCTAGTTCAGGAACAGAAAATAGATCTCGGATTTTCACTTAGTGACACAAGCATCATCTTATCGTTTGATACCGAACAAAGGTTCATATTCTCTTTTTTATCGATAAAGATTCCTCAAATATGACATAAAGTGGTTTCACTTTTGGGGACATTTTATCGATACAAGAGAGATTAGAATACGAGTCATGACGCTTGTGTCAGTTGTTAAGGGCCGATTGTTCCAACTTCTCGGTAAGACTGACCGACAAGTACCTGTTAGGCGAACATCAATGACTATTGTTGATTGGTCTGTCCAATAGGTCGGGTAAATCTTACCAAGAACAATCGGCTTTAAGCACCCACAGCGCGCATTCAGATCGCTTTGCGAGCGGATTTAAGATCGCTATTATTCCGCTCGCGTTTGCATGCGAAATGTCAATTCCCGTCCCGATGAAGTATCACATGTCATATGCGGCAATGTCTCAAGAATCGGACGAGTCATACGTATAAACAACTCGTGATGAATGCATGCGAATGCTATGTACACACACACGCATACGCTGACCATTAGGTATTGGCAAAAGGCGTGCACGCACGTGTATGTGCGCGCCTGTATTTAAATTGAATCCTAACGAGAAGCATGCGGTTTTTTGCCGCACGGCGAGAGAAAGAGAGAAATGATAGATACATTTGTTACTTCAGCGTTATAATGCCAAGAAAGGGACTTCGTTTACAAGAAAACATTTCTTAACCGCACTCATCCATCCATACTTGTATTCTAATATCATAGCAGTTGCAGTCTGTCAATTTCACAATTTGTATTTCCATTTTTCTACTTATTATTATTAACTGCTTTATCACAGTCATTTTACTTTTTTACCTTGTTTTATCTAGCAAGAAATCATCAACGCCACGTTACTACAATACTTTTTGTAACATTTTCAAATATGTAGTTCTTAATGTTATATACGACGTTATTGTTAACAATATTTGACCTAAAAATTAAAAATAATATTTATACATTATGATATCAACAGTCAGGAATATTATCAAGTAATAATTTGCAAAAATTTCTAATATGTCAAAATACTTATAAAATTCACATAAAATCAGCGTTTCAAAAGATTCATTTAATGTTTCTTGCTTACTGGCTAACTTACACCGCATTGTATTGCTACTTCCCGACTCCTTTACATTTCTATCATAATCCAACTTTTTCACATTCATGTATTAATTTTCATTCCTGTTTTTCTTTTTGATTTTCCTCAACCTTTGGACCCTAAGACGGAAAGAGAGGTTTTTCAAATGCGAAGCACACGCGACTCGCATATCGGCGCAAATACACACGTGCACACGCCTTTGAGCCGCGGGAATTTAAGATGCGCGTATTCGCGGCGCGTACAATGTCGCGGAGATTGCAATCCGTTGTATCAAACGAGATCCTTCTGATTCGTCGCCTCGTTCTCACTTTGATCTTGCTTTTCGCGTGAAACGTCGATCGCATCACAGCAACGTTGCGGTTTTTCTTCTTCCGTTCTATCTCTCCCGTGTTCGATAGATGTCACACCGGTAATTCGTGCTGGAGAAGGAAAGAAAAAACAAGTCGCCGCATTAGCATCGAGAGATTTATAGTTAACGTTATTTACAGAAGACTCCACTAATGCTGTCCCGTTCCTTAGGCATAGTAACATTGAAACTGGTTAGTCACGTTATTTTTCAATACTTGTGCAGCACGATAACGATGTTTGAGGGCATCATTGCCGATTTGCCGAATAACCAAATGTTGTGATGCACGAATATTCGCATATAACGCGCCTAATTGGAAGTCTTCGTAGTCGCCATACCTAGGGAATGGGACTGCGTTTTCATATAGTAGAAATGCTCGAAGGACATTCTAGGAACGTCCCAGAGATATTCGAATATTCCCGGGACGTTCCTAGGATGTCTATTGAACATTTGTGCTATATAGGATCAAGTCGTAAGTGGATACGTGGGGGTCAAATTGACCCACAGACGCATGAGTGAATGAACGTTTCTCCGTTTCGCTTTTGTCCGCGACACTGACATTTTAGCTGATTTGCCTTCACACTTGGATTTAGCGAAGTAGCGTTAATAACATTCGAAAATCTCGGCTGTAAACAGCAGTTATCTTATTCGTCAAAAAGTCACGCGCTCACTTACGGGTTAATGGAGTACAGCCGGCGGATTGAAAGTTGCAACCCCCCCCCCCCCTTTTTTTTAACAAGTTTCGCAACATATCTCGTGTGTCCAATCGGAGAATTTGATTTTTAGCAATTCTCAGGAGACTTTTGAATACGAAATGTATTAGGAAATTTACCGGAAAAATAATGTTACAATTTGTAATCTTCCAACTGTATATTGGTTTTTCGAAACGGTTTGAACACTTTTTCTCAGTGCGGTTCGAAACTGATAGTCCAACTTGTTTTTTTTTATTAATTTTCAGAAGTTACGTTCTCTCATTGAACCATCGATTGCGTTTTGAATTGCATCGAGAAAAAAAAGTGTTCAAACCAGTTTCGAAAGCCAGTGCATAATATAAAAAAAACTATAGAATGCGACACGCATGTCGTATAAAATCGACATCGCTCGGGTGATCAAGCGCACAACCGCGATAAGCTAAGCGTCGTGAAAAGAGCGAGCTGCGGGCAGGCAGGCAAGCGAGCGCGCGCCTATATGGCGCGACAATGAATTTCGCGTGCGGATGATGACGTCGCGCGATATGTTGTAGTAGTCGATGTCGTCGTCGTATGGCGTAGAGAATTGATCGGTTACGTTGTGTCGTGCGAGAGCCTTTAACCTCTTCGCCTCCGTTTAATTACCGGCACGCGATCGTCCGCCAGCAGGGCGCATTAAAAAGCGCCAGTCTAATTCGAAAATCCGTTTGGCCGCAATTCGCGCCGGTGCACGCTCAGTTCCTCTTCGGCGCGAGTAATTCGAAGAACATCAGTCAGCCAGCCGGCCCGTAATAACACGTCTCGCTTCTTTCGCGCTGCACAAATCGTTTTCTCTCCCTTCGTCGTGAGTCATTTTGCCCCACGGTGGTTTCGCCTGCCACGACGCCGTTCCGTCTGCAACCGATACGCGTACGGAGGATAAAACATCTCCTTGTTTTTTTTTTTCTTTCACGGGATGATTCTACCGTATTGACACGTTGAGTCGCCGGTAACCGCTACTACGCTATCGAGTCACCCGCTCAGTTACGTGAAAAGTATAAAGGTAATTATACGTGTAAAGTGTGTAATTAATTGAAACAGGTCATACGGCTGATAAAACGAGACGAAAGATGTATGTGTTTCTCAAATTACAAATGTAGTTAGGGAATGTAATCGTCGACAAAAATTGCCGGCAGATATTTCCGATCATCACACACAATCACAGAAGTAGTTTTCGCGTCGGACAATGAACGCGTCGGAGAGGAGAAAAGTTGTCCCATGAAGCATTCGGCCGGGTAGAGTGAAAAGAACGTGTATGTACGCGCGGAGGAACATCGTTTCTCGCGGATTCTCGCTAATCAACAGAATATTCACATAGCACGTTAACGTGTAGGAAGCGCGCTCGTCGGGTCGCGTCGATCTACGTGAACGGCACGCGATACTTCGCGGGCGGAGACATAATGTTTCGCAGTTCCGTGTAAGTGCAAAATTAACCCACTTTATGACTCGCGAGCAATCTGAAATCGCAGTCCGCGCGCATATTACGTTCGCATTCATTCAATGTATCGACCCGGCCAATAATTGCGAATCGCCCGCTATCGCGATTCCATCTGTCCAGCGCGCAATTACGGCGGGAATGTTGCGTGCGGGCCGACAGAATTCGGGCGAGATATCAATTTCCGCAACGGCTGTAGATACAGAGAGAGAGAGAGAGAGAGAGACATTGTGCCGATAGTTCGCGGGCACATTTTGCGCTCGTGCTGAAATCGGTCCTTTTCCATTTCATCTCTAACGTGTGTTAATTCAACATATCATGTTTATGTTGCCTCAATATTTTGTGCCTAGTCGATATTCAACGTGTATAAATATTAAAATAACACACTTTGTACCTCAGTGTCGATCGACATGATTATTTTGTGTTATTTTTCGACGCATTTACTCCGTGTTAACACAAAAATTTGTCCGGAACATACAAAATGTGTGTTAAATTTAACGCGAAATTTTTTACTGTTTATGCGCGCGTATCTCTATCTACAGTTTCGAAATTCGAAGGTGAGAAATTACGCATGGATGCTACGATGATGTAAATCACCGTAGGATGAAACACACACATCAGAAAGGGCGGGCGATCCTCCTCTTCACACGAGTGTTCGTTCGATTGCAGGTGCTCGTTGCAGCGTCCGACATCGCGGGCGACCACGTGGGGAAACAAACGATTCTAAATTTTCGCGTCAGGATATAATGCGCGAACTGACAGTTTGCGATTTTGTCGGGCAAGTCGCTTCTTGCGCGCGTGAGAGAAGAAGACGAATGTGATAATTATTTCGGCGTGGCCGATTCTCTCGCGGGCGTTCGGACGTGCTTTCGATGCCGGCGGCGAGACGATCCCGAAACGCAATCGAATCTTGAAAGGGGGAGGAAGGAACGAATATTGTTCGTGTCACGGCTACCCGCTCGAATATGGAGGACATGAAAGTGCCGAACCTGGGTCAGGCCGCTTCGGCCGCGTGCTCTATGGCGTCCAATTTCTTGGCACCGGTGAAGACCGAGCGCCAAATCTACGAAAACTCGATGCTCGAGGACGATCCCAATGCCAACTCGGTAGTATCGACCTCTCAAGAGGACAGGACTGTGCCTAGATGGGGCCCGAATCACAAAGGCGCTCAGGAACTCGCGAATCTCTACAGCACCGGTATATACGCGTGAATTTTCGTTTGAAAGAAATCGAAATGGAAATTACGTAAGAGATTTAATTAACTAAAGGGAAAGTCAATTTTGAAACGCTGTTCGCGTATACGTTGATTATTTGAATGCGTGTAAACTTTTCTTCGCTCACTGAGCTCTTGTATTTAATTGGTATATATTTTTAAAACTAAGAAAATATGCACGGAAAAACGATTCCGGTTGTACTTACCGGAAATGAAACAAACAGATGCGCTTTGAAGGAAACAGAATTTCTGGTTCTTATAACCCAAATTCTGCGATTCTTATGGCTAGAAATTCTGTTTCCTTCAACTAAAACTGCATTTGATTAACGCAACCAAACTTTTTTTTTGCCATCAAATGTAAGAGCTCACTGGGCGCTCGGTAAGCGGTTGTAATACTGGACGCGTCCAACGTGAAACTCTCGATATTTATTTCCAACGAAATTTCCAAAAACTCGTCATACTAACGAAGAGAACGACTGCTAACTTTGTTAAATTTAATGACGAATGTATATGTGACAAACGACATCGTTCTCTTATAGGAAAGAGGACACAAGAGTGCATCTGTGTGGGGATTTGCATTACCCTGATAGCCGTGAACTCTATCTTCGTGCTCATCAGGTTACGACCGGAAAATCTGAGTTCCATAGCAATGGCAGCATTGTGCGGCATCATTACGGCTGATTTTGGCTCCGGTTTGGTTCATTGGGCGGCCGACACTTGGGGATCGGTGGAGCTGCCGATCCTGGGGAAGGTGAGGTTCGCCTGTAACAGAGACGACTTGTTAACTTACAAATGTCATTTCCCCTGCAGAATTTCCTGAGGCCGTTTCGCGAGCATCACATAGACCCGACGAGCATAACGCGACACGACTTCATCGAGACCAACGGCGATAATTTCATGGTCACGATACCGGTCCTGTCGAAGCTCACGTGGGACTTTCTGACGTTACCCGAAGCGGACATGCAGCAAAAGTTCGTCTGGACGTGTTATTGGTTCCTACTCGCGATTTTTGTCGCGATGACCAATCAGGTGAGCATCTAATAAATGATAAATCGTTAGCAAAATGAAGAACTACTCGGAGAAAATTGATTAAGTATTCTGGGAATATTTGATTCCTCGCATCGTCAAACATCTCGACGGAATTGTTTTCTAACGTCTATTTCGTAACTTTTCACGATGTCGCTGCGCAGATATAATAGGAAAACAGCGCAGAGTTGCCGAGTAGGGTTACGGCTTTAATTTAACTAAACAGCAGCAAATCTACGGGATCTCCGACATATTTACTTTCGTGTAATTGAGGAATGATGAACGATCGTGTGTTTTGCAGATACACAAGTGGTCGCACACGTACTTCGGACTGCCTGCCTGGGTGATTTGGCTTCAAGAGCATAGGGTTATCTTGCCAAGAAAGCATCATCGGGTGCATCATGTCGCGCCTCATGAGACTTATTTCTGCATCACCACAGGATGGTTGAACTGGCCTTTAGAGAAACTACACTTCTGGTACATCATGGAGGTGATCATCGAGGGTGTCACCGGTTGCAAACCCAGGGCCGACGATCTGAAATGGGCGCAGAAACGCTCTTGAGAATTAATAATCGTTCTGCTCTCGTTGTACATTTTGTTGTACGATCGGGATATTTAACATACAGCCAAACGTTGGAATACGAAACCACGAATGACGAGATACGACGAGATAGAAATTAAGCGGAGTATCTGTTTGGGCAATAGTAAAAGGCTTGCAACACGGAATCCTTGATGTTTCGAGAGAAAGAGGTGTTACAAGAAGTATATACACGCATACATACATACATATATATATATATATATATATATATATATATATATNCTCTAAACTCTAATACTACGAGGCCTTTTGTGAAGACAGGTAACGTGTGTAAAGATAAGCATTATTCGATATGCTTTGAAAGTTTACACGTTTTTAATACGTACGCGCAATAATACATGTATATACATACATTACGAATAAGGAGACAAACGCGTAAATCTAGAATCACGCTTGCGAAATCCGACGACACTGTCGACACGCCATGTTGATAACGTCTCTACGTATACCGCACAAATCATCGATTGCACAAATCTGAGATCACATTTTAACACGCGACATTCAATATACACGGTGAACATCAGGCGATAAAGGAGAGTCCGGGACATCTGATAGTTTGACAGCGCTAAATGCATTTTCTAACGTGTGGCTAAACGAATGAGACGTGAACATAAACAATAATAATATTTACGATAAATATACGCGCATATTTGTATATATGTGATTTCTGCATATACGTACAATATATAATAATACATGTATATACATACGTACATGTGTAATTATGCGCCCTGAATGAACGTAGATTCAAAGATTGCTGAATCAGTCTGTACAAAGCCGTCTATGCAGAATACCGTCGACGAGAGGACCCGATAAGTTAACTCATCTTTCTTGCGCGATTGTAACGTCCGATTATTAACGCTTCGGTTGCATCTCTCACCAGTAGAACTGAATTCCCTGAACCTCCTGAAGCATCTGAAATTAATCAAAATGTTTTTCGCGCATATTATATACTAGAGCTAACGTTGCCAGTTTCAATTGAATTAATCGGAATAAAAGTCACAAGGGGTGCTAAACGTAAGAAGATCTTAGGTTCAGGGACCAAAGAACAAGAACAAGATTATTGCTGTATGTAAGCGCTCTGAAAAACGCTTGGTTTGATTTAGATAAGATACGATTCGGTGCAACGTGTCCGATGACGACGAGTCGTCAACTATAACGATCTTTTCGCACAACTGCAAACGCTTTTTTTCTTTCTCTTAGTTAACAGTGTGTGAACTGCATCACGCATGCAGAGTTACTATAACCTATGTTCCTCACACGACACAAGTCAGTAATAATACGTCTTTTCAACGAAATTATAATTGTAAGGACTCTCGCAGTTATAACTGTAATTACTGTAATCATTGTTATTGTTGTTGTTATTGTTACTAGAGACAAAGTATAAATTTTAAACGAGACTCATCAGGTGACGCCAAATTCAAGGCTTTTATTATCGTTTAACATCGCTGTGAAACCTTAGAGAGACGCGAAGAGACGAATTTACTTATTTATTTATTTACGCATAAATTTGGTTAAAGTGCGAGATGTGATACATACGGTCAGTCACGAAAAGGTCGCGACAGTTTTTTTTTTTATTTTTTATCAATTTCGCAACACATCCGATATGAGAATTTGCTTTTTAGTCATTCTCAGGAGATACATTCTTCTATTGGGCACAAGATGCGTTGCAAGACTCGTCGAAGGGAAAGTGTTGCAACCTTTTGTGACTAACCATACACTTCTGTTCCTGTCTTGAATTTCAAATAGCGTTTTGTTCGAGACGTGACTCCCATGTAACCGGCTCTAGATAAGAATGCGAAGTGATTAGAAATATACGCCGAGTGAGGAGGCCGTGCGCGTGACGCAAGGAACTCGCGTATAATTCTAAACGAACAGTCAGTAAATTTAACGAATGGATGCAAATACACCTGATTTCGAAGTTGAATTTTTAATGGCGAAACTGCGAGTTGCTACAAAGTGAAAGAGAGGTAGATGCAAATCTGTATATGTATTCTGAATATTTTATATATCCGACATATGTTATCGTGTGGTATAACGGGGAAAAAAAAAAGGAGAAAATGCCAAGAAATACGCTCTACTATGCGCTATTTTCGTACGAACATAATTGCGCGCTCGTTAATCGTACCATACTACGGCTCTAATCTTACAAAACATTTTGCTTCGTCTACTTATTGTCGACTTATTATGTCGATAAGTTTTCCGTCACCTCGGACTAAACTTGCGTCTACCGTACCAAAGGCAAAAGAGAAAAATATTTCTCGGTCGAATAAGTTTTAATTGTATCACTATTGTAATCTCACAGAATGTTACGTTTTATTTGTGCCTTTTTTGCAGTCTCCAAGTCATGTAGCTCACGTCGACTAAGTCTCAGCACAATTGCGTAAACGATAAGGAACAAATTATACGAAACAATCAACGCATCCGCTGCTGCTGAAAGTACAAAGAGAATAAAAGACAAGCCATCGCTTCTAGCCTGTGTGCGTATTGCAACATATTTTGTATTTATGTAACACATATATTTGCATATGTTACCTATGCGCGTATCCTCGTAAGTACCAGATCGGCGACGAGTAACGGTATTTTTATCATGTAATTTTCGCCTTTTTACTTTGGAACCATCGAGACAGACCGTTTCCACATTCCTTCTAGCAATTAATCCGGCGTGAAAACACCAACTAGGCAAGCAAACCTAACAAAGGAACATAAAATTAAAGCGAGTCATATTTATTATTGTATTTTTTTTATGAGACGTATTGTTATACAATACTTGATATTCAGAGCAGTCATAGTAGCAACGAGATAGAAAGAGTAAGAATAAGTTTGTCGCACAGGCAACAAGTGTACGTTGCATAACGGAAACAATGGACTGAGAACTACATCATAAATGAATAATATATACATATATATATCTGTAAAATCTTATCCAACCGTGAAATTTTTAAAGTAAAACGATAGTCGAATAAAACAATGACAAAAGTCGTCTTAATAATTCACCGGAACGCTTTTGATATGATCGAATCGATAACGAAAAAAAAACCTGCATAGCAGGATCGCGTGTAAGCTGTTACAGTGCATGATAAAAAGGAAAAAAAAAATGGGGGATTTATTCTAGCCATTCGTCATTTCTGTACGTGACACTTCGTCGTTGACGAGCGATAACGGGATGGCAGGATATTTCCATTTATTATACCATGATCCAGCGATAGATTCCATCGCAGACTTTTGTATATGCACATAATTTGTATTGCTCGTGTGTCTCTCTCGCCGCATTTTCCGTTCTTTAAATACAAGAACAGTACCATCTAAGGAAACTACCGAACGAAAGAATGGTTAAATAAAATATTGAACGTTCTTCTGTCTGTACCTTTTACACCGTGTGTGATTTCCACGATGAATCTCTCTTCCTAACGACTTTGTAAATTTTCTCGGCTCGTTGGAAAAAGCGCACTTGAAATATTCGAAGATTTCGTAAAGGAGCAGTGTGACCAACAGGAGCGCGCTGGAATTTTTCTAAAAACGCAGTGAGTTTACGTTTAGTACTTATTCACTCCCTAGGGATATTACTAATCAAATATTGGCAGCGTTTAACAGAACGTTTTATTATTATTTTATAACTGTTGAAATTAATCAGCCACAGTCGATTATTTTCGATCGCAAGTAAAATAATTGACTGTGATTGGTCAGTTTTTTGCTGCCTAGTGATTGAGCGACTGATGTAGAATCAGCTTAATGTAGAGTGACCTGAACTCGTGAAAAGTGTAAATTTTCCTAATTCGAAAACATTTCCATTCGGGAACATTATTCGGGTGCACCAGTCGCGTAAGAGAGATACTAGAGTGAGATGAAAAGAGAGCATCCGGACGACGTTGTTGAACGCAGCCCTAGGGGGAAAGTTACGCGATCGCAATACTACTATATAGCCAGGATGAGAAAGAGAAGTCAGGCAACTACGGTGCGGGAATATGTATTTTGAACATAATGCGTCGGATTGACGTCTCCGCCAAAATAAAATATATTTTAGCACATGATCATCATCTGATCGCCGCGTCTGCGCTCTCTCTTGCAGGACGACTGGCTACATAAAGCAGATTCCACTTAAGGAACATCGTTACAGAATGATGCTCAAGATCGTTGCAAGCGGAACGCACCAATTTTCCAGAGTACCTAGATATTCATGACCGTTCCCATCACCTATCCGCGAACGTGTGTCTGAAGATCTCGCGGCCGTTCCGAAACTCATCGCGAGAAGAGTGTCTCGCTCGCGAATACGGGCGATTTCCCAGTTGGCAGAATTCGGCGTCCGTTCTCGCGACGAGACTGGGAGAAGAAGGCAGCTTCGTGCAGCAGCGGCTCGCGTCCCGAATACCGCTCCGGTCTGCTGCGAGGCGCGAGACGGCGCCCGTGAACGCGCCCGGCCACAACGCTAACGCAGACATTGCGGAGGCGAAGAGGTTAAGGGGACGGCACGAACGGGAGGACGCGCCGTCCATCACCATGAAGCTGGTCGACCACGTGGTGCGGAGCTTCAAGGTGGCCAAAATATTCCGCGAGAACTCGGATCGGATAAACAGCATCGACTTCTCGCCGAACGGCGACACTCTGATCTCGTGCTCGGAGGACGACCAGATCGTGATCTACGACTGTGAGAAAGGCACGCAGGTGCGGACAGTCAACTCAAAGAAATATGGGGTCGATCTGATACACTTCACCCACGCCAAGAACACCGCGATACACAGCAGTACCAAGATCGACGACACCATTCGATACCTCAGTCTGCATGACAACAAGTACATACGGTATTTCCCTGGTCACACCAAGAAGGTGGTATCGTTATGCATCAGCCCGATCGAAGACACTTTTCTCTCGGGCTCCTTAGACAAATCCCTGAGACTGTGGGATCTGCGCTCGCCGAATTGTCACGGGGTTATGAACGTCTCGGGGCGACCGGTCGCGGCGTACGATCCCGAGGGCTTGATTTTTGCAGCGGGCGTCAATTCGGAGAGCATCAAGTTGTACGACTTGCGCAGCTTCGACAAGGGGCCCTTCGTCACCTTCAAGGTCTCTCAGGAGAAGGAATGCGACTGGACAGGTCTGAAATTCAGCAGGGATGGCAAGACCATTTTGATTTCTACCAACGGTAGTACGATCCGCTTGATCGACGCTTTCCACGGCACACCTCTGCAGACTTTCGCCGGGCACCTCAACAACAAGGGCATCGCCATTGAAGCCAGCTTTAGTCCGGATTCGCAGTTTGTGTTCAGTGGATCCACAGATGGTAGGGTGCATGTGTGGAACGCGGAGACCGGTTACAAGGTTTGCGTACTGAACGGTGATCATCCAGCACCGGTACAGTGTATCCAGTTCAATCCTAAGTACATGATGTTGGCGTCGGCATGCACCAACATGGCTTTCTGGCTACCCACCATCGAGGAAAGCGCATAAGACTAATCTAGAACCGAAATACGAAGCAGCGATTGCCTGCTGGAAGTGTTATCTGTAATTCACGCAGGAAAGAGAGAGAGGTTTATTAGAAGAGCAGCGGGATGCTGAGAATAACAGCCGGTGAGAGGATGAGGAGAATGACTTATGCATTTACACTTATGTACAAAAATGGAACAGCCGTCGTATGACACGCCGGTTCCGGGACGGATCAATTTGAGGCGGTGAGCGCTCGCTCGTTCACGCTTCAGGAGGATCCGCAGGGAAGATGTCCTCTTCACCTTGTCATACCTCGCGCGAGGACAGCGACGTGGGTCGAAAGGGAGATAAAGGGTCTTGTTTTCGAATGTGTCTCGTGTACATAGTTCTATTCCTGTGTACCTGTGTGTGTAGCGATTACGGGGAAAATGCGAAGTCTGATAACATCGGATGAGCGCATCTGTCTTAGCGGACAAGTTCTTTCCACGCGTTTGTCCCAATCGCCCGCATTGTATACGAGAGGCTCACCGCGTAGAGTGAATCTCGTTTGATTTGTCGTTCGGAAAACACTGTTCTATACCGGGAGTAATTCCGGGGATCTCCGTATTTATATGAGGAAATTGTGTGTGTGTGTGTGTGTGTGTCGAGATTAGCGTAAAAAGATTTTTCAAACGACGAACAGCGCGCGCGGTGTCCTTGCGTATACATGATATTCACACACACACACACACACACACACACACACACACTTTGTCTCTCAAGTGTGCCGTGAGGAGACGTTCATTCTCCCGCCGCGTCGATCCGCAGATTTATCGATCACTTTTCTATACCGCGACGGAGAACACCTGTTGTCGGTTGGAGCGTCATTCAGATGTTCATTGTTAAACGCCCGTGTGTGTATGTGTGTGTGTGTGTGTGTGAGAGAGAGAGAGCGAACTCCAGGTGGGATTCACCTGGAACAAAATAGCATTAAGTACCCGACTATCGTTATTACGGTTGATCCAACGCATCGCATGGCCGCATAAAAGGATCCTCTGAAGCTCGTCGAATTAGAGTGAAATTTGGTTTCCTCCGACTTTGTTTACTGTAACGTAAATAACACGAACTCGCGTTTAGTCTCCTTTGATTCTTGCCTTCACCAGCACGTTCTATGTTCATAATTCTAATGATGATTGCTATGAACGGAAACGAAGGAGAATCTATCCACCGGTCTTCAGACCGGTTGCACTAAACTCTGATTAACTGACGACTCGCCAGCTGAAATTTCAGTTGCAACCCTGTAAATTAATCGTCGCTTAGCTTAATCGGAGTTTGGTGTGACCAAAATCGTTCTATCGTCGTTACGTTTAGTCTCAACGCTATTCGGAACTGATGTCTAATGAAAGAATTTTCCCCTAAAAATGCCATCGGCTACGTTCCGAGCTACAACAAGAGACAAATGTTCAGGCTGTATTGAAAGCAAGTGTGGTAAAGTCCATTGATTGAGGCTTCCGGGCGGTAAAGTGCATAGAATGATTTTTCCTTCCATCAACCGACTTTCACCTACGTCCCTTTAGCAGAGCATTCGACGTCGTCTTCGAGGGTCCTTACTCCTGCGTGCGGCCACGCGACACACCGATCGTAATCAGCAATCAAAATACGTACATACACACGCATAGAACGACGCGTATATAGCCGGCCGAAAGCGTTTTATAGAGCGGATTTCCGGCACTGATACGATCAAGAAGGACGAAAACAGCACGGGAATCGTCGTCGCTCACAGCGACGGCCGTCTCTCGAGGGAGATCAGAGGTAGACTCGCAAATGTCGGCGTCACGCCGATTATCGAAGATGCATTCTCGACGCGAGGAAGACACCATTGCGAATTTCTACCCCTCCGCCAGGAGTCACCGTAATCGTCGGACTCTCTCGCGAAACAGCAGTATCGTTTTGAAGGGAACTGTGTCTGGACATTACTTACGTTGGCTCTGAGTGTGGCTAACCGTGGAGGGTTAGAACTTTCAGTCGCGACTGTTACAGTGACATGCTATTTTATTTTAATTTGGGAAGGAGGATGTTTCACGACGCACTGGATTTATCCTCTCTGCGTCATTACACGTTTATATCATTCACCGAAATTAAAATAAAAGAAAATAATACGTCGCTACAACAGCCACGATTGAACACTTTTCTCGAGGCGGTTCGGTCTAATGAGAAAGCTTAACTTCTGGAAGTGAGTCCTACCTACGATAGGTGTGATAAAAGCATTCTGATCTCTAATCTAAACAATGAAATGTAATTTCCGACGTTTTTCCGCCGGCCGTAATAACACTTGCGCCCGGAACACAAATACGTCGAACGCAGCTGATTTCAAGAACGACTTCTCCTTATTGATCGGCTATGTTCCCAATATCTGTTATCGACATATTGTTCTGAATATGATTGATACTCTTTTATCGATAATAATGTGTCTAAAAGTAGTTTAGGAACCACCTGATTTTTACGAATTGCTGCGACATCTGGTAACGTTAAAAGTTTATTACACCCAGCCTTAGTTAGAAACAAAGTTCTCTCGTTGGACCGTCCCGGCTGCATCGAGAAGAAAAAAAGTGTTCGAACTCAGTTTGAAAAATCAGTGCAAGCAGGTGAAACCGACGGGTCGGCCGAGAAGACACGATTCGATGTTTCGTAGTACGGAAGTACGGTCTCCGTAGACGTGTAATTATATCTCTCGCGATAATACAGTAATATTAATCCAAGTGATTTGTGTCCAGCTCGACGACGTAGTATTCTGCAAAAAGCGAATACGGCGCGGGCGAATAGACGAGCGTCGGCTTCTTTCAGAGAAAAGAAGAAATGGATAAAGAAATGAAGGCGCCGCGACGTTCTTGTCCGCTGAACTGTACACTTGTGCAACTTAAAAAGAGACGGATAAGTTAAGACATGGAGAAAGAAGAGAAAAAAGAAAACTAGCTGATGTTCAGCGGAAAAGAACAGACAAGCTTACGCGTTGACGACGAATTTCCGGTGCAGTCCGAGAACAGCTATTCGCCCCTGCCTGCATGTACATACATGGATAGACGCCTCCTCTTAAACGTATTTCGTGCGAGAACGCGATGCTATTTTGTTCGAGCGGTGTGAGTGTAAAACGCGAGGGAGCCAGCATGGCGACGTGTGTGTGTGTTTTTTGTACTATCTCACTCGCGTCCGTGGGATCTGTCAACCGCGCTGTAAAATAGTATTTTTTATAACGGCGACACAGTGTGTGCGTAGAAGAAACGTATTCGAGCGGGAAAGACCTCGACCCTTTCGGCAGCTCGATAGCTTCCCGACCAACGGACTCTCAAGCCCCACTGTGTTCAGGCTACGAGTGCTGCCTCTCTCTTTCACGCGTTAGCGACCGCGCCGAGTCTCTCCTCGGAACGAATGAACCGTCACCTTCGCCCCGCGCGATGCGTCATGACGCTTGTATTATGTAATCGCTGTTTTAATTTTGTAAGGCGAAGAGGAGCGCGCGCGTTTCATCACGAGGCCTTGACGTCGAAATTTCTCATTCACGCGCAACGGCGCGCGTAATTGCCGCTCGGTGTTGCTGAATTTCTCCGGATCCCTTCCGTATTTCGGCGCATCACGCATTTTCACAGTCACATTAAATGTTATATACACGGTGAACATGTATTATTGAGCGCTTTCCACTTAGTGACACGAGTCAATACAAGTGTCATTTTGTTCGTGTTCCAATGAGTAGCAAAGATAGGATGATGTTTGTGTCTCCACATGGAAATTTAATTGTTACATTCCATGTGACTGAGTTCCTCGCAAAAGTAACAGTCGTGACATAAAAACGCGCCCGAGTTGGAATACGCGAGGCATTATTGGAGTTTCCTGCAGGAATAGGAAGATTCCCGTGTGTTTCTACACTGCTTTCACTTGTCTCAAGCGAACAGAGACCAAGCAAGGGGCTTATTATAGTGAGAATTACAAAAGAGAGCAAATTCACCGGGTGTTGATCAGTGAAATTACAAATACTTTAATAAATTCGCTCACTTTTGTCATTATCATCTCGTTCTGAGAACCATCATAGGTCCCCTGATGAAAACCCAGTAACGAGAAATGATATTTCTTATTGAGAAGAGATTTGTTAACTGAGAATTCCGTCTTACCGAGAATAACTCTGTTACTGAAGACATTCGGCTGCATTAAAAACTCGATTGACCGAACAGAAACTCTCCGTGGAATCTTTCCTACTGCCGAATTTTTGTCTTTGGACCCGCGAGAGAACGAAAAATTCGGCCGCAACGGAATTGTTTTTCCCGCATGTATGCACCACAACCAGCTGAGTTCACGCCGTCGTTTTTGCTTTGTTCATCTCGCGCGCTTCATCTCACACGGTCGTTGCGCGGCGAAAGGGTCGAATCGAGTCGTCGTCTCTCTCTCGAGTAACTACGAGCGATCTGCGTATTTAGACTAAACACCTGCGACACGCGTCATACTGCCAGCCAAACGAAAAAAGCGAGTGAAGAAAACGTAGAAAGAAACAAAAAAAAAATTATACGAAACACTGTGTTCCCTTGTCCCAGGATAAGTTAATAGCGAGACGAACACGTTTAATAATAATAACTAAAAATGTATATATCCCGACGAGTCGCGGTCGACGGTGTATGTGTGTGTGTGTGTGTGGGTGGTGCGTGCGTGCGTGCGTGCGTGTATTAACTGCCCGACGCGACTAAACTGTCGCAGACGGAAGAAGAGGTGAGAAAGGAATCACAGAGAAAAATAGACGTTTATTATTATTATTATTTATAGTTTAAAAGTTTTGGAAAAGAACACCGTTTTTCCCCCCCATTTTTCTACGAAGTTTTCTACGAATTTTTTTGGTTTCTGTTTCAAGGGTATAAAAATTTATTTAAAGAAAGATTCATATGCATTCGGTTAAAATTGGCCATATTTACTTTTTTTTTCTTTTTGTAAAGATGTAGGAAACCAAGAAAATCCGCAGAAAAATTGGGTTTTTCCGAAACTTCAAGGCTTCTGGCCCCTCACTGTCTTCGTTTAATGACATCAGAAGCGAGAAAACGCAAGAATTCTTATACATTTAAATAAAATGATGTATTAATAAAATGACATCTGTGATCGATTCAACACACTTGTAAAATTGTCCGAACATTTTTTTTTTACACGATCAATTTAACCAAGAAAAGTCGCAAAATTAACTTGACGTGGAACTTCCCTTTTTAACCCCCTCTTTTCGTAATTTAATATTGCTAGTTTTATGACTATTGTTCCGATAAAAGTGTTTGGAGAATTTTGCAAGTATGCTGATTAACAAATATTTTGTGAGTACACCTTTTTATTTGAACGTATAAACGCAAGAATTCTTATCATGCATCTCTCGCTTCTGACGTCATTCACCGTGACGTCATCAACAGGGATAGTCGTAGCGAGTATCCAGAAACCTTAAAACTATATTATTATTATCATTATTATTATTTGTCGATCGGATTCGCCGAACAATCGCTCGAACGCTCTTTTACCGCGAGGGAGAAGCAAAAAAAGCAAGAAACCGCGGTCGGACGTAAAAGCGCTGCGGGTCTCGCGCACGAGTCACGACGAGGCCCTTTTTATACGCGACGAAGAGTCCGTGACACATTTGTACATACGCCAAAGTCAACCTTGTCGTTCTCACGTGTCACACGTTACGTGCGCCGGTGATAAGCCGTTTTTTCTATCGTGTGTATCATTCGCAACCGATCTCAGAGATATTCGACGATTCGTGACTCGTACGGTGAGAGAGCTGTGTGGAGAAAAGGATGGAAATGCGTCACGTTCGTTTCCTGTGAAGTATACCGAGTTATTATCACGCGCGATTACGCCCTTCCGATCGCTGGTTCATTACGGCCATTTAACGTATTAGGGATTATAGAATTCGACTTCAATTTAAGAGAGATGTGTATATATATATATATATATACACATATGTACGGTACGAGAAAATATGCGAGAGACTTAAACTCTTGAAAGAGAGAAAGCGTTTAAAATGCGATTTCGAGAAGGAGATCTTGAATATGATGGTCCATCGACACCACTCGTCTTGCTGTTAATAATCGCTTACGTTCGAAGAATACGTCGTACCTTCTGCAAGAGAAAAAAGAGAGAGACACCTGAATTTCGACGACGGATTCTTGTGATTATTCTTCTAAGTTCCTGCATTAAGTCTTCGTACAAATCGTTTTTCGATAGCCAAGTAGACAGAAACACACGTTGTCGTTGATCCTGACTCCCGGAGGAAATTCGTCGCGCGATATCGGTACCGAATCACGGGGGGCTGTGCGCCCCGATTGCTGTAAACTGCTACATGCGTTCTAGGATACTAGAAGCCAGAAGCTGACGCCGTTGTTGACTTCGCCGAGTTCCGACGTTAAAACGTGCGCTCGAAGCGATAATAATATGTGATATCCGCGAGGACGCGATATCGTGCCCTCCGTCCTCGTACGCAGCGCCGTCGATGAGAACGAAGAACTCGCCGAGGTCAAGTCGATCGCAATTTTTGCTAGGAACGTACGATGACGTAGAAATGTCGCGCTGTAATCGGAGCGATACGAATAATCCGCACACTGCATAACATAATGGAAACGGTGTATGTGTATCTCTGTCTGTTGAAAGCGAAGTTTAAGGGACATCGAGTGACTTTCGTTCCGTCACCGAAGAGAGAGAGAGTTTTGTGATCCACTGCAAGCCACATTGTATATTTAATCTGTAAGGTAGCAGGAACGAGATCCGAATTATTCAATCCGACACGCTGCTTCGGTCGCGATTTGTATACATTCGATGATGACGGCACGAAGGGAAAAAATGACGCTTCTATATCGGAATATCTTCGTTATCGTTTCGAAAGACTGGCGCGTACCGTTGACCCACGATTTGTTTTTTTTTTTCTTTGTGATAAGCGATTCGGTCGCAGACGCGATCGGACAAACTTCTTATTGTAATTATATTATACTGTCAATAATCGACGAGCTAATTACCTTGACCAGAGAGCAAATCTGAACGCAAATCAATCATGTTTTGTTAACGGACAAATGCGAACGACGTTCCGATTCAATGGGCTGTTTTAAATTTGATAAGTATATGTATGTATATGAATAAAAAAAAAAAAGGAAGAAGAAGAAGAAAAGAGCGATGTGTAATGAATTTTCGTCCGCCGACATTTGATAGTCACAACATATCAGCGTATTTGTTAGGAGATTTGTTAGGTTGACAGTTTCACTTAACAAAAGATTCTCAAGGAGTGTACAAAAAAAGGTGGGCGCCTTTTTTGAGATCCTTCTTAGAGGAAGTGGATGTCATCTCGATAGCTTAGCGCGCAAGCAAAATTGTATTTTTTATTTTTCTGTAGAACCATTTCGATTGAACGCACGAGAGTTTACTCGAAACAATAAAACACTTTTTTTGTACATCTATCTCTCGTCTTTCTATTTACCCCGTTCTCTGATTACATCCTCCCAATGTCTGCTGTGCGATGCGCAAGTTAATCTCAACTTTGAGAAAAAAAAACAAAACAAGTTACAATACATAGAAACGCAGAAAGACGCAGTCGTTCGATACGACAATGCTTTGACGTACTTGATAATCGTGTAAAAATCACCTCTCTCACTCTGCGACATTTCGTTTGTCTATAGTTTGTATGTTATACAATGTCTTCAAGTCGTCCGAAATGACGTCCGGCGCTCTGACCATGAGATCTTGTCCCTCCGTCGACTTTGGGAAAGCTATGACGCTCTTTATGCTTCTCGCATTGCAGAGCATGCAGACCAGGCGATCCAATCCTTCGAGAGCACACATAATGATCATAATGATAATGTTATATAAGACGTATTTAAACTCTACCGACGAACTTACAGGGCGGATTAGCCCTCAGTTCTATTGTCGGACATAGTGACCTCTCTCATCTGCCTGTGGTGCGATTGTACACAGTCATATGGGACCTACACGCGAGTTTAATGCCGGTTCCGAACGGCATATTATTTAGAGAGGTTCTTTTGAAAAAGAATACTCTCGGTAGAGTTGCCGCTTCTTTCCGAGAGGAGACAGAAATATTTTGCTTTCGAATCTTTTACGTTTTCGAAGATAATACATTATCAATTTTGACATTTCATTGTGATTATATATTATTATCGTGAAAGAAACGTATTATTTCTTCTTGACATCATGATAAGGAAGAGATATTTTGAACAATCTTTAAAACAATGTGTGTCTAGTTACTTATTTGTAAAACACTTGATTAAAATACATTTGTTTAAACTGAAATTACGGCAGTTATATCTCAGAAACGAAACGTTTGAGAACATATATTTCTACATGCTTTTTTTTTTATCTATCCTGTAAGTTTATCGATGGAGTTCAGATACACCCTGTTAATATTTCGAAAGATTCACGGACGTAGATATTACCAAAGGTAACAAATACCTAAAGCTATCCCACCGTGCGGCGGAGCTCCGTATGTCAGAGCCTCGAGCATGTGCGAGAGCTTCGTTTCGTCGATATCCAGTATGTTCAATATCCGACGTTGGAGATCAGCATTGTGGATTCGTATGGAACCGCCAGCGATTTCCGATCCGTTCATCACTAGATCATAGTGCAAGCCTCGAACCTATCAAAGATAAGAGAACGTGAGAGATGGGTCATTTTAATCTTGAACTCTTAATCTTACTTTCAGAGGGTCGTTCGCGAGATACCCGAGGTCGTCCGGATGAGGTTGCGTAAACGGATGATGTGTCGATTCTAGCTTATTTTCGAATGTGAACAACGGGAAATCCGTGATCCACACGAATTCCGTCTTGGACGAACGTATCTGTTCGCCTTTCGCTTCCAACAAATTCGTCAGCTCAACGCGTAGCTTTCCTAAGAGTTTCAACTGAAATGTATTATCGATTACTTCAGTGAGATGAAGAGGCGAGGTATATTATCGTGAGAAAAACTCAGTCCCACCGCGTCGATATGATGTCCGATTGCTAATAATACTGCATCTCCTTCCTGCAATTCGCAGAACTGCACTATATCTTCTGTTGCATTTTTGGAGAACAATTTTTCTAACTGACCTCTCCAAGAATTGCTTTCGGTTTTCAATAAAACCAGCTTCGCGGCAGAAAACTTGACATCACGCATCTTCAAGAGCTCATCTCTGACAGATTTTGTCAGTCGTTTCTAAGGCAAAAGAACCATATTAACAATATACTATAAACATTCAACTGAAAAGATTACAATGACTTACCGATTTATTCGGAAAAACCAACGCATACACCTTCTGCTCGTCATCCTGCAATTTCATGGTTTCCTTCAGCATAATTGGATTAACCAAGTGTGTGAGATTTCGTATCTAGAAAGGTGCAATCGTTAAATCATTACATTACGACTTTGTCAACAGAAAAAATGAAAAAGTTACATATGTTTTATACCTGATACGGTATTCTCAAATCTGGCTGGTCCGTGCCGTATAAATCCATTGCATCTTTGTGCGTCATATGCTTGAAAGGTATTTCTATTGAACCTAAATTTTCCGGCCACGAGTATATCAGCAAATTTTCAATCAGGCTCATCACTCCTTCCTGATCGACGAACGACATTTCGATATCTAACTACAACACAACTGTTAATATGAAAAATTGTTTATACATACATGTGAATGACGCCATGCAATTACCTGTGTAAATTCTGGCTGTCTGTCGTGCCTGGCGGTTTCGTCCCTGTAACACCGAGCAACTTGGAAGTATCTGTCGAAACCACCCACCATGAGCAGCTGCTTGAACTGTTGAGGACTCTGCACCAACGAGTAGAATTTACCCGGTTGTCTCGTGGGTACTATGAATTCTTGAGCACCCTGAACACAATAAAGCAATTTTATGCATTCACAAACGAATTTATATAGGTCTCTCATCAAGGAACGTACCCCTGGGGTATATTTGAAAAGTGTCGGTGTCTCGATATCCACAAAATTGCATTCGTTGATTAAAAATTCTCTCATCTTCATTATAAGTTGTGAACGCATCCTCAAATTCCTCTGAAATTCGGGATATCTCAGCGAGAGATACCTGTATTTCATTTGCTGGACCTCTGTTGCCTTATTGTAATCTCTGATAAATATTGGCAAATTAGAAGACGCCACATTTAGAATCTCCAAGGATTCTATATATACTTCTATGTCACCAGTTTTCATTTTCTTGTTCTCTTGGCCCTTAGGTCTCGGCGCAACCCTGCCTGCTATACTCAGAACGCTTTCAAAAGGCATATCTTGTATAGCTTCTGCCAAATCCTTTCTCTGAAATTATGAAGAATTTCTCAACGATGCATACATAGAGGAATTTTCAAAGAGAATCTTAGATACAGTTATTTACATACATCTTCTGGTATAAGTAATTGGGTTGAACCATAAGAATCTCGTAATATTATAAATTTGTCCATTCTCTTAAATTCCATCCAGCCGTTTAACTGTACTTTTTCTCCGAGATTCTTAAGTGTGAGCTCACCACATGTGTGCGTTCTAGAAACATACCTATTAGCTGATGATACTGTTTCCTTGAATGATGTTGGCTTATTGGTGACTAAATTATGTACACAGGCTACCAACGGAGCTTGATTCTTTAAAGAAACCTTTAAAGGAAAGCAAAATTATATATACATTGTTTTATATTTCGTGTCAACATAGAATATTATTGTTCCATATTGTAACAGAGAAATGCAGCCATAAAGATTATTCTGTCAAATAATCCAAAACTTACTTTTATGTTACATCTTGTTATTGCACGGCTCGTGCAATTAAATACAATTCTACCGGCAGCAAACATTTTGCATATATTATCAATATTATTCTTATAGAAACATCTAATTTTTCACGTTCTTTATTTTTCCCTGTATTTTCTACCGGGCGCAGCCATTTTGTTGCAATCCTATAAATCTGTTCTTTTTATCTGCACTTTCTCGTAACTTTCCTCTTTGCTTCCAAATTACACGAACTTTGAATAAAATTTTAATTTGTAAATTTTTGTCTCTACCAATAAGGTATAAAGGGGATATTCTGATAAAAATTTGTAAAATTTGGAACGCTGAGGCGATCGATTCTTCAAAAATTGTATCGAACGTTGATTCATCGATTACGTGTCTCGTCCATTTTCAGACGAAAGAGGGCCTTCTTTGTCTCATCACCATTTTGAGGTGCATGTTGGTTGTATTGGGTGAGGAATATTTACCGAATAATCAACAAGTTCGCAATTTTCTCGTCTAGAATATATACTAATCGTTCTTGTCTTCCGTAGCATTGCAACTGTAAAAAAAAATGGAGAACGACACTGGGGCTATAGTTGACTTGTACATTCCGCGGAAATGGTAAGAGACTCACACGTGGGTTGCGAGTAATTTTTATGAAGATCTTAATAAATCACAATAAAACATATCAATAATGCTAAAGACGTAACTTAATTCACATTTTGTCTCAGGAAAATGCGTTTAATTGATTTTTCCGTGGCCGGTAGTTCCGTAACATGTGTAAGAGTAAGGTTAGGTTGAATTGAGTTCACTTGTACACGTGGTCTCCTATCTTCGTAGAAAGTCTGTTTTCTTGTGAAATGCACGAACTTGAACATACATTTAAGATATAATAGATAGTGACTGAGAAAAATTGCGCAGGAACACAGAGTTTAACTCGGAGAACCAATATAATTGTTCCTCTAAACTGTACTTCTCCACATTTATATCTGAAGTATGTGTATTGTAAAATAATCAAAAGAAAATAATATAAGAAAGACGGTTAAAATGAGCAAGCCTATCTTAAGAATATAAGAAACCTAGTAGAAATCAACATAATCTAATACATATCTCTGTTACAGCTCCGCGAGTAACCGAATCATACATGCTAAGGATCATGCATCCATACAGTTGACCCTGGCAGACGTTGATCCGGAAACTGGTCGCATGACTGATTCCCACAAGATGTATGCTATTTGTGGAGCCATCCGTCGCATGGTACTTATCTTCAATTAGTTTCTATACACATGAATATTTTACAGATCCTGGTTATCCATTCAGCACCAAGTTTTTGCATTATAAGATTATAAAAAATAGCTTTATATATTAGGTCTGTTATTTGTTGCTGAACTAGTGCCCATTTTCAGAACTTTAAGGGAAACAGATGTATAACTGTGACTTCGTGTAAAAAAAGAAGGGAATAGAATTAGTATTCTAAAAAAAATGTGTTTTTTATACAACAAAATCTCATGTTAAACTTGTGTTGCAGGGCGAATCCGATGATTGTTTAGTACGACTAACAAAGAAGGATGGCATTCTACCCAAAAATTTTTAATTTATGTAACCAGTTCGTATTTTCATTAAATTAAGAAAAAAATCTGTGTATCCGTGTTCTTCTTGAAATCCATACAGTAATTCTAAATCGCGAGAGATTTCTGAGATACGTTGTATTGTGATTGTATGACATGTTTATTATATATTTTTTATACATACACACGGGAAATTACAGGTATGAAATATCTTTATATATACACATATAATACATTGATATAGTAAGACTCGCATGTAGTAGTACCGCTCGCTGATCACGTTCATAAAATTATGTTCGTGTTTTTTTTCTTTTTTTTTTTTTAGTACCTGGTTATATAAAAATAAAAATTATCACTAAAGTGTGTGTATGTATATGTGTATAATTAGGTTGTGCCATGTACAGTTGAAATTGGCTGTTTTTAATAAACTGCAATCGATCGAATCCTCTCATTAAAATCTGTTCTTATCTAGAATAGGACAAAGTTAACTATCATTACTCTGTATTCCTTTCTTTCTCCTTCCTTTTGTTGATTACGATTAGAAAAATGTCTTAAGAAACGCGAATATACTTCGATATACTTTTTTAGGCAACGTCGTGTACGATGCAAGTGCGATAATGACGTTACCGTCTAAAGCGTTTCATATCAACTGGATTTTATTATATATATTATTATCTTGCATGCGCATAACTTGGAAGCTGAATGGACCGAAAGAGCGTCTTGGCCGTATCGAGAATTTCAGATTTAGAGAAATTGCTACTCAATCTTCTTTCTTTTTTTCTTACACGACAAATTTCCTTCTATACACACATTCCTTCTTTATATTTTTCTCTGGACGCAACTGCGTGGAGAATCCGAATATTTCGGGAATTTTTCCTTTAAACCGAACCAGAGCTGATCACAGAAATTTGTATTAGTGAAAGTTAACGATTAGAGTTGTCAAATAATACTGCATATCAAAATTGCGTTATGATGGCTCTTGTTTGAGCACGCGAATCAGCTTGTGTAACATTTATACATGTATATATGTTTACAGATGAAATAATTTTTAAAAGATTTTGTTTCTCTTGTGACATGTACTCAAAGAGATTGGTATACATTCTGGCGTGACATTGCGATCGTACGAATTGTACAAGGAAAAATACTCTGTTTAAGCAAAAACGCGCAATGTTTATAATAATTCATTGTACATATCTGTACAAAAAAGATGCGTGCTTGATAGTGAAGTTTTTCGATCTTAAGTTTCTTAATCATGATGTAATGTTAATCATCGATTTCTTATAATGATTGATCTCTCATGATGGCTATGCAAATAATACTTGAGGAATATATCGAATGTCTCATAAGTCGTGCTCTTTCTTCTACAGCACACTTGTAGTTGAAAGAAAGTGCATGACGCCTGCAACAATGTATAACCCTCTATGTTCCGCTGTTTGTACGTTTGTATTACATGAAGCGAAATTTAAAAAAAAAAATGGCATAACGTTAAAGTAAATGATTCTACATTCAATAATTATTAACGTATACGTTGTATTCCTCATCTCTGGTAAATCTCGTTATAGCATGTCTGGCAAATTTCACTACGCATATATGTTTATATCCCGAAAGGAAAAAAATCAATGTGCATTTGTTCGATTTTAAATTACAAAAGTCTCTCAGAATTTGCAAACGTTTTAAAATAACAAATCACAAGTACCAACTGCATTGGTTAAACAATATTTTAGTGTTTAAAGAACGAAATTGACGATTGAGTCGAATTTTTAGACTTCGAAATGTTTCGAAATTCGATAGTTTCCGTAATTCTATTCTAGATTTCTAATTACAGATTTCTGCACACTGATAAAATATACATACCCCGGTTCTTTTCCTTTCGACATACAGATGCTGTTTCCTTTCTTAGAATTGATGCGTCACGTCAATATTAGTTACTTGGAAATTTCCTCGCATTGCTTACATAATAAACGTAGATAATCTTAATGTAATGGAACTGGTTTGCAATCCTTTACCCTGAGTATTCACTATTGACGCACCGTTCGTGTGTTCCAGCGGTTTCGGTATATTCACCAGACATACGATTAACGCAGGTAGGCCAACATATGAAACATATGTCTCTGTCATCGGGGAATCTTCGTAAATTAATAACGTATAACTAGAGTTGTCGATAAATCTTATCTTAAAGGTGCTCGCAATTATGTTCTTTGCTGTATAATACATCGTAGTATGATATCGAGTGAATCTGTTTATTCCGTAAAAGATGATGAACCACGTTAAAAACAAATTACAGCGTTTGATTCATCGGGCAAAGAACATAATCACCAAACGTAACCGCGCGACGGGAAAATAATTTTTACGCAAATATTACACGGCTCCTCGGTATTGTAATAAGTCAACTTACTACGAGTTCTCCGATAACGCTTACAATAATCGTTCTATTGCACATATCGCCATTCATGCAGAAATGCATCCCCTCCGAATTCATGCTCGTCAAATTCGAATCGAGAACCTCGGGTCTTTCGAGTTTTCACTCGATTTCGTTTCCGTCAATTTATCGAAGCCTTTCTCGAACTTTAAGAAGCGGTTGTTACGCAGCAATTCTCTTTATATGTTAATTACCGTATGTCATCCGTTCAGAGCTGGAGTGTCCGACAACGAATGTACCCGATTAAACCTACGATTCTTCAATGCAGCCATGGACTCCATCAGGTTGGCTCGTTTACTGAAAAAGTCCACTATCGCTTGCCCGGTTAAAGCGGACGCCAGGAACTGCTCGACAGTTATCGACCAATCGGGATCGGCGGACGACGCTATGCTCGACGGATTTCCATTGCGATCCGGTGACTGAAAAGTGTTTATTAGGTAAACGTAAATTTACAGCTGCAACAATGTGAATGGACGAGTACGATTAAAAAGTGACATACCCTCTCGATAACGGAGGTGGAGGCTTGTTGAGCGGCGGAAGCTGCCAGAAGTAAACTATCCTCGGACTCGTCTCTCTCTACGTAGAACTTCTTCCCGACATCTCCCAGTTGGAGCAGAAGGGTACCTACGAGTGTTTCATTTACGCAGGATGATAAGTTTAATTATGACTAACTTCTATTTACATCAGCTCTGTAGATGACTAAGCAAGGCGAGGCAGAACGGTCTATGAGAGCCTAATCGCGGCTGTTGTAGCGACATTTTTAATTTTGTGGGAGGATATGAATGTTTAATGTGTGATAACACACGTGCCAGATTAGCTCCCGGACAAAAGTACGCGGTGAATCAACCTTCCACGTTTTAAACGAATCTCAAATATATCTTCATGTATAATTTTCAATAACTACCCAACTAATGAATTAATTAATGTAGCATTTTTTTTTTATGAAATGTTATCACACGTTAAACATCCTCCCGTATAAGTTAAACAACGTACATGAATATTGAGTCAAATCGAACAAGAAGATCTTCTAGAAGTAGTTTTGCAAACGATAACGTAAATTCTGAAGAGGTATGTTTACAAAAAAAAAAAAATAAATATCTCACCTATGGAAGCGATGCAATGGTACGTTTCTTGCTCTTCGGGTTGCGCGGGAAACATGTCGTAAAGAGTTTTCCACAACGCTATGAAATGTCCCTGGGACATTTTTGGCACGGTTTTAAGATCCAGCGGACTATCCTTGGATGCGATCATCGAGCGTAAGCTACCCATACTTTGAATTTCCCACGACTGATCCCCTTGCTGGCTATTCAGACTCGTGGATCGCGATAAAGTGCTCACTGTTGGTTCCTCCGCCATGCTAATTGGCATCTCCAAGGAAGCGACGCTCTGCTCCATGCTGTCGAAGAAGTCTGTGGCTTCCGCTGCTACTTCGGCACCATCTGCTGAATTTTACAGACTTACATCTATGTAAATAATACGTGTGAGAGATTACTATAAAATACAAGATACTGACAGAGAGATGATACTGAATTTATCATATCACGTTAATTGGGTAATCAAAAAAAGAAATTCTTATGATAATTAATTCCTGTCAGTTGTGCACTTCCGTGAATAAAATAACGATTACTCCTTTTATTAGTCCGATTAGTCCTTTTCAGATCGTATAACTAATATATGTTCTTTTACGATGGCTCATTAGTAATTATTATTCACGACTTGGATTTTTCTTGTCAACGGGGAAAGGAAATCACATGAAGAAATGACATGACGAGTTAAAAGACCTCTACAACTAAAAATTGAATAAATAGACATTGAACCTTTTTCTTCCGAAATACCGACGTAGCCTTCGTGTACATATCTCGATGAACATTTACCAGAATGCGTCGGCGACTCGAAGTCAGCAGGGGTGAGAAGTGGCGGTAAATGCAAGGTATATAGAAGCTTCAATCTCTGCGTCAGATCGGCCGTCGCTGTCATTCCTATAGCCTGCACTAATTCTCGGAAGTTCAGCAAGCCGTCACGATTACGATCCATCAGCTGTGGAAGCGCATTTTAACATGATGAACAGTTCCTACCTCTATCGTTTCGAATTTATTTACATAAGATATAAATCGCGTAATCATTAACAGGAGACCAACAAGAGAGACAACTTGGTAAGAATGAAGAACTTACACGGAACAGTCGCGCGGAAAGAGACTCGGCCTGTGTGCACTTTCCCCACGGAGACAGGCCGCCGAAGAGTATTCGGAATAAGTCGAAGTCCACCTTGTACGCCTCGTACGGCGGTTGGGTTGGATCGTAACGGTCGGGCTCGGATTTTCGTTGACTCATTAGTTCCTCTCTAACCAAACTCAACAGCTCCTGTGCATACATCCGCAGACACGTGGTTAAATCATTCTACAATTAATTCGTCACTCCGCATTACCTGCAATTCCTCGATCGTCATATATTTATCAACAATAACGCTCCGAATTACATTCTTCTCAATTCCATCTTCCAGACTCTGAACCACCCTGAGCCTGTGCTTCAGCCGCAATCTCTCTATCCAACCGATCGTCAACGAACCGTATCTCGAGTACGCTTCGTAAATTAACGTCTGGACAGATATACTCTGCAATAAATAATATATTTCGATATCAAAGTGTATACAATGAGAGATTATATTCGCAATAATCTTGCCTTGTTAGGTGACGTGCTGTCGACTGGTCGGGGAAATATTGGCCCTTCGTCGTTGTAGACACCGCCGAGATAGTCGGTCAACAATTGCATAGCCTCCCCGTCGTCGCGACAATTAAGTAACTTGTCCTGATTCCATTCCAACACTGTCAATGCTATCTAATACAGCAAGGAGAACTTGATTATTTCAGATGTACGCATCTTAATCTACATAATTTTGTCGAGATAAAACAGCGAGATTATTCAGCTAAATTGAATCTCGAAATTCAGATCATAACTTCGAGTAAGTAGAGTATATTTATAAAATATATATTTGTTGAAATTTTCTTCGCAAGGAAATGGACGGATTCCAATCGAGTGAGCTATTTTGCGAGAGATAATTTTCGCCTTATTGTCGTTCTTGTTCAATTTCTTACCTGAAAGATAACTTTCGCCCCATCGTAGAAGAAGCAGTCCATAATGTTCACAGCGCTACTGGTCGGCATGACACTTAAGAATATAGTTAGGAACCAGGATAGCGAGATGACTTTAATTAAGCCTAGCTCCTGCAATTTAGCGTGCAAAGTCGGCAGATGCTCAGCGGCCAGCTCCTCTAAAAGGCCTTGATCAACGAGAGCACCAACTACTCTCCGATCATAGTAATCGGGCAGTAATGACTCGCAAACGTTGCATAACTGCCAGAAAGCCGATTCCTCGGAGCAGTAGATCAGCAGAACCGAAGCTACGATGTTCATCGCCTGACAATAACCTGAAGGTAAATGACATGCTTGAGGATTTCTAAGCTGTTAATCGTTATTGTGCCAAATGGAATTATTAATTATAATCCTGAATGTGAAGAAACTTATTAATATTTATATTCACATATTTTTTTCCTCGCACGTTATTTTAGCAGTAAAACTAAATGATAAAATGTCAATGAAAAGATTATTCAAGGACTAAGAATGCTAATCGGAAAATGTCGAGCTTACCGATCTGAGGATTCCGCCACGCATAAGCAGATAACACCCTTCTCAGCGCGTTGATACCGGTGTCAGATTGAAAAGCCGGATGTTCCGGCAACGACCTGTGCAGGTCCCTCTCGATCTCTTCGTTCGCTTGGCATGATTTACCGAGGGACTGTTCGACCAAAGACTTGTACAAATCTGGGTTCATTGCCTTTTCGTTTAACGCACCTGAAAGAAACGACGCGTTTATACATAAAAAATCATTTCATACATCGTGTCGCATTATACCAGAAAAGGTGAGCCAGGCTTCTCCTCTGAGGGACTGCGGGATTCCTTGAATAACGAGTTTCGCCGTCTCCGTTGTTCTGTACATCGTAAGACCTCTCCCGTACTCCGCGAAGTGAAGCTCCCACTGCTTCTCCTTAGCTTCCTGCTTCAATGCGGCCTCACTGGTGAGCGGAGTTTTGAACAGTATCATCAACGGCGGCTGAGGTCTCCAATGTTCCATGGGTTTCGCTTCCTCGCAGTTGCTAATGCCGCTGTTCGAGGAGTTCGACGAACATACGTTGTCTCTAACTCTGTGGTGTGATATTAATGAATTAAATATTAATGAAATATCGCTGTGATAAACAAGCTCACATATAATTGAGTTTAGACTTCGCCAGGAGCTCAGAGATTTTTTGCACCACGAAGTCCCGGTCGTGTATCTGAGCGAACAGGAACGACGAGCGCGCCGTTGTGACCAGTATCGACTTATCCGCTCCTGTGCTGGATTGATTCTCCGCTGGTTCGACCAACGTCACTTCCCTCAGGGGTATAACTAGACTGACTACTCTTCTCACCTGGAGTTACCAAATTACCAACGATACATTCGTTTATTTTATTACCTATTCGTCCACTTAAACCTTAGATACTTACCCTACTTTCGAAACAGAGATAGTTCTGAGACAAGTATATCTTTCCCCAGACGTATCTTTTGTTGTACGGGGTCCACAGGGTTGCATCGACACTGCCGTCTAACTTTTCAGTCCCCGGCAACCTGAATTGGAGCCTGTACGCTTCCGAGTGCGCCCTCGCATCGAGATCTCTCTTCAAGAAAGATGGCTTCTTAGGCACATTTTTGCTAAATTAGAAATCAATATGTTGTTCGTTTATTTTTTATCAACGTGCGATTCAATGACGTGTATTGTGCCAATATACCTTAATTTATTCAGTAAGTCCCTATCCTCATTAAATCCACTTTTCTCATCGATAAGCCTTCAAGTAAAAATCAACATTAATAAATGATATAGAATGCAAAGGGACATACTTTGTGTGTATATATATTTCAAATACCTCTTCATAGCGATATTGGTCAGTTGCTCCATCAACGAATACGTTTCCGATTTATGTAAAAACATAGAAAAATAATGCTGCAACAGGAGGAGAACAATTAATCGATTGTCGTGTGAATATCACGACAAACGTCGATGCATACCTCTTTATTGTCACGTGTTACAACACGTATACTGTCCGGGACTATGAGAGAACTGGTTTTGCTCAATTCAGTGATGTCGGTCCACCTCACGGTCAACTTCGTCTCTCTCGCCAGTATATAAGCATAAAAGCACATGTGATTTACAGACAAATAGAGCCATCCTTGTCTAGGTAATCGAGACTTCCAGTAACTAGAAGAGAAAGACCATTCCGGACACACGTTCACACATATAATATCTTAGTCCCTCGTAAATACAACACACCTGCACGAGTAATAATTGACCAACTTGTCCTCTTTCGGTACATTGAACAACTGGTGGAATTTAAAAGACACAGTTTTAAAAGACTCTGGGTCTTCTTCTGTAAACAATATTAACACACAATTTATGCGCTGACCAGTCGGCGATTCAAATAGTAATTAATAATTCTACCATCTGCGAACTGAGAGTCCGGTATGCTATTCGCTATTATGGATTGGATTTTGCAGCAGACGAACTCTGTTATCTCCTCCTCGGTATCGAACGACGTGAGGGTTGTCATTAAATTCGAGTGAAGCCATTCCCAATCCAGCAGAATCTCCTCGTGAGTCAAGGAACATGCCACTTCTGCAGACATCCAATGAGAAACAAACATGTTGGAGATTTTAATGACTCCAAATAATCAAACAATAAAAAGGAAAGGAATAACAAGAGGCGACTAATTGAGAGAATGTTGATGACCCAATTGGACGCAAACAAAGTAGGAAAGAAATAAATTGAGCACCTTGCAATTTCTTTAGATTTTTACTCTCCATCACGATATGAATGAAAGCGCTGAAATTCTCATGCTTCCCCAGCATTTGCTATATACAACAACTGTTTATGCTAACTAATGCTACTATCAGTTACTGCGCTATTATCACTGCTACTAAAACAACAATTGTATCCTCCTTATTCTCTTACGACTCACACATGTACAGAGACTGATATCTAATAATAGTGTACCTAATAATACTCTGAGTTATATGATATAATTGGAGTAATATAGACACACATAGAGAAATTATTCAAAGAAAAGAATATTTTATACATTTTATTTCACAAAATGCAAGCTGAAATATTGCTCATGACGAATTACCCCAATAAACTTCCGATGATGGTGTTTGATGAAGGATCCTGAATGGTGGTGGTTTAGTGTCAAAGACACTGTCCAGGGTGCCCACCAATATGGAAGTAAGACCCTTTGTCTTCCCATGTCCCTTGCGACGTTGCAAAACGAAATATACAGTCGCCTGTTCAGTAAGCCTGCATCACAAAAGAAGAAGTGAATTGATGACGTTACATTAACGATTGTAAATCCAATCATGCAATCTTCAGGAATAAATTCGACGCTCCTTTCTCTCTCGAAAGACAATTAAAACCTAAGAAATATATCCGTCACAGATATCCGAATAATTGCAAAAGGAAGTATTATTTAACAGTTTATATTTATAAGTACGTCAAATCAGAGCAGACTATTTTAACGCAGAACTCGCGTCAGTTTCGACATCGTGATCGGATGCTTATCGACAGACATTCACATTACGTGCGATTTATAACGCATTTGTGACTGCGTTTCACAGCTGTTATCTAACGCGTTAAAAACGGAATTTCGCAGTGTTACGACATCGCGACGTGACCGACATTTTGCCCCTTAACAAAGCAGACGCAGTATTTGTACGTGTCGGTAAACAACGGACAGCAGTTGCCGAATCGGAGTAAAGAAAACAACGGCGGTGCACGTAGCGGGCCGCGCGCTAGGGGAAGGAGGTGACTTCCCGTCAGCTGTCTTTGACACAATGTAAACATTCGTTCGCAACCTCGCCTGATCGACAATCTCGGTGGTCCCGCGGAAGCGAAATCGCGACGACCGGATCGTCGCAACAGACGTGGTGAACGGTCGAAAATCAACGGGTCTTACCAAAAAGCGTTGGCGAGCAGCACTTCTTGTGGCTTCACCCACATATCGACCAGTGTCGTCGGCGAAGCACATATGGCATTGACGGGACGACGTCGCACGCACGCACTCCTTATCAGAGATACGCAGAAAAAATGTCCTGATCGCGCGCACACACACGACAGGCGGGAAAAAAGAGAGAGAGAGAATATTCGAGCGAGAACACGCCGCAATTGCGTCGCGACTAAAGCGTCGTCAGCTGATAACCGGCCGAATTTCACTGAGCGGCCGGTCTACAGTAACGTCTTCTTCGCGACCGAGCGTTTCGTGGTGCCTGAAACGAACACATCGCACGACATCTGCATGACAACTGGACTGATGATAACTCCTTTCTGCTCCTTAAGCTCCCGAGCAGAAAAGTAGACGCCAGAAATTGTATATTTCGCAGAGTAGGGAATACGTACATGTTATTGGTCGAATGTATGTAAGCGCTGTCGCTTGCATACACACATGACATTCAGCCAATCAGAAAGTGATTGCACAATGCGCGCATATATTTTCTGACGTCATGTATGCACGACCAAGTTATGTTTGGTCCCGCTATCATGGTTCAAATCTAATCAACGGTTAATTCGACGGAATTGTGACCAATCACACTGGCTAATTGGCTGAATTGATTAATGGTCAGTTCTGTTGAGTCGATCGTCGATTAAATTATGTATCTCAGAACGAAATAAGAATTACAAAAATAATTTACTAGATGTCGACCAATGAAATTATAAATATCCTAGTAAATTCGCTCACTGATTTTCACTTCTTTCTCAGATACACAATCGACCTTCTGTGCTAAGATTGCAATTAAACCCTCTAGATCTAAATGAATAATCCAATTGTAAGTAATTGATTTAAATCTAATCGATGATTAACTTAATGGAATTGACCAATCGCATTGATCAGTTCAGCTGATCGATTTAAATGACGATGGTAGAAACGGACGAGTTCAGTTAAAAAGAACAGACCGTTAGACGCGACACGTTCCGCCAGCTTTCTAGGGACCCCGGTGAGCGACATTCCTATTCCCGAAAACGGGTTTTCGCATTGAATATCGGTACGTCGCGAGTGAATGCGTGAAGCGGATTCTCCATATGCGTAACATTCGTACCACAACTGATCCGCGAACGCTATAAGCGGTGCCGCTACATTTACGGTGAATCACACTTTGGATTTGACAGTCGGTCACGCGCGACGCTCGACACCTGTCACACACACACATACACACCGTTGTCAGTCGTCAGGTGGACAGATCGGAGAGTGTTCGACAATGAAACACTTTTGAGGCGAGGCTCATGGACATAACTCGTACGAGGTAAGCGCGGCAGGATGTTACGTTGACGATTTGTTTTGACCCCCTCCTCGACGATCGACGTGCCATCGACGTCTTTTCGCTCGCACCATACGCGCCTTCCTATCGCTCGGGCGTGTTTGACGATCGCTTATCGGCGCGCGTTGTCCTATCTCCGATGATTGGATTAACAGTTCCGTTAACGAGAGTTGCGGTGAACGCGGTCGGGAATGAACGCTCGCGCGAAGTCGAGCTAATATTGTAGCTACGGTAGAAATATGCTCACCGTGGTCGTACCGGGCGTAGGATGTAGCCGAGTATACCAGTTGGAGGTGTGATTGAGAATCCGACGATTGATCCCGTCCTGATTATTTACATGGGCGTTGCGACTCCCACGAGAGTCCGGTCGATTTTTCTTATCGTTCGCGCGATAACGAAATCAGCATGATTTGTTTCGAATGACCCGACGCCCTTGGGAAAGGACTGCAAAGTTCCGGAGTCAAGATAATCTTTTATTGTAGATTTTATCTCAACACACTCTCTTTCTTGCAGTTTCCCAGCTGGTCTCGTATGAATGAGCTCGAGTGTGCTAATTTGAGAGTTTATAATTTTGAAATAATAATGTGGATTTTAATCATCTGTGTATGAATTAGCCGCATACTAACGGCATATTTGTCATATTCATAATGAGATCAATAGATGTAAGTGATCGATTCTCCTGACGATTTTCCAGTAAAAAACGCGTCCTTCAAATGGAGCGTGTTTTGAAGGCTGTACCGGTGGATTTAAGAGTAAAAATGGAGGCCCTCGTGCACGATTTGACTTTGGCACTGGAGGAGAGCAGCAACAGTGCGAATCTCAGGCGCAGATGGGGCATCAGGAGAAGAGCTCGATCCACAGGAAATATTCGTAAGTTTAAAGGACTAAAATATTAAAAGATGTGACCTTGTGAACAAAACACATATTGGATATTATTAAAATAAAATAATCTTCTCTCTCTTCTTCCTCTGTATCCTAAACAGCTTTACGTGACATTGGTTATAGCTTACTACAGTTTGGATTTTATTGCAAAGATTCGTTATCACATGTTAAAGAATAGAGATGATATTCCAATGAGATTATTTAGATCGTTAGAAGATAATCTAACAATATAGTAATCTTGCCAACGCCACACAATCTTTGAAAAGTCAATAATATGCAATACGTTATCGGAATAGAATAATTCATGCGTAACACTTTTTTTCAGCGGCCTTAAGCATGAATAAACATTCGGACGACAGCTCATCTTCCATCTGCGACATTCGTATTCCAAAAACCGCCAATGTTTCAAAATACCAGTCTGACAGCGACGATACGAACCAGACGAAGCGTTTCGCGCGTTTCTCAAACTTGAATAACGCCAGCAATATCGAGAGCGACTCGGTGAACGAGAATTTCGTACCGAGGGCGAACACAAGACGCAAAAGAAAATTCAAGAGAATGTCAGTCGACTCCGACTCCAATGCGTCTACCTCCCAAGCGGTCACGATTATGTCAACCACGTTCGGCGGAAAAAAACGTATTTTTCGGAACGATGGCAAAAACAGATACAGCGCCATATGGTAAGAGAAAAAGAAGATTACACACGTTTCACCTGCTCTCTCTCTCTCTCTCTCTCTCTCTATTTGCCCTACCGACAAGCAGCGATAAGTATATCTCCCGTTTTCCCAGGTGCGGGAAGCGGAAGAGGTCGTGTAGAGAGCGTTCGATAGATTGCGAGATGAGAGTATCCAAGCCGACTAGAAATGCGAAATCCAAAAATCGAGGCAAGATGCAGGACGAAGACACCGTTGACTGTTCGCGTATATCAAGCTCTAGCATTTCATCCAGTGACTCGGAAGCAGGTCTCATCACCAACGACGAGGATAGAGAAGGTATGGCGGACTCGAAGACAAGCTACGACAAATATATAGCTCAGTACAATTGTATGTATATTAGAAAAGATACCCGTGATATTATTAATCCTTCAAATCATTCATTTATTCATGCAGGAGACGACGAACAGTCGGATTGGATCGGGGAATCGAGCTGGCGGGAGGACGGGGAGAGCACGAGCGACGACAAGATCACGTCGGACTCGACTTTACAAATGATACTGCACGGTGGATACGAGCACTCGGTAGCCGAGGCCAAGAGGAACTACAGACAAAGAATACAACGCATTCGTGAAGGCCTCAGCGGCAGGGAGATCCGCGCCGGGCGACGTCACGTCGACAACAAGCCCGGCTACTCTATCATAACCTCCGCCAACGAGAAGGTATCGCGATTCCTGCAGGATCCGACTCAGAGCGAGTTGAAGCTGCACCCCATGCGGCAACCGGAACGCGAGAAGCTGCGTCGACTCGCCAATCTGTACAGTCTGAGCTTAAAGGGCGACCTGGGCTGCCCGATCTTGTATAAAACGCGACACACTACGCAAGCCGTGTGCGTGGACCAGGTGTCGTTGAACCGATTCTCGGACTACAAGAGACTACGCAAGACACCGCCGAATTCGCCAAACCCGGACTCCACGATGGAGACACAGGAGCCTGAGGTCGGCAGTGCGAGTTTCGATCCGCCTCAGATCGTGAATCAGACGCAGGGCACAACGCCCGTACAACCGCAAACTGCACAGACGTTTTCACCGTTCGAGTGGGAGACTGAAAACATGGACGTCGAGGTGCACGGAAAGCCTAAGTTCCCCGACTTCGGGCACTCCAAGTCCAGTTAGGCGCACCGATATTTATTGTCATACCTATTTTTTTTTTGTAATAAATTATTTATACACAGAGTGTGACGGGATCAATGGTACGACGAGAAAAAAGAAAGCGTTTGCTATATAGGATGAGTCGTTCCTAAGATTAAGTATCTTGTATGAAACATTCTACCGCGCATTTTTTGATTTATTCTTTACACGAGGAATCACTCGCTCCGTTCATTATGTCATTAATCCCACCACATTCATGATGTATACACACATATATATATATATATAATTACTATGATTTGTATAGACTTATATCTTGTAAAAACCGATGTTATTATCTGTAATCATGTATTGTAAGCATTAGGGAAACTTTAATATGAGAATTTCTTGCAGTATATTTAAAATTGTGAAACACATTTACAATTACAATGAATCATGTACGATATACTATACAAATCAACATTGGGAACTGTAATATAACTAGAATTGTGGTAAGAATTGATCTTATTTCTCACACCCATGATACAAGTAAAATATGTAGAAATAAGATTCACAGAAAAATAGAGCAAGTACATTTACCTTCTTTCTTTGTACATGTATATTGTATTATATATATTATTTCAATGATCTTATAACTTACATAATTCACTTTTCTTGCAACATGTTAAGGTCCATGTAAAAAAATATGTTTAAAGACTACAGCAATCTTGATGGTATACCATATTACAGACTATATTTTTCACTGTACATTCAGTGTTTTTTTTTTTGCTTTTTATGAACTAATGACCACTACCTATCAGGATAAATTGATCCATGATGTGTAAAAATACTAAGTTGAATAACCTTCCTAATACTGTAATAAACTTGCAAGAGATATTTTCTGTTATCTTAATATCACAATAAGAAAACATTTTATTTGTATTTACATTAATAAAATCAATTAACATGACCTAATTTTTTAGCAGCTGCCAAAGCATTTTCGTTAGCCATGATTTGAAATTCTTGGAAACGCTGAGACACCCTCTGATTCATTTTCAGGTATTTTTCCATGCAATTAAGAGCACACTTCTCTTCTTTAGACCCAATATCTCGTGTAGTGAAGTCATGTATACAGTCAATAAAACAAATTTCAGAGACCTTGTTGTATGATGACAAGAAGTCACGAAACTGAAACATACAAATGACAAGGTTATAGGAAGAAGCGCGAGGCAAATGTAACTATTCAATACCATAGTGAATTGATATCTCCTTTTGGTGCTAGCAATTAGGTGAGTGCAAAAGTTTCGTTTTCCCGCGATAAAAATAATACATCACATTGTGCGTCTGTTCAATTCACTCACACTATTTCACACGTGACATATGCAAATATAGATTTACAAAGTCGCAAAGATGAAATTGTTAATACTTGAAAAAATGCAACACGAAAAACACATACAACTTTGACTTGCTCGGAATCCATCTCAGCCGGAGGTTGCATCGCCATTCTTGCCACAATTTAATGCTCTTTCCGCGAAGTGTTTCTTTACTATTAATTTCTATTGTGTATTTATAAACATATAATATCAACTCGAACTCCGGATAATGCTCTCAAGGTTAGAGGCAATGTCAGGTTAGGAACACTTCGATCTGCTCTTTTTAGCTACACCATGTTACTCTTTACACTCTAATGAAACGAGTATATTTGAAAGTTTCAGGCGAAACAAGGTCCTGATTTTAATCACGTAAGTTATGTTTTTAATTACAATTACGTTGTACTTTATTCGGTGATGAGACAGGAAAAGGAACTCTTCTTCACGTTGGTAGCGGCGTTCCTAAATTTCTCCGACGGTTCGTTTCGATCTCTGCGGTTGGCTGCAGTTTCAAAGTACCGCGAGAACGATCACCGAGAGGGCGGCTCGCATCGATATTATTGGTGGACATTAACTTCGGATGAATTCAAATTTTCGAAATATATGTGGAACGGAAGTGACAACCATTTTGCCCCGGTTCGGCAAAGAAAGCGGAGCGGACGAAGGGGAACGCGGGAGATGAAATGCTCGAAAATGTTAGAAATTACTCGGACCCGCGACTGCTAAACCGCATCGGCTGCAGCAGCGGAGGGTAAGTTCGCCGGGAGATTGTTGGTTAGGGATTAAACGCGAGACGGATGTTGAACGAAACGGAATCGATTAACGTCGTCCGATCGAATGCTTTCAGAAAGGACGCGATGTCGGGGTTAAATGTCGGGCGGGATATCAATGGCAGATGTTTCGTATCGCCGCCGGATCGAAGCCCACGTTCTTCGTCCCTCGGCCCTTTGTTTCCGATGGCACGATGGGTAACGTATCATCACCTTGCAATCATTTTCGTACTTTCGTATACAGGTATCGATTTATCCGGTAAGACTCGTTCGCTAAGAATCTTCGAGCAGAGCACAAAATGGCGGAAAACGACGCCGAACTGCGCACGGAAAAATTCAAGACAAAGAGACGCGTATTTTTACAACCATTCGCACAAAAATATCATTTTGCCTCTTCCGAATTTTCCGAGCCACTCGAAATTTGCACGGAATATATGCGTAATGATCTTATGTCTCGTCGTAAACATTCAAATTTACATTATTTTGCCCGCATAGAGCCCAGTAATGTTTTAGTATCTTTACGATGCGATATAAAACCAGAATAATATCCGGGTGTAAATTTTATACAATAACTCAATTTATTATCTCAGTCAAGAAGATATATAATACAATAAATAAATGTCTCATATGTCATATAGTTGGGTTATACGTTTGGTAATTTTCTGCAAGTTTTATATATTGCATACAAATTTATGCCACCATGCTGCTTAAGAATTTAATGGTAATAAACGCAATAATATTATGTAAAAATTTAATATTGTCGTAAGATTTTTATATTTATAAACTATTCGCATTTACAACTCTGACAAGAACCTACAGAGGAAGTTTGTTAGCTCTATTCCAAAAGGCAGATATGTTTCAATTGAAGAAATCTTATTAAATCCAAGAAAATCTTTTCTTCTATGCACGTTGCATTTGTATTAAGTGAATGCAAAAGTTTTTATGGATTTTCAATAACTGTCGACATGTTTGACGCTGTCGTTGGGAAAAAATGAAAGAATAATTTTCAAAAAAATGCAAATAAAAGAGTCTGACTTTTTATAACGAAACTTTTGCACTCACCCAATACATTTTTCAAGTCCAAAGTCGGCCAGCGTTCTGTCGCGGTTCCCGTAGTGTTTTCGTTACGCACCACTATTTCCGTAACGTTTTATCTTCGTCACGGTGGCGGAACAGGAGGACAGCTGACTGTCGAGGGTTCTCGCTGCCATACCGAGCGAACTTGAAACACGCTGTACTACTGGTCGCGCAGACGTCTGTCAAACTTTGGTATGCGTGCACGTTAAAATCGTCAGTCTGATCGATGCATTTCACGAGTTTCGGTCCGAGCAACATTTTTCATCCTGAGTAATAAATAATGCGTGCGATCTCGCTTCGTAAGTATCGCACGAACGAGTAGAATCGCGCGCGAAAACGGTGATAACTGGTGTACTATAATCCCATTGTTTGCGCCGACCACCGGCGTCGTCAACATGGTCGTAAGTTGCGAGAATTTATATTCCGCTTTGTTTATTTCACATATGTCATTATAATACTTCAAGTTATCTGCGTTTGAATTCGACAAGTGTGTCCAAGTGAAGCGTGATTTAACTGTACCGATTAACGCACGCCCCATTATCTGCCAATCGTATTGATTATATGCTGATTACACTGATTGTATATACAATTGTATGCTAATTTATCGTTATTTCTGTTATCATGACAAACGTAACGTGACTACACATAAAAAGTTCTGTATAAATAACGATCCTGTTTGCGTTACTTTAACGTGGAAATACGTTAAGCAGTAATAATAACTTTACTGACGTCTAACAACATAAAAATAATAACGCAATTAGTGGAGTCATTAAAAAAACACAAATATATGTTAAAATAACATATTCATTGTTGTTAAAGTAACATTGAAGTGGATCATTATTTACACAAAATGTTTTACTATGTATGTGCAGGGAAGCAGATACCGAGGAAGGAACGCGTCCTCAAAGAACGCTTCTGCCGATCAATGTGCGAAGCTCGGAACTAACAAGAGGAGGTCCGCATCCGTGGGCACGTCGTCGCGAGAGACACGCTCTTCGAAGGACGAAAACTCCGTGAAATGCCGCGCGATGAGATCGCAAGGTCCGCGGCTTCTTTCTTCACAGAAGGAAAACAAGAAGGACGTGAAGACGGCTGAACACGTGCCGGGGCACAAGGGCCGTTTGTTCAGCGACGAGACGAGCGACGGTACGGACGATCCAATTTACAATTTACGGAAGGAAATACGCGACTGGAGGGCGTCCGGACAATTAAACGAACGCCTCATTACCGAAGATGAAACAAAAGAGGACGTGCTGCGAGGTAAAGTGTATAAACTAATTGCTAACGTGCTGATAGCGTCTTAACAGCGCGTGTTGAAGTGAATAATGTAATTGTGACGATTTTAATTAAAAATGATATTACGTTACAAAATTACTTCTTCATGAAATTACATTTTTTATTCCATCTCAATTATATCCCCAGTAAGCAGTAAGGAATAAGCATTGAATCAATCTTTTGAAACATTGATTTTATAAACATTTGGACATAATATTTTATAAATGCTTGTAAACTGTTACTTGATAATATAATATTCCTTAATATGAAAATCATAGTGTAGAAATATTATTTTTAATGTTTAAGTCAAATATGATGACGTTATATATAACATTAAAAACATTATATTTAAGAACGTTACGTGTTAGAAAATGTAATAATGTTGTATCAATGATTTCTTGCTTACCGGGCTACCTTTTCACTGACGTAGCTTTCGACAGTTTTGTCTTAAAAGTGACAAAACGAATAATGAAATTCAATCGAATATCAATTGAAATATTCCGATTATGAAATTTATCTAAATTATCGCGAGGGTTCATAAAGGATTTTTAAACTTGTACCGTATCTTCGAGAAATCCGTTTACTTAAAATTCCTTTCCTTTTAAGTTTTTTTTTTTTAATTTACAGTGGATTACGGCCAAGTTACCGCGAAGAATCCAACAGATCCAGATGTTCTCCCCGGATTGCCGAGCGTCGTCATTCGATTGACGTGAGTACATCTCAATGTCTTATCGCGGACGATATTCTCCGCATTTATTGGAACTCTTTTATTCGCTTGCGTGAATAGCGAAACTCGCGCGAATTTCGCGGAAACGAGTCATTATCCCGGATCGTATATGCCGGGATGATCGCTTCGTTAGGCATTCAGCCGATTACACGTAGCGATACGTCGCGACAGACGGAGTGCGATTACATATTCGCTCGATTTGGTAACAACTTTTTCCGAGAATCACCCATCGATGAGATATAACTGCTACGATTTGACTTTTTGCAATTCAACCGACTGTTTCGTACGTTCGGTAACGAGATTTATTTAGCGAATAATTTTATCTTTTTTCCAACTTTTCCTGCTGCAATTTTTGCAATTCGACCGTTTTATCAAGACAAATCCTCTTCCTCGTAGGAATTATTATCTCGCAGATATCCTCATACCGGCTCACTTTCTTGCAACTCACTCCCCTCGATCCGACCGATTGCTTTCGCGATCGCATTTCCGCGCTTTTTCGCGCGAGCGCCCTTTTTCTACGAATATCGTGCTTCAGCTTCGCTCTCGCGCGATTTATCGAGCGCGACTACTTTCTTGTCGCGATTTATAATAAGCTTTTTACCCGGCACTGCTCTCCGGGTGTACGAATAATAACGCGCGCGAGTGATTTCTCGTCAGTGTCCCAAGCAGCCTGAGAAAACTACTACTCGACCTGAAGGTAAGTGCGAGCTGTGTTTCATTACGAAACGTGACTTCAGCCTTGCACGTGATACGCGACTATTTTCGCGGCGACGTTCTCTACACCGCGCGGACAGTTCGGCGCGACCGATCGTCACGCCTCGGCGAGTCCTGAGACACAAAGAAAGAATGAGAGAGAGGCCCTCGTTACGTAAGTAACTGTAAATAAAAAAAAAAAAAGGAGAGAAGCGCGTCCGTGTCCTGTGTCTTCGCCCGGTGCGCCGCCGAGAGCACGGCTACGTCATTCTGGAATTTTCGAAAGTTTCGTCCAACCGGTTTCTGGTTGCGCGCACGCGCCAAGACCCGAGAGACCCGTTCGGCTCGCCGGTAATATTGGCGCGCGCGGAGATGCACACCGCGTACCGTTTACTGGAAGCGGTATGATCGGCGACCACGGCGGAGACGACGCGCGGAAAGTGACCTTTGCTCGCGCGACTTTTTTTCTCGTGCAAGGCTGAACAAACACAACAAGGCTGTTTCTCGCGAACTTCCGATTATAGGTCACCGTGGAGTATCGTGGAGTGTCCCGGAATTACGTTCTTCCAACTTCTAACGGAATCTACGACCAATTCGGTTTCTCCTTAGCGGGGATGACGAGGGAAGTTGTTTCTCTTCTTCTCGGGCTTACTTCGCTCTCTCATCAGTTGAAAGTTACACAAAAGTGTTTTCAATCGAATTAACAATTCAAAAGTTGCAGGTGCGCCTTGACATTTCCGTCCGAGGAAAACGCCGAGAGGCGTCCGGGGCGGAAAGAACAACGATTTCGGGAATAGCCTGCCGGTAACGAACTTGTCGGACGAGGTGTCGATCGATGGCAAAAAAAAAAAAGGAAGAATAAGGAAATGAGAGGAATCATCACGACGATTATTTGCCTTCGCAGCGGCGACACGTGCGCGAACGATCTCCGGCACGAGCGACCGCGATGGGATTAACATGCAGCGTCGATGAGCGAGGGAAGCAGCAGCGACGACCACGAATGCGTGCTTCTTCCATGGTCGAGGACGAATTCGGCGGATTCGCGCGTTCGTCATTCGAGGCACGGAGCGGCGCCGAAAATATTTTTACTACGCGGCACGCGTGCCGCATGCGTCTCGGCTCATTAGCTGCGGCCATTGTTCTCACTAACCTACAGCACTGTGCCTCATTATCATTTTTCATTCGTGACGGCACTGTTAAAGGTCCCCATCGCGCGCTTTTACGAAAATTAAACACACCTGCGCCGCGCCAGGCTCGCATCTTTGTCGTGTATCGCGAGAAATGAACGAATCGACCCTTCGTCCGCTCCTCCTTCATGCGGCTAAATTAGATCGCGTCTCAGCGATACAAGAATGAGATTAATTTCTCTCGCGTACTCTAATCTCGTTTCTCTACCGATGGAAAATAGCCCTTTCTCTCTTGTCTACACTGTGAGAGAAGCAGTTCTAAAAAAAAAAGTTTCTTCGGTAGGTACTAATAACATATTTGTTTGAATGTGTTTATTTAAGTGTAGAATAAACAAATATTCTTCTATTCAAATAGAATAAATCCTTATATATTAATGGAAAAAATTCTCGAGAGTTATTTTCTTTAAAATAATAAAAATTATTTTATTTTATTAAATGGAATTCGTGAAAAACTACAAATTTAAGACCTTGTATATTTTATCATTCCAAAAATATTTTTTCTCAGCATAAAAATATATTAGTACCTATCGAATAAATATTTATTTTTTATTTTCTAGATATTTTTTCTCTCAATATGTGAATTTGAAAATATCGCGGATGAATTGGGTGGGTGGCCCGACGGAACAATTTAATTGACGCGGATCAATATCCGAGCCGAGGGGAGATTAAAAGGACACACGATGGAGACTCGCTCCGTGAAATTGAGTTCCTGATCCTCGTATCGAAAAATCCCACTCCTGATCTCAGGGAGATTCGGCTATTCGATTTCATATAATGAGTTTTATATCGACTATTCTTCCGTGTCGTGTGTATACTTGTAGCATGACGGGGCGTACAATAAATACTCGCCGACGTCGATCTCGAACGACCGAGCGAAATAATCCAATTTGCAGACAATGTCCGTTTAAAATGCGCCAGGAGCGATTTCCTCGGTACGGCGCTGAGCCTTTCCCGGAATAATTCTAACGTAACTCCGCTCGTGTCAGCGTTAAACGATGAAAGACGCGTCTCGTGTAACTCGCGCGCGAGTTTTCAGGCACAGTCAGCGTTCATCCGGATAATGATGTAGGTTAGGTTCCCAGCGGTATATATCGCAAAAATCAACATTCTTCGCGAAGCCGAGGCTCGCAAAAAGTGTAAACCGGTTTGCCTCGTAAATGGCACACGAGCGTGCGAACGGGAGACACGAACGCGCAGGGTAGAAGCACGAGATAGAAAGAGGGGGAAGGAGAGAAAGAGGATGCAGAGAAGAGACGCTTCGCGTTTCTTTGTGTAAATGAATTTTCTTGGATTTCTGCGGTTTCGCGGGCCGTGAACTGCGTAAATTAAACTCGACTATCGTGACGGTCACGAGAGAGACGCGAAGGAAGGAGAAACTACACTTGCTCTTGTCGAATTTTACCACAACTCTTTTCGCAAGACCATTCGAATTTCATTCGGATACTTAGAATTGCAGTAATAATCGCGTCCCTGTAAAACGACAGTTTTTACGAACACGTGCGATGATTACACAAAATACTTTTTATCTTCGGACGTTTTTTGCAGACCAAGCTGCGTGTTTACATTCACGACGGTCAAACTCGGCTTTATCTCTGTTAACTTCTTGCGCACTTAAGAGAGAGAAATTTCAGGAGTAATCGTACGTGTTGGTCATTCACGAAGGACCGCGAAAAGCAGGATCGGTCGTCTCTGACGAGTCCTTCCTTCGGATTCTCCTCTGGCCTGGAAGAGAGAGAAACGGAGGCGCAGGAGAATATCGATACAAAAATTCGATAACGCTTCCGACATAGTCTCCTTCTCTCGAACGGCGGGTTACGGTCCGATAAGACGAATAGCAGGATTCGCGTTAGAACGCACGCATTGGTGGGAGAACGAAGAGGAGAGAGAGAGGAGGAAAGAGACAAAATGAAAAAAATAATAATAAAAAGACAGGGAACTGTCCTACTCACCTAGGCAGACGACGAATTTCCGGTTTTCGTCGTACGTTGACCTCGCGACCGTTCTATGTGGGTTATGTTTGTCTATGCTTTCTCCAGAAGGAATCCAGGAGAGTCTGTCGACAAAACCCGAGTATGACTACTGACGTCACGTGTGCGTGCAGCGCGGTACGTAAAAGAGAAAATGAAGAACAAGGGGGAGGGGAGAGGAAGAATACACTTCCAGTTATTAATGTTCTATCGAGGCTGCTACGTCTCGGTTTAGCCCCGCCAAACACGGCGTGATTCTCATCGCTTGTTTACATTACCCGCGATCGCTACGTAATCAAGGAGATCCCTCGCGCAATGCTCGTCTGAGATGCCTCGCGCTCGACAAAGCTCGGCGGAGGAGCAAGAAAAAAGCAGCCGGCTGAACACGCCGCAGCGTGGATCCGTATCTCTCGTGTTTACCGCTAAAAACGATTGTCGTGCGATAACATTGTGCGCGATCGTCGTGCTAGAGCCGCGTCACCTTGAAAATGCCGCACGCGTTCAACATTGAAACGACGCGAAAGCATACGACGGGAGAATCGCGTCTTCCTCTCGAGCGTCGATCGGAATTTCGAGGATCGGCGAATAGCGGCCGGAAAAATCGACGCAACGAATCCGCCGATCAGCTGGCCAAGTTGGAAATCCTCCAGTTCGGAATCCCGATGGTTTAATAACATTGTTCCTGAGGATCTGATGAAAACTCGCTGTATGGATCATCGAATTTTTGCTCACGAATCCTTGGAGAAACAATTATTATTTCAGAGCTCGCAGATTTACAGGAGACCTATCAGTAAAACTGGAAAGAAGAAATTATAAATGTCCGTGTAGTACAACTGAAATTCAATTACTGGGACAGCTTTTTCACCTGTGGAAACTAGTTTTTAGCTGTGAGAATTATTTATTTCTTTCCGTATTGGTTAAAAAATTCCATGTAAATTGGAGCACATTAAATTTAACGACAAGAGCTAAAACTCGTTACAGCTCAACGGGACCTCATCTCATGGAAAAAGAATTTATTGTAACGACTTTTGTGTATATAGTAAAACTCAACTAGGAAGGAATATTTTATTTTCCTATTCTCCACATATTCAGAAATCAGCGAATTTTATAAGCACAATTTTCTCGTACAAGATAACTTGCATTTAATTTGAATATTGATGCACTTCAATGTATCAGCATCTTTCTCTCGAAAAGCAATCAAACGCCATAAAGATCAACAGTAGCATCCGGACTAATGCCGGTGTTCACAGCCAGACCTTAAATCAAAGACTTTGTTACGATAAATAATAATGGCGTTGGGGAAGATTCCCGCCTATTGAAACTGAAACCGAGAAAAATCGATCGTCTCTCCGCGCATAATCGCTCGGCGCACCTCGGGACGCGACGCAACGCTACGCAACGCGGCGATACGCTCCACCGAGTAGAGTTCGCCAGCCAGCCGCACGTTTTTTACGTAACGCTACGCGTAACGCTGACGCGTGACGTCAGCCCGCTCGCTTTGTCGGCGGCGGAATTCTTGCGAAGAAAGCACGCACGAGCGCGGCCGAGCGCAGCCGAACGTAGCCGGCCGATCGCGTCGGCATACTTGCGCGAGGCGGCAACGTCGCGAGCGTCTGCTAGGTTCAAGGGTACGGAGCAGAGGTTAGGTTGGTTCGTCTCGTCGTCGGCGCGACCAAGCTACATTGGGCCGCCGGCGAGCCGCTTTCATCCAACGGGAAACTTCTCGAAAGACGCGAGAATCGTGCTGCACGAAGGCTGTGCTGCGGAACACACAGCATGAGCGTGCGTGCTTCTCTTTTTCTCTCCTCGCACTTTTCCGTCCGAGCCATTACGGTAAACGAGCAAACAGCGGCGTGGGTGAATGAAAGAGATCCGCGTATGCTGACGACCCCTGCCGCTAATCAATATTTATTCTTTACGAGGGAACAGATGCGTCCCATTCGGCTTTAATATTGATGCGTCTCTATCGAACCGGCCGTTTCTCAAACGCCTCGCGATATCGCGGAACTGTTATTTATACATAAGACGCTATTGTAGAGCCTTCCGATGTTTCCCAGAATTCATACACGCAAGCGGATTTCCTCTTCACATTTCACCTTTGTGTCTATTATAATATCTTGTATTCCTTTCACGAATATCTGAATTCTTACCGTATCTCTCGATTGTTTTATCTTTGTGATACGTCATACTTGGATGTTGAGTGTATACAGCAGACTCTGACCATCTGTCCCATTTGCTGGGTATGATCGAACGTTTCCAATCGGGAGAATTATTTGTGCATTACGATTGTTGATGAATCAGTACCGGTTTCTCCAAGGAAGCAGTCATGCTGCACAGATATTCAATAATAACGCGTCTAATTGGAAATTTTCGACGTTACTACTGCTTAAGAAATGAAACAGCGTTAACTCGCGGATCGTGTTTTGGATTAATGTGCAAAAAAGAAGTGAATTCTGACGATATGAAAATCCACCTTGCCATTAGAGGATTAATAAAGTCTGCTGTGCTTTTCAGAGATTCAACGCCTGGTCATATCCTCGAATGAGGAAACACGTGCGATTACGATAAAGCAGATAACAAAGTAACCTAACAGCAGTTCTCAGAGTCATGCATTCTCAGGCATAGACGTATCGCCGCGTGTCATACGCGTTGCGGTCGAAGGGACATCCGTTCATTTTAATTCTCTGAATTTTTATAATCGGCCAAAGAGAGAAAGAGGGAAAAAATATCGCGCTGTTCAAACGCATTCGAGGTATGCACGAACCCGTCGAAAACAAAGCGCTCGGTACTTTTCGTGTACAATCGATCGGTCGATCGATCGCTCGCTCGACGACAACGCGAGATAAGTCTGAAAAGCTCGCTTATTGAAGTAACCCAGATAGAACAGAAATTGACGATGATGTCAAAATGATCGAAAAATTAATTTTTATAGTTATTTTCTCGTCATTTTGACGTCATCGTCACTTCCTGTTCTACCTGGGAAAAAAAGTGCAGTTTTTTAAGAGATTTTTATCCCCGATTAATTCGCGCGTGAGACATAACGAGGAGTAAAATAGAGAGGCGGAGAAGGGTCGCGCCGTCTCTCTCTCTCTCTCTCTCTCTCTCTCTCTCTCCTAAGTCCACGGCGGTAACGTACGGCGCGAAGATGCAAAAATTCTCAGACACCCTGGAAAAAAATCGAGTTCTTTGTCCGCGATTCATATTATACATTGCGCATTCATTGGATAACATCTGCTTAATAGTACAATGGTCTTACGAGTGCGTTCCGTTGGGTCCCCCTTTATTGCGTCTCAAAGAGTACGCCGTTCCCCGAAAAGGGTCGCCCCTTCGAAAACCTTAAGACGGCCCCGACATCTGTCCTTTTCGGTCGCGCCAAAGTAGGAAAAGAGAGTAGTAGTGTGCACGTGTCCCTTTTTCCCCTTCTACTCGAAAGGGATCCCCGAAAATGCGGCCCATTGTGCGCGGTGCGCAAAACGGGAAGTGACAACTGACATCTGCTTTGCGTCACGCAGGATTTGTGGGTCGAAATTATTTTTGAGGAGAAGTTACTCTTTCTTTCTCTTCATCGCGCGACTCGAACGTCTCGGGATCGTTGTTACGATCGCTTTATTAAAGGTCGACGTCCACGTACGTCTCTGCCCTTGCCTACAACCTTGATTTTAAGCTTTAAGCCGTAAGAAATCGACCAATCACAATCGATTATTCTTCTCACATTCTACTGTGATCGGTCAATTTCTTAAGTCTTACGCTTTAGATTTTCATTATAGACACTGTTTTAACCACGACGTGAACCTTACGAATTCTTAAATGCGGAAAGAACACTCGAGTTCCATTATCTGCTATGAGATAGAACAGAATGTTTCTCAGTCGCGCCGTCCTTATGGCGATATCGATAATATGTGGTTTGCAGGATTAATT